GGGTAATTGTGATATATCGAGCTGAACCGTGAGCGGTTGCGGACGGCGGCGCAGCGTTGTCTGGGACTGAGCAAATCCAACAAATCCAACAAGCCTGACAGAGTCGACTATGGAAGGATTAGTTGGAGAAGGAGAAAGAAGAGAAACAGACAGCCCTGGAGTCTGGCAGCAAGAAACTATGGTTGTCTTCAAGCCCAGAAGATCTCAATTACAAAGCCATGGCTAACTTGGAACCCAGATACTGGCAACGCTAATATCGACCTGGGGAAAAGGATCATCAAAATGCACGGTATGGGAGGTGATCCCAGGAATATTCGCAAGGGAATTAGAAGGGAACGACTGAAACTTTTGCCAAAGATTAAGATGAGTGAGGCTGAGATAGCTCCTTCGAGAACTGATGAGAACTCATGCTGATGTTTCAGACGACTGTGTGGACTGACTCGGCGCTCCGAATGGGCTGGGACTGGACGCGCATTTTCCAATGGCCCTTATCTCTCTCTCGTGCTTCTAGAGGCAGTTCATATCTGTTCTGCTCCATCCTGCTCCTGTCAGCTCAACGCCTATTTGCTCGCCCACATTCACCTGCACTGGGTCTCATGTCTCTCAGCCTGAGCTCGAAACGTATGTACTCTCAAATCGATGGTATCTTATCGTGGGGTATTCCAGGGTAAATCAACATCCAGCTTCCCTTCCTTCAGGACGACGGTGACGCAAATATGCCTTTGTTCCTAAATACTCGTACGAAGGGACTTAAATTAGACCGCTCTGGTGGCTCGACAGTGTTGTGCGAGCTTTGTCCTCGTATAGTGTCGCGCTGCACAGGGTTCATGACTCCACGAAAGGGCTGTATCCTGCATCCTGATGCGAGCGAAACCGATCAACACTGTACCGGGGTCTACGTTTCGGCTGGCGGAAGTTGGGTGAGCCCAAGTACGCCGTGCGACCATCCACGGTGGCATGAGCATACGCTTACTCGCGGACGGTTCTTCTCCACAATTATCCTCGATGAAATGATCAAGTCAAGTGCCCGCGTTCTGCTCCTCTCCCAGATTCCATCGTGATAAAGAGCCCGAGTTGCGAAGACCCCACATGGTTAGCCAAATGAAACGGTTACATCGCTTAATACTGGCGCCTGGTTCACCACCATGGCTTCACAGCATCATCGCAATATAAGTGTCGCCTTATCTTTCCCTTCTTCGTCATTTCCAGCGATATTGTCTTGACGAAGCCAAGCTCGGACAAGCTTGGACAAGCTCGAAAGCCAAGTCGAAAAGCCAAGCAATCATGGCGGAGAAGGGTGTCTTCGATAGATCCGACAACGAGAAATCAACGTCATCACCACCGGCCGCTCGGTCGTATTTTCCCCCTAGTCAACGCCAAGTCCATGACTCCAATGTGACTTTCGAGGAATACTACTACTATGCGCAGCGTACCCGTGAAGAACAACGACAGCTACAATCTCCGCAATGGCAATGGCGCACCGTCTTTTCTTCACGAAAGAAAACTGCAGATCCTGCAGAAGAGGAGCGTGAATCTAAGCCACACGCTGGTGGAGTCGTTACCGAAGAAGAATGGTCAAACGCGAGTCGAGCATTCCGTACGGCTTCATGGGGAGCAGTATTCTACCTGGTGAGCAGCTTCTGAAGAGACAGGTTGAGAGCTAATGGTCTAGATCACCACCGATATCCTTGGCCCGTTTGCTGTTCCGTTCGCCATCGGTACCCTAGGTTTCGGCCCAGGCTGTGGCATCTTCACAGCCTTCGGAATCGTCAGCGTATACAGTGGGTATCTGATCTGGAGGATCTTCATGGGAGTCGACTCGCACGAGTTTCCAGCGCGCAACTATGGTGATCTAGCGTTCCGAGCATGGGGAACAATCGCTCGCCATGTCGTTAACGTCCTCCAGGCAATCGCCCTCCTCCTGCTTCTGGGTCAAGTCACAATCCTGTTTGGTCAAAACATTTCCGAGATGTCCAAATACCGCATCTGCTACATTGTCTGCCCCTTGATATTCGTCATCATCGGATTTTTCTTGACTCAGATCCGTACCTTGAGGAACTACGGGTGGATTGCCAACTTCGGATTCTGGCTCAACATTCTTGCAATCTTTGTCTCAATGGGAGCTACAGCGCACAATCCGCCCAATTTTGCAATTGCGACCTTGGGATCAGTCGGAAGTAAGACGTGACGTGCTGGGTCAAATTTGAAAACAAGGACTGACATGATCAGGTACAATTGACCCCACGACCATCACCCCTGTAAACGGTGTCTATCCTCCTACAGTGCACTATGGATCTCTTCCTACATCGAATCTCCTCGGAGCTGTCAATGGCATGCTCTCAGGAGTATTGGCATATGCGGGTCTTCAGCTCTTTGTCGAGTTCATGTGAGTATTCCCCAAACCACGTGTACTGAGTTGCCCAGGATTCCAAGATCCTCGTTTTCCCGATACATGTGCCAAAGGCTAACAACAAAGCAGGGCAGAAATGAAAAGACCTCACGATTTCCTCAAAGGCATGTTTGTCGCTCAAGCTGTTATCTACGTGGCTTATGTCGTCTACGGTTGTTTCATCTATTACTATCAAGGACAGTACACTTTCAATCCCGCATACCTCGGGGTTTCCAATTATGGATGGCAGACAGTTGGTTCGTCCACCTTCCGCCCTTCTGCAGGCTTCGCTAATTCCTGACAGGCAATACACTCACCCTCATAAGTGGTCTAATCGCCGCAGGTCTATATGGAAACATCGGCATCAAAGTCTTTTACAACAACGTCCTAGTCGACATCTTCAGAGCTCCATTGATGACCACTAAACGAGGAAAGTTCTTTTACGCTGCAATTGTCCCGATCTGGTGGTCGATCGCATTCATCATCGCAGCCGCGATTCCAGCATACGTCTACTTCGTCGGCGTCATGTCCGCGTCCTGCCTGCTGAATCTATCATACACAATTCCGCCGTGGATCGCGCTTGGTTACGATATCAAGAAGCACACCCTGGGTACATTTGATCCTGCGATAGGTCGAACTTCTCGAGGTATGACTGGCGTGAATCGGTACATTCGCGGATTCTGGTCTGGAGGTATTCTTCAAATCTCAATCAACGTCTGGCATGTGTTGTATTTCCTGGCCTCCCTCGGAATGTGCGGACTGGGAATGTGGGCTTCTATCCAAGGGTAAGTTTCTCTCCCACGTCTGGTTTTGAATTGATCTGACGTCCTGCAGCATGATCGATGCGTTCAAGATTCCAGAAGTCAACTCATTCACTTGCACATCCCCGTTGAACATTAATGGAGGCTAAGGGTGTTGTCGCGCTGCTGTCAAATAACGTTACGGTTATGTTGGATAAGCTCGTGGGCCACAACAATGAACCAGAAGAGCCAGTAACAGAGATCGGGTTAATCTCCACCAGGGTTCCCCGGGTCGGCAGTGTCTGCGGCACATCAACCCCCACGACTAGTGAGACAAAAGGTGATCATTCATCCGTCTCACTTGTCTCAATTGTCTCAATCGGGGGGTGAGGTGCCAGGCATTTAGCGGGTCGAAAGCTCGGACTGCTTGTCAGGACCTCCTGTGTCATTGTCATTTCTCGTGCCGATCGAACAGATGTTAAACGTGTCATAGTCTATCAACTGCCAAAACGTTAGTCTTACGTCCTGTGAAAAGTATATGCAATCCCTGTCCCTCAGAAGCGCTGTGCCCAATCTGTCAGCAGGTACTGACACCTCCGTCTTGCTCCCGGTACTGGAGCGGCAAAGCATATGAAGTTGACTGCCCAGAATATAGAATGTCAATCATCACGAAAACCTATGACAGACTTTCCACACCAGAGGGCCCCCTTTTTTTTTGGAATTCCTGCTGTTGATACTGAGATCTTGAAGCCCCTTGCGCATTAGATTTGCTATGACCTTGTCCGATGTCGCACACAGAGGAAGCCACAATCCGGGCGACGGCTGCACAATTCTTCAACGCCATCGAAGCCGGCGACATCGCGGCGATGAAAAGCCTGCTCACCCTCGACGCCGAGATTTGGCACAACACGGACGAACTCGTCACTTCCCCGGACCACACGGCCAGGGTTCTCGCCGGCATGGTCGAGCGCATCACCAATCTCAAGTACTCGGATCGTCGTCTCGATGTCTTCCCGGGAGGTTTCGTCCAGCAGCATGTTTTGGAGGGGAATAGGATTCACGACGGCGAAAAGGTGCGATTGCCGGCAGCCATCATCGCTCGGGTGGAGAATGGCAAGATCAGGAGGATAGACGAGTATTTCGATACTGTCCACCAGGCGACGTTCCGCAAATTTGTAGGAGTTCCGCTGAGGTTATGAAATTTTATATTTATATTTTTATTTTTTTCCGGGCTGGGAAAATGCATTGGGGCAGTGGGTGGCTTGGTCTGCAAACGTATTTCGAACCTGGCCTTAAGGCGGAATCCGGAAATAGAGGCTTCTACAAATCCTCGGCTAAAAGCTTTTCGTGCATAACAGCGTGAATACATTGTCTTCACATAAAATTAGGAGAGTAGATAGAGTGTATCTGAATCTCGACAGCTGGCATTGAAGGCGCGGCTATAAAATTGTACAATATACACGAATTCAGACGCTGGCCCACACACCGAAGCACTTCTCGTTCGATGCCTCATCCTGACAGGTCTCGGGGTCTTCTTGACCTTGAAATGCGTACCACAGCGTGTGCAAGCTTGGCTGCGCAGGTTGGGGGTTAGAGACAGGGACATCCCCACGAAAGTCGGGCCATCTTTGGAAAAAGTCCGAGTTCATCGTCCAGCATCGTATGTCTTGCATGCTGGCCAGGAAGCGGGGTGACAGATGGCACAATCCTGTCTGGAAATTCAAATTGAATGCTTCTTTGAAGTCGTACGGCCAGAGAAATCGGAACATTGTGTGCGTGGCGTGCAAAAAGACGTCGGTGTAGTAGTCATGGCAGATAGAGAGTCTCTCGCGGAAGCCTGGCCTAGACAGAAGTAAGCGAGAGGTTATCATAGGCGGAATCCGTGGCCTGTGCCTACCAGACGTAGCAGTCGGCAATTACTGAGTGAGGAAATGCGAGTTGTGAAGGCCTCCGTGAAATTCTCAGTTAGCAACGAGTTGGCACCGATAATCCTATGGGGGAGTCAAACCTTGATTTTATGAATGGCGGCAGGATTTTTGATGAACTTGTTCCGGGAGTCTGCTGCATCATCTAGGCTTGTAAGTAATGCCAGCACGACCCTTCAAATGAGGGCTACTCACATCCTGTTTGATCGTTTGACTTGCTATCGTCAAAATTGCCAAGCGTTCAATATTGTTGTAGTTTGGTGCAAAGTACTTCTCGTCCAATTCGCGCAGACAGCTCCATCGCGCGTCCACCATGACCGCTTGAGAGAATTGTGTCCAACCCTGCGAGACTGCGGTGATGATAATATGCATGTCGAGCTCAGTGTCGCCTAGGGTCGAAGCTGACTTTGTGTGGGAAATCAGCTGTTCAATGTATCTCCAGATCTTGCTGTGACGGCCATCAAGGGCTGATTGTGAGGAGGGCAGAGGGCTGCTCTCGACGGCGCCTGCCATGGCACCTAGCATCGGGGGAGGCCAGGTCACAGCATCACCTTCTACATTAGGGGCTGAGAGCTCTGCGAGGAATGCGTCCAGAGCGTCGTTCTTTTCTGCTGAGAGGAAACAGGTGGAATCTGGCCCAGGCTCCGAGGATGCTGCCTCCAACAGCGACGGATCGACCGCTGAGAAAGTCGCGGGGTTTGGCGAGGAACCAAGAGCGTCCGCATCGCTCTTGTCACTTGGAACATCTTCAGGCTGGCCTAGATCAGCCAAGTCGGCCTCGATCAAGCCCTTGATTTGAAGCAGTCTTTTCCTGTGTCGCAGCATTCTCTCCTCGTTGAGGTCCCGCTGCGTCATGAGGCTCGAGACCAGGCTGCTTGCCTTGTCTTGTTGAAGCAATTGGACATTCTCCTGCAATCGCTGTAGATGCTCTCGGTCTCTCTTGCGCTTTCTTTGCTGGTTCATTCGATCCATCTGACGCTTCTTCGCCCGCCGACAATCAGCAGAGAGCTGTGGCTTTAGCACCGACGCCATTGGTGACTGCTCCTGACTTGGCATGATTGCTGTGAGTCTCTTATTCAAGATATGTCGGTGTTACAGCCTGGCGCTTGGTGGAGTAGCTATAATATGGCAACGAGAAGTAGTCATACCGCTAGACCCTGCATTGTTGCCTCGTTCTTCCCTCGTATTCTTGGAGCGGGGTCGGCGCTGCTAGCCCCACAGACCATTCAGAGCATGGGTTGTTGCCTCGGAAGAGAGGCTCGAGTTTTAAAGTACTGGGTACGCGTGATAGTTTGTCAGTCCTGTTTAGACCAGAACCATATTGTTCTTTGTCTTTGAGAGCAACCTAATCCAAGATCCGATGTTTGGCGTCTATTGGCAAGAGTAGGTGCGTCTTGCGCTTAGGCATATTGTGGGTGAGAGTCAGCCGTCACTTCAACTTGCACCAGCTTTGGAGCTTGACATTTGTGAAATTGCCTATTTGAAGTACAGCACTCATATTCACCTTTGTAACCGAGATACAAGTCACTTTCACAGTCTGGGCTTAGCATTTGCTTCCCTGGTCTTCAAAACATCCTTCCACTCGACGGCCCAGTCGGAAACCCACAAGGGACACTCGGTCTCGAGTAAGAAGATGGTGAAGCCTTCGGTTTGAACCTTTTTGGGTGTCGTTTCCTGTTCCTCAGCGGCTCGATGGGCGTCGCTGTTCGCACCGTGGCATGCCATCCCCGAATTCAACGCTGCACCGTAAGGTTGAAACTCAAGGCCTTGGTTCCACGGACAGTCGGGATCCTGTCTGGTTATGATTGCCCCAGAGAACTCAGCCATGGTATTTCGGTGATAGTAGGGCAACCAGTAAGTGTCTTCCATCACGTTCCAACGTGGAGGGATGATGGCGAAATCTACCACCGCGGTCCCAGGCTCACGGTAAGAGGGTGCGGTCAGAACCGTGAATAGACTGGGATCGGCGTGGTCGTACAGGGTGTTCCCGAGCACGCAGAAACGTGCAAGGTCGTATTTGAATGGGTAAAACGTCCCGTTCCAAGCGGCGACGTCGAAAGGAGTATGATCCTGGGTGCAGCTAAACAAGTTTCCGCCTAATCGTGAAATAATGGTCCAGCTTCTGTCGTTTCCCAGAGCTCGCCCAGCTTGAAGCTTTCCATCAAATGCCGCGACTGGAACTTGAAAGTCACGGATGTTCGCTAATGAGCATGATCCGATGGGTCCCAACTCAGGCAGGCGAAAGTGTCCTTGGAACAGCTCACAGATGAATCCCCGCGAAGGGCCGTAAGGCAGAGTGACTCGGTGACGGACTCCTCGGGGAATCATTGCAATTTCGTTCTGTCGTACCAAAAGGTTTCCCATTTCGGTCTGGACGTCGATTGTTCCCGATTGCGGAATGATGAGCATATCACCGTCAAGCGAGGAGAAAGCGTGTGCAGTCTTCATATCCTCTGTGATTGCGTAAATATAAATCGCCAGCCCCGTTTTGGTGGCTGCGTCTCCAGAGTATGCCAGCAGGGCAGTCTTTGTCCAGTCCGCCCCTCGTTCCACGGGAAAAGACATCCACCGCAGAGGATTGGGTGTCATGTGCGCCTTTGGTATCTCCGTTTTGGGGCCATACGGTTTGAATTTGCTATGTATCATGGACGAATTTGCTCGATAAAGCCACGTCTGCAAGCAATGGCTACGAGGTGAGGTAAACGAACTTCCAGAGATACGCTCGGTGACAAGCCCGAAAGGCGGCTTCTGGGGATTGTTGCATGCTACTGGGCTTGCACCAGGAAATGCTTCCGATCTAGGATGGCGATTGGGGTTAACATATACAAGAAGAATCAATAACTGAACGTCGAGAAATAGGCAATGAACACTCACTGCTGATGATTGCCAAATCCTTCAAGGTATTGGTATCTATCCTGGACGGCGAAATTTGTTATAGGCATTTCGACTTCCGTGAAAGATGTGGAAACTTATGATCTCAAAGAAAAGTCCCTGTTCACTGAGAAGATCTTTTCTCAGGCTTGCACACACTGGAGGGCAGGTCTGCCTCAGTTCTTGACTTAACCTTTCAACTTCCTGCAGTTCATAGAACTGTATCTACACTGTGCGGACCAGCCGACATCCAGAGGCGAGTCATGAGGGGCGTGTTGGTAACTTCAACCCCCACGTTTTCCCTTCGGCTGCTGCTCTTGGGGACTCTTGACCGACAGTGTCATGAGGCACTGACACGCAATACTTTGGAACGTCTTTCGGGCACACCCCTCCTCGCAGAATGTATCGGATGTTTTCATCTGGTTGTGGTCATCGCTAACTTATCATATGGCCCATGAACAACTTGTCAATGCATTTGGAAGATCCTCAATAGATAAAGATTAATCTTTCCGGACCTTTTTAGTTGTCAAAAAGCACTTGAGAGGTCTATTGTTTCGTCATGGCGCACACCCCAGCCTGCACTCAGATGATCATTTTCAGGCACAAGCCTGGTATTAATATTAAAGATCCTGGCTCGAAAGACGGCAAGACCTGGTTTGGGGTCGTCAGTTGGCTCAAGTCCAGTCCAGCTGTGAGGCGACTCTATTGGGGCCTGCATTTAGAGAACGAGAATACAGTATATCTTCATATTGGTACGTTCATGCCATGCTACAGAACTGTCACACCGTTCATATCAAATCTTCTCGACGGACAAGCCCTTGTAGCAACTACTGATGACTTGGTAATTAGTTAGAGAAGGGCTCTATCAACATTACGACTTTTTGGCCTCGCCAGACTATGCAGAGCTAAAACAACGCCTGCAAAACATGATGCAAGGTGATTTGATAGTTCGACATGCCGATCTTATTGAATATACACAGCCTTGCGAATCGATCGGGAGAGGGGCACCGTTTACCGGGACAGCAATCTACAAAGTGACCGACAAGGCTTGGGACTACGCCTGGAACCTCTGGTCAACCATTGTTCCTAGAGTCAAAGGGTGCAAAGGCGTGGCTGGGGGTTACATTGTTGAGCCCGTGGATGGACATCAAAGGTGCTTTATAGCACTTGTTGGATGGGAGACTACTGAAGCACACCACGCCTATCATGAGACCCGCCACTGGAAGAATCGAGCAGCCATATTGACGGAAGGACAGAAGGGCTTCAGTGAATACGGCCATATTGTCTTTGAAAGCGAGGCTCATAAACCGCGTCTGTAGCATGAATATAGGATGGGTCCCATGGTGAACTTTGTGCTTGGATGGAAACGAATCATGGATGCCCTCGGGGAAGTTGGTACGGGATGCAAAATATCTAGTGATTGGTGGCGCAACTTTCGGTCAACCACTTCCCGGACGATTCTGTTCCCACTGACCATATCCCTTATTTCCGGTGTAGAGAGTGAGTGTAGGGCTCGGAACTGTACCAGACCGCTATGACTCGCACGGCATCGGTCACGGTTGCAGAGGTGCCGCTATGGATACACTTTGCACCAGATTCGGAAGCAGGGACTCCACGGCCTAGCTATAAGGCCAGAAGATCTCGTGCATTTCGTCCAAGACGCGCCGCTCAATTCATTGCCAGTTGTACTGCTTCGTCCGCTTTCGTTTACTTGGAAGAATGACATCAAAATCCGGAGCCGAGAGAATGACTTCTAAAGAAGAGACTCCTGCTTACGTTCACGATGACTACACCGGCAGCTCAGAACTGGACGCTAAAGAGACCCAGACCCAGGAAAACGAGAAGCATGACATTGGGGACTTGGACGTCACGAACCGCAAAGCGTTCAAGAGCGATGAATCCGACGGCAAGGTCCAATGGACACCACGGACTGTTCTTGCTTTTATATCTCTTGCTGGGCTTAATGCAGGTAAGCTCTTTCTGTGCTCCACAATGAGGCGCTCAAAAACGGCTTACAAATTTTCGCAGGCTCTCAGCTTGTGCTCTACTTTGTTGGGGGCTGTCTATCTTATATTGCTGCTGATCTTGAAGTCGGGCAAGAAGTCGCCTGGCTGCCGGTGGCAAACATCCTGGGTGTTGCAGCTGTGGCCCCCTTTACCGGATATCTTGAGGATCTCCTGGGCCGTCGAATTATCGCGATAGTCGGTGCCTCTCTGCTTTGCATTGGCTGCCTCATTTTGGGGACTGCTCACCACTTTGGGCAAGCTCTTTGTGGCCTATCTATTGCGGGTGCTGGAGCTGCGGTGGGTGAATTGACAGCACTTGCAGGGTGAGTTGTCAATAAGTGTTCTATGCTTAAAATCGCTGACGTTGCATTGTGAACAGAACTTCAGACATAGTCCCTGTCAAGCATCGCGGGCTCGCTGTTGCTGCTGTCACGGCCATAATCATTCCATTCTGTCCTTCTGTAATGTACGCCCAACTATTTGCTTCACACGATACTTGGAGATGGAGTGCATGGATACCTCTGTGAGCATCGCGAGCTTTCATCCTTGATCGACGCTCTATTGATCACATCTCAACAGCATCTACAACGGCATGGTAGTCATCGGTCTGTCGCTGACGTATTATCCAAAAACACATCCTCGTACGCAAGGAATGACAACCAGCAGCATTTTGAAGCGCGTCGATTATCTAGGTGGAGCTCTGTCCATTATTGGTGTGACATTGTTGTAAGTTGCCGCAATGTTGCGATGGCGATTTGTCTTCCTGACCCTTTACAGTCTTGTCGCTTTACAATCAGGTGGCTTTACACACCCATGGAAAAGTGCTTACGTCTTGTGCACGCTCCTGATTGGCATAGCTCTAATTGTTGCCTTTGTCCTTTGGGAATGGAAGGGAGCCAAGTATCCAATGGTGCCGCGAGAACTATTCGCTGGTCAGAGAGTTGTGGCATTGGCATACAGCATCGCCTTTATTGGAGGAATGAGCTTTTACTCGCTGCTCAACTTCTATCCTCTACTTTATTCTACTATATACAACCCGGCGCCCATTAAGGTGGGTGTGAAGGCTCTGGGAGTGTCATTGTGTACCACTTTTGGCGCTATCGTGGGAAACTTACTGCTCTCGACCTCTCGAGGCCGAGCGCGAGAGATTCTTCTTGTTGCAAGCATCATAATGAGTAAGTATTGCTTGTGCCATTTGAAGATGGATTTTCCTGCATGATGCTGACGAAACCGAAAGCCGCTTTCGACGGTGCAATTGCGATCGCAACTCCATTCAATGCAAACACGACTGTCACCGTTGGATCTCTGGCCGGCATTGGAGTCGGTGGCATTCTTGTGCCCGCCGCGACAGTTGCCATGATTGTGGTTCCTGACTCGCTCCTGGCCACTGCTGTTTCACTCTCTTTGTCAGTTCGAACCGTCGGAGGTTCGATCGGGTACAGTGTCTATTACAATGTCTTTGCCAACAAGTTGAAAGCAAAGCTACCAACCTATGTTGCAGAATACGCCATTGAAGCTGGTCTGCCAAATAAAGAAGCAGAGATCTTTGTCATTACATTCTTGACAGCCCCAGCACAGGCTTCGAAGATTTCCGGAGTCACAGCAAAAGTGCTCGAGGCAGCAGCTCTGGGTTCACGGTGGGCCTATGCAGAATCTTTGCAGTATGTCTGGTACACCAGCATTGCGTTCGGCTCCGTGGCGATCATACTCTGCCTGTTCTTGCCATCAATCAAAAAATACGGAACGAATCGTATTGCGGCAGAGCTTTGACGGGGAAGGATTGTTCAAAGACATCGTCGCGGTAATCAAACCCAAGTCTAAAGCGTTGCTCATGATTGGGTCAAGTAGGAATAAAAATAGCGTAACAGAGATCCGAAGAGATACTGTTATTGCAAAATAGGCTCTGAAACAGACATCCATGTGAGATCTAGTTTTGATATAGATCGCACGTTTGTGACGTAGATTTGCAAACCTCTTCCAAGCACATATGCCCCTTACATCGCTTTCTCTCAAATCATCCTCTGCTCGGGTCAATCGCCAACATGGGCACTAACCTCAATCTCCACCTTCATATTCTCTAGTCCCAACTTGGGCACCTCCACGGCCGTCCAAATCGGTCGATGCTCCTTTCCACACCACTTTGCGATCTCTGTCTTGACCTTCTCAATAATTTCGTCATTGAGTGGTATATGGTAGCTATTCACCCTGAAGACTTGGCCCCAGCCCCTTTCCGCGCCGGCTTGCTTCAGGTTCATGTCGACGTTCTTGAAGGCCTGCTCGATTTGATCCAGTTGGGTGCTTGTTTCGGAGACGATTCCGGTGGCAGGGTCCCAGCCGCCTAGGATAGAAGGAAAAGAATGTTAGTAGGGAATCGATCCATAATTTCGTATCAAAATAGTAGGACTCCTGTTGAATCCTCGTCTTCCGGCAACAGCCTTGCTGAGAGGAATGCCGTTTAAATCCCCGCCTGCCGCCCCCTGTTGCCGCGATATTGAAATATCCAGATCTCCCCTGTGTGGGCACACGTAACGAAAACCCAGAGAAGTTTCAATGTGACATACCTTGTCCTGCGCATTCAACTCGGTTCCCCACGCGCACAGCCTGACTGTAAATGTCCGCCATCTTCTCGCCAAATCCAGGATAATTGTAATATTTCAGATGAGACATGATTGCGCACAGTCTCGCTGGTGGCATCAAATTTTATACTGATTTAAGATATGGAGAGCCGCCGATCTCGATTCCACCGGTCAAGTTTGAACCGTTCACTTCGGCTGACGAGAGAAGAACATGCTCACTACCTGCGACAAGGCTCGTCATCTATATATATATTCTATTCTTAAGAAAAGTTTCTGGGCGCTTACTAATGACGACTCTCGACGTCGATACTGATGTTGATTGTAAATCAAGTCCTTCGGAGACGACGACCCCATTTCTCCGTGTTACGCCAACCGGATCCGGAACAGCCGGCATGATACTACGGAGCATGGTCAAGTCGCAGGGCCATCACTGCCAGGGAGAGTCGACCCTCTGAACCAGCTTCTGAGAAGTTTACAGGCAGCAAACTCGAAGATAGCCTCGACGATTCCAATTACTAAGGCTGGATCCGTTAGGGCCTGAAAAGGGGCAGGCTAGCCTCGCATGGCCAGCACTGTCGGGAAAGCCCACTAATGCTCCAGACAACATGCCCGAGACTAGGTTGAAGAACATTCCAGGGTGGAGTATAGACCATCCGAGGGAGGATTTCGTCTCGCCTACGTCTTTGCATGTGCTGTAAAATTCTGGACCGTCTGCTGGACGACTATACCCGAACTAGCACAATTGCCAGAAGCGGCAATATTACCTTAGTAAGAATACCTCCGCTGTCGACGAGTCAAGCAGGACTCTAGCTGTTGCTAAATACAGGTACTTACAACAGCGTGTTCGTGCTTGGTGGTGATGCATATACTGATATGACCGACACGTGTGAGGCCCGTCGGAAAGTGACGCCCAACTGGTGGCCGACGAACGCCAAGTCAAAGGCACGCTTGCAAAAAGCATGGCACCGAAATTCATTGTACAGTCAATCCATCGTACAATCCAATCATCCTTCTCCAGTCATACCCTCCCAATGCATTGTAGGTACGACGCCTAAACTAACCTACCCTTTCCCACTTGCAGTGCACTAACTCACGCAATCGTAGTCTCACTAAGAATGCATCTTTTGTTACATACATGATCAGCTCTTCAAAAAGCAATCCTTCCAGACGCACAAGCCTCATCAATATCCCGTTGGGAATTATGTTGTAACAAGGCAAAGTGGCTGTGCTGTGCTGGCATGGGAGAGTAGCGGGGAGGCGATTCGGCTTCACACGTCAGGACAAAAACGACTAGCATTCTGGCTGTGGCTGTGAGGGTGGAAGGCATTCGATAAGGATCAAAAATAACAGACAGAGACAGGCACTCGAGGGGCAATCGTTGCAGGCGTGCTGAACAGTTGACAGGGCTGGCCGTGTGCCACTCTTTACAGTTTGATGAGAGTATTCTATGGTGAGAAAAGGGTGAGTCGTAAGCAAGTGGCTCGAAAAGCGGCACGGTGAAAGTGAGTTGCAAAGTGAGCTCCGAGCAGTTTTTACTCATGCTTGTGTTGCTAAGTTCCCGAGAGAGGAAGAATTACCGTCGTTGCGTCAAGACTAAAGAGGGATTCCTCCCTTCGCGCGGCCTCGTCAGGACATCTCAGCCTTGGCCAAATCTTCTGCCTCCTTCATACAATCATGTCCATAGACCATCTTTTGAACATCGGCGTCTGCCCATTTGTCCGGCACGGGCCCTTTACCCGCCTTGAGAGCTGCGAACTGCCTGTCGCGCTCCTCCTTCGCCGCTCCCTCGCCCAGATGCAGGGCTCTCCCGTTCGCCGCGGCTAGCTCGACTAGCGTTTCCGCACGCTCTTTCCGCACCTTCTCGTACAACTTGAGAGCCTTGTTGATGTCTGCAGGCGTAGCGCCGGACGGAAGGTGAGAAAGGACCACGGCGAGGACCGCAGCGTCTTCAATGGCCTGCGCGGCACCCTGCGCAAGATGCGGCAAAGTTGGATGGCACGCATCCCCGACCAACGCCATCGACCCCATAACCCACGTCGGTAGAGGCGCATGTACTCTCAGTTTCCATTCGCAAACTTCCCCTTCAGGTACCAGATCGAGCATTCGATGGATCATTGGGCAAAAGTCTGCATAGACTTCCAGCATTGCTTTCTTCGAGCCCTTGGTCGTGTAAGTTGCCGAAGGAGCAGCAGCGAAGTTAACGTCAGGCTGTGCGGTCGAGATATTGTATATTTGTTTCCTGGACACTGGATATGCGATGATGTGTCTCTTCTCGCCGATCCACCGGGTCACTTTGTCTGCATCTATGAGAGCCAGCAGGTCCGGATCAGACGCCATTTGTTCACGATTGAGCATGATTCGGTATGCTGCCTGACCCGAGTCTTTGACGTCTGCTTCAACATCCAGCTCCTTGAGCATAGCAACGCGCGTGTTTGATTTGACGCCATCTGCTCCAAGCAGAATATCGCATTGCACCTTGTACGGTTCCGCGCCGCTGCGTGGAATGGCGGTAAAAGTCGGCTTGGGCTCAAATTTGATGTTTTCACACGTCGTTGCGAAGTTGAATTTAATTTTGTCCGACTCTCTTTTGCAGCCATTGTAGAGCTCCCCGGCGAGCGTTGATCGATGGCCGACCGTATGCGGGAAGCCATATGCTTCAAGGATATACTTCAGGTCGACATGGCCGAGCTCGGAATCTGTGGCCCCCTGCCGAATGCTTGTCTCGTTCAGCACCACAGCTTCTTTCGCGATGTCGTCCCACACCCCGAGCCGCTCAAGAATGCGAGCCATATTGGGCGCCATCTGTATCCCTGCACCGACAAAGCCGAGATTCGATGCCATTTCAAACACTGTGATGTCCTTGAAACCGGCACGGGCAAGAGCAAGCGCACAGGTCAAGCCGCCCATGCCGGCTCCGATGACGCATATCTTGAGCGATTGGACGTCGGAATGCATTGTGAGATTCTGTGTGATGGACTGGTTCTCCCCCGCCACTCGTTTTTGGTCTTTCTTACCCTTGATATCTTAAATATTTTTCAACTTAAGCAGGGCTTTTGCGGGAAGTCTAGAATGGGTTCCTTTTCAAGGCGGTACTCTATGTAGGTAGTCATTGGGCGGGAAAAGACAAACCCGCGCGTTCAAGAGCGTCTGCCCGCCGACAACGGGGCGGGGAGATCGGAAATACCTGAAGGCACCTTTGCCGGAGTCACATGCCGTCCAAGAAAGGCTGGCAAGGAAACTGAGCACAGAGGAGCAAGATGACGAACAGTCCCCACGGAGAGCGAACAGCAAGACCGAGCATAATGTGGGGATCTCCACACGCTGAAATTTCAATTGCCGGGCCTGACAGCCGACTTTGTCCGCCCGGCGACGACCCCGGGCGGGTAATGCCGTACGGCCTCAAGATATCTTCTGTCGTAGTTGTAGATGTTTCATAATAAAAGGAAGCTTGCAGGCACGAGAAGACCCCAGCAATAATAGTATAGAAGAGGCCATATCGCCTATATACGTCACTGACAAGCCTATCAACAACCGATATCCTCTCGTGTAGTACCTCAGCTTCGTCCCCCTCACAATCGCCCCATGTCTCCAAAAGGTCCTTACAGACTCGTGACAGTAAACACTGCACCTGAGCGAGCAAAGAGACTGATAGGTCGAGTGACCGAAGATATCAAAGAGCAGTACACGATACAGCATGTGGCAAACTGCGAGAGTAAGCGCCAAGTCCCAGCTGCGGTCAACGCAGATGTCCACGATCACTCAGTGTAGTTGGACTGTGCGTGGATCGCTATATGAAACGTTTGCTGATAAACAGTGCGATAGGCATTGAGGAAGTCGAAGGTAAAGTGAAGGAAATCCAACCGGACTTACTTGTATGCCTTGCTCCGATCCTTCGATATCACAATCGTCCATATAGCCTTTCCAGAGGCACGATTCGACTGACAGGCCCTAAATAGTTTTGTGCCTCGATGTGGACGCCTGAGGAAAGCGCAAGAATCCAACAGATTGCCAGGAGTATCGTGCCAGACATAAAGACTCACGCAATCCCAGAAGGACTGCAAGCGCAAAAGGGTCCTGACGCTGTGGTGGAGTACCTGAAGGAGCACATTCCGAGCATTTTAGGATGAACCACGATCTGGTAAATCGACGTAGAAGCATTTCAGGAGTGCAGAGATGATAGGCTTCTTGGTTTGAGCCTTAGATAGCCTTCTTGGAGAATTAGAAATAGACATAGAATATCTAGCACACCTTGACCCTCGGGAGTGCTGCAGGACAGGTTGGGCACGTCCAGGAGCAAAGTCTGTTGCCATTTGCGGAATCCTACACTTGGTCAGGAGGCGCTTCACGATCAAGGTCGAACAGGAAGATTCGATGTGACAGAGGAAAGTCCTTGGAGGGTCCTTGGAGGGTCCTTGTAATGGAAAGTACAAGGGATACCGAGTACGGAGGAGTATGTATGCATGCATGCATAGGACGTCCGAGCATGGCACGTGCTGCACGTGCTCGGCCTCACATTCTATAACGCTGCCTGGGGTCTTCTGCTCATCAGATTCACTCAAAGCCCTCGTTCGAGATCAGCTATGCCAACCCCTTCCGCCTTGGACTCGGTTCCCTCGTTCATGCGATGGTTCCCGTATTGTGTGATGCTGTTACTGACAGTACTCGCAGAGCCTGGCAGGCATCCGCGATCCGGAGAGCTCTATGCAGTGAACGGTGGGTTGGAATGGCTACGCGTCGAATCTCAGAGTTGAAAGGGGATGATCAACAGCCACGCTTCCATTGTCGCAATACCAATATGACGCCGACTATCGGATTGCAATCTACGAGTACGGCCACAGAATTCATCTTGGTCGATGGCCTGGCTCAAGGACGATTTGCTTTGGACCTCCCCAGCCAACTGTCCATGTTTGTGCCTTGCTCCCTGTGATCAATGCAAGTCAGCAGACAGATGAAGAATCAATGCATTATGTTGCAAGTCTAGGAACCTGCCCCTTGAGACTAAATTATAGGAGATCTCGCCAACCAACGTGCACAGTGCCTGCAACGCTACGTATCTCGACCGATCCGCACATCAATTCCACCTTGGCCTTGACCAGACATATGCACGTCTCCAGCTGATGCCCGGTGCCTGTTCCCCACTAGATCAGAGCCGGTTCGCTGACGAACCATACTGTTCCTGCAATCTCAGCCTCTGTTTCGATATCTCGACACGACATAAAATGGTCGGCTTCGTCATTCTCCAAGCGGCCGCAATCTGCCCTCGGAAATTCCAGCTCGAAAGTGGTTGGCTGTTTCGCAATGAGGCTCGCAAACATGATCCCAACCTCCAGCATGGCTCTAGCCCTCTTCTGGAACCTAGCATCCACGAGATCAACACCCAGAACCCCCCACCCCCCAAACGCTTTCAAAATCGTTCAGCAACTGCTCCTTTAAAGTTCCGTCGCAGTCCTTGTCGATTAATGCTGCAAGGCTTATCGCAGTTATGTACCGCCATTTGCCCGAGTCCTGGGGTTGATCTGGTATATGTCAGCGGTGTCCAAGACGAACTGCAAGAAGTCTAATCTCACGTGGATCGGGAAACAAATGCCAATGTATTTCATTCACTGAACGAGCAAATGAATCGGCAAAGCTGCGAAGAGGTTCATGGAACAAGGCTTCGCGCAAGAAGTACAACACAACACAACATTCTTCAGCAACTGCCTCTGAACGTCTTTGTCTTTGGCGTCAGGTATCTTCCCTTCGAAGTCAAGTGATCCGCCAGCGACAGCCTCCGACAGCTTGACTTGCTACTCCTCACTCAAAAGTCTGGTCCCTATTGTGGTGAGTAGGCTGACGAATGGGAAAATTTCTGCCTTCAACTTGCATCACAGGCCCCAAGCTTTCCTCTCACCAGCTTCTATCATTTACATTCCACAGACCAGCTCGTCAACCCCAGCCATTCGTCATATCGCGGATGATTTGTCATTACCTTTGGGCAGCTCCTACATGGGGCGACTAGCTCCAGACCGAGCCAGCCGTTCAAGTTGTCCATCGCGTGTAATGGTGTTGCTCCAAAATCAGGGATTGATTGCTGCTCCTGTAACGACACTCGAACTGACATGTTGTCTCTTGGTCAACGTTTGTTCCATTATTGTTCTAATTGTAAAAGACATGGGAGATCCTAGCGAGACTTTGCTCCATTTTTTAAATATCAAGCAATGCAGCCATTTGAAGAAGATTGGATGCTCGAATCTGGTGAGTTGCTGTTCTAGCGAAGACCCAAGATTGGGAAGACCTACCATTGAGGATCAATTGATGCCCCAATTGTTCAGGGTGCCGAAGGCACTGGCCAGAAAGACCCAAATCGGCACTGCTTAGCCCTCGGAAGTTACAGACCGAACGACCTAAGCCCGCAGTGCACCGAGATCACCCTAGGTCATCTAATTCCAGACGGCAAAGAGATTCAACTACGCCAGCAAATTCAGATGTAAGCCTCACACACAGCCAGATGCAAGACCTAGGGCCCAAAGATGCCATCTAGCAGAGAGCAATGCGTGGACACAGTACACAAGGCGGTGTCACCCAGGATGAGAGGAGAACCAATTGGCATACCCTGAGTGATAGCCCGAAGATAAATAAAGGACGTTTTCCGCGAAGCCACCGGGGAGTCCTACCACATTTACGCCAATCAAGCCGCAGAAGAAGAAGAAGAAGAAGAAGAAGAAGAAGAAGAAAAAGAAGAAGAAGAAGAAGAAGAAGAAGAAGAAGAAGAAGAAGAAGAAAAGAAAAGGTCCTCGCAGAGCACCTCCGCAGTTCAAGGTGGACAAAGTATAACGCATTAATTGCAAAGGTCACCTACGCTCAACCTGCTCCTTCAACGCCAATACTCAGCGGTCACGGACACCATCTTTGTAGGTCGGCTTTCCTACACCTGCATCACCCTGTCCTTTAAAAGTTCTGAGTATGGTCTTACTTGAGGTCCGCGCATGCCCAGCCCAGCAATATCGGCTCCATTCTTCTTATCTCGCCTCACGGATCATTCGCCACAAATCTTGGAAACCCTCGGCGATGGTGGCAGGGCCACCCGGGCTGATGGTAATACATTTTTTGGATAGACCTCGGCGTCTGCAATCGGGCTGCCGTAGACGGCGGTACTGTTGATATGACCGTTCGGGCAGCTAAATTGCTCTGCGAATGGATCCGCAGCAGCGCTCATGGAGGATGTATCAGTCACGTTGACCCGGAGGGCCGGTAGGTTGGATTCAATCGCTCGGTTCGGGTTTCGGCGGCTTGGATCTCCTCTAGAGAGCCGCAGGTTCTTGAGATGGGAGCTTTCGGCCATAATCGTCAGGGCCTGAGCGGTTTCGAATTTGATTCCGTTGTTAGCACCTGCGACAAGAACATTCACAATGAGGTGGTTGCCAACGTCAGTCAAGACGGTGGAGCTAGGAGCGACGAAGATAGGCACAGTACCTCCAGAATTCGACTTACTTTCCACCCTCCTAAACCAGTTTCAAGTACTCTTATGTCCATGCGAGGTTGCTGCGCCGTCATCAACAAATGATTGACGAGTAGGTCCATCCATCCTGTTTCAATGCTTGATTGGCAGTTTGGAGAACGTCTGCGAAAACCCTCGTGGTACGCATGGAAGTGGAGTCAATAGAAGCGCTGCTCAGTCGGTCGAAGGTCTGCAGAGGACAGAGAAGTCAGTTGTACGAGAGATGGTGACCTTGTGAGCAAGGACAAACTGGGAGTTGTCGCGCTGGGTGGGAGATTTGAAGGTGGCCTCCCGATCCCCGGTGCACAAGCATCGATCTTTCAGTTCAGCATGAGAGTCGATTCTCGCAGACGTTCACTTGCTTCTACATTTGCTTTGACCAGAAATGGAATACTAGCAATGTACTTATTAATGACATGGGGGGTAAGCGAAGAGGTAATGGAAGAGGGTCTTCATGCGTATAATGCAGCCTTACTGACTAGGATGCTCCCGGGATAATAGATCGTGCCATATCCTCTGTGTATGTTCCGGTGATGGCGCGGATGACGGGACAAATCTACTCCTTCTGCATGCTATACTAGATTCCCTGCAACGACACGATGCAGAGGACAAGGGTCTTGGAGACGAGGACGGACCATGTGTCTTCGACCTTGGCGGATTAGCGCCTAAATGTTTTGTTCTGACTGTACTGAATCCCATGCATATGTACCCAGTACGATACTAAAGTCAAAGTTCTAGCTAGTGTCAGCCCTTTATCTCGGTACTTGTTGAAGTACCGGACCGGGAAGGGTTCTTGTTTTGGGTTATATACTAAAGCAGTGCGCTTGCGAACTGCCGTGGTTCCCAAAGGGCGCAAGGGCGCCATGACCTCGGATAGAGACCCTTCCAAGCTGGGTCTTCCTTCCAGGGTGGGATAGAGCCAAGAATACGAAGCCCATGTCTTGTGAGTGTCGGCAACTCATCATCGAGCAGAGGCGATAGTTAGAGAGAGCCTCGCAGACTCCAGTTGGTTGCTGGGGGGGGGGGACACCAACACCAACCATTCACTGTCGATGAAGTGTGACAAGCCCCGGGGAGAATGCCCACCCTGTGTTGCAACTCGCAAGATCAACCGCCTTCTTTGGGCTTCACACGTGTCAAATACATGGCTAGGCAGCATGAGGAAATGCGAGGCTGGCCCGGGAATGCGGTAGGAGCTCCAAAATCCAAAATTCGGGGTAAAGGAGTGGGATATCTCCCTTCCCAATGGTTCTCCTCGGACTGTGACTACATACCTAGGTACTTGGGAGACAAGAGCTTCAGGGAGAAGACTATCCACATGGACACCTCGACGTTGTCGACTGCGGGACCCCGGATTCGAAACCCCACATGTGGTCCTTGTTCTACCAAGTCCGGAGAACAGGATGCGCCTGACCTAGAGCTGTGGCTGTAGCTAGTCTCCATCCCCGAGTTAACTCCTACTATTGTTCAATCCAGCTCATACTACGACGACGGTCCGGATCTTTCTCGAGAGGAACATGTCGGCATTTGATCTTTTGGTCAGCCAAACCAAAATTAGGTATACTCCTACACGCGGATATAAGCCTTTACTCAAGCAGATTCGGCAGATCCTTGATGGCATGAGCGATCCATGGGCGACTCGTCAAGACCTTACTAGCTAGGCTTTGTCTGCAGGCTTCAAGGGGGGGCCGTCATGCCTGGGTGATGCCCCAATCCTTGGGCTGGTGCGGCCGTGACCCGCCAGCTCTTAGTCACTCACTATACTCTTCTGGACCAAAGCTTCAAGCAACGGCAGTTGGCTTCGTGTCAACTACGGTACCGCGATTGGCCCACCTCCCCATGGACCTCATGAGCCCCGGCACCACTGGGCGAGCTGGGCGAACTGGGGCAATTCCGTCGACCGCCTCCCTGCCCCATGGGGCGACATCATTGGAGAAGCTTGCATCTTGGACGCCCACGCGACGAGCTTCGAGTTGTTTTTCCTGCATCCTCCTCGTGCACGGGCTCAAATAAATTGCCAACGCGCAGCTTGATGAGGGGCGCTGGTGTTTGTGGATAAGTAGACCAGTCAGGCCACTGCGATATCTTGACTCTTTTCTCTTCTTTCCCGACGAAACAGCCCTGTCCTCGAAAGAGAGAGCAACTCTGCCAACAAGGGGTCAACAAACCATCAGTGGTTCAATTTTGTTCAGCCGTTGCAGCCCAGCAAAAATGGGTCTTGGAGTCCAGGAAGGCAAGGAAACCCCATACTCCTCCCTCGACAGACAGACAGCGAACTGACAGCTGGCAGACAGGAAGCTGGACCACGTTCCCGGGACAGTCTTGCTGAACGATGAAGCCGCCCACTCAGAAGCCATCACCTCGGGGCTCAAGCACGGCAAGGGCCGCGATGCTCACATCCTGTTGTCGCCTCAGCCCAGCGAAGACCCCAACGAGTAAGTGGCGCCATGGATATTGAAAGGGCTGTTTCGCGTCTATTCGGCAGAAATTGTCGACATTGTTCTCCTCGAATCCCTGGGTGGCAGGCTAACGGGTGTATAGTCCCTTGAACTGGCCACTATGGAAGAAGGAAGTCATCATCGCCATCCTCTGCCTCGGTTCGATGCTGAATGCCGGGACCAATGTAAGCGAACCGCGAGCGACGCGGCGGTGAAGCAATGTTTCTGAACTGCTGTGTTAGGGACCTTTCCTCAATGCGTCGTATTTCGAGATGGCTCAGCGACTCAATATGGACCTAACAACTGTGGTCTTGGTCTCTGGATACAATCTCCTGGCTGCGGGATGCATTGGGCCGTTCGGTACTTTCCCCTCGAAAACTTGTCCCCGTCTTGTTTGGATGGTATAGCGACTGACTCACTGCGCCTCGATTAGTGTCTGCATTTAGTCGTAAATACGGCAAAAGGCCGGTCTTCCTAGTGTCTACACTTTTCGATATCGTCGGGACAGCCATCGGCGAGGCCAAGATCTCGTACAAATATCTCCTTGCCGCCCGTATCGTTCAGGGATTTTCGACATCGGCCTTTGAATCCCTCATTGTGGCAACCGTGGGCGACATGTACTTTGTCCACCAACGGGGTCTACGCATTTCAATCATCAACTTCATCCTCAACTCCGCCTCCAGCCTGGCATCTGTCATCTGCGGACAGGTGTTCCAAAAGCTGGGCTGGCTCTGGCTTTTCCACATGTTCCAGATCTTCTTGGTGGTGCAATTCGTACTCATGTTCCTCTTCTGCCCCGAGACGACATATATCCGCGATATCCGCTACGATACCGACACCGCCGTGGACGAGAAGCTTCAGGACTTGGCCGTGATAGAAGCCACCCATAAGGAAATGATCGGTGAGCCGGGACAAGGTGAACGCACCGATATTCCCAAGAAGAAGACGTTCTTTCAGGAATTGGCTGTTTGGACGGGCGTCTACTCACACGACAATCTGCTGAAGTTCCTCTTGGGGCCGTTCTTGACTCTTCTGAATCCGGCGGCCTGTTATGCAATCATTGCATCCGGCGTCCTCAACAGCTGGTAAGCTTTATATGTCCCCTTGACACACTTTGAAACAGCTTCACATGATATACATTGAGGATTTCCAACAGTCTCTAACTCTCGTCAGGTATGTGGGCTCCGCCATTATATTGTCCGGCATCTTTGCGGGTCCTCCGTGGCATTTCAATGCTTCGCAGATCGGATACGTCGGGTTTGGTCCCTTCATTGGAGGACTGATTGGCTCGATCATCACGGGCCTGACGAGTGACTATGTCATCAAATATCTGGGTCGCAAGAATAAGGGTGTCTAGTAAGTGATTATTTGACTCTGGCTCATGACCATGATCATCCGCTCTGCTTTTTCGTCCAAGACAATCACGAAACCGGGCTGACATGTCCTGATTTTAGCGAGCCTGAATTCCGTCTGGTGTTCATGGGTCCTGCTTGTGTGGCTTGTGGCCTCGGAATGTTCTTATTTGGGTATACCCTCGCTATAGGCGCTTCAGCCGCGCTGTGCGCGTTCCTCCAAGGTGTCATGATGGTGGGCGTGTTGATCGGCATCTTCGCGACGCTCTCTTATGGTCTCGATTCCTTCCGAGACCAGAGCAACGAGATCTTTGTCATGAACATGCTTTTCAAGGTACGTAATACTTTGCCACATATCTGTCTTGCTTTTTTCTTTTGTTGGCGTCCCAGTTTTTCGTCAACCCCGGAGTTCTTTCTTTGCTGACGAAGAAACCACACAACACTGTAGAACTTCATGTTCTATGGCCTCTCCAACTACGCCAACAACTGGGTGGCAGCCAACGGGCCTGAGCAGATTATGTACGTGTTTGGCGGCACCTCGATCTTCCTCTCGGTCCTGGCGATCCCGGTCTACATCTACGGCAAGCGCCTCCGGAGCTGGTGGGCCCGGCACGACCTGTTCAAGATGTTGAAGATGGAGACTCACGGCCCCGTGAGCGATATGGGTTAGCTATGTAATTAGACAGCGGAGGAGGGAAACCAACCTACCTGCACAGGACGGGACGTTGAGGTCACTTGTTCTCAGTCGAGCCAGCGCAGCCCATCACAGCGACGTCCGGTAATTAAACCTTTCTCAGGAAGAGGGTGTTTTAATTCAAGAGTTATGCACAGGATGGACTTACCAAGACAAGGAGGGCTCGAGTCAAGACCTTACTAGGAGCTGTCAGGCTGTCTGTCAAAGGCCATCCATTTCTGTCCAGAATATCTTTTAGTCTTTGGAAGAATTCCCTTCCAGCTTCTGCTTTCATTCTCCCTCTCCCCGTTCCCAACATAAAGGGCGGAGTACTTGTATGCACATTGGAGCCTCTAGCTCGGCCAAAGAAACTTCCCCGGCAGGTTACGGGCTCAGCTTTGTTACCCCGTACAAGGACTTTACTTACTCTGGGAGGTTTTTTCCTGCGAAGCAAGCAGGTTGCCACACCGCCTTGACCATCCAACGTTCCTTACATGTACGAGGCACTTATCCCGATCACACGCAAACTAGCAAATGAAAAAAAAAAAAAACCCCCCTAGTGACCATGGCCGCCTTGACCCAAGCTCTAACTGATCCCTGAGATGGGACCCCCTAGCTCTTCGTAAGCGTCTTTTAAGGCTGGTGAGGCTGTCCCTCAGCAGCCAACTGAGAAACACCGAGGGCGCCACTAGGCTAAATCTAGGCCTGGATGGCCCCTAGCGATCTGCCACCCAACCTCCCAGGCTGTAGACGGCAGTGTGGCACCCAAGGCGATTATCGAGAGAGCGCGTGGGGAAGGCGGCCCAGGCATCATGATCGGTCGAGCCCTTTCAACGTCGCTTTGGTCCGCGCAACGCAGCCTCTTCTGCGCTACACCTGGCCGAGGTGGCCTCCTCAAGGTCGAGGCTAGACCGGCCTTCGACTCACTATCGCTTCCCCCTCGCTGTTCGCGTGGTTCGCCCTCATTGGCCGCACCAGGAAGTCGTAGCTCAGCTCAACTTCAGCCGCAATGGCAAGCTTATCAAGAACCCAGCCTCCTCAAAGACCTCAACTTTCTCCCTTTCGTGTTCGAATATCCCTGGGTCTTGTGCTCAGTATGCTCACTCCACTGCCGCATTGGCCTAAATTCAAGTTGAGCACGGGACGATGGCTAAACCCACGAACCCCAAGGTTGAAACTAAGGTATTAACGTCCAAAGTCGGCCAGAGCGGTAGCCCAAGCAAAACGCCAGATATTCTGTGGAAGGAGGCCGTCCAGAGGTTCCTCGACGAGAATCATATCAGGATTGAAACATTGGAACTAAATGGCGATTTCGGAGATGCGGATGACGGGGTCGAAAAGGCCTCAAAAATGTTCCAGAGAGCACGACATCCGAAGAATAAAACTGACAAGGTCATCAAAGCTGTGGGCGGATGCTTGGACTTTATAGATGGGACTGTTGACTTTCTCAAGGATTCCGTGCCCGACGGCGTGAGCTATTCCCGACTCTCCTTCAAATTGCACACGCGCTCTGACTACCATTAGTATGGCACACCTGCAAAGATCATTGCTGGTACGATTTCCTACATGATTCAGGTTCGGGACGGGATAAACGTGACAAACAACAATCACTCTAACAGACTATAGGCGGCCAAAAATATGACAGAGGACTTTGACCTCATCGAAGAAACCTTCGACAGTATTCACCAAGCCATCAAGGATATCGGCCTGCTGAAAGACCGCCACACTCAGCAAGATCATTTCACGAGTCGCCTCATGGATATCTTCCTCAAATTGTTTGAATTTTGCCAATATAGCACCAAAATGTTCAAGGAATATAGCCGCAAAAGTGAGTTACGGTGGGAACTGGCAGGTGCCCTCAATTCTGACCTACTAAACAGGGCTGTACATCACCGCGCTCATGAAGGGAAGAAACAAGAATATCCAGAACAAGTGTGATGAAGTCAATAAAGCCATATTGCTCTTTCGAGCCACGGTGCCACTCAAAATCCTCGAGGTCACTATTGACATGAATAAAAAGATTGACGACCTACCCAGCAGCTTAGTCATTGCGCTGCAGCGAATGAACCTCAAGGCGTCGGAGATGCAGCAAATTTTGGGTCCAAAGAAATCCATCACGGTGGAAAGGATCATGAAGACCTTCAAGGACAGCGGCCTCGATGTCGACGCCAAGCGTTTCATGGAAAAGCAAATGAATTTGATCAACACCCACATCGCCCCAGACACTTTCTTATGGTTGAGGGACGAACCGTCCTATAAATCGTGGCTCAGCGGTCAGGCCTCGCCCTTCATCTACATCTCAGGTTCCTCGGGTGCTGGGAAGACCTATCTGACTTGCAGGTACTACAGTCTGATCCAAGCGAACACCAAGGCTAACCAGATAACCGCCGAGCTAGAGGGGAGCCGGCAGAGCACATCAGTGGCATGTTTCCTCTTTGAGTCAGGCAAAGAGGATTCACAGTCCTTCCAGGCCGTCCTCGCTACGCTAATCCTGCAAATTGCTGAGCAGGACCCTAAGCTCTGTGAGTCCATGGGTCGAGAGTTGGAGAAGATGCCAAAAGGCGGTGACGATGATCTGAGCATCGAATATCTTTGGAAAACTTTGATCCTGAAGAAATTTGAGAAAGCTTCAGAAACATCAAGGACTTGCTATCTCCTCCTTGACGGCGTCGAGCAGATGAAACCGAATCACTGTCAGAACATGTTGAAGCGTTTCCAGGCCCTAGATGGCGACAAGCACTGCATTCGCATCATGATGACGGGACCTCCCATCATGCACGAGAAATTGGGTCTGAAATCATTGCTCAAGATCAATTTGGACGAGAAAACCAAGTCAGCAGGAGACATCTCAAAGATCATCGACCATCGCATCAAAAATTCCAAGAACCTCAAAAATTGCTCGGCCGCCGCCCAGGAAAAGATAAAAGCAAAACTCTACTCCTGGAAAGAAAGTGAGTGGACATCTTCCAACGCACTGCGTCCAAGACCGCCATTTTGATGTATCTCAAATCTAGGTGCTATGTCCTCCGTTGACCTTATGCTCAGTGTCATGGAAGATAGCGGGGGCGACGAGGCCGCCGCAATGACCAAATTAGAAGGCGCAGACAGCCCCGAATGGCTTTACAGGACAATGATCGAGATCGTCAAGGCCGAAACCAAGAGGAGTGGCGACGACCAGAAGAGCCTCGAAAAGTTGTTTGCGTGGTGCACCTACGCAAAGCAGCCTTTGCGTGTCGATCAACTAGAACATCTCTGGGCTCTTGACACTTCGTCAGACAAATTCGATGTCAGAAGTGAGATCGAGGGAAAGTCGTCCAGGTAGGCAGACCAAAGCAGAACATTGCTTTGACATCAACTGGGGCCCTGCCATGGCCACAGCGAACCAATTAGTTCGACGGCTAATCCCTGGTCATAGTTTGCTCTATACGAAGAAGACAGCGGACAATCGGCCGACATTATATGGCGACACAGATACCATGCCCATGGTTAATATAGAGCATGAGTACGTCTTCTTCCGACAGGCCGCATTCAAAGAGTATCTGGAAACGAACAAGAACAAGATGATCGAAGATCCAATTCAAGAAAGAGTGAATATTTTTGTCACTCTTTGTGAGATCCTCTGTGGTCAGAATGCCGTTGGAGATTCTCCTAGACAATCATTTCGCGAGTACGCAACGGTCAGTCTGATGGAGCATTTCAGGGATATAGACATCCGACAGACCTCACCAAAGCAGAGCGCGGACGTTGTTGAAGCTTTGTCGCGGGTATTGTCCAATGACAACAACGTCTGTGCCGTTTTCGAGGCAGTCCTGGATCGCCAGGGGAGAGATTACGTAGAATTTGACCTCTACGATACTTTTCGTCCTGACACAATGTTCCGGAGGTGGGAAAGGGCCGGTACCTTACTTGTCTGGGCAAAGAAACTGCACTTTTACGAGGAGGAGGAGCTGTCATTTCGCGCGAGAGAGTGGGTTGAGGCAAGCATCAAGGCGCCACAGAAGATGTTGGAGACTCTCGGCCGGGGTCATCTCGAGAACTGGGCGCAAGCGGTGACGGAGCAAGATGCAGTTGTCCCTTATACGCTTGCCTATCGCGCCCTGTCAACGGTAGGGATCGAAGTCCAGTAAAGCAGCCCCAAATTCTGACTTTGCTTTAGACAGGGATATTTGCGGATGTTGTGGCCGACACAATGTCCAAAATGACCACCGCGATGCTGGAATATGGGCGAGAGCACTGTTTCAAAGACTCAGTGAAGCTTTCCCGGGCCCGGATCTCAGCAGCCTTGCTGTTGAATACCGATTCGAATACTCCCGTTGATCGGGACATAGCTGCCAAACTCTATGAGACAAATATAAAACTGAAGGATACACCTGGCCCGGAGAAGTTCTATTCTTCACTAGGTCTAGCCGAGTACCACGCCAACACAGGGAACGATGATGATCCTCCCGATCTCGTTCGGAAGAAGTGGGAAATGGTGCAAAAGCACACAGGCTATACGCTCCAGCAATGGACCGACGAGAAGGGAGCACTCGGCTCTGAATTGAACAATGAGCGCTGTACTGAGGCGTACTTGCTTGAGGCCCAAGCATGGAGCAAATTAGACAAGGACGACAAGGCCCTTGAGACCTGCAAACACGCTTTGCAACCAGGCGCACTGCAATTCAGCTCCAAAATCCTTGAATTTTTAACAATGATTGTCGAGATATATTTCAAGCGGAAACAATTTGCCAGGGTCATTGATGAAGTTCAGCAACAGTCGCATCAAATCAAATGCGAATGGATGCTGTCTCGGTCAGAGTACTTGACCGACAAGGACGATCGTCTGCGACAAGCCGCGGTGTTGTCCCGACGAGTGGACGTCCTCATTCAATTATGGGAAGAAGCAATCGATTACTGGCAGCAACTTTCGCCATTCGCGGCCGGAAGACTTAGGGTTGGACTAGCAATAGTGTACAGACACGACGCTCGCACAACGAAGATGGCAGAAGCAGTTCTTGACAGCATGATTGTAGCCATCATGGCAGATCCTAACATGTTGAAAGGGGGTCTTATTCAGTCCATCTTCCCGACGACGGTGGACATCATCTACGAAAACTTCAGCCTCACTTCTTCCGATGAAACCAAGAAAAGGGTCTTGACGAAGCTGGAGAATCTGATCAATGAGTTCGCGCCCACCGTGCCGAGAGGCACCCTCGAGCAGATGCATCTGGCTAGGGCGATGATCACCCTGGCGAAGATGCAGAGAAAATCGGGAGCGCCGGAAGCGGCCAAAGAGGCAGCGGTCTGGGCCGAGCGCGCCTTCCAATATTGTATCGCCGATCTTGAGGACTCGGTCGGATCCAATGATTGCAACGCGTTTCGTTCGCTTGCCAAAGTTTTGATGTTTGCGGGACTCAAAACGGAAGCTGTGATTGCCCTGTCGCTGTGGTTTTCAGAGGTGAGAGAGTATGACGACTCACAACCACGTCCTCTCCGTTCCGTCGACGAGCCTGCAGCAGAAAATATCATTTTAATGGAAGAGGAAGATGTCGCTGCAGAAGAAGCCCAACACGATGGTTTAGCTGGAATAAACCCGTCGCAGCAGACGCAGGCGGAAGATGAAAGAAATCGCGAAGATGATCCGACAAGAAAATCGTCCGCGGTCGACCATGAGGCTCCGCCTCAAGAAAATCCATCAAACGGACATTTTGGCGTTGGCGGTCCTGTCATCTTGGACGATCCTGCAAGTGGCGGATGCCACCCTCCTGAGCAATTGGAGATACAGACTCGAGAGGCAGAAGGAAGCTTACTAAAAGCCAGCGACTATCCTATCCACAACGGCGATACTCCAGTAGAGAATGGCATATTGCCGGAAGTGCCTGGCGATGCAGGATCTCAGCCTCATATTCCTAACGGAGTGGGGTCCGAAGGACTAGACGAACATGGACCTCCTGATTTGCATGGAGTTCCTAAGCCTGAGGAGGAGGAGGAGGAGGAGGACAAAGAGGACCTTATCGAGGGCGAAATTTCGTGCAATGGCCCCTGCGAGCATCCCCCTCTGACCAGGTGGCTCCCGGGTGTCAAATTCTACTACTGCCTCGACTGCGAAGAAGTCGACCTCTGCGCCGACTGCCACGCCGCCCAGGAGAAGTATTTCACGGAGCATGGCGACGGGTTCTGGATGAAGTGCTGCTGGGCGCGACACGAGTTCCTGGAGGTCCCGATCGAGGGCTGGAAGGGCGTCAAGGACGGAGAGATATGGATCAATGACAAGAAGAAGTCGTGGGTCGATTGGTTGGCATCGGTCAAGGAGAAGTGGAACAGGCAGATGGTGGCCGCCGCGAAGTAGGAGAGGCGCACGGACTTGCCTCTGTCTCTCTGTTCGTCTGCCTGGCTCAGTAGGAAGTTGTTGAGTGTGAGTTCGATGTATTTCTCCCTGTTGATGTGGATGGTTTGTATACGAGTACCTACCCCGTACAAAGAGTAAGTAAGTAATTTGTGCCGTCACCACTGTTGTTTGAGACCTAGAACCAGCGAGTCCATATAACAGACAGACACATAATGACCCGGGCATCAATTTAATAGTATCAGTAGTACAAACTATGACACTACGGGGTTCGACACTCACCACGCATTAGGTAGGTACGGACCTGGTATGGAGTACCTGTCGAGTTACGGACCTATAAAGCTATGGCGCCAACGACCTCTATATGAGGATTCCGTGCTATGTCCTGGGGTATCGGAGTATTACTCCGTATATGTCCTTGGAATTGGAATCGTCCTTTTTACTCTGTCGGTAGTTATTCACGGAGAAGTCTGTAGGCAGACGTGCCTGGTCGCTCGTTTCAAAATTCCTGCTCAGACTCAGACCCCGAGTCCATATCATCCCTCGCCCCCCCCCTTGTTCGCGCCCCCCATATCTCCAATGCAAAAAGTCGGCGTTGCGTTGCAGCCCAGTAAGCGATCTCCGTAGCCGGTCTATCTCTTTCCCGAATGCGCAAGGTGTACGATATGCTTTACGACCATCGCGGTCGGTCGTTGCAGCGTCCCTGCTCCGACTCGCTCAATTCGCTCGTTTGAGACAGAACTATTATGTAGCTTGTGTACACACCGAGCAGATCTTCTTTGCTTGTTGCTTGTTTCTGACCCTGCATGCTTCGCGTCCTCCTCAGCGCCCCTCCCTCCCCATCCTTCCGAGTGCTTGTTAGGGGGATAGATGACAAAGACAAGTACGCCACGACACCATGCCATGCCATGCCATAGACCGGTACTCTTGGTTCGGGCTAGTTAGTACATAAGTACGAGTGAGCGGGACGCACGTCGATCACCTTAGCGCCGAGCGAGGGATCAGTCATGTCTTCGCTCGAGCACTGCTCGGTATTGTCCAGAGGGGGCAGTATTGGGATGTTCCCCCGTATGTATTTGGTGCCGCAGGAGTTGATATGTTACTCGTACTGTCGGTCGCTGAAACCGGCAACGGGGGGCCTGAACGACAGGCATACCTGTCACGCACATGGCCTCAAAAGGTATATGAAGCCTTCGAGGCAGTTTTCGACAGTCGTCCTTTTCGCCGTCCCTGGTCACAGCCATTGAACCATTTTTTCCCTAAGGAAAGCTATCAACGAAAACAGATCTCAGCTGTCAAGGAAATCAGACGTTGAGACAACTAAAATTCTCGACGACGACAACAATAACAACGCTCAAAATGCCGACCGACGAGGTGGCTATTATCGGCGCTGGCCTGTCGGGACTCACATTAGCCCTGGCGCTGCATAAGCAAGGCATCAAGTCCACTGTATATGAATCGAGACCTGCGCCTCTCAACATCGGTGGAGCCGTCATGCTATCGCCCAACGCCCTCAAAGTCCTGGATGCCTTGGATGTGTATCAGGATGTCCGCGGACGGGGCTACAACTTTGAACTTCTCAAGGTCGTCAAAGTCGACGGGGAACTCATCGAGACCTATGAGTTTGGCGGCAAGGAGAAATATGGGTACCAAGCGAACCGATGCTATCGCTACGAGCTCATCGACGTCATCTTGTCCAAGATCCATTCGTTGGGGGTCTCAGTGGTGTTCGGTCGAAAGTACGTCCGCGTCGTCGACGAGACCGAGGATCATGTCGTGTGGGAATCGAGCGACGGCACTCAATCCATGGCGTCCTTCCTCGTCGGAGCTGACGGGATCCATTCATCCGTCAGAAAATACCTCTACCCAGACGTCGAACCAAAGTTTATTGAGATGGCAGGCATTACTTCGGCTGTTCCGGCATCTCAAGTCACTTACCCATACGGAAAGATTGACCAGCCTCTCACTATTACGGCTGAGGGTAAGGGAGCGTTTGTCATCGCTCCTCAGAAACCCGACGCGTCCGAAATGTTCTTCGGAAAGCAGAAGCACATTGAGGAGGAGCTCAGCCGAGAGGGATGGGACAAGTTCCTCGCGGACAAAGAGGGTCTGGTCAAGTTCCTGCAGCAGGATGCCGAAGCCTTTGGCGAAGTCGCCGTCACCGCCACAGCAAAGATTCCGCATGACAAAATCAACGTCTGGCCGTTCTATGTCATCCCGCATTTAGACAGGTGGGCTTCCCAGAAGCGCAGAGTCGTGATCCTAGGCGATGCTGCCCATGCTATCCCGCCTAGTGCAGGTCAGGGAATCAATCAAGCGTTTGAGGACGTGTACATGTTCTCCCTTCTCCTCGCAGCGTCCAAGACAGGGGCCGTCAATTTCGAAGACGCTTTGACCTTCTGGCAGGGTTATCGCCAAGACAGGGTCAATAAGATCTTGGAGTTGAACAAGCAAATTGACCTGAGGAGGATGCCCAAGGGCACACGACCTTCTGATCTAGCGGGTGAGGTTGTGCAGAAGGAGTTCGACTTGCAGTGGCTCTACGAACCTGACTTTAAGGTGGAAGTGGAAAACTGGATCCGTAGCACCAGGTCTTAGAGATGGAGGGGGCAGCCAGCGCGATGTGGATAGACAACCCGATCTGAGCTTCTTTGCAAGTACTAGGTAACTGCGAGGACTCACCGTTGGAGGGTGAACAGCGCAAGGTTGCTCGCAATCGCAATTGTTTCAAATGACACACAAACCTCTCCTTCGGCTTGGCGTCTTTTGAAATTTCATTCAGGCGTCTCAAGGTGTCTGGGTCGTTTCCCACCTCCCTCGACTTCTTAAACTTGGCTGAGCCTCCATCTGTGAGAGTGAAGTCGCCTCGGAGTAGGACAGCCCGGAGGCCCCGATCTGACAAGAGATTGTTGATGCGAGCACTCAATCATCGCTAGACAGCTATGGCCGCCTTGACAGAGCCTCATGCTCACTCGGATGGCGCGAGTGACTCGTCTTCCCTGTCGGATCCTCTCGATACAACCAATGATGAAGGCTGGGAAGACGTCGAGCCAGACGATGAGCCTATCACCATCGTCTCTTTACTCGATGACAGCACGTTTCGCGACCCTCAGAGCATGCTTGCTTATTGTCGAGACACCCATAGCCTCGACCTCTGGAAACTAAGGCAAGATTTCGGTGAATATTGAATATATTTCATGTAGAACAGGATTATGCTGACGGCCGCGCTCTGACTAGGTCTTGATTATCTCGGGCTGGTCCGACTAGTCAATTACATCCGATCGGAGGTCAAGACCGGCAATTTGCAGCCTGATGTCTCCTCCAAGGCACTGTTCGATGACGAAAAGTATCTCAAGCCTGTCTTGGAGGATGATGCGCTGCTGTATAGTCTAGAAGATGTTTTCGAAGAAAACGACAGCCCAGCTTCTGTTCCAGAAGTCGAGAGACAGGAAAACGTCCTAGAGCAACTTGTGACTCTGCGGATTCACGGCTTCGCCGATCAAACGGCGGTGCAAGATGCCATACTAGATCGCCTTGAGCAGTCAGAACCTGCACGGGAGGCGAGCACCTCTGTCCAGGGTGCAGCATCACAAGTCAGAACGCAAGTCGATAACAATGCTGAGGAATTTGACAAGGATTATTTTCGTTCCTACTCGTACAATGCAATCCACGAATCAATGATCAAGGATCGCGTACGCACCGACGCCTACCGTGACTTCATCTACGATCACAAACATCTCTTCAAAGATAAAGTCGTCTTGGACGTTGGCTGTGGCACCGGCATATTGTCCATGTTCTGTGCAAAAGCCGGTGCGCGGCTGGTCATTGCCGTTGACAACTCGGGCATCATCCAAAAGGCTCGAGAGAATGTGTTCAATAACGGTCTGCAGGACGTTGTCAAGTGCGTCAAGGGCAAAATTGAGGAGGTCACACTCCCAGTTCCCAAGGTAGACGTTATTGTAAGTGAGTGGATGGGCTACTGTCTCCTGTATGAGTCCATGCTCGACTCGGTGATCTACGCGCGCGACCAATATCTCGCCCCGGATGGCTTAATGGTGCCTTCGCACGCGACACTGCGAATCGCCCCTCTTGCAGACTCGGACTTGAAGGCCTCACACATTGACTTCTGGCGCGACGTATACGGCTTCGACATGACCGCCATGCTGGAGAAGGCGCATGAAGAAGTCCTCATACGGCTAGCGGACGACAAGGAACTGGCTGGCGAGAGCGTCGCGTTCCTCGAACTTGACCTGCATCAGACCCGGGTGGACGACTTGACGTTCACCAAACCATTCGAGACAACGTGGCAGGAGGGATTCAAGATCCTGGAAGGATTCGTCATCTGGTTCGACATCTTCTTCAACACGTCGCGGGCTCATGGAATCGTCACGACCGGTATGACAGCCGCCGAAGCCAAGGAGAAGAAAGGCCTGATCTCATTTTCAACCGGCCCGCATTCCGAAGCGACGCATTGGCAGCAAGGGATTTTCCTGATCAAGGACCCCGTCGACGAGTTCAGCGCCGGGGACTGCGTCGCTGGCGAGGTGAGGTATCTGAAGAAGCAAGGCCAGGAGAGGTCGTTGGATATCGATGTCGCATGGGGGGCAAAAGCCAGTGTTGGTGGAAAGGAGCGGGTGAAGAAGCAAATGTGGATCTTGGACTGATACATAGCCAATATCATCCATCGATCAATGTGTCCAAGTTCGGCATTGATGTCTATCCTGTACACACAGTGATGGTTGTGCGGCGCTTTCTTCGGTCGTTTCGGCGTTATTTGCCTGAGAGATGCAGATGCAGATGCAGGAACAGCTTCTCGCCTCGGCGTTTATGTGATGGATGCAAGTTATCGCCATCTATCACAACACATCCATCAGCTATCGCCTGCCCTGTGACTGGCTCGACGAAGCCGTGACTCGGAACCTTTCTGGACCAAAACGTCAACCACCTCGCGGCACATGCCCGATGCGGAGCAGCCCACATGCCACAGCGCACTGAGATTGGTGACGGCCTATGCGCCTACACAGGCAGACAGCAAGCCGGCAAGTCGGTACCAACGTATTTATTGCGTTTCCTTCCCTTCCTTCCGCATCTGTGATAGTGTACAAGTATGTCCAGCCCTTTAGGCTTCAACGCAATTGATTCATTGGAATCAAACCACGTTCAATCGCCTTTTCATTTTCATTTTTTGACTGGACTTCATGAAAGATATCTGCGCCTCTGTCCGCCATGGCATGTTGAAGAGCAGTGCTCCTTGTACCGGCCTCACTGGATAGAAAACGTTTCAACCCCCTCACGAGAACACATCAAACGAAAAAAAAAAGCCGGCTTGAATCCATACTCTATTGAGCCGACGACCAACAAAAGAGCTCTTCTCCATCACGCTCACGCACTCGCTCTCTTTTCTCTCTCACATACAGACATATCTGCGATCGTTCGCGAGCATGTCCGATAATCCCCAAGCAATCACTGGCGGGGCCACGTACCCGTACCAGATCTACAAACCAGAGCTGGAACAGGTGCCGGCACAGATCGCGACGCTCCTGGCCGAATACGCGGGCATCCCACTGGAGGTGCAGAAGGAGCACATCAAGACGGTGCGCGACCGGGCGTTCAAGTCGCACCCGTACCCGTGCCTGGGGCGGTGGCGGTTCCTTGAGCTCGACCTGTCCAGCCACCCGTTGTACCATAGCCACATCCTGCCAATGCTAGCGGCATCCAAGGAGGAAAAAGCGCCCGAGCCCGACGAGGCCTCCGAGGTGGTGGGCAAAAACGAAACCCCGGGTTGGATCTTCCTGGACCTGGGCTGCTGCCTGGGGCAGGACATCCGCAAGCTGATCTTCGACGGTGGGGACGCCCGGCGCATCTACGGCGCGGACCTGCGCCCGGAATTCATCGACATCGGATACGCGCTGTTCCGGGACGAGGACAAGTTCCCGCGCGCCGAACACTTCGTCGCCCCGGCTGACGTATTCGATTTCTCTCCCGACAGCGAGCTGAGCAAGAAGTGCGACGGCCGCGTCGGCATCTTGCACGCCACATCCGTCTTTCACCTCTTCAGCTGGGACGAGCAGGTCGTCATGGCCCGCCGGTGCCTGCAGCTGATGACCGCCACGAACGGGCGCGTGCTGATCTGCGGATGCCAGGTGGGCAACGAGAACCCCGGCGAGTTCCCCCGGCTCAGGGGCGGGAGCACGCGGTACAGACACAACGAGGCGAGTTGGAAGAAGATGTGGGATCAGGTCGTCCGCCAAGAACCGACCAGGAGCAAAGTTCGTGCTGTCGAGGTCGAGGCGGTCATGTTGGGCAGGAACATCAACGAACGCGTCGGGGAGGAGTTGGAAGTTCCGCAGCACCAGCGCGAGGCTCAAGCGCAAGATCAGAACGCATTAAGCAGCAAGACGGAGGGAGACGAGGGAGACAATGACGATGAGCGGAAGCACATTGGTAGGTTTGAAAAAGGCTTCAGGTGGATGAAGTATTGGGTCTGGATTGATTTCGCTTAGAATCAAGGCCACGATTCGCAATGTTTGCTCAACGTTGCTTTCCCTTTGAGCTGATAAGCGCCAGGTGGATTTTGTCTTCTCTCTTCTCGTCACAGAGCCTTGATGGCGTGGTGTGTATCTCTCACATGTTGACGGTGAAACTTTCGACTCGAGGACACGATTATTCGTTCTGTGAAACAAGGACTCAAGGAGAGCACATCTTCACCGAGACCTGGGTGATGTCCAATGTGCAGAACGTACTCGCATGAGAACAAAGTAACGAGATAATTAATAACTCACCTGACATGTAACTTCACACTAATTCTTTGAAGCTACTGCACGCTTGGTCTGCTTGATTCTTGGTGCGGTACGTGGAGAGGGGTAGGGAAGGCCACCCGCTGATGCACTGATGTGCTGGCACTGCACGTGAAATCCCAGTGAAGCAAGCCCCAGGGTTTAGCGAGAAGCTTATCTCTTGGGGCCCTCTCAGTGACAAATACGGGTGAGCCATTCACATATCCCCGGTGCAGCTAGGTGAAGGGGGCACGGGTCGATCAAAGTGACTGAAGGAATTGTACCGAATACCTCCCGGGCTCGGCAAGTAAAGTGGAATGTGACAAATCCTCCGATGCATACAAGAAGCTGGTGTTTCTCTCGGAGTGGAGGAGATCACCCGTCTGAGACATTCGTGAACTGTTTTCTGAATCAGTGGATCATTATACCCAGTACAACGCTCGTAAAAAGAAGAGCTCAATGTCATCAACTCCCTCCCCCGTCGAGTCAACGTCGACCTCGGCAACGTCGACCTCGGCAATGTCGACAAGTCCAGTTCCAGGGTTATTATGGGTAACTGCAAGCATCATGAGAAAAGACCTGCCCACCTCGCTGATCGAGGAGTGGTATGAGGAGCACATAGTTGATGTCCTGGATTGTCCTGGTAACGGTGGCCTTTTTCTCCGATACAAAAACACGGATCCGGCCGCCGACCCATACGCCGACCCGAAATTCGCAGAGCGCGTCACGCCGTCAGCATCTGAGAAGAGTATAGTTGAGACACGATGGCCCAACCTCGCTTTGGTGAAGCTGAGCGACGTAGCTTGGGTGGCCAGCAAAGAATTCAACGACATGCCCAGACATTCCAAGCTGTTGCCTCCCGAGCCAGACGGGTCGATTGGGAATGCATTCAGCTGCTGGTATGGCGCTTTACGGAGTTACGAAACAGTGGGCAAGATCGATGATAGCACTGGAAGCACGAGCCGACCCAGGTACATCCTCAGTGTGCAGACAAGGGCTGCCGACGAATCCATCTGGAAGGCTCTTGATGATAAGTACACCACTCTGCCAGGTTTTCGAGGCTCGGTGAGATATCGGATTGTGAAAGGGTTGTTGGAATTCGAGGAACCTGGGACATTGCCAGCCGGAATGGTGCTGTATGAATTCGATGGGGAAGCACGTCCGTCAGTGCTCGTGGATGACCAGCATCTCAAGGCCGACGTTTGGGAGTTAATCAAGGAGGTGGGAGATCTGTCGCTTCGACTGTGAAGAAGCTCGAGTCAGCGAAGTCGATGTTGGTTTTGAGTGAGAGGGAGAAGGTGAAGCAGCGTTGAGCTCAGGTGGTTGTTTGTTTGAACAGCCCTTCTTATCTGCTTGTAGCGAGGGCCTTCCTCTTCCATTTGGCTGCGAGTGAGGCAGGACTTGAACACGCGCGGGCAGAGACTGAAGCTTGAATCGAGAAAGATCGGTGGATGGATGGGCAGGGTGAGTTGGTGATTGATCTGGGCAGCCAACAGTGGGTGGCAGCGGGCAACAGCGGGCAGCCTCCGGTGGGGCAATTGACCAGCTGCGCTACTGCGGGCCAAGCTAAACTGCGTGGCCCAAATGCCTACGAGTACTCAGCTCGTCAGTATATTGTACCATTAGCTAACTGTCTCTGCTCCATTCTTAAATAATACCTGGAACTTCGATTCGCTATTCATCCCTTGCGCCCTTGACCTGTGGGTTTCTAGAATCTGCCATCGGTCAATCCCAGCTGGGAGGGTTCTGTCAGCCCGGAAGCCATTCCTTAGACCACGCAAGTCCCAACTCAAACAGCTCTTTTAATGACAGAGGTAACTGCGGGACGAGAATGCATGTCAGACCTGATTGTGTTGGCAATCGAATTTTGTGATTTTGTCTGTCCATTGCAAGGCCATTTCCGTGAACTGGCAAACCTGCGTGTCTGCAGTTGGCGCGGTCCAGGGCACCTGTTTTGGCCGCCTTGATCTTGAGATCGAATGAAGATAGGGTATTCTGTCATCAACATATCGCGGATCAAGCTCGCTCGATCTTGGACCATACCGGATCGATTGGAGCATGAGGGCCTTGAATACATCGAGGAACTTCTAGCGTGACAAAAGACGGCAACGTCATGCAGATCCTTGACCGATTTCGAATGGAGATTTTAGCCGGGAGGGCTTCAGCCTCGCTTCGGCACAATTCTCTACAAGTATTACTAAGGATGTGAGGCTGCAGCCCTTGGCTTTGATAAAAGCAACTCAGCGAGCCTCTGCATGCCCTCAGCGAAACGTGCAGTCAGTCATCCTTTGCGCCTGTCTCTTGCTAGAGTTCCGCCCTTTTCTGTCGCCGCTGTTCCTTCCTCATTGCAATTGAACAGGAGCTGACTGTGTTTGTCACAGAATGAACGAGGAGGGCCACCCGAACCTGAAGTTTGACGTGGATCCACTCGAGCCCGACCACTCTCTTCCGCCATCACAGAGAGCACTATATGCGAAGCAACAGCGCGATGCCAAAGGCGAGACGCCATCTGGGATTACAGCTGCATCCCAAACAGGGCGCAAAAGCCCCATGTAAGCGACCAAGTCCCTTGGACATCCTGTGTGGCAGCAGGGCGCTGATTTGAGTGACCAGTGTCGAGAAGGTCCAGAGATTTGGGTGAAGAGGCAGAAACAATTGGTCATATGTGTGAGTGAATGTGGGTCGGTGCCAGATCTTCTGGACACAAGGCTATTTATATAGCTCAGCCCGGCGATCTGTGTGTCTGAAGATGCAAGCGCAGGACATCGGCGTCGGGTATCCAGGATCTGTGATCGGATGGGGAAGATGCATGGACGAACGAAGGGGTGGGGCGATGGTGGTGGCGGCGGTGGTAGGAAAGTACGGGGTATGTATGCAATGTGCTATGCCATTCGCTGGCGCTGTTTCTTCCTGGGGGGGTTCAAGGAAATCTATAACGAGGTACAAGGGTACAAGTACAGTCTTTGACACTATTCTTCCAACATGGTAACAACTGATATTCTTTTTGAACGAAGTGCCAAGTGCTCTGCACTGGGACACCATGGATCCCAGGGCGAAAAAGAAAGACAGCTCTAGGCTTTTGGTAGAGCAGTTCTGGTAGGTGCATGTTTTGAGATGACTCGACATCACTGCCAGCCGGATAGCTATGTAGGTACATATGTGTATCAGAAGGGACAGAGCACATGACCGGCCATTTCCCGCACAAGGACTGAATCGTCAACTCGATATCGCGGAGAATCAGGCTGAAGTCGCCTGGTGAGCCACCGAAGCCACTTCCCCTCATCTCGCTTGAAACGGCAAGGCTGGCTGGGCGGCCAGTCCTCTCTTGACCTCTCTCCCAGCTCTCCTCATTCCTCTCTTTTTCCCTCTCCATCTTTTCTCCCCGCTCCTCGCCCCTCGCTCCTCCGCCGCTATGTACCGCACACCCAACACTGCACATCGCAACCTAGGTAGTTCCACGTGGGCCACCGAGAAGATGGGGCCTGCACTGCCTGAAGATACCCCTCGACGCCCAAGTGGACACAGCCCCACGTCCGGACCAGCAAACAAGTCCATTCTCCCAAAACCACCATAGCCCTCTACCCTCTCGATCCTCTCGCAGCCAGTGGGACGCAAGCCGGATGAGGAGTTGCTTTCGCACAAATGCCGAGAACTGAGAATTCTTGCGGTGCGGGCTGCTGCCGATATGGATTATGGATTAACATGGACTTTGCAGCTCCGAACAATTCAAGCTTTTGGTACGAATCCCTCTGGCGATCGCAATAAATCCCGGCTCTCTTCCACAGTCGCTTTGATATTGCTTTCATAAAGAGGTGGTCTGAGACTTCTGTGCAATTTCGTCCGAGCCAGCAATCAATCATGGGTGTAATGCTTCATCTCCAACATGCAGCCCCTGGCGCCAGCCAAATCGCCATTGGCCTGGCGCTTGTCGGTCTGCTGGCTCTCATCGCCGACTATGCGCGGATGCTCCTTCTGCGGAGGAAGATGGTAAGAAGAACATAAGCACTCTGCTATGCTTTGCTCCCGATCATTACAGAACCCAGAGAAGCGAGCGGTACTTGTTTTCGCTGACAATTCCCCTCCAAACAGCCTCCGGGTCCGTTCCCTTGGCCGATCGTGGGCAACACATTCCAGCTACCAGACACCAAGCCGTGGATTTATTTCGAGGCACTCGCCAAAAAATACAAGACTCCCGTCATCACATACTGGATCGGCCGGAGCCCCACAGTATGGATCTGCGATGCCTGGGCGGCTTCCGAGATGCTAGACAAGCGAGCGGGCATCTACTCATCTCGACCTCGTATGGTTGTCTTCGGTGAGCTGTCAATGGGCCAGTCGAACATCGTCTCCATGTTCTACGGTGATCGATGGCGACTACACCGAAAATTGACCCATATGGGCGTCGGTCTCCAGCACGTTCGCAGTTACAGCGGGTTCCAGAACAACGAGAGCAAAGTCGTGGCCTTGGATCTAGTCCGAGATCCCGCCGACTATGTGATGCATTTCGAGCGGTACGCCGCGTCGGTGGTTAGTATCATTGGCTTTAATCGTCGCATTAAGAGCAAGGAGGATCCCATCATCACCGAAGTCATTGCTGTCATGCAGAGAGCTGCAGAATTGAACGTGCCCGGCAAGACCTTTCCCATGTTAATGGAGACATTCCCGTGTAAGTTGAATTGGCCTCTAGTGCATCGAATAAGAACGGGAATCTGATCACGAGCGGCAGGGCTTTCGAAATTTCCCAACTGGATGGCACCTTGGAAGTGCGGGCTCGGCGCGGGAAAGGGGCGTGGTCGCTCATTCTATTACGCCCTTGCCGAGGAAGCAGTCCGCAAGAATAATGGCGATACCTGTTACGCTAAGAAGATCTTCGACGAGGCGCCCAAGTATAATCTATCTAATATGGAAATCGCCTCCCTCAACGGAAATCTCTTCGGGGCCGGAAGCGATACCTCAAGTTCCACCCTCATCACGTTTGTGCTGGCCTGTTGTGCCTTCCCTGAGGTCCTCCCTAAGGCGTGGGAGGAACTTGACCGCGTGGTTGGATCGTACCGCAGCCCCAGCTTGGACGACGACTTGCCCTACATCCGGGCATTTGTGAAGGAAGTCTTTAGATGGCGATCTGTCGCGATAATCGGGGGTCAGCCGCATGCCCCGATCCAAGACGACTATTACAGGGTAAGTAAGGCTAGTTGGTCGTAGGAGGGGAACACAACTGCTCCATGATACACACGAGAACTCCTACTGACACTTTGGTGGTGGTGGACAGGACTGGTACATCCCCAAGAACACTTGGGTCCAGGGCAACGTGTGGGCGATCCATCGCAACGAGAACGACTTTCCTGAGCCCGATCGCTTCTGTCCTGAACGGTTTTTCGAGGGACACCCGCTTCACCGCCCGTTTCCGAACGAGAAAGGCTACATGACCTTTGGCTGGGGCCGACGTGTCTGCAGCGGCCAGGGCCTAGCTGAACAGGGCACGTTCCTGTCCGTGGCCAGAATACTTTGGGGATTCAACATCCAGAAAGCCCTGGATAAGAACGGCAACGAGATCCCCGTGGATATTTTTGCATACACGTAAGTTCCGCATGGGGGGTACACATGAATTTTACCACGCGCCGCCTGTTCCTCCTGTTCTCCCTTGTTCAGACTTCTACTGCCGCTGAGTGGCTGAACGAGAGAAAGGAAGGAGATAGGAGTCCTCTCTCATATCTATTCCCGTCTTCACTCTTCCCTCTTCTGTTTTTCCGAGAGTGTGCGGTGTGTGTGTATGTGCGCTGACGTTTTCCCCTCGCAGAAACGGCCTCAACATGCGCCCCGAACCGTTCGAATGCCGAATCACTCCCCGGACGCCCGAGATTAGGGAGACGATTGAGCGCGAAGGCAAACAGGCCCTCGGGGAGCTGGCGCAGTATGATGGCGAAAGCCAGTATCGCATGAGCACGTTTTACCTCGATGATAAACTTTAGAATACCTAGGCCTCGAATGAGGTGGGATATGATAGGACGGGTCCGAAGGGACGGGATGGGGGCCCCCTTTGAGCGTGAAGCATAGAGTCCGAGGCGTGAAGTGACGAAGTCTTAAGGCACCACCAGCTTGAAGTGTAACCCCCAGAGTCTGGAGCTGCGAGTCCAAAGTATCAAGTCTCGAGCTAGAAAGAATGCGACAACCGAAAGAAAGGGATTAGATAAATAAATGAATAAATATGAAAGAGCCTCCCGGTTTTCTCTAAAGACTCTGCGAATATATCACATGTGACATGTCAAGAGCAAGTGAGCCTCAGAGAGCTTCAAGCATTCAATCGGTTTCCTCACGATAGGTAGGTAGGTAGATAAGGGGGATCCTGGAGCCAGAAGTACTTGGCTGTTCTTCAAACACTAACCGTACATGGCTCCATCATGGATCTAGATGGCGTGTTTTTCATCATAGATCGACAGACAAACGCACAGGCTCATACCAATGTTGCGCTACGTCGCCTTTGCTCTCGCCCTCAGCACAGTGCATATCTCCTCGAGCCCGAGCCCCGTGAGTCCAGTCCAGGTCCAAGTCAGCGCGACGCCTTGTGAAGTACAGACAATGACGATTCATCGTTGATAATTTCCTTACCATTCGACGAGTCATCCCAATACCACCGCCGGCCGACGACAAAGCCACCTACCTATCCACCTCACTAATCTCCTCCTCTTCCTTGTCTTCCTTCGTCAAGCATGATTCAGGATAACACACCACCTCGACCATGGTATGATGTGTCGGCGCGGCGCCTTCTGGACAAGCAACTCGAGGATGAAGATGTCCATTTCCGCGTAGTACGGGTACCGGCGGAGGATTGCCGTTGCTGCTGGCCGTTGCTGTTCTGTGATTTCCAGACGCTCGCACACACGGTGAAACTCTGTGGCCGGCCACGCTGAATAGGGGATATCGCCCCTCGCTGTAAAAATGTCGTTGCCCATCGCGGCCAGGAACAAGAGCCACAAGTAGTCGCTATCCTGCGCTGGTTGGCTGTATTGTGCTAACGGCTGCGATACACCCCGAAGGACCTGCTCGATCTTTTGGCATGTCTTGCTGAAATTGTAATTGTGCGGCAAGTCCAGGAACTTGAGATTCATGAACATCATCGCACAGAGGCATGCGGCGGCCATCAATGTTTGCTTGACTTTGTTTGCTTGATCCAGCTTTGGTGATTGAGCTAGTTCAGTCGCAGTGACGTATCCTGTGGTACAATATCCAGTAACGGCACTGCTTCGTCTGTTTATCCAATGCACGACCTCTTCTTGCAATTTGGAATCATGGATCTTGCCTGCTATCATCTTTGTATTGACGATCTCGTGGGCGCCTGCCAACAGCTTCCACATCTTTTCATCCAGTGCAGCCTCGGGTACTGCGCTCTTGGCACCGGCTGTCACAGCAATGCCATGCTCATCTTCCAGCACTCGAAGAGCTTGGTCGAACAGGTGCTGTGAGCGCGTCCCGGGATCGTAACGATCCGGGGATATTTCAGGTCTCTTCAACAGTGAGATAGAGATCCAAGCGTCACTGATCAGGAGCAGCTCTTGGGCATCCAACAAAACTCCTGGTGTTGTCGACGCCATGGCCCAGAGGCCACGTAAATGAACCAGGGCCGATTCATCATCGGATACGTGAAAGTCAAGAGAAATGAGGAGGCGAATTAACGTGGTGACGCTGGGTGAGAAGCCATGTTTCGCAAGCCGATCTCGAAGGAGCGCCACGGCTTTGGTTTTATGCAACAGCTGCCGGGTCATAGACCTCTTGGCATCATGCTTCGAGAGCTCTCCGTTTACAGCATAGCCTGCGGCAAGGATGGCATGAACTTCAGCTTCATCTGCAATAATCTTGCGAAGATGGATGTGGGAACTGGAAGTGTCGGCTATTGGGGCCCTCCACACTGCGCTTGTCTTGTCTGGCCAGGCCACGAATACGAAGAACCGCTGAGCTAGTCGGATGATCTCGTGGTCTGGCGGAGTCAGAGGCACTGCAGCTGCCGAAAAGGGGTCATAATTGCCCTTCCAGAAGGTCAAAGAGGGTCTATTGATTGCCAAAGTACGCTTGCTCCATACTCCGGACCGCGCCGTTCGTTGTTGGTCAATATTTTCTTGGCTGCTCTCCTCAAATGGGTAAACAGGCTGACTATGTTCGTCGCCACGAAACCCCTCGCCCGATGAATGGTGTACAATGGCGCGATAGGCACTACCATCGTCTTGCAGTTGACCGGGGCCGGTGACTGTCCGTTCAGGTACAGAGTGATCCTCCACTGGGGCGTCAGTTGATGGACCGACCCCTGGCGTTCGCGATGTTGCTGCTGGAAGAATAGATCGCTGGGCAGCCACAGCCTTGCTGCTAGATGCATGCAGTCGCCTGAGCCTCTCCTCTTTCAACCACTTGCGATGTGTCTTGGACACATGCGAGGAAATAGTGAAACTCTCGTCTCGACTTCTACCCAGGGTCTCCGAAGTCTTGTTGATGAATAAAAGCGGGCCACTATATGGCTTCGGTGCCCCATCATCACTATTGTTGTCGTCTTTGGACATCGTCGTCTCTTCGAACCCCGTGCAAGGCTGTAGATCTTGAGGCCATCCATGTCACACAAATTGGTTGATGACACGGGCGATTTGATTCATATGGGCTCGAGACCACGCCGACCGTGCTGAAGCCTAGAGGGATCCTGATAGCATTCTGGAAGCGCTCTTGCGTCAGAGGAGATGTAATTCGGCGAGGATGGCCGCGGATGGCTGGATGGGGGATTGATCTTGTCATTGGGTTGGCGAGTTGGAAGAAGCAGTGAGAACGACGGGAAGGTTGAAGCCTTTGTTCAAAAGCGGTTTCTGCACCGGCCCTGCCACCGCCAAGAATGCGCACAAACCCAGTTCGTACTGCTCACCACGATCTCAGATGCACATTTGTAGAAGCTCGCCATGAACATGCCGAATTCTCTTTACCTTCGATGTATCATGTCCCGTCGCCAATGTCTCCCTGTTGGGTGTGCAGACTGTTTGCGGCAATTGTCTTGAGAAACCCTGCCCCCGTTCCATGAGAGACGACGAACAACACCCCGATCGGACGCCCTCGGGGGCTGGCGGACGAATCGCTCCTTTCTTCGTCCCCTCGTATTCTCCTCCTCTACCCTTCAGCCGCAGGGTTTCATCACAGCGTCATTTAGGCAAATTTCGTGGCAGGCGCACGGTGCAATTCTGGCACATCCCGTTCTAGGAAAATGCTGTCTAGCCCCTTCGGCAGCGTGCACCAACAGCACATCTTCAACAATGGTGCAATCTCGCCATTGTCAGCCGAGAGTGCAACATGTATTGGTGAGATAGGGATGCTTGCCGTTGGTAAAAGAGCGCATACAGTACAAGTGTTACAGAGTCCCTCCAGTCAACTTCAAGAGATCTGACATTGATTGAGACACCCGACCAGCGGTATGAACCTGGAATAATATGGAACGATCCACCTGGAGCACTAATAGACCCCTCGGTCGTTGCTTGGTCAGCCTGCGAGATGGCGCAAAGCTTGCATCGCACTCTGCTGGGGCCTTTCAACGGCCCAAGCGGGCGGACAGGCGCTACCACCTTTCCAACCTTCTCCATTATCAAAAGCGAGAGTTGTATCGATATTTCCGCCCCTACAGGCACGCTTCCATAGGATCCTGCGGCTTCTGTGAACACGGTCATCCCAGCATTGGTGTTTCTAGTTTTTATCCTACTGAACCCGCTAAATCAGATCAGCGCCTGTTGGCAATGCGTCCATCAATGCTCGAGTCTTGACCATCCACTCATCTTCCTTCGTGCGCTCAGAGCATTGTCGACATAATATATGACTTTCTGGACACTTTTCACTGCCAGCTCTCTTGAAAAAGTGATGGAACGCCTGAACCGTGATCTATGAAGGCGATATTCATAATCGCGCCGCAATCCGGAGGGAACCATTGGTGTATAGAAATGGCGCGCATCAAAGCTGTCCGACCGAAACGAGGCAGACCCTCTATCTGAGAGTAGGCCCACAGCTTCGCTGCCATCGTCACTATTGTCGTCGTCATCGTCATCGTCATCTTCATCGCCGGCATACGATTTCTCAAAGGATGCGACATGCTGCGTTCCTGGGGATTCCCCTGCCCCAACACTGCAAGCTGATTTACCGTTCTTGCTCTTGATCTTCGGCTTTTCCTGGCCTTGTTCAGGCGACTTTGTCCGCATCCGAGAGAAGACAACTGATATCCTCTGATGAGATTTGAGGATACAGACACCCTTTTTCTCTTCCAAGCCTTGGAGGAGCGACGTGTGCTTCTGTCCCTTGGGCGTCACTTCAGCATGTGCAGAATTGCCCGCTGTTCGCTCAGAGATAACACTTGATACCCTGTGGACTCGGGAGTTGATGTTCGCCACCACAGTCCTTCCGCGCTCCGTCGCTCTCTTGAGCAGCGACATCGGCGTCCTTTTGCCGCCAACTTTGATGTGAAAGTCCAGCTTCTCACTTTCGCGCCCATGCTCCTCTGGTTGCTCGTTTTGCGTTTGGCCCTGCAACTTTATGGCCTCTCGGATCTTCAGAACATATTCGGAAATTGCTTCAGACGAACCACTTTGAATGGTGTGGTCGTCTTGGATCTTCCCACCAGCTGCCAAAGGCGTATGCAAACATGGTTGGCAGGGGTCGTCTTCTGGCTCTGGAGATTCTTCTTGGATGCTGTCCATGCGCGACACTTTGTCTGACGCAGCTCCTTGTGCCTTGACATCTGATTTATCGCTCAATGATTGAAGGATTGGACAGGGTATTTCCAGATCTGCCGATAACGGCGACGACTGTCTGGGTGCGCTCATGGATGAAAAACTATCGAGGGGAGATTCAAACAAGTGGCTAACTTCAAATAACAACAGGGCACGAGAGAATGATGGAGAATCAACTGTACAAATTTGACAAAGTTATATGTTCAGAGGGTATAACAACAGGTTTGTTGATATTTGCCACATTGGCCAAATATAGAAGCACAAGAGGGCCTGTCTCTGGCTTTCAACAAAGCACACGTTCCTCGAAACAATGAAGAAAGTGTAGGGAAGAGAATATAATTGCCGAAATGGCCACAACAAACCATTGTCTTGATCGAAAAAGAACAAAGAATTTGCAGGCCCGAAACAGGCAGCTTCAGGCATTGGCTTCTCCAGCTTTGTTCAGTGAAAGATGGCGCGCAGTCTGACACTACAGGAAGAGCTAGAGACTGGGTAAACTATGGGTACTTTGGGCCCTGGGTTCAAAATGGATTTCAAACGCGCGTATACGATCGACCGTCAAAATTGTAGAGTCCCAGATATAGCTTTGTCGATCAGTGCTGCCATTATGCGGCAACGGAGCTCCTGTATTCCTGCGCCGTCATCTCCACGCTCCTTCCAAGCATGATCACTTGGGGCCCATCATATTGCCTCATCAAAAGCAGGTAAAACGTGCCCATGATGATAGTGAGTCCTCCAAAGATGACGCACGTGTAATCTATGCCAACATCAACGCCGGTCCGATCTCAGCGGACGAGGAAGAGAAGAAGAAGAATAAAAAAAAAACTTACTCATCGTCTCGGCGTCGACAGGCATGGCGAACTGCATAGGCGGTTAGCATCTTATCTATCATAAGTGCCACCAGGGGCAGGGGGGACGACGCACAGGAAAGCAGAAAATAACAATGAACGCCATCATGAAGAGACACGATACCGTGTTGACCACAAGCCCGATCGGGCCGGGCATCCAGAACCAACCTGGAACGACCCTTGTTCGTCTGGATAGCAGGTTTGGTAATATGGCGGAAAGGTATGAAGCCATGGAGACTGTGCCGCAGGGTCAGAAACAATCTTTTGCGATAATTCAATGGCTTGAGAAGGAGGCAAAGGGGGGGAAAGGGGGAACAGATTTGGCGGGAGATACTTACGGACGATGTAGGAGCTTGTGAAGGCATTGAAGGCCGTCAGGTTGCCGACGTAGATACTGGGAGCTTGTAAGCCAAGGGGATGTCTTCACAAGTTGACGGTGAGGAATCAATTCCCTAAAAAAAAAGGCCTCCCTTTTTTGTCAGGTCAGGTACCTTACCAGCCAAGAATCGTGCAAATAACCGCACACAAAACGATCGAGTTTGCAGGGACTTTTAGACGCGGAGAGACCTTGGAGAAGAAGTCGGCGAAAGGAGTGGCGCGATCACGAGCCAGTGTCCAGAAAATCTAGGAGGGAGTGATTAGAATCAATCATCCCTTGTGACCGCGCGCAGATTTGCATGTCTTACTCGCGAGGCCGTCAGATAACATCCCATGCACGCAATTATTGTAGGTGCGAGGACAAGGAATAAAAGTCCAATGGCCCCGGCGCTGGTTCCTGTGCCTTGTCGGTAGATCTCGCCGAGCGGGAAGACGTAGGGCGTGCCGAAAAGGCTATCGAGATCGGTGAGGCCGTAGAGCACTGCGATGAGAAACAGCAGACCGGTGAGGAAGCCGACAATATATTGCCAGAGCCTGTAATTGGTTCAGTGTCGTGTGGGAGAAAACGACCGTAAGGAGAAAGATGCCCAATGTCTTACACTGCTACTGGGATGTTCCTGCTTGGACTGTCGGATCATGTCAGTACAGCAAGTAAGTCTCTGGTGGCAATGTGACCATCACTCACTTTTGCATCTCTTCCGCCAAATGACTCGTAAGGTCAGGCACTCCGACAGCAAACGCACCGTTCAGCATTCCAAGTAGAAAAGCAAATCCCGAACTGCTATACCCGGTCAAGTTGAGAAACGAGTCCCACACTTGGTGGGAAGTGGCATATTGCCTATGCTGCACGTGCGGCATGACAGCCGAGACAATCACCGTAATCAGAAAGCCGCCAATGATGAAGAATCCACCGATTTGCTCGAGCAGGGGGATCGCTTTGTTGAAGAAAAGCACCACGGCAGCGAAAAGCCAGGCGCAGAACAAAAAGACCACAAAGACCTGCCACCGCTGGTATTCGTAGTTTGAGGCGTTGAGCTGGGCCATGGTGATGATGATGGCTGCCGTGATCTGCAAGGTCACGGCAGTGGCAAAGATCCATGCGAAAAAGTTCCACCATCCTGCCAGGTATCCGCATAGACGACCATAGCGACGGCCAGCCGTGACGGTAGCCCAGTGATAGACTCCCGCAGAGGAGGGAATGGCAGATGCAAGCTCCGCGACGCTGGCTGCGATGAACCAGTAGAAAAATGAGACGACAATGAATTCGTAGATTATGCCAGTGGGCCCGCCGTTGAAAATAGCAACTGCAATGGTCCCGGCGAGGGCTATCCACACGTTGCCGGTGGTGATGGCTGTCGACACGATGCTGAAGGAACTGAAGAGGCGGTCGAGTTCTTGTTTATGGCCAGAGACGTTGATGAGATCGTCATCTTGGACATCGAGCAGACTCGACCGGCGCCTTGAATCGGGTCCTCCAGACCTTCTTGGGCGTGGGTGGTCGTCTGCGACCTTTTCATGCTCCATTCTGACTCGGGAAGGATGAGAAGTAAATTAAGAGCAAGATATTCGCATCATCACACATGGTATGCTCTCTGAAGAAACTTGTATATAGCGGGCCGATCTTTCAACGATGATGCAACACGAAAAAAGCTCATCACTCACCAATAGAGTTTTATTGATAAGGGAGCTGGAGCAGAATTTCCACCCTGGGTCTAGCAAAGATAAGCACGTAACACGCGAGCGAGGCAATTTACCCCGATGGTCGTGGTCCAGGGAGCGTTTAGGACTATCAAGACAGGAGCCTCTAGTGCTCCAAATCAGTTCCATTGGCTCTGATTGGAGATTGTGGGCGATGGATTGACTCCTTCTAACTCTCCCATCAGGACAGGATAGGGCGCAAAGTCGACGTATTGGGACAAGCTTCCAGGGGATCAAGCTTGGTCATCGCAGGTCGTCATGACACACAGCGACTTTCAATCCCTTGGCAGCCTTTTGGCATCGCCTGTTATGACCGCGTCGTTCTTTTACTCTAAAGAAAAAGATGTGAGTTGGTTCCTGGTGAAAGAAGTGGCGACAGTACGAGAAAGCTTTACGGCACAACACGGGTTGCAGGAAATGTGCAGCCGAATTTGGAGGTCAGTGCTCGCCGCTTTTGAAAGGTTTCTTCCCTTAAAGTTCCGACACCAAGTCCCTATCATGCTCGGCCGTTCTCGCTTTTGTACTCTGTAGTCTGTGACTGACTTACCTTCTCGTCCACCACGCAACCATGCAACTATCACTGGAGACCAGAAACAATCCCTCTCCGGACATAATAAGGGATTCGTTTCAACACCCTATGCGCCAGAAGTTTAGGCCTATCCAGTTCTATTTGCCCCCCTTCTTAAATAAGCGATAGTTACCCTGTACAAATTCCTCAAACGAGTCCTCAACACGAAGATGCTCCAAGACATCTGAGAGATTACATCCTTCTTCCTCTCTTGCTGTATACTCTTTGAGTGCGGGTTTTTCAGGACTTTCAGGCGGCGGCGCACATGAGCATGTACCCAGCCCTGCCTTGCATTCGTCATGGGCAACGGACCAGGTAATAAGCTCTTTGCTAAGCTCATCCCGCTCCTTGTTGTATACATCGCGTTCCTCGAGAAACACCGAGATCCTCTTCATTCAGACTACCTTCGCAGAAGTTTCGTGGGGTTCCGGATAGCAATCCGCATACCTCCGCGGCACGAAGGTCCGGGATTGAGCGCCTTCAGTGCGGAACAGCTTGGTTCATTTCTCTCCCGAACTTCTCTAAAACTGGGGCCGGGAGCCGAAAATCGTTCGGTATGAAAGATACTTCGATCATTAGGAGATGACGGCAGCTCATCAAACCCCGAACCTCAGATGACCGGATCTCGAACGCGGCTTTCCGTGAACCCCAGGTCATGGATTCGAGCTGACTTCAAAGTAGGGGGTATTGTGGAATTGCAAAAAGTCTGGAGAAGCCCCCCGTGGGGATAGGTATGCCGTTGATCATTCCGGAAGTTACCTATTCCGAGAACTTTGTAGCGGCAATGATAGGATCTTTAAAGAGACAGGGACATGTATGCGTCTGAGGTATTGAGCGGACATGTAGTCAATCTTTGACACCTCCCTCGCGTCATTCAGCCTTGACAATTGTTTGGCGCCTTCTCTTTGATCTTGACATCTCTGTGCTCGTCGCCGGCATCCATTAATCACAGTCGCAGGTATGACCAAGGCCGAAACGTTATCCGAAACCGTGGAACACGGCCCTGGTTTGGTGGCCAGGGAGAAGCTCTACCTCTACAACTATTTCATCGTCGCCATAATCGCTATCGGCGCGACCGCCTCGGGTATGATGACGGGCATCATGAGCACCGCCCTGGGCCAGCCAACATTCCTCGAGTATTTCCACTTTAACACGGCCTCCTCGCATGACACGGCTCTTATCGGCGCAATCAATGGCGTATATTTCGGCGGAGCCTTTTTTGGGTCCTTTAATGCCAGCTATGTCGCGGACCGTTGGGGACGGAAAACAGCTCTCATGGTTACTGCTTTTGTGGCGACCGTAGGCTCCGGGTTAATTGCAGGCAGCGTGCACATTGCAATGCTGCTTGTATTCAGGTAGACGCTATTGTCCTATTAATATGTCCCACCGGCGACACTCAGCTGACCTCACTTAGAACCATCGCAGGTTGGACCTCAGGGGCCTACATCACCATTTGTTGTCTCAGCTTGTCCGAGCTGGCACCGCCACACCACCGAGGACTTATGGTCGCCTTGGTCGGAATTCTTAACTGTCTTGGCTATGTTATATCGAATTGGCTCGGCGTGGCTTTCTACTTTGTTCCGGCCGGCGGAGTCCAGTGGCGAATCCCTTTTGCGTTGTGCTGCGTTCCTTCCCTGGTTGTCTTTGGTTCTGTTTCCTTCGTACCCGAGTCACCGCGATGGCTCGTGATGAAAGACCGACACTTGGATGCCGCGGCCGTTCTAAACAAGCTTCACTGCAGGGTTGGCGACGAGCAGTCGCAAGACTTCGTGAGGCTTGAACTACAGCAGATGAAACGCCAAATAGAGTTCGAGCGCAACAACGAGATCTCCTGGTGGCAAATGCTTACGGCGAAGCATTACCGGCGGAGACTCGTACTATGCATCATGACTATGTTGATGGCTCAGGTGAGGAATTCCTATAACTCAATGTCTCATCTGCCTGCATTAACCCTTCCCAGTCCGCTGGCAATGTTGTCATCGTGGTCTATGGCCCCGTCATCTACGAATCCCTTGGGTTCGGACCGGTCGCTCAGCTTTGTTTGACTGCAGGGTATGCGACGTCGGGCATGGTAGATAATTTCATCGGATCGTTCTTCATCGACAGGATCGGCAGAGTGAGAATGATGATTATCGGGATCGTTGCGCAGCTCGTCTTGCTCGCGATTGCCACAGGTTTGATTGCCGCATATGCCGGCACTACCAATTTTCCGGCACAGCGCGCTGTCGTCGCAATCTTTTGGCTTTTCATGTTAAGTTATGGTGCCCTGGTTGAAGGGGCTGCCTTTACCTACATCAGCGAGATATGGCCAGCTCACCTTCGGGCCAGAGGATCTGCAATCGGAATTGCCACACTTTATCTAATCGACATGGTCTACGTCGAGTAAGTCACCCCTTGCGACCAATTGTTTACAATATTTGAATAAGCATTGAAATGGAGATACTCGCATATAGGGCCTCCCTTTACGCGTTTTCGACGATTGGATGGAAATTCTATCTCACATTCCTGGCTTGTGGAACCGTCTTCCTCTTTATTTTCATTCTTCTGGCAAAGGAGACCAAGGGAAAGCCCCTTGAGGAGATAGGAAAGCTGTTTGGCGATGACCTGATTGTCAAGACCCAAGACGAAATGATCAAGGCCGAGAAGGAAGTCTTCGGATGCGAAAATTTGTAAAGCGTGACCTTCCGATGGCTGAATCGGGAGAAAGATAACTTGGACCACCATTGGCCTCTGAATATCTCAATCGGTTTTCTATCCACTAGCGGATCATTGCTTCCTTTTTCACAATCACTAGCAAATATCTCTCCGTTGGTCGTGGTTCGTGCCGGGGAGGGCCGGGAAAATGAAACGAGTTGGTCGAAAAATAGTTGTTATCTTATTATACGTACGGACTCGGCGCCTTCCTAGGAGCAGCATATTCCTATGGACAGTAGCATCGACTTCGCTCACACTATGTAAGAAACCAGGCTAGGGCTTCTAATTGACTGCCTTACTTCCATCCGTACTATGGGGAAGAAACTGCCTGCATGAACTTGCGCTAATTGATGTTGGGGTGGTCTAAACCCCCAGGCCCACGACAATTCCGTCCGTCTGCGATGGGAACAAAAATTCTCCACGATGTATTCTGCGACAAGTATTTATCCCTATGCTAGATATGGATGCGTGCAGAGAGGAGACTCAATCCGAGATATTTCCTCCCTGGGACTACCGAACAAATGCAGGAATGCCAGTCAGTGATCAATACGAAGCAGACCTGCCACCGTCTATGGTAATACAAGTCGCCGTGATGTGGCTTGCCATAGAACTCGCGAGAAAGATGCATGTGTCAGCCACTTCGTCTGGTTGTGCTAAACGCCCCATAGGCGTGCTGTACATATCTGCAGGTCTCCATGTATCCGGGGTTGCGTTCCCGTCAAGGGATGAAGTGCCTGAGGATTTGTCTCTCTCTTCAGCCAGGATTTGTTGTCTTCTCCTGGCAATCATGGGCGTTTCGACTAGGCCGGGACAGACGGCATTGACACGAATTTTCTCAGCTGCGTGATCAATTCCAGCACTTTTGGTGATTCCAACAACAGCATGTTTTGAGACGACGTACGGAAGCATTTTAGGAATGACGGAAAATGAACACGTTGATCCGATGTTGACGATGCTTCCCCTCTGAGCCCGAACAGGACTGTGTGTGTTTACCGTGACAGCAGGTTCCTGCTCCGACATGGCATGGATTTCCGACTGAACGCAATGGAGGAGACCTCGTGCATTAACGGCTTGGATATCATCATATTCCTCGGTCGGATACCTGCTGGCAGAGACGCGTGCTTTGACAGATATCTTCGGGCCAGCAACAGTTAGCCAGGGAGCGAGAGCCGCGTACATGGAAGCGTGGGCTCACAGAGCAGACCAACTTACCCCTGCGACGTTGAACGCTGAGACGAAACATGAATTAGCTTGAGAGTGAACATCGTCTGCAGGGTATGAGGTTATCTTGTAGGATTTGTGGGAATGAAGGTACTACTTACCGTAGTCGAGTCTGCCGAAAGCCTCTGTTGACTTTCTAACCATACCAGTTACTGAGTCTGGCTTGCTGACATCAACCAGCAGCGGAAGGACTTTGATATCCGCACGTATTGACACGATGTCATGTTCGACATCTTGAAGTGCATCTTGATTGATGTCTGCAATCACAATCGCTCGGCATCCACTAGTTGCACAGGCAAGCGCGACAGCTCGCCCTATACCTGAACCTGAGCGAGTTAGTCCTTGATATTCATTGTGCCTATACTGTAATAATTGTCCCATACCACCACCGGTCACGAGCGCGACCCCGTTCAGAAGCTGCATTTTGGGCGTGTGTTGCGAAATCCTCTACAATTGTTCTGGGACGTATGGTACCAGCAATGGTCCAGCATATGCAGGAGGGGAAGGTCGGCGAACCTAACAGTTATTTCACGCCCCAGTTGTTCTGACTGTGCTGATGATCAGCATACATAGCAAATCCAACCAATTGATACAAAAGTCCGAGAACCTCGGAATAAGCCCGTGAACAAGAGATGCTTTTCCGAGTCCAGATGGCCTTGCAGCTTGACCGGTGTACTAGCGGTACAAGGAACAAATGAGAACCTCATTTGGTGGTCGGCGAAAGCCCACTACAATCAATTATCGGATGAAATTTCAGACTCTATGGGCCGTTTACAATGCGTACATGACTTTAGTACCAGCCACTTCTCATCAGCATGTTCAATCCTGTCTTGATCCTACCATGGGTCATAGATCAACGACCCCTTCCTCTGTCAAATGCTCCGCAGTGCTTTCTCCAAGCTCTTCTCGCAGTGTCCGGCCATATCCTAGATAAGAAAATCTGTTGCGCCGCACGTAATTCAAATTATAATCCTCGAAACGGGGCTTTTCTAGAGCTTCATTGAAGTGCCATGACGAACCAGGCCACGGCCCTATCACAGGGCCATCAATCCTTCCATTTTTGTACCTGCGAATAAACACAAGGCGTCGTCAGATGGTTCAAAGGAGGAACTCAGAGATGCTCACTCACCAACTACGACAATCGCCACTCCAGACAAACGCCTTCATTGACTCGTTCCGGTGCTCTATGAAGTCCCGCATCGCTTCCTCTTTGACATCCATAGAGCTGATATTCTCGGTTTGCATCTTCTCAACGCAGCTGTAGGCATAGTCGAGCTCGACCTCGAGTCCTGAGATTAGGGACCCATTTGCGATCGGACTATTAGGGCCTCCGATGACTGCGCATCATTAGATGATACTTGACAGTTAGATGGTTATTTGTTGAACTGGTGACCTACTAAAGTAGTTCGGAAACTTGGGAACTGCAATCGACAGATAGTGCAGGGGTTCATCGCTCCAGTATTGACTAAGATTTCGACCCTCCACCCCAATGACTGGAAATGCTGGCCTGAAAGATGTGTCGAAGCCAGTTGCACAGACGATAGCGTCAACGACATGATAGTCACCATCCTTGGTGACGAGTCCTCCAGAATCAATGTGATCAATTTCGTCCATGATCACCTGGGAGTTACTGGCAACGAGCGCCTCAAGGTATCCGCTTCCAGGGGTGTATCTTTTCGTTTGTCAGCAGAGCAACGGAATCTGGATCCTCCAATGATATTACATACCTTCGGCATCCCACTGGGAACTTTGGTATCAATCGCGCAGCTATCTCTTCGTCATCATTCAATCTTTTCCTCATCATTGCCGAGAAGTTCTTAACAGCCTCTAGTTGACGTGGCGAGCCCTTGTAGAATGTCCCAAAGTTCGAACTCCCAGTGTTTTGGACCAATTTCCTGTACTGGAGAAAGTACTTTTTGTCATCTTTGAAGCGCTGAATTTGCTCCGAGGAGAATTTAGTGTCTCGGCCTTCTACAGCCAGCGATTGGCTGAACTCTGGTGTGATCCAGGTTGGAGATCGAATAAAGTTGATCATCCTGCGAACCTCTTCAAGAGAAGGCGAGTCAGCCTTGGTTTCTTGACGTCTCAAGACTTGTCCATACTTGGAGTGAGATTCGGTACTATTTGTATAGCAGAAGAACCAGCACCGATAACCGCGACGGTTTTGTCCTTGAAATCATATGAATCGTCCCAGCGAGCGGAATGAAGCAGCTTGCCCTTGAAATCGTTGAGCCCGTCTATCGCAGGCCACTTCCAGTTGCTGGAGTCGTATTATTAGCCAATACTCCCACTCTTGTGTAGCATTCGGTGATGACATACTTCAAAACTCCAGTGGCGCTTAGCAGCACATCACAGCGATCGTGCATCATAGCACCAGTCTCAAGAACTTCTGCGGTAACATCCCATACTAAATCGGAGGAAGACCACTCCGCTCGAATGACTCTGTGGCCCAGTTTGATGTATTTCATGCATTCCCATTTGATTGCACATCCTTTGAAATAGGCATGAATCTCCGGGGCTTCTGCGTAGCTAAGGGAAGTTAGAGAGGATACCCATCGGCTTGTAAATGGAGGGTTCGGCGAAGACAAACAAGCGCGACCATTCAGGATTTCCTTCCCACGAATAGGTATATCCGTGTGCGGGTATATCACAAGCACATCCAGGGTATCGGTTCTCCAGCCAGGTACCACCGACGTCGTTGTTCTTCTCGTAAATGGTGAACGTGATCTCGCTTAATCGTCGCTGATACTTATATGCTGCAGCGATCCCGGCAATGCCTGCACCGATACAGATAATGCGCATAGGGCGTTTCTTGTGCATGTGGTCTTGAGAGACGACGTACGGGGCTTCGGCCTGGCAGTCTGGTTCAAGGCTTCCATTTCCATATGTCGGCTGGGCCCCTGCCAAATCCGCTGTATTACAATCCACAACAGACTCACCCATGACGAGCTCGAGGGTCTTTGCTCTTGGCTAGACAGGAGAGCTTGGCTTAGCGATTGACAGATCTCAAGTGGCTCAGCTTAGACACAAGTTCATGTGAAACTGGTTCTGGACCCAAAGCCAAATCAAATACCTTTTACTGGTCTTTCGGCCGCCACTTAACGCCTGAAGCCATATTCAGCACGAAGAGATGGCACGGCGCCTCTGTCTTACGCGGTCTTACAGTGGTGCTCAGGGCGGGAATGCTATGGTCAGTATGGGCCCCTCGTAGGTTCAGATAGAACCGAGGACTATCGGAAATAAAAGCCAATGGGAGGCGGCCAAATGTTCCGACGGAAGGTTCCGAGATTCCGGACAGGCTGGACGAAGTATTTCCGCAATCAGGGGTCAGCCTCGTACAGTTCAGCCTTCCGCAATCATTCAAAGAGCAGCATCAGCCCAACACACCTTGCCCAATTACCCGGGATCGGTTAGGTAAGACGCTCCAGTGTTCTAGAATCAAAGTCAAATTTTGAGAAATGGTGCAAGTACTAGACAATGGATCGAGTGGTAGTGGACTAGCTTGAAAGCAATAATTCTCGGAGCAGAATCTACACAGAGGGCATTATTCCTATGTATGGAAAGCATACTCCCTAACGGTAGCTTGCCGCACTCGTACTACTCCGTAGATGGTTCCCTTCATCTGAGAACCATTCGGCCGGAGTAGATGTCGGTTAAGCTGGCGGTATGGGGTTGATGAGCTTGATAGAATGTTCCTCTCGCTTATGCGGCTTATTCGTTTCCCCCAACTGCGACCCTCGATTTAATGAGCACAGGAAGAGGGCCCATGACTAGCGATTGGAAACTCTGGATGCTGCCTTCGAATGCTTCGTGATCAAAGTCGTTCTGCAGAATGACATCGAAATTGTGTACAATCATTGCAACAAGAAGCCGTAACTCGCTCAACGCAAGTTGCTTTCCTGCACAGGCGTAGGCTCCTGTTTGAAAGGGGATCCACGCTTGAGGGTTGTGGTTCCAGTTAGGATCGCGCTGACTGTCATCCCATCGTTCTGGAACGAACTCTAGCGGCTTGGTGAAGTTCTTCGGGCTTCGTTGGACCGTTAAGACGTGCGTGGCAACCTATGAAACGGCTGTCAATATACTTTTTTTAGGATGGCTGATGAGAATCTCTATTCAACTGACCTGTGTTTGAGGAGGAATCGTAATCCCGTCCACGTCATGCCAAACACCATCCAGAGTACGACGTTGTTGATGGTTGGGGCCAGGAGGCCAGATACGGAGCGCCTCGTGGATGGCCCCGTTTAAATATGGGCACTTATCTGGTGCTGCAAACTGTTAGCAATCAACTGAAACAGCTGTGTCTACCCATTTCGTACTCAGCAAGTCTGAAGCGATGGCCATTCCTTTCAAAGCATTATCAACTTCATCCCGGAGTCTCGAATAAACCATTTTGTCTCGAGCAATAAAGTAAAAGGTAAATCTGTGTGGACTGTGAGCATATCAAAATTTATCCGCGAGCTGCCAACGTACGTTGAAGTAATTGAGCTAGTATCACTTCCAGCAATAATTAAAATAGGGGCGTCTGCTTCGACATCTCTTTCTTCGGTCTTCCTGCAAGCAAGGAGTCAGCCCAGTGTGAGATTCACTGGTTATGTTGAAGAAACTCAAACTCACACGCCATCCTTGTTTCCAGCCAAGATATGTGTGAAAATATCATTTGGCTCTGTACCTTTGGCTCGTCTCTCCTTATAGGACTGTTTTGATAGCGCCTTGAATCGTCCGGCATATTCCTTGAAGTCTTTGTTCATTGGCAGTAGGTAAGCGACGGGAGACATCCAAGGCACGTTCGAGATGATGTTTCGGAGCCGGAGGCCACTTCTAATGGCTTTTGAATAGTAGCGCGGGCCATCTGCACCGGGGTTAATCTTTGAGGTCGATGGTTACTGTGACGGAGCGTTTATGAAGTACCATCGTTTAGGAGGCCAAACGACTTGCTGAAGGCCAAGTCACCCATCACGTCAAAAGTGACGTAGTCGAGCCAGCATCCAAGATCGATAACTTGTCCTATACTTCCTTGAGTTTGTCTTCGACCGAGATTATTCTATGACGCACCGTCGAACTCTTTCAATCGAGCACAGAGAACTTCCAAAAGAGCTATGACACGTGGTTCATAAGATTTAAGCTGGTTTTGGGTGAATCCGTGGTCCCACATACGTCGGCGGACCTTGTGGTCGTGCCAATCACGGCTATTGGGCATGGCAACCCCTGAAGAACCGTATACAGACCCGTCATGATATGGACCCTTCGGAAGCCTGGAGCCTTGGGGTCCATGTAAGTATTTGATCGAATTTGCATCTCCAAAAGATAGCTCGTTAGGCCCAATTCGGACAATATCACCATACTGTTGAAAATGAGCGATCGATTAGTGGAACCAAGTCATTCATACAAGGGATGGGCTCAGTACTTTTTCATGAAGCGCTGGGATAATTTCATGAAGCTTGCCGGTCGAGGCCCAATAAGCGCCGGTCCATTTCGTTAGTTTCGCAGAATATGGTCCAGGGAATCGCCTGAGCGGGTGGAAGAAAAGGCGATATAAGGAAATACTGAGTCTGGAACCAGATATCATCAACCGAAGACCGATTTAGCGTCTGATGTTCAACTTACCCCAACGCAGCAAGTTCAACCACTGGAAAAGTGATCACCGCTATCATAGTTGATTGGGGGTTTTGGGAACCTAGGAACGCAATTCCGGCGAAGACTGCCATTGTCCGCAGGAAATCGAGGGTGAAACTTCTATTCGATTATTAGCAAGCATCACTCAAGCTTAGAGCAATATTGCTCCTGGATGGCAGAGGCATATCTGACCGTATAGTCGGCTCGTGTCGATTATAGACGACGTGCCAAACCTGTAATGTCGGTAAGTGCCGCATCACAGGTAGCAGGTAAGATACTTACCAAGCCAGTTCCTATCGCAGCAACGGCTGCCGCTACGGGCGTCATAGACAACGGGTACTGATAGTTTGACATTGCTGGATTAGATGCGGAATATACAAAGTGTAATGCAATAAAATCCAAATAAGATTGCGTGTGATATCGGGCGGACACGAACTTGTTATGATAACTTGATATCATGCATTTAGGCTCAGAAATTCTTTGAAATGGAATCCATTCGGCTATACCATAGGTGTCATACCGATGAGGTGTGGCTCCTGACACCTCGGTAGTGGATTGGCTACCAATGATCTGTACCAGAGCAGATTTCCGATGCTCCGACGTATATATTTACCCTTTCCGGGGCTCCAGAAACATGTTGAGGCTGGGCAATGACCACGAATTATTTCTTTCCTCGAGCGAGGTCATTAAAGTCCAGTTCGGAAACGCACTCAGGGTGCCACCTCTGACTTGTGATCTGGCGGAACTGCAGGGGCTCCGCTCTATTTGATCCCGGCCATCTTCACAAACACGTGCCGTCGTAGGACGCTATTTCTTCATGTCCCTTCAGGGGCCTGCTTCGGGTAGGAATATCAAGCTGTATAATCTAACTTGTGAAGCCACGCTGTCCGCGATGGAGACACCTCAAGTTGCTCTGGTAACCGGTGGTGGTGAGTACGCCCTGAGAGCTGCTCTTTGGGAGGTGTGGCTGTCGCGAAAGCACTCACTCACGGTGAAAATTGTTGTTAGCCTCTGGAATGGGCCTTGCAGTTGTCGAGAGCCTTGTTGAACGAGGATGGAGTATTACCATTGTGGACAAGGATCGCAATGCCGGAGAACGGACGGCCAAAAGATTAGGTGCTCAGGTCATGTTCTTTGAAACAAATGTGACCAATTATGAAGAGCAAGCCGATGCATTTGCAGCGACTTGGAGGCGCTGGAACAGACTTGACCTTGGTAGGTTACCAACTTCCACAATGTAGAGCCTTTGCTGATATTAAGCCAGTGTTTGCCAACGCTGTACGGCCACTGCCAAAAACACATCCTCGTGGAATCTGGCTAAGATTTGATACAATTAGGGAATCTCTGACCGGACGGATATCGTAGAACCGGCAGAGGAACAGGACAATGGTGCACCTCAGAGGCCTGATACCTCGGTCTTGGACGTCTGCCTGCTGGGAGTTGTGTACACGAGCTATCTTGCTCTTCACTTCTTCCGGAAAAACGAGTCGAAGGGAGGCAGCCTAGTGATGACTAGCAGTATTGCTGGCATCTACGCAGCTCCGGGTGTTTCCATCTACGCAGCGGCAAAACATGGTGTGAGTCCACGTGCTTTACATTCTCTCTTTGTATATTTCTGAGCTGATGAAGGCGAAATAGGTTATCGGGCTGACCCGGTCACTGGCATACAGACTCCAGAAGCGCTGCGAGCGCATTACAGTCAATGCCATTTGCCCAGCGTTCGTAGCCACGGGATTGGTGAACCCAAATTTAGTCAAGAGAGTACCAGAAAAGTACATTACTCCTGCCGCAACGATTGTCAGGGCTGTCCATGGATTCGTTCAAGATCGCGGCCTCACTGGAGAGGTTGCCGAATGCAGTGGCAGTGAGATCTTTTACCGACCGGGTCTCTCTTTTAGCAATGAAGGATCCGAGTGGTTGATGACGGGTGGTCTGAAGTCTTTCCTGGGGCCCGGAGAGGAGCAAGCCGTCAGAAAGTAGTAGATATCAGTCTGACAAAAGCAAACGCTGCAACCCGCGACATACACAGGGGGCCCTAGCAAGAACCCACAGAGTAGGTCAATAAACAAGCCTTCCCTTTATCACAGAGCTTTATGCCTAGAGCGTATGGATCTTCGCGGCAATCGTTGGTGGTCATCTCTGAAGCGGTCTTGCATATTAGTCCGTGAAGAATCCATACCATTTAGATGAGTATCGTTACCATGAGAAGAGAATAGCGACGGACCTGCAATGTCCCTCTGCATAAACTCGGATGTGATGCCTTTTCATCCATACTCCCTTTTCCCCATCACATAAGAGGCCAATGAAATACAGTCTATGTTCGGCATCCTCTATCGGCTTGGAGGATTCTAACCGAAGGTCTCTCGAGCTTGACCCCGCATTTCCCAGGTTTCTTGACCCTAAATTCTCACCACGACTTCGTGCTGCCGGGCTCGCAACCAGGCAGCTTGATTGTGCCTTTCCGGTCACAACGAACACAGCGGACAATGTCAGGCTTGCAAACTTCCCAAACTCCACACTCAAGCGCGAAGCGCCGGCCATATGCATCCAGGGCCTGGTAAGCTGAAGGGTTTTGCTCCGTGATGAGTCTAACCATGTTCAATTTAACAGTGTTGAATGCCAAAGGCGCAAGACCAAGGTAGGCTTCGCCGCAATCTTTCCGTCAGGTTTCCCAGTCACTAACTGGAAGGGAAGTGCACCGAGGAACGACCTTGTCCAAGTTGCCGCACTCGTGAAGTAGAGTGCAAGTCGTTGGAAGTCGACGCAGACCAGCATGTCGCATCAAAGCGTCCGAAGTTGAAACCTAGCGCCACGTAAGAATCTAGACATCATCATTTTCCGAACTAAGCTCAGCCTTAACCGTGAGACAGTGACCCTGTGGCGCCACGTACCCTCTTCACAGAGACTCAGCAGGCGAAGGAATCTCTGAAGGGAGACAACGACGCGCTAAGACACGAGATACGGAGGCTTCGTCACGACGTCGACCTTCTCTCCAAAGCAAGCAATGTAAGTCATCCTACCAACGTTCATGTTGCACTTTCTCTTAGAACTTCAGGAAAAAGAGCCATCGCGGCACCATCAGTCCGATCCCCGGATGGACAGTACTCAACAGCATTCTGAATATCTCTATCCGTTGGAAGGCCAAACAAACTTACCCCTTGAGGAGGACGAACTCACACCATGCTCGTCTTACACAGATACATTCAATCCCTCGAACCTATGGGCGAGTCCAGATGCTATAGCGAATAAGATCAGCGCGATAAGAGGCAATATCCTCCCCGATCCCCTCGCGAGGGACTCCATCTTTCTGAACAGTAATAAGAAGTTTCCTCTGACACTACCGCCGCCAGCACACTTACGGCATCAAATTGATCTTTTTCTACGCGAATTTGGCGACTGGACCCCCTACTTTCGCCACTCTAGTCTTAAGAAACAGATTGCTATCGCCCTGCATTCGGTTTCGTACGGCGAGCGCCGAGTCACGATACACATTCCCTGGCAACATTGTACCACATTTGCTATTCTTTGCACTATACTTTCCAATGCTGAGATTGTGGTGTCTAGCAACAGCACTATGGATTCAAACACCGGCCAACACTGGTTCTCACAGGGTAAAGAGCTAATGGAGACATTCGAAGACATAGTTGGAGACTCTCTTGGGGTTGTCGTATATCATATGCTGGCTGCTGGCAGGATGATGGAAGCCGAGAGACTCCGCATGGCTGCTATCCACACTCTCCGAGCTTTGCAGGGGGCACTAAGTATAGGTCTGAACGACAAGAACCGCTGGAAACAAGAGCCCGACGACATTGTTTCGAAGAGGTGTTTATGGTGGGTTCTGTACTTTCTGGAGAAGCGAATACATTACAAATGTGGCGCTCCCTATCTCTTGCGCCCCGCGGACGTCAATGTGGAGGATACACTTCATATGTGCGGTGAATCCGAAATCGACGACGCGAGACTCGACTATATAGAAGGCATGATCAGTTACACGAAACTGTGGACGTCCATTTGGTCTGACTTCCTGGCACCCAACGCAAGTCTTTCCGGTAAATGGTCAGAAGTGCAGGTCGCAGACGCCAGAGTGATGATTAAGTATCGAGAACTTCCACAGAGTCTGCTATGGGATACCGGCAAAGTCCAAGAATATATGGATAACGGAGCTACCGAAACAGACATGCGTCAGAAACTACAAGCATTCCTGGTGGGTGAGGCCCAATTGTCTAACCTCCCAACCTCTGCTGACGGATACTATCAAGTGGCACCAGTCTTTGCGGTTAATAATTCGACAGACGCGAGTCTCATCCGCACAGGGGGACGCTGAGCGGCAACGATCATGCTTTAGCATCTGCAAAGACATTGTCGCAGCTATTACCAGCTACATGAAGCACTTTCTCTGCATGCGACCGATCGGGTATTTCTTGACCTGCTCACTTGTCGATTGTATCTTCCACCTCAAACAAGAGCAGATCGGCCGATCGACTTGGCTCGACCAGACGGAATTACAGAAGATTTTCGGCGAAATCACACACTTGCTCGAAACTCTGGCCCTGTCAGTGGGTTCCGCCCAACGGGCTCTCGCTGCATTGCGTTGCGCACTCATCATGCCTAGCGAAGTGGACTGCGGGCTGGACTTGGAAGGCACTCCGAGCTTTCTGGAGCCTGTTCACAACGGGACACATGTCACCTTCACGGAAAGAGATCAAGATCTCTTAGACGGATACTCTGATGCAAGTATCGGGGAAACTCTCAACTTTCTGGGTCTGATTCCAATGTGATGTGTATAGCAGAACAGGATGGTGCTGGGGAGGAGTCAAGTCTATTGCCCAAATGAGCGACTCAACGGCTTCATGCTCGTGAAAAACACCTTAAATGCATGCGCCAGCTTTGATCAAGTTTGACATCAATACCAGACTCGGCTTAAATACGTTTTGGAACTGGTGGAAGCGAAACCTGACCCTTGATCAAAGAGTTTCTTTCCATTGTGTCTCAAATCTGTATGGCTCGGCAATGAAACCCAAAATCTTCCATGGTTCATGGACCTAATCCCAATAATGCAAGTCAACACCACACCGTTTGAGATTCAAGCAAGCTCGTAAACGACTGGGTCATGATTTTTATTACTAGAAATGACATAGATGGCTAAATTGGCCCGCAACTCCTTATTCAGGCACTACACAATATCCCATGGAGTGTCAGAATTCCTGATAAAAGGAGTCAGCCTTTCTACTGTTCCAGCCACATCTGCCTCGGTAAGCCCATTGCCCAAAAATGCCCAGCAGTCGTCTGGATTCTTATAAGTGATGTGGTAGTGCTCAAACTGAGGGGTTCGAAGCGTTTTGAGCAGGTGTAAGAGTGACCCGCCCCAGATGTAGACTCGGCCTTCAGGTTTGTTTTTCTTGTACCAGCTAGTAAAAGAGAGAAGACAGGGTTAGTGGGAAGACGGTGTCTTAGTAAGAGGCTGGGACAGAAACGTTTAAGTGCATGTGCTCACCTGCGACATTTCTCAGCCCAGACAGAATATTTTGCGTGCCATGCGTCCATATGATTATTGAAATCTGTCGTAGGTCTCTGCTTCACTTCCATAGACTGGATCTTGTGTCTTTGCATTTTGTTGATGCATTGGATCGTGTATTCGATCTGAACTTCATGCTATAGAGGACACTAGTTGTCAGTATAAGATTACTTGGAGGGAAATTCTGCAGCTTACAGATGGAAGTGCACAACCCTGTCCCCAATTTCCTCTAGGACCGTTAATGACCCAGTAATTCGGAAAACCTGGGCCGGCGATGGAGCAGTAGATGTTTGATTCCTATATCCAGCTGTCAATTCACCTGTCGACAACGATCTTGCACGAATAGCAGGGGAGAAAACGTGATGGTATTTACCTCTGCCCAGTGTTCTTGCATGACGATGCCATTGACGCCGGTAATCTTGCTGCAATATCTTTGTCAATCTATTTGCGGCTGTGATTTACACTCGGCAAGTACTTACAAGTGCGGTACGTAAGCAGTTTCAAATCCGGTCCCACAAGCAATAATGTCTACCTCGATCTCCTTTCCGTTGGAGGTCAACAGACCTGTTGGGGTGATTTTGACGATTTCTTCGTGCACGGTGGATACATCTGGGAAGGCGAAAGTGGTCAGCGATAAGCATACAAACAGGTCTGAAGTCATAAACCTACGTGGTTGAGCCAGTGCCTCAAGGTAGCCCTCTCCAGGCTGCAAGGTGCATTAGATTGGTGGACAATAACAGCTCGGCCTCCCGCAGGTACTCACTGTCATTCTTCGACAACCAGGAGACCAATCTGGAATTATCTTCCCGAGCAATTCTTCGTGGCCAGGACCAAGCTTCTTTAGCATATCCGCCCTGAAGATCTTCTTGGCAGCTTCATTGTCCGGAGTGCCGCGCAAAAAGACCGAGAACTTTTTCCCCATCTTGGACTCTAATTCTTTGCGATAGGAGAGATGGAAGTTCTCATCGTCCTGAAAGGACCGTTTGTCATCCTCGGTGTAGGTGTGCCTACCGATTATTGCTTCGCGGTTCGATGTCTCTAGTTTCTGCGTATCTGTCGGGATCTGTGGAGAGATCCAGAACCGATTACGCATGAAAACAGTTAAGGATTTTGCACCTGCATTGAAATCAACATGGCAATAAGAGGAATAATGGAGACAAGACAGACCCTTTGCGAGGTTCGGAACCATTTGAATAGAACTTGATCCGGTCCCGATAACGGCAACTCTCTGGTCTGTGGGATCAATGGTTTCATCCCAGGCAGCTGAGTGTGCTAGCTTGCCGCCGAAGCTGTGCAAACCCTCAATGGCAGGCCCTGTCCTCCAGCATCAGAACTTCCTAGGGACAGACGACGGTTCCGTTAACTTACACTTCCACTTGTTGACAACACCAGATCCGTTGATCAAAACGTTGCACCGGTCATGAAATACATTGCCATTGTGCCGCATTTCGACATCCCCTTGAAGCGTTCTCGTCGTCAGTGATTCGGCCTAAGAAAGAACGCCACTCGCAAACATCATAATTGCTCGTGACAGACTTACAAGTTCCCTCGAGTTCATCCCAGGTTGCGCCAAGAACTTCGTGTTCAAGTCTGACAAAGGGTTCTAGCTCGTATTTCTTATAGAAATTCATGAAATAGTCCTGGATCTCGCTGCTGCCAGCGTAGAATGCCGACCACTCCGTGTTCGGCTCAAATGAATATGTATAGCAATGTGCTGGAATGTCGCAAGCACATCCTGAGCCAGAGGTGCGACAGTCAGTTGTTCAAAGACATCAGCCATAAGATGGATTGATGTTCAAACCTGGATATCGATTTTCCCACCAAGTACCTCCGATCTCAGGGTTTCTTTCAAAGGTCAGCACAGGGGATATCCTCCCCGTGTATGAGGATTTCAGCACTTACTTTTCATAAAGAATGAGTTCGAAGTTCTGAAGCATCTTTCTGGCCTTATAGGCCATCAGAAGGCCAGAAGCTCCAGCCCCGACATGGATTATCTTGATATGGTCTGGCTTCGAATGAACCTGATCTAGGATCTCAATCGTGGGCGTAGGCAGGTCCACGTGAGGCATCTTCTCGTTATGTCGCCGAGGCAGAGGAATGTTTATGGTGCTTGCGATAACCAGAGAAGACAGAAAGTCGTCTCTAACAATAAGTATGAAGAAAAGTTGTATGACGGCGATAAAATAATGTACCGAATAGCGATTGCCCTCATCTTACCTTTTCCTAAAGAGATATAGTAACTGATGAGCCCATCGCTTACCTAGGTTTCATGCCTCCTCAGACGAGTCGCAGGCAGTCTGCAAAGCATAGGACTGTATGTTTTGTAGACCTCGGCTGGAGATTACACCGAGGATGGCAGTCTCTTCCACCACACATTGACTAAACGCGGCTTCCGCGGGCGACTCAGAATATCCATTCCGAAAGCTCTGTTCCGAAACATCTAGAGTCACCTCCCTCATTGAAAGACGTAGGGAATTGGAACTGGCTTGTTCTAATCCTGGCTGAAGAGCATAGCAAGGCCTGATACTGGACAACGTAATTTGTATCCATTACTACAGTCGAGGACCCAAGGGGACGTTCTTTAGCAAAGCTGAGGGCTAGGGAGAATGTCTCGAACGGATCCACCGCTGAAGAGCAGACCACACTCAATAGTGATCGTCTGTACTCGAATCGAACATGTCAAAGACAATGTCGGCTTGAAGTTCATAGCTGTAAGAGTCCCTGTAATGATCCTAGTCATCCACGCCCGATTGGGATTATAGGGGCAGAATCAACACTCTGTGAATGCGTGATATTCCTATGAAGGGAGCAATGGCTCTCGCATATCTACTAGGTATGAGGTGCCAGCGAGTGCCAGGCCACTAGGGCTGACCTCGCGTCGCCAGGAAGGTGGTGATGCTGCCTACCCTGTGGGTAGGTGTGCACCAGAGGGACAGTCTACCTCATCTCACAATAATTCCAGTGCACCTACTGCTGAATTTCTCATCACAAGCTGTAGAACCTTCAAAGCCCTCACAAATTGGCCAAATCCGTGGGGTCTCGCCGCTCCAATTTTTGTCTTAAACGATGCGCTTTCAATGCCATCAAAAGCTTCTGGAACTGCTCCTCGTCTCCGTTCGATGGACCGACACAGGTTGCCGTTTCTGCTAAGATGGGTCCCTCAAACTCCGCACATTGATCGTTTGCCACGAAAAGTGAGTTGCCGTGGTATTTCGGATCTGTCGCAAGCTTGGCCACTGCGAGGCCAATGGCTGAGGCTGGTTGTATTGGTACACCTACGGACTTGAATGTGTCGAGAATGCCTGCTGTGATGGCAGACTGTGTCCATCCTGGAGCGACTACGTTGAGACGTACAGGGATTTTAGGATATAACTGCATCTTCATGGCTCTGAGGAATCCAATAATGCCATGTTTAGCGGAGGCTTCACGAATTTGTTAGTATTTTCTGCCAAATGACAAGGTCGGGAGGGCGTAGAACAAGTACTAACTATAGGATGCCGATGTCACTCCTTCGTAGCCAGCCCCTGACGCGGTCATGACAATGCTCCCACCCGGTGGTTGTTGTCGTTGCATGTGATAGACTGCCAAAGCGACCGTGTTCTGACATCCAAATAGGTTGATCTCGATTGGACGTCGACTTGGCTCCAAAAGCTGCCCTTCGTGTTCCTTCAGGTTGACGTAGTCCGTCACGTCGGCCACTCCAGCGTTGGCAAATACAATGTCAACCCGTCCGTATCGATCCATTGCGACTTGGAACAAGCTCACTAGATCCTTCCACGATGCGACGTCGGCCTTGACATATTGAGCTCGAGGCCCTAGTCCTTCAGGTGGACGTTGAAGGTCTGCGACAATGACTGCTTGTGCGCCCTTGTTTAGAAATAGCTTTGCTGTGGCAAGACCAATGCCAGATGAACCACCTGTGATCAAGGCCACCTTGTCGTTCAAACCCTCGAGTTCTGATTCATGGATCTTGAAATAGTGGATGGCCATGACGCCAATCAAGAATGAGCATAAGAGACCCTGAAGGCTGGGGAGAGGTACAGGGAGGGTTTCAGCCAATATAATGTGCAAGTAGATCCTTTGTGATGTAACGTATCCCGTGGAACTAACCTCTACCCACTCGGAAAGTACGTCTGGCAAGACATGAGCTGGAACGAGGACGGTGTTGCGAGCTCTAGTTCCGAACCGCAACAAACTATATTTCCCCCGAGGCATGACGAGAGTCGATCCCCACACTCTTGGTTAGACCTCTCTGGAATGCTATAATCCAATTTCGGAAAATAATGACTATTATCTGGAGGATTCTAGATCTAACAACCCAACTTACCGCCGACCTTAACACCTGAGGTCCAGGGAAGCTAGTTGTATACTATTCAGATTGAGCGACGACTGCCAACAGCATCAACATGCCTTTTCTCGACAAAGAATATCTCCTCTCACTTGGAAACATAGAACCCGAGCTCAAGACTGTGAGCCATACTAAGCCATCTTTGATAACTTCGTCCAACTGACATCACTTCAGTTCCTTGATACTGCTCGAATCCCGACTCCGAATTACGATGACTTAGATGCCTTCAAAAAGGTGTCGGCACAACGTAATATCGAAATCATGAAAGCCTTGGGCACCCCCCCGCCAGAGATTAGACAAACGGAACTCCAATACCCGACCAGAGACGGCTGCAACGTAAGGGCGAAGCTCTACCAGCCCTCGGTCATACCGGCGAACCATCAAAGTCCACTCATTGTCATGTTTCATGGCGGAGGCTTCTGCGTCGGTTCTCCAGAAAGCGAGGAACAAAGCTGCCGGAACTTCGTCCAGGCCTTTGGCGCCGTATGTGTCTCCGCGGGGTACAGGCTGGCTCCTGAGTTTCCATTTCCCTACGCCATCCATGACGCATGGGATGCGCTGAGGTGGGCAGCGAAAAAAGCGTCCTCTTGGGGCGCAGACCCATCTGCTGGTTTCGTGGTCGGAGGCACATCAGCAGGCGGTAATATCTCGGCCATCCTAGCACACCTGGCTCGGGACGAAGGTCTCTCGCCTCCTCTGACAGGTCAATATCTAGCAATCCCTGCCGTTCTACCACCGTCAGTCGTCCCAGAGAAATATTAAGAGTACTACCTGTCGTACGAGCAGAATCGACATAGCGTCGTACTTCCCGTTGCTGCAATCGACATGTTCCTCTCTGGCTACAAACCCAAAGACAGCGACAGCGTGCGGTGGGCTGTGTTCAACCATCCCCAGGGTCATCAGGGCCTGCCAGCCGCTTTATTCCAGATCGACGGCATGGATCCTTTGAGGGATGAGGCCCTGATATACGAACGGGTGCTCCGAGACGAGTGTGGAGTGAAGACAAAGAGCTACGTCTACCCAGGTGCGCCCCACGGCCACTGGGCATTTTTTCCGTTCCTAAAGAGCAGTAATAAATTTAGGGTCGAGCAGATTGAAGGCATGGGCTGGCTCCTAGGCAAGACCCCGGTTCTCACAAATGTGGTCACCAGTGCAAAGGCTACAAATGTCTAATGTGTTCGACTCTACTACACACACCAGGGCAAGGGCCACTACGGTGGCTACCTCAGATCTCTGGAGCAACAAGAAGTCGAAAGTATGATGGACAAGTAGTCCCTGGCAGGCAGTTACCACTAAAATCATTTGCTCTAATCGAGCCTTTGCAAATTTTTATCTCAGCATAGATCCACATCCACCTGGGCGCGTTAGGTACCGGATCTATTGACACTACACTTGATTTGAAACTACGGAGGTATGGCAAGTCGATCAAGGAAAGCGAGCTGCTGTTGCTCTACCACAAATGCTACGCAATTGCGACCTTTTCTACCGTGACCTTCAAGTGGCCTTTGGTCGTTACCACGAAATTGTCTTTCCACTCCATGTCGTCCGGCTTCATGTTACAGGGCATCATATCAAAGATCCGAAACAAGTGCGCAAACGTCAAGTACAGCACTGCGTACGCGAGATCAATACCCATACAAGATCGAGGCCCTCGCGAAAAAGAGGTGAGTCGGCCCTCGAGTTCCGCGGCGTTAGCACCGAGCCAGCACTTGGGCCGGAATGTGTTGGGTTCGGGAAAGAAGACGGGATCGTAGTGCTAGCTGTACGCTGTGCCAGAAACCGTGGTCTATGAGAGGACAAAATGGATCAGGGGTGGCCGAAGAAACGTTATTATTAGAGGGAGAATTAAAGGAGAAGCATACTGCTGCCAAGGTCCTTTGACCACAGAAGACAATGCCCTCTTCTGGAACCACTTGATGGATTCTGCGTATCAAATTAGCGTTTTGTGACAGGAAGGTGGCAGGAATTACAATGGCATACCTACCGAGGACACCCAGAGCCATTCTCAGGCTTTCTTTGACGACAGCACGGAGAACAAGAATCAGTGGTTGACTTTTACTATTCGGCCAAAGGGGGGATGGGGACCAGCGTACGAGGTATAGTAAGTTCTCGAGGACAACTGTGCTGACCATCTCTTTGCTGTATAAATCAGGAATGGTGGTCTCGAGCCGAGCTCCTTCCTCAGCTTCCAACCTATTTCTGGTTTGTCCATTATACGCCATGAGCCCAGCGCCAAGGTGTGTGCCGTCGTATCAGTCCCAGCCCCATGAAATACAAAAACATCTGCCGCCAGCTGCTCCAGACTTGGGGTGAAAGTCCTCTCGTTAACTCGGGATCTGCCCAAGCATCGAAACGGTTGGATATTTGAAGTTTCAACCTTTCTGGTTCATAACACTCTCGACTTTCTGTCGACAGCGCTCTTGACTGTTTGTAAATCGCGAGTTATCAATCTGTGTCCACTCATACCTCGACGATCAAGTTTGTGGCTGCCAGCGCCGGCAAATACTTCTCAGCCTGTTCTCCGGTCAGTCGGAACAGTAGTCAAAGCAGCAACGCAGCAATATTGCGCCAAGAGATTGTGTATTGGGTGGACATCGAACATTTGTTCCAGGGACAGGAGTATGCGAGATTTGAAGTCTTCGACCTCAAGAGATTTGAAACCCTGGTCGGTAAGACAGTAGCTCATGGGAACGTCACTAGTCAAGCTGCGATAGCCCAGACTGAGGTCAACGGCCTTCTCAGTGAATGCTGCGGCGCCGAGGACCGACAAAAACTTCTGTGTTCGATTTTGGGTCAAGGGCTCGAATTTATTGATCGCAGCCTTGGAGAAGTACGGTGGGAATGGATCTTTCCCAGGTTTGGCGGCCTTGAGTCAGTCACATTGAAAAAACCATCAGAGCGCTTGCTTGAGTACATCTGCTTCGATTTGGAAAATTTTGAGCCGGATTGGAATATCCCATATACCGGTTAGAAGGGAGGACAATGAATAATGTTAATGTCTTCCTCGTTATATGCGATCGTATCCCTAATATGTAGCTGATCCGGCGTGATGCGCACGATGGGGCCTATGCGCGGTGGAGGTCAGAGAGTATAGGTATGCAGAGGACTTGCCGCGAAGACCTTGACATAGGAAGTTGATAGTCTCATGTCGTACCATGCTAGGCGTGCTGATAGCAGCTGCAAGCTTGGGACCGGGGAATTTGGCAAGAGGGGAGAGTGTAAGACGGTAAGAAATACCTAAGACAAGGCGGACGCAGAGAGCGATCAATCCTTTGCTCAACAGATGCCACAGCGACGTATGCATCTCGACATTTTGGTGAAAAGGGCAAATCAAATATCAGTCATGAATTGACCCACGACACAACTCTCAGAGTGCCGTCTTCTCCCCTAAAGTCTGCAACAGATACAGACTGTTCTCTCGGTATCGGTACATCGAGGCGGCCGTGTACAACCTCGTCCACGATCCATGATCTGCAACGCCAGCAGCCTCCGGGTAGGAGAGTTATGAGGTCAACCACGGGGCAGGCCCATAACCCGCTGCGAATTCGTATGGTCACAACATCCATCGGAAGTGTACGAGAGAGTTTGGAATACCTGGAGCCTGGGCACGTTTGCCTCCGAAGTGCCTTCCGGAGGGCCCACGGAAAACAAGATCGGAATAAAAGTGCACCCTATCCCGCATAATTTCAAAGTTAGGAATGGTGATTTTTGTAGTACCTCTGGCTGTGCAGAGTGTTCTAAGTCTGCTCCCCCTGCGGAAGGTTGCGCTCATCTCGTGTTATAGGGCGTGTGAGACAGTGATATATATCAAGTAACAGGCCATTTTCCAAGGCTGTTTGATCTCCAGCGAAATTGACAGCAGGATGGTGTTGACATGGATGGCGGCGACAGGGAAGGTTTAAATTTAGCCTTCTAAGAGGCCAAATGTCTATAAACAGGAAGGAACCCGCTGAAAGGACAGATAGAGATACATCTCGCAGGATAGACCAATGCTATCCATCTACGCCATCAACGTGACAGTCCTCCGTCTCACAGCACGTTAACCTCTCTATTCCCGGACACCGATCTAGTTACACTCTCTGCGGGACGAACTGGCAGAGACAGCCGGATTTAGGAGCACTCATTTGTCTAGTATAGTGTAAAATAAACACTGCGTAAAGAACAGAGAACCAAGAGACAATTCCAGAAAGGGGTTGGACTCAAGGTTGGCACTAGCGCCAGAAGTGCTTGGGAACTGTTCCCTGCAGAAGCAGCAAGAGATGAACAGCAATAAAACGGAGATGAAGTAGTTGAGCTATGCAACAATAAACCATCTCCCTGCTTAACAATTCAGATTGTAGCAAAACTGAGCATGAAGCATCGACAAATTTTAGATGTTTTTCGACAACACTCGACCGGTCCAAGTTCAGGAGCTCCGCGGTGGTTCGAGGACGCAAGTCGGTTACACAATTCGGAAACTGACATCTCCATCAACGAACGTTGAAGCATTGGTGTAAACAAACCCATTGATGAAAGAAGCCTTTGAAACTTTAGAAGTCCCGTCTTCGGTTGCGCGAATCCCTGCTTTTGCCAACAGATTCTGATGCTCATACTCTGATATCTCGTTGAATTGATCATAGAATGACATGTGTGGCTCCCGAATTGAGACCCAATTAATGGGCTCAACATGAATGATGACCTTAGCAGTGGGTCCATGTTTGCCCCCCAAAGCGTAAGGGGTTAGATTACTTTATTACAGGTCCTGCATCGTCCAAGGGTCCTCTGTTACGCATTTCCCGTCCGGGCACCTCATGGTGAAGGTTCACTCGGGATACTATCGCAGAATTTGTGTTTCTATTTAGCCTCTAAGCGTATCGCTGTTTAAATGGCCGTAAACCTGAAGAATCAAAGGGAATAAACTGGAGAAAATACCTTACCATGGAAGGAAATGTGGTTAGCTACCAATCCTGTTCCAGTACATTCAACGGCGGCTGAATTTCTTGGAGATAGCAGTTAGCGGAGCTGGCTCAGGTATCGGCCTTGCTACAGCTAGGATCCTTGCAAAACGTGGTGTCGTGTTGTCAATCTGCGATATTAATCAGAAAGCTCTTGAAGAAGCTCGGAGCTCTCTCTCGAAGGAGGTCACATCAGCACTGTGGTCGATGTCAGCAATCGGGCAGATGTGGACTCATGGATCGAAACGACAGTCTCCCACCTAGGGCCCCTGGACAGTGCTGCGAATGTTGCCGGCATGATGAGGCTCAGGTCCACCGCCAATTTGACTGATCAAGATTGGAATGCCGTCATGAACGTGAACGCTCGCGGAGTATTCTATGCTTTGCGTGGTCAGCTCTCTAATATCAAAGATGGAGGCTCAATTGTACGCAGAATTGAGGATTCCTTCCCCATTTGCAATGTTTCAGCCTTAACTCTATCTAGGTCAATGTTGCCAGTGTTGCGGCTATGCTCGGTCTGAGCGGATGTCCGGCATACGTTGCAAGTAAGCATGCCGTTGCTGGATTGACCAAAAATACGGCCAATGACTACGGGTGCCGTAATATCAGAGTAACTGCAGTGGCGCCTGGGATGACTGAAATTGCTATGCTGTCGAGTGTCGAGGAGTCTTTCGAGGGGGACATGGCATTCGCCGCACAGGCTCTGAAGCGGAAAGGCAAGCCCGAGGAAATTGCACATGTTATAGTTTCCTTGCTGAGTGACGAGACGAGCTTCGTGATTGGTGCACTGTGGCCGGTGGACAGTGGCTGGACAGCTTGAGTGATCAAGAAGTTCGAAGCGTAGAACGGCAAGTCTGCGTTGCACCACAGATATCTGCCCAGCAGAGCGTTCATACACTCAGAGAACTATGCTTCGCGCCGAGCGCGATATCCTTGATCATCAGATTTCCGTACATGCAAGACGCCAAATAATCGAGGTATTTCAAGCGGAAATGTCCCAGTCTAGTGCGGATATGTTCTCGCAGGTGGCTATGCCAGGTGCTCTAGTGGCCACGTCAACAGTGGTCTTATCCCAACCCTCAATGTCCAGGTAGTTCAAATTCAGACTCGCCGTGTCAAATTGGGAAAGATCAGGCATGACCCGGTTAGAGAAGAGCTCCAGCATATCTGGATCGAACAGCGGCTGAAATAGGTCAAGCGGCTGGGTCTCGAAATCTTCCGCATGTGCTTTCTGCGACACGACGGACGACCGCAGTCCACCCGCAGCTGGTTGCTCTGATCCGCACCAATATTCTTCTGTCCGATCTGACGCGAACTGCATCAACGATTGTGGGTTTTGGTAGAGATTCTGATACGGTCTCGGCGTGGATGGCGGCATTCTGGGAGCTTCTATGGATGTAGTTTGTCAGTATTTCAGTAAGCTGGATCGCACCAGAATGCGGGTGCCCTTACCGTGCGTCTCATACGCAAAAGAATCTCGTAACGGGGTATCGGTTTCGGTGCAATCTTGTCCAATTATAGAACGGGCCTCTTCGACGGTCATCACATATCCATCATCTTTCGAGCGCAGCCATGCTTGATTCTCCAAAATTGAGGCCTGGGCGTTGATGCCACTAGGTTTGAAGCTAGTTAACTTGCTGGCGTCAATGTATTTAGGCACATCCTCAAGCACGACCGGATGTCTTTTGTGGAAGTCGTAAAGGCATCGAACAAAGATTTTCTTCCAGGAATGCTTGTCAGCGCCGCTTGCCCACTCGTTCTCGGGTGTGCGTACCAATATACCAGCGAGCTTCCAGTACTAGGCCATTGTGTGAATCATCTTCACATTCGCTTGAACATTTCGAAGAGCTTTTTCCTTCACCGTCGGATTCAAACACCACATAAATGGGATTTGAACTGCACATCCACAATATGCGGCATAAGTAATAAAGCTTGGCATCGCACTAAGTCTGTCGTATGTTGATAGAACAGTCTGAATCAATCCAGAAACTGCGCTGGCGTGCTCAAAAGCCACTTGGGCTGACATTTGTCTTGAAAAGGACCAGCTGTCGTCACCCTCACTCCAACAGAAAAGAGGGACTATAGATGCATGGAGAGCGCAAAGAGATTGGTGATACACAACATTCATTAACAAAATCTTAGGAAGAACGTCGTTCGAGATCGATGCCATATTTGCTGGCGTTAGGCGAAAGGTAGGGGGCAGTTTTCGCCACCAGTCTGATAGTTCATCATCTAGGATATGAATGGCCGAAATTTTTTCGTTGAGATTGGTTTGAGTGGCCTTAATGAAAATAAGTACGGATGTCCTGGAGAAATGCTCAGTCAATAAGGCAGATATCTCGGAAATAACTTCCTACCAGATTGTAAAGACTTTTACTAGCTCGGCATAAATACCACCATTGCCCTGTTCAGCATGCAAAGTAGTTCGAGGGGTCTTGAAAACGGCGGCATCGAACTCTTCATCTGGTGATGGCAGACTCAGGTTCTCCACGTCAGCAATCTCTTTGAATAGCAACATGCATTCGGCGCTTTGGCAATAAGTAAGGTAACAAGCCCAAAACCGCCTACGTCGTAACTCGAAATCTGGCGAGCTCTGTGCGCGTGGTGTCTCTGGTCCGTGGCCAATGATATGGAGGAGATTGAAAGCATTCCCTGTGGCAGGGTTAGTGGCGGTAATCGTAGGCGAGGCATGCTCACCTCTATGAAGAAAACTCGTCCTCCAGGAACCCTGACTGTGCCAAAACAGGGCCAAATTAACAGAAGTTACCATAATATCCTCCTGAAAATCTTCCATCTCCTGGAACACCAATTTTCCTGCCCTTTGAGCCCATCCGATCATAAATCCTTGATCTTTCAGTGTGTGATAGCCGCTACTATCTCGACAGAAACTATGTGGCCGGAGTTAGCTCAGAACAAAATTCGAAGTCGCCGTCGGTCTCATACTTGGCTGCCCATGCACAGACTCCTAAGACTACGTGCGGGCGGGCGGTGCCGGCTATCAGAGAGTCACAGAAAGAGCGTTTATGCAGGAGAAGATGTGCATTGTAAACGTTATCGAAATATGTTTCCACCAACATCATGAGTAGAGACCTCGGAATTCCATGGTAAAGCTCGTCGGGTGGTCGAGAGAGTGACGGGGTTGTGGCGAGTGAGCGACGGCTTGCGCTGCAAAGCATTTCTTTCGCGACGCCATAGCTACCCTGTTGCACGGTTATTGTGACAGCAGGAGGGTTGGTATCAATGGCTGTGAAAGTAGCCGCTTGGACAGGAGCCGGCTTTTTTGCAGCACTTCGTCTAGTGGTCCCATAGATACAGGTATGGTTCAGCCGCAGACATCGCTTGCATGTTGGGCGCTCCCCCGTACAGCGTATCTGATTGCCAATCATCAGCCGAAAACTCTTCCAAGCTGTGTTGACTCTAGGCGTCTGTCTACCTTTTGGCTCTTGCAAATATTGACGCCTTTCTTGGTCGTCCGGCACCGGTCGACATAGGTTAATATTATCCGGCCGCTAAATTGGGTAGCTATTAAATAGAGCAGAATAGCCTCATCACTTTCAGAGTAAAAAGAATAAAAGCCAAGGTATGAGAGTGGTCAATTTCGACCTCAAGAAGCTGCATAGGATTCTGGGGAACTTTAAGTGGGGGAGGCGGTATTTCCCCCTGCAGCCCCCGGCTTGGCACCCCGCGAGAACCGGTAAATTCTCCCCGCACAAACCGCCCTCGGCCCGCTCACCTGCAATTTTCCCGAGCCCGGACACGGCGAGGCTTAAGAGGAAAGCAAACCATCCTTGGCCGTCTCAGAACCTCCCCGAAGTTCAAATCAACAGGAACAAGTGCTCTGACGGTGCAGCTCCATCTCCCTTCTGGCAGCGTGTTCTGCCGCGGTGTTCTACCAAGGAACCTCTTTCCCATCATAACGGTTCGGGCCTTCGTTATTCTCCCATCCCGGAACCAGAATGTTTCGGAATGTGCCGTTGTACTCTGGTCTACTGTTTAACACAATGTCCAGCACGGCCCCCGCCCCAACGTCCACTCCCAGATCAGCGTTCTGGCTGCCCATATCGGTCTTGAGCCACTGCAACGGGAGCTCGTCAGCTAATTCACCTGCCAAATAACTTGGTAATTTGTTGTAATGCTCACCCCAGGCGATATCACATAAAATGTAAACCCTTCTTTGCCATATTCGAGCGCATATTGCACAGTCAACATGTTTAGTGCGGCTTTTGAGACCTTGTATGCCGGGAATGGCGCTTGAGCAAATCCCTCAGCTTGCGAGATTGAACCAACGGTCGTTGAGCTGCACAACGCTCAGTCAGAAGCAGTATGGACGTCTGGGGCGCCACATCGACGTACATGTTGACAACTTGCTTCCCAGCCCCTTTCTTCAGCAATGGCAACAATGCTGCGGTCGTCTCGTGAACCGCCTCGACATTGACTTCGAACGCATACCTCAGGTTATCCATCTTTGCGATACCTTTGAACGCTCCAGGCATAACGCCGGCGTTGTTGATCAGCACGTCAAGACCTTTCCCCTCAAGTCTACTGCTGACTTCCCTCACAGCCATGTCAATACTGCTTCGATCTGTGATCGTCACGGTAATAGGGATGACACGTCCATGTGAACGATCAACAACCTCTTGTAGGGCAGCTGTGGGCTGTGATCTGCTCGCGGCGATGACGATCGATACTTGGTTTGACGGCATTCGTGAGAGTTGATTGACTAATTCGAGGCCTAGGCCGCGACCGGCACCAGTGATAAAGTAGGAGGACATGGTCGTGCTTGCATATATTCTCGCTTTTGAGGGGGAAGAATGAGGTTTCAGTGCTTTCAGTTTCCAAGCCTTGTGCGTAGATATACCCACGAGTAAATGCGATATGCAGCAATAAGCGGATCACCACCAAAAAAATCTCCGTGTTTGTGGTACACATGACGGCAATGACGCATTGTCCGTCTGAGGAATTGGCTGGTTTCCTACATGGTGGATTCACATGTTCTCGGCGTATGGTCAATTTTCTATGGACATCACCGTCCTCGAACATCCGGTTGCAGGTGATAGAATGACCCCTTAGTTCCACGGCTATGATTCGAGCACAAGTACACAGCTCTTAGATTTCACTTTTTTTTTTTTTCCCCTCTTTCTTTTTCCGGTTTGTGATCACATATCTTGTGACCGTTGATGTCATGTGATTGCGAAGAGGCTGTCCGGCAATTTCGTTCTCGATGAGAGATTTTGTACCAGTACAATACCTGAGCATATGTAAATTGTGTCAAACTCAACATACACAATTATATGTCATTTCCACTCTCTGGAAACACGCTGTAGCCATGACCAAGATCTTCCTTGAATCTCTGACCGCCCACCAAAAGAGGCTGGCAGTCCTGCAGGAGGAACAACATTCGAGCCCATTCGGTCTCACTGGCATTCTTCCAAGCATGCATGGTTCCTCGTTGGACCGCGACGTCACCCTTCCTCATGAGCGTCCTACTGTCATCATCCAACTCCATAATGACGCTACCCTCCAGCACAACGCCATAATCCAGGCTCTGCGTACGATGCATAAGCGCCGTATTGTGAGGTCCGAAGTTGACAATACGGATGACAGTTCCGTATGGTTGAACGATGTTTAATTTGCCCGAAGCCCTCATTTCTTCATGTAGCTTGACATCTTTGTCATCGTTGAGGTCGGGTGGAAACTCAGATGTCGTATAAAGCAGACTGTGGCTGATATTTAATCCTTCATATGGCAGTGCCACCTCGGTTGTCGAGCTTTGAACAACTGCTTGGCCGGCAGCATTATGGGACGTGATGTGCAATACAGGATCTGTAAATGGAGATTTGCCATCGTCGTAGTTAGAATTGGAACCCATTGAGTCAATTGACTGAACTGGATACGACGTATTAGAGTGCTGCTGAAAGCATCAACAAGTATGGAAGGACAATGAGGCCTTTTATCGTTCTGAAAACCCGAGACATGCTAGAAAATCTGGGTGCTTAAAACAATTAGGGTATGCGGGCTCTAATATTGAGAGGATAACTCAGGAAAACCGGTCTGGAACGGTCAATGAAGCCGCAGGACGCTGATCGGCGAGGCTGTCTCGAACCCCTCTGACACCTATGGCTGGCGAACTCTAGAACCTAGCTTTTGAGTTGGCTCAGACGGCTAATCGGACTTTTTTCCATTGCTCAGACGGATAATCCGACCTTTTTCAAGGACGATGGGCAGAGACCACCGAGCGAACTATAGAACTTGTGGAAGCATTGCCCGAGGCTTGTGGTCCGGCCATTCACTGTGGGTGAATCCTCCCAACTATTGTCCGTGTCGGCCGGGAAATCAAGACCTCCAACAGCCGGTTCCATTCAAGTGTCCAAGTGCCCATCTCAACTTCCTGCGTGTGCTCCCATATTTGTGGCGATGACTCAGGGCTACTGGGGTTATTTGTATATAAGTCCTGGCTTCCTTTATTAGTTACTTTTTATTCTGAGAACGCAGTGTCAACAACGAGAGTAAGACCAAGACAAAATGGGCTCGTGGATAGAAGTGAAAGACTCTTCAGACTTCTCGTTGCAGAATTTACCCTATGGCGTGTTCAGTACCAATGGCACAGATGCGCGAATTGGAGTTGCCATCGGTGACTGGGTTCTCGACCTCAAAGTCCTTGCGGAAGGAGGAGCATTCGACGATCTTGAATTCGACCTTGAGACATTAAAAAATACCACATTGAACGCATACGCTGGCCTAGAGAAGAAAGTCCACCAAAAAGTACGACAGAGACTACAAAAACTTCTAGAAAAAGACACTCAACTTGGACACGTTCTCAAAGAGAATAAACCACTCCATGACAAGGCTTTTTTCCCGCAGAGTGGCGTCAATATGCATCTACCAATGAAGATTGGCAACTACACAGACTTTTTTGTGGGATTGCATCACGCTAAGACGGTAAATACTTCCCTTATCTCAGCCAGTATAAATGTGACTGATAAGTTGGACATAGTGTGCCGGGTTAGTCAGACCTGGTCAGACCATTGAGCAGATCTGTCCCTGCTTTTACAATTTGCCCATCGCATACAATGGCCGAGCATCTTCTGTCGTCGTCTCTGGAACACCGTTTCATAGACCTAGAGGGCAATTCCCAGTCGATGGAGAGGTGATATCCGGTCCTTGCCGAAAGCTAGATATCGAAGTCGAATTCGCTGCTTTCATTGGTCGAGGGAACGAATTGGGGTCTCCGATAGACGTCAATCATGCCGAAGACCATATATTTGGGTTTGTGCTGCTCAATGATTGGTCAGCGCGTGATATCCAGATGTATGAAGCGACTCTGATGGGCCCGTTCAATGGAAAGAGCTTTTGCACAACAATATCTCCATGGGTTGTTCCACTTGAGGCGCTTGAGCCCTTCCGCGTTGCACCAAAGGAGACGCCGGTAAGTTCAGAATTTCTAATTTATCTTGCTGAGATTAAAACTAACTTACTAGCGTAAATTGCCTGAATACCTGACCGAGAAGCGAGAAAAGTCAGCGTACGACATTCCTATTCGAGCGACCTTAGAATGTAAGAATTTCATTACGTTACGTATTATCCCGCGGCTAACGTATATATAGTGAATTCCGAGAAATATCGTGTGGCAGACTGCAGTACAAGCAATGTTATATTCTCTTTCGCGCAAATGATCGCTCACCATACCAGTGGTGGATGCCCTTTACGGACAGGAGATCTTATTGCCACTGGTACATTGTCCGGACCAACTCGAGAAGAAGCTGGTTGCCTCCTAGAACAGACACGCGGAGGAAAGGAGCCTTTCGAGATGGTCGCGGAGGATTCGTCAAAAGGTAGCGTGCAGCGGGCTTTCTGCGAGGACAACGACACAATCATATTCGCCGCTCATGCGAAATCGAACGACGGACTTGGCAACGTAGGCTTTGGCACTTGCCAGGGTAAAGTGCTTCCAGCCATCTAACCTATTTAAGGAGGAGTCAAATACTTACAAGAAATATCCTCACTTTCATCAATTTCCAGTATGCTGAAATGTTATTATCGAACACTAAAGGAGGAAACTTGCGTCGATGACATGGCCAAACGCCCTCAATAGAGTTTTCAGGGCTTGACTATAGGGGAAGTGGCTATCAGACTTATTTCTACTTCTTTCGACGTCTTTCCCTTTCTGTACTGAACGCATGCTTAGACTCCAGATCAGGTTTAGGCCGGCACGACATCATTCGTACTTGATAATGGATTTCTATGAAAAAAGCGATAAGGTTGCTCATCTACCATTACCACCACCAGGCTGGAGGAGGCCCAAAAAGGAAGGATTGGTGAAAAATACCTCGTCATCTACCAGATTTTCAACCCACAGTGCAAAGTTCAAGAGACGATAACCGTGTTACTCGACGACCATGGGGTTGTCGTTGCTTTTATGGTCAATTCCAGTGTCCCATTTCGATCACACCGGTTTAAGGCGTATTATTTGGCGAAGGGTATAGGTCTTGTCGCCCTGCAGATAACTGTACACATCATGATTTGAGATGTTGAACCAGGCAAGGCTGGCAAAGAGTCCTAACCCTATTAGGCAGGTAAGGCTGCGGGGCTCCGATCGCTCTAATAGGACAATTCTCCGCACCAAGTCGAGTGTGTATTCAAACATAGACAAGGCACAAAAAGGGGCACATCTTTACGGGCATAGATATAGTGAAAAATCACGTACATTCATAGCTAGGCGATGAGTCGGCATCTATTTTCTACAATGCAGAAAACTTGAGTGGTTCAAAAAGAGGCTCTGATGATTAACACATTCCTACAGGAAGAGCGTTTCGCCATCTGCATTCCTTCTTTCCAATTCCGAAATGTAGTAGTTCTCGGAGGTAATGCGCCAGCATCAACAGGTGCATACCGCCTCTCGCAACCGAAAATGTTATTATACCTGGAATGCTTTTCCGTCAGCTCGCCAAGAATACGTGGCAATCAGAATTGTCCGGTCGAGACGGGATATTCTCGCAGTTCGGGATTCATTGAGATTAACTTCAAAATCCGCCTGGGGACCACCACGTCGAACGGACTATGTAAACGCGTGGTCTAGACCATCATCGGTCAGTCAATTGTACCGAGTACCACTGACGGCTTTTGACAACGCCAAAGCAATCGAGTCCCACGGTCTCGAATTTTCCGGATGAGATTCGGGGGTCAGGATCCACACCCTCGATTAGCCGAGTGAAAATCCTTGGGTACCCACGGGGATCTCAAAGTATAGACTTGAGGCATTCGCATGTTATAGACGACGCAAAACCACTGGAGAATCAATCCACCCACATCTACCAGAAAAATGGATATCGAGTCGAAGACTGGAGGCACTTGTCACTACGAGGGCTCTGCGGCAGGAGAGAAGTCTGAGCAGAGAGAGCATCATCGCCATGGTCGCTCGCAACATCGTGGTCTCGCTGATGGCGGAGCAGTCACCAAACAAGGACACATATTCAAAGGCAAGCACAACTCACTCTATCTCATACTTTACGTACTTACTATAAACCCAGAGGATGGGAACGGAACAGTGATCGAGAGGCTTCTTCTTCCGCGACCCACCGATGATCCGAGGGACCCTCTGGTTTGTCATGAACTGTCGTGCTCCCGTGGTGCCGTCTGTTCTGACTACGTGGCAGTTATGGCCTCTGTGGCGTAAACACTCGGCGATGGGCGCGGTGTGCTTCTTCGTCTTCCTGTCCAACTATGTTACCGTCTCTCTGTCACCAATTCTTATTTCCATAATCACCGATTTCAACATCAGCGTGAATCAGGCAGGGTACCTTATAACGCTCAATCTACTCTTTTTGGGACTTGGAAATCTCTTCTGGATTCCATTATCTGAAAGGATAGGGAAACGGCCTGTCCTTATTGCCTGCGCCTTGACCTACTTTGTTTGCAGTATCTGGGCTGCAGTTGCGAAAACCTATGGCACGTTCCTTGGGGCAAGAATTATGCAAGGTTTTGGAGCCAGCGCCAGCGAGGCACTCGGACCGGCAGTGGTGGCTGATCTCTACGTAAGTTGTTTCAGTCCTTTGGAACCTGTGACGGGCTGCTCGGATATGCCCTAAGGACTTTGGTCATCCCGACACAGTGGCTAACAGTTCTATAGTTCGTCCACGAGAGAGGCTTGTTTATGAGCATTTATCTTCTCATATTTACTGTTGGGGTCTCTCTGGGCGGCATCTGGTCTGGTCTCATTGCAAGCTCAACGCCCAATTGGCACTGGGTCTTGTGGCACGATACCATCTTGACGGGGTTTATGTTTCTAGTCATTGTGCTTTTTGCCCCAGAGACCAACTTCAAACGTCCCCCTGAGAATGAGTCTGGAGAAGGAATGCCGTTGCCTGACCTTGTCAATCTCCGCAAGAGAGTTAAGTTCAGCTGGATTAGATCCCTTAGCGTTACCACTTGGTACGATAGGTCCGTATTCCCACCACCAACTACTCGGCTCTAACAGGAGTCACTGACTTAAGGCAGGGAGTTTTCTATCTGGTGGCTTTGGTGGAGGCCTTGGCTGACACTTCGCCTCCCTGCGGTTTGGTTTTGTATCATTACCTACGGTGTCTCCTTGGGATGGCAGATCATCCAGGCCACTGCTAACGGTGTGATTTTTCCGGCAATCTATAACTTCTCGCCGCAAGGAGTGGGAAATATTAGCTGTGCGGTTAGATATATCCTTTCACCCTGTACAGCGGTCTCTTTACTGACTATGTAACAGTATCTAGTGGCATCCTTCGTAGGATGCGCTGCAGGTGGACCATTTCTCGACTGGCTGACACGATACATTACCAAACGCCGTGGTGGCTACTTTGTTCCCGAGTACCGCTTGTGGGCTATGATTCCACCATCTGTCGTATTTCCAATTGGCCTACTAATGTACGGGGGTGGTCTTGAACATCATCTGAACTATATGATTCCCATTGTCGGAAGTGCGATAGGGTATGCTGTCCTCTGCGTGGTACCTTCCGTGGGCATGACCTATGTGGTCGACTGTTACAGACCTCTTTCTGGTGAGACGATGACCATGGTTACGGCGGCAAAGAATACATTTGGATTTGCGCTCAGCTTTGCAGTCTTCCCATGGCTAGAGAGGGACGGTTATTTTAAAGTGAGTTGTATGCGTCCTCTTTACCACCATGATGCTAATGACGACTTCAGGCATCAGGGATTCAGGTTCTCATTCAAGCTATCCTGTTTCTTACTACTATCCCGATGTATATCTACGGAGCAAGGCTACGACAGTGGACTTCAAAATTTCTAATTTGAAGCACAGAACAAAGCTGGAAACAAACAGATTGAGGTTGTGGAGACGAGGGCTTCAGGTTTTTGTTTTTGTTTTTTTGAATGATTGCAGTCTGCACTTCATGAGGAGAACAGGAGGTGGTTGAGAGGGGAATTATTGGGTCTCTAAACCGAAGCACGCCGGCAACGGTCTGTTGAGGATTTCGCGTCTCAATTAGCAGGTATTCGGTAGTCGATAGGAGAATGGGATCACAAATGCAGACTCTCCCAGTTTATTGCGATTGTAGCCTAATTCACAAACCTCCATTCATTATTCAGCCAAGCACCGTCGCAGACAATGGATAACTTGTAGTCTGGCAACAGCTCAGCAGATTGGCCTATTATCATGGAGACCCTACCTAAATCCACATTGGTACAGGTATTTTCTCGAATAATTGCGCCTTCCTGTTGAGAAAGGCCTCGGCATCGGCGGCAAGTGGTAGAAAAGCAAAAGCGTTGTCAGGTTTCAAATTCCCGATCTAGATTCATGTCCCCGGTGGCACAACGAAAGAGTGTGGGGAGATCAGTCTGGGGAACCGATTTCCGAGCATTGGGCATGTGTCAAGAATATCCCGGTTTTAGCGAAGAGGTGTGTCCCAATAATGTGAATTGCCGTGTCCCCACCAGAGTAACCGGATATCCTAATCCTGGCAGCAAACTCTGATCTTTTCATATCTTGTCTGAGCATAACTGCTTCGCTCGGTCAAGGGCAAGACAGTGTCGGTGCACGCAACAGGAGTAGACGTCGTCATGACCGGAAAGTATATCATCAAGAATGCAAGCCATGTCGTCTCCATGGACAACACTATCGGCAACCCAACGAACTGTGACGTCCTAATCGAAGATGAATACATCCGAGCTGTCGGCCCCAATTTAAAGTCTTCTTCTGACCATACAATCATTGACGGCACCGATGTAATTGTATGTCCTGGTTTTATTGACACCCACCGACATACCTGGCAGACCCAGCTGCGGACGGTCGCAACAGACCACGTCCTACCAGATTACATCCTGTACCTGAGACAAATATACGGGTCTTCATATACACCTCATGACGCCTACATTGGAAATTATTGTGGAGCTCTGGAATCGATTGATAATGGCATCACGTACCTAGTTGACCATTCTCATATTATGAACTCTCCTGAACACGCAGACGCCGCCGTGCAAGGTCTCATCGATGCAAAGATTCGCGCCGTTTTCTGTTACGCCACTTATATGAATCCGACGTGGGAGGGTTCTTGCATGGACAAAGAACGAGAAGAAACGACGCCAGATTGGCGACTAAAGGACGCCGAAAGAATTAAGGAGAAGTATTTTCAGTCGAACGAGCCTGGAGATCTTTTACGGATGGGTTTTACGCTCTCTGAGCCGGACTTAACTCCAATAGATCAGCTGGTCCGCGAGATCCAGCATGCAAGGTCTATTGGTGCTAAAGTCATTACAGCACACAGCAGCCACGGTAAATGGGATCCTGGCAATTTTATTGTACGACGGCTCGGGCAGAAAAAAATGGTAGGCCCAGATCTACTGTTCAGCCATGGAACATCCTTCAGCGAGGACGAGCTACTTCTAATTCAGGAATACGGAGTCGGTATATGTTCTACGCCAGACACCGAGCTTCAAATGGGCATGAGCCATCCCATTGCATTTAAAGCTAAAGATCTCGGCTGCAAGGCATCTCTAGGCGTCGATGTATGTTGCAGTACGCCAGCCGATATGTTTCGACAGATGCGGCTATTACTTCAAGCGCAAAGACATCTTGAGCACGAAGCTCTAACCGGAGGTGCATTAAATATGGCACGGAAATGTGAGGAAGTTCTTGAGATGGCTACTATGGGTGGTGCGAAGGCGGTCGGCCTAGACAAAGTTATTGGAAGCATCACACCAGGCAAAAGGGCAGATTTAATCCTTGTTAAATGCGACAACCTCAGAATGTTCCCGATCCACGATCCGATCGGAGCACTCGTACTTTATGCCAACGGCTCCGACATCGAAACCGTCTTTATCAACGGCGAAATTGTGAAATCTGGAGGGAAACTTCAGGTGGAATGGCCAAAACTTCGCGAAGAATTGCGTGCATCAGTCAAATCAATAATGGCAAGGTCCAAAAAGGCTCCCCTGGAGGACTTGAAGGCCGCGCGGGATGAATTCATCAAGGCTCTTGTTAGCAGAGAGTAGCACTTTGAGAGAAAATTCATCAAAGCTGGCATAGTAATGCAGGGGGCTGCGGTAGTGGTAATACTTCTCTCTGAGCTTGTCCCCATCTGACCTCTCGCACGACTTTAATCATCTGTTGTGGCTTCTATTTGTGATTTTGTTACAAGAACACAAAGGGATCGGTCAGCTATTGTCAGAGTTTGGGCAATGGTGATCATTAGGTTGCATGAACCGCTGGGTCGCTGCACGCAAAGCCATACGTCTCGAACCGGTTTGCGTCTAATACTGAATCAACTCGAGAAGATACCCGTCCGGATCCTGCGCAAATGCGACACCCTGGATGAATTCCCAGATGCCCTTGTTTCGTCCTTTTTCAGGAGGTTCAAAACCCAGTGCCTGGGCAACTTCTCCTACACCATCGGACGTTCCAGGTTCTTTCAAAACTTTGACTCCATGCTCCTTCAACCGCGATATACAGGCGGCCAAATCGGGTACCGAGAAAGCCAACTTTAAAAGACCACATTCAGGGTGCTGAGTTCCATGAGTGACTGATTTTTGGGTATGCTGTTGTGAAACTTTTAGCGAAATTATCGCGTCTGAATTGGAAAAGCTGGCGAATAAAACCATGTATGCGCACCGATATGACTTGACATACCTCAGACCAGGACAGTTCCAGGACGCCCTCGCGACTCAGCGCTTTTTCCGGGCCACCACCCTCAGGATAGCCCAAGAGGACGAGGCTCAGTGTGTCCGAAGATATCCGAGTAAGGACTTGCATGCCTAGCACTGCCTCGTAAAAGAATAGCGACTTTTCCAGGTCCGAGACACGAATGCCAACCTGGTTGTGTAACCAGCCGCGGCTAAAGGTGCTCGATTCTGCCATTTCAAAGAACTATATCAGCAAAGATGTATCTCAGATAAGGCAAGATCGGTCGACGAAAGACGCTCGGTATGATTTCGGTGCCTTCTCTACACGACAGGTCTTTGTGTTTCTTTCATATATATACACATGCGTGACAGCGCTACCCCAAACCAATGCTAGTGCTCCGACGGAAGCGGAAAATTAGTCGCAAGGGTCTCAGTAGACCGGCATACAAACCCCCTGGTCACTCGCCAGTTAATCCAGCTAAGCTGAAAAAGACAGTCTATGCGAGGGTAAACATGTGTCTTATTTGCCAATGCCTCCTACGCGTCCGTCTTGTGCGGTCTCCGACTATACACAAGGACGGAGGCGAGGTCAGGGGGCCTGGTACTGTGAGCCTTGTGTTACTCCGGTAGGGACTCATATTCGTCTCCTTTCGTTCACACCATAGCTACACTGCTCGGCCTCAGTGTTTCTTGCCTGAAACTCAGCACATCTGGGGCGAAAAATCAGCGGGAAGATGAATGCAATGGTTGGTCTCGTCCGAACACAGCAAGCCTACCTCGATTTGCTTCTAATCTATGAGATCGAGTGCCGACGTTCGGAGTTGTGGCGCGCTGTTCGGCATGCACACTACGAGGGTACCAAACTCCGCTAACGTGCGATGGCCAGTTCACGAAAGTACAACACGAAAATGCATCTAGTTGGGTGAATGTTGACTATTTAAATGCATTAAACCCGTCGATCCGAAGTTCGCATGAGAAATTCATGATAAAAGCCCGTGACTCCACTGACCTCTGGTGCTCCAAAAGATGTCGCCTCGACCCCAGGATGTCCTAAGGAGTGCAGGTGACTGGATTCCCGCTGCGACCTGAAAGCTTCTCACGGTCCAAGGCTCTCGGATTGAGTCCTTCTTTGGAACGAACCACAACTTTTTCGTACAGCAGTGGAGTTGTCATCTAATTGCTTATACAGAGAGTTTAGGCACTGTCAAAGTGAAGCATCACAAGGTGCGTCAGGAGGAGAAGGGGAAAAATGAGTCTGAAGAAAGGGTGAGAGGGATGGGTAGGAGACGTGGTTATAGCCGTTAAAAGCAGCGGCGCGCCCAGCCTGTGACCATATCCAAAATGGCAGGATTACCTAAACTAAAGGTGGATTTCCTGGCGAGCTGGCAACAACATTGCAAGTACATAAAAAAACCATGGGCTCGCCTTGCTCGCCCTGATGCCCCCAGATTTCGCCGAAAGAGGCATCTTGGTGGGTAAAGAGACAGTATCAAATCGACACCGAGCGCACCTCGACACTCACCCCACCTGCGCCACTTTTAACACGCTGACCTCCCACTTACCCTCATTATGGACAAGACTACTGGGAGCCTTCTGTTGCCTGATACAAACTAACTTAGCAGTTCTCGTTCACGTCCTTAAACTCTCTACTCAAATCTTACGAGGACTTACTTAGCTCCAGCGGCAAGAGAGTTTCACCTCAAGCGGCTACAGCTGCCCGTAAGGCTTCATAGCCCGCGCATACTGAAACAAAGACTTTAGCCGCTGATGCCAAATCAGTGAGTGCTTGAGGCATTGTGACCTCCCGGCCGGCTGCTGCTGGGTGTAAGAATCCCATTTTTCGTAGCTTAAAGCCTCCGAAGACCGTCTACCGTCATTGAGATCATCTCGTTTTTCCGATAGCCTTGTATCTGCATCTTGTTCTTGAGCAGCACTTCCCATAATGGCCTTATCTCTTCCAGATCCTCAGCCGCAGCTATGGAAGATTCTGTCTCCTCACCAGGAAGCCATGGTCGAAGCATGCAAGACCGGCCAACTAGCTCAGTTACAACGGCTGTTTGAGGAGCACCATGTCAAGCAAGGTCACGAAATTATCTGGTATAATGATACCAAAGGAGAGGGTGCTCCCACGACAGCTACGCTCTTTGAAGCAGCCATTTCTCATGGGCAACAATCCAACGTCCGATGCCTGCGCTCGATATATCCTGATTTCGACTTTAGAGAACCCTGGTCCGTTAGAACGCTCGCTAAGACGGGAGACCTTGATATGCTCAAGCTGATCTATTCCTACTCCCCTGAGCCCTGGCGTTGTCAGTTTTGGGTTCGACGACCACATGACGTCCATGCTGAGCTTGGCTATTGAAGAGGGCCCTCAGAATGCGCCTTTCATTCTCTTCCTTCTAGATCACGGAGCGATGAGTTTGGACAACGGCAGCTACACTTACCATCTTGGATGCGAATTGTTGCCGGCCATTACCAACGACCAACCGATAGGGGTCATCAAAAGGATGGTTCCCCTGACCGCCTGTCTATCGTTTCCCAAAATGACAGCAATCAATCGCAAACGTACCGACGCACTTGAGGCATTCCTGGACGAGGAGCAGAAGAGGATACGAGGGACCCAGTCCAGTGAAGATTTGGAGTCGACGCTGCAGTCTGTAAAGAGCACAGGAGACAAGGAATTAATTGCCGTGGTAGAACGCCACATTCACAAGGTTGAGCAGCAAGCGGCCAAAGACGCTCAAAAGAATTCGAGGTCTACCAAGAAGTGGTGGCAATTCGGAATGGGGAAGAAGGCGACTGAGAACACAGCGCCCACAGATTCCAGCAGCCCGACACGGTCAGAAGGCTCAAGTTGGTGGCCGTCGCTCTCAAAGACTTGACATGACCCCATGCCTCCAGAGATGATTCAGCAGAAGAAGGAGGTCCACGATTCGAGCTCGGACGAGGAGACCGTATGAGCCTTGACGCTGTTGGATACAGCCGAGTCCCTTTCCGTTTCGCCCAGAAGAAAGCCAAAGCCGCCGAATACGAAAGGCTAGATTTGCGGGTTAATTTATGACAAAGAGAAGGTGGTCATTGGCCGAGGATACATGACTTCACGGAGGTCGTCGGTGTCGTGGCGTGTATTTTTACATAATTCATGAATAGCGTAGCCATCATTTGCCGAGTAATCCCATTTTCCAAACAGTGCTTTCTAATCTCCAGTGTCGACCTCCAAATCCGGGTGCACGTTGTTGCGGACCCCATAGTCTTGCAGAGTGAGTTGATTCTCGAAAGGTCTTTCCCCTTGTCGCTTAAGAAGTATTTTCGTGAGGCTTTCGATCGATCATCGAGGCGACGATTACTTTTAAATCCTCTGCCACTTTGTGATTATTCGACATTGTGTCAGCAAGCAGGTATTATACCTGCTGGTGGGATGTGTAGCAAAAAATGGAATCGCCTGCTTTGTGCCTAGTCTGTTGTTGACATAAACCGTAATCACGGGTTGTGGAGACACTGCTGGTGCGGGCTTCTTCTGTTTCTTTTTCTCACGCGCTTCCTACTTCTCTCGCCCGGGACACGATCATCTCTATCTTGTCTGCGACCGCGGTCTCAGTTTCTATCATCTCTTCTGGGTGATCATCTTCGTGGAAGCGAACTGGATCTTGAACGAGGCCGGTAGTGGTTGCTAGAGCCTCGCTGGAGTCCTGAATCTCTGTCTCGTTCGCTTCTCGACGAGTCATCTCCGTCTCTATATGGATTTTCTGCATTCCAACATATTCCTAAGTACGCATAATCGAACACGGAAATTCCATTCCTGGATGAAGCTCTCTGAACCCCGTCACATATAAGCAACATAGAATACCCACAAGCAAGGGACTTGTTTACAGAGTGTATTCAGTCAGGCTGAAGCCTTGAGGATAATCTAATTTGAAGCTTGGGGCTGAAACTTGCATGAACATATGGCGATTTTGACTGTTATTGATGCGTGCAGACAAGAATAGAACCTTGAATCTCAGTAATTTGAAAAGCTCGCATTTCTCGTAGGCCGACGATCGAATCTGACAGGTCGATCTGGACCCGGTGCTACATGCTTCATAAAGTAAACAAGTCTGCAGGGTGCTCTGGATTCCGTGTCTCTTGGTCATGCTCTGCATTTCCTCTTTTTCCCACTCTGAGACTTTCAACCGAACAGTAAAGCCGAAGACGCAGAAACCATGAACTGGAGAGAAGTCCCAAGAGGGCGGCTGGGTGTGCGACGCATAGGGCGAGATGACATTGGGGCTGCCTTCATAAAGGTTGTACCCACTGTGGAAGAAGATTCCCTCGCACCGTACAAATCCTGGTCTGAAAATAATGCAACTGGATGATGGTATTCTCTGCGCACTGCTTTGGCAAAATACCTCGAATACCGTCATCAGTGACAACGCATACGCTCGAAGTGTGGCTGTATGGCTACAATAGTTCATTCGTTGCCGCTTTTGCTTTGTAAATTACATCGTGTATTATTCGATCATTCTAAAACCAATATGGAAATCTGAACCGCGCCTCGACAGAGCCACGGTAAGTTGAGGTCCTTAACGATTCGTCAATATCGACCAGCGCTCCGGTTGAAGAGGCTCACATTTTCATTGGAGAGGCTCATTACCATCATGGCTGCCAAGACGGAATATCTACAGGACCAATCACAAACGTTGCCGCTCAGCCCGCGGCAAGGCGCCAGGCGCTTTACAAGGAGATCCCACTGCTGGCGCGAGCCGAGGATGAGCACAGGGCGGCATCAGCCTACTCCCAAACGGGGGTGAGCTCGGTGCCGATTCACCTTCTCTTGGCCGTGGAGCAACATCAACCAAGGAAATTCCTTCACCTCGCCCAAGACTAGTTAATGCACTATACCGTCTATCTCAAAATCGATCCAGAAGCCGAAGGGTCTTCCTCGTTGCTGACCTGCCAACCAAGGCTATCATTCTGGACCACAAGATCGAAGAGATCCCCTGGAGCTATATAAGATGAAGCCCCGTGTTTGCCCGACTCTCCGCAAGGCCTACAAGAGCCAATTCCAGTGGAACGAGCGCGCCAAACAAGGCTTGAGACATCTGACCACGACTGGAACATGCTCAAGAGCGACAGTCGACCCTTTCGCGAAGACCGCAAGGCTACCATGTCAACTACTCACAGCCTCGTTCCAGCGCCGCCACCAAAGCACATCCCCACCAATATCAAGCAGCGCCGCTCTCCCACGCGTTCTCGTCAATGACATGACGAACCAGGAACTCATCGTTGACTTCAACACGGGCACAGCACTGCGTTATCCGTCGTTCTGGCTAAGAGACCACTGTCCCTGCCCGGAATGTCAGCATCCAAGCACCCATCAGCGGCAACTCGACACTTTTGCTATTGACCCAGAGATCAAAGTCTCGAGTGTGCAGTCCACATCGGAGGGACTCGAAGTGACTTGGCCAGTCACGGCGGCGACAACGACGACAGCAGCAGCAGGATCTAGGAATGCAGACACTGTAGCCGCTACGGGCGGGAATGGGAGCCACAGAAGTCTATATGCGTGGGAATGGCTCCAGACTCATCCGCCTTTCATACAAGCCACCACCAACAAGGCTGCATCAACAGTGCCCAAAAGAAAATGGACACACGTCTCTCCTTCCTCTCAGTCACTCCCTCGAGTACCCTACTCGGCAATCATGGACACCTCTTCCAACCTGGGGCTTGCACAATTCCTCGAATCAATCTACACCTATGGCCTGTGCTTCATTCCTTCGACGCCGCCCACTCCAAGCGCGACACAATCCCTCATTGAACGTATCTCGCACATCCGGTCAACCCACTACGGTGGCTTCTGGGACTTCACCTCGGAACCCAACCCCATCGACACTGCGTACACGGACGACTATCTACCCCCGCACACCGACACGACATACTTCACCGACCCGGCCGGGCTCCAGCTCTTCCACTGCCTGACACCTGCAGAGAAGGGCGGCGAATCGACCTTCGTGGACGGCTTCGCGGCCGCCGCGTACCTCTCCAAAAACTTCCCGCAGCACTACCGCGCCCTCAGCACGTACCCGATCACGTCCGCAGCGCTGGGCTCGTCCGCAGGCGAATTCTACAACACCGCCGCCTCACCCCAGGGATATCCCGTGCTCGTGCACTCTTCCACACCGTCATCCTCTGCACCCATGACGCCGACTTCCCTGGTCCAAATTCGATGGAACAACCTCGACCGCGTGCCTCCCACAACTGCCTCGTTCCCGAACCACACGGCCCTGAAGTCCTGGTACGACGCGGCGCGCGAGTGGAGCCGCATCCTCGACTCGCCGCAATTCCTGATCACCACGGCCCTGGCGCCCGGCGAGCCCGTCATCTTCGATAACTGGCGCACTCTGCACGGCCGGCTGGGCTTCGAGGGTAAAAGGAGGGTGTGCGGAGCGTATGTCGGCATGGATGATTTCCGCGCTCGATGCAGAGGTCTCGGTGTCGGCGACGTGTGACTACTATGCACCTACGTAGGTATGAAACCAGGGCGGCGATGCGATGTGCTTTGAGGGTGAAGGGGTTTAGGCGTAGAAACAGAAGGAGGAGAAACACCACGATTCAATAAATGAGTAAATAGTCTCTCCTGCGTCCCTCGGCGTGATCGTATATAGCGAGTGAGGGGCACGGTGGCGTGATTGATATTTTCATCGCCCAGGGGTCAAGACATTCCTAAAGACATATGGGGTCCATGTGGGAAACGTCAAGAACGAAAAAGCAAGTCAATTCGATCTCAATCAATCACTTGGGTTTCCTTCGAATCATGCTGCATGCATGCTATCTCCCTGACTCGAATCTCGATGTCCCAATTCAAGCCCGGCAGCCATGAGGAATATTAATTGCACGTGTGTTTCTTCTCCCGTTTCGTTCCGTTTTCGTTCCATGTCGTACCCAGGCGATGATATATCCGTTTGAAAAGACTATGCCAAAGCCATTGTCAATTTCCCACGCCTTGTGCCATGTGAATCTGTTGTGACATTTGATTCAGACCCGTTTCACTCACAGCACACCCATATCATCCTGACTCCGCTCACTGTTGTGAAAGAATGTTGACCGCTGATGTACATTTCTTTGTCGTCTGTGGATTCAAGTTCTCTCCCAGGTGTCGCCGACTCGATTCTTTGACCTGTGCTCATTTTCATTTTCACGGTTTCCTCCGCCGTTAGATCGAGAACAACTGCTCCCATTCAGAGAGGCGGCGGAAATTGAGGTACATGTCGTAAACGGTGCAATCCAACCCTTGTTCCGCGTCCAACTTCTTTCGATGCTCCGCCATGCGCACGATCTCATTGTGACGCGCCTCCACGAGGCCCTGGAACCCGTTGCGCTGTTGACGGAGGACCTTAATCTCGATGTCGAGCTGGCGCAGGAAGGAGGCAGGGACCTTTGGTCGCATGTTGTAGTAGTAGGCGGCGCGAGAGCAGTAGTCTTTGATCTCCTGGTTGCGCGCAACGACGGTGCGTCGGAGGTGGTCAAGCGCGCTGAGCTGGCGGTTGAGGAGACCTTCGATATCGGTGCGATTGTCCGGGAGAGGGTCGGGCTGGGCACTGAGCCGATCGTACTTTGATTCCGTAGATGCGTCGCTCTTCTTGCTGTCGTTTGTCGCGGCCCGTTTCAAGGAGGAGAAGACAGACTTGAGGCTGCCCAGGCTGTTGCTGTTGCTGGTGTGTTCTGGGTCGCCACTGCCTAGAATATTCTCGGTAGAAGACATGTTTTATGTCTTACTATGAGCGGGCTTCGTTGGGGGTTGTTTTTGTCGTTCTTGTTTATAAATTTTCTTCGTTGGACGTGTTGGTGAAAGGCATTCCTGCCGAGCTGACCTGGAGAACGGGTACCAAATCAGCGACTGTCTCAACAAAGCAATTGTGAAGTTCGGTGGAGACGTTCTCGCTGAGTCTCAACTCCAGCGGGACATCTGGGACTCCGGGGGACGTCACCAACACCAACATTGGCGGCGTTGGTGGTGTGTTGCTCAATCAGCGGACGCTCTGGTACTTCAGAGCACGTGCAGGGGACAACGTCCTTCTCGCCAAGAGGAGAGTCGTTGTCCAGGTGGACGTATCGATTCCATCAGAGGCTGGAGAGACTTCACAAGGGCAGCCTGTTTTCACTAGGGACACCAACGACGACTTCACTTACATGAGACGACTGGCAATAACATCTACCTAGGTACCTTAAAACAAAACTTGCCGCGATATGAGAGGGAAGAGGATCTGGACTGTCCAACGACTGGAAAAGGTTCGGTAAATGGTAAGCATGGTGGTGCGTGGGCGGTGGCATTGTCGATGGGAGTGAAGAAGACCGACACAAGGTATCAGAGACAAAGCGAGGCCGGTGATGTTTGCTGATATCCCGAGATCCAAAGAGAAGGTAGGAGACAATACAGGGCAAGTGAACAATGTTTTGTGTATTCATTTCACTATTGCCGTGGGCAGCAGGCAGAAAAGATCCATCGACCCGGCAATGAAATAGTGAAACGACGGACATCATACATCCACAGTGCCGAGCGACGTCAGTACCAGGAAAGATGACAGTGACCGCTCGATGAACGATCAATTGCCCTCGAGATGCTTAGTTCAACCCCATCCTGCCAATGTCCAGCTCGTTCTCTCGCTGCCTTTCGTTGCAGTGGTGCGTTGTTGATGAAGAGCACCAGGATCCAGATCACGATGCGCTCCAGCCAGTCCATGAGAGAGAAATCTCTCCCTCTCGATCTCGACAAAGGATTTCGCCTTCAAACTAGCAACAAGACTCGCACCGGCCCAAGGTCCGAGAGACTCGACCTGTCGCAAGACGGCAGCAACAGGTTGGTATACATCCTTCGATTTCTGTTTGAAGAGCCGTGCTTCAACAAAGTCATCGGCTCCGGGAGGGTTGACATCGTGTCGAGCATCAGGGGGAGCAGCTCTCGCTTGAGCAAGCTCTGCGAAGCTACTCCGCTTTGCCGTCATATGCTTCCCTCTGATCGGCGTCCATCCGTGCTCGCCGATGATGGAATTGGTCGTGTCGAGCACTTGTTGCGACAAGCCTGCCACAGCTGAACCCCTGCCTAGGAAGATGATCCTTGACATGCAGATACTCCGGACATCCGACGATACGGTCAGAAGCGTTGTGTACAAGAGCTGACTTATGGATTGTTCATGATCGTCCCTGTGTTCTTCGTTCTTTGGTGTTACTAGTGTGTCGAGAGATGCCTGGCACAGTGCCTGTTTGGAGACAGCGATGGGTCGAGAGGATGTGTCAGTGGGCCAGTCGATCACCATGCTTGCTGCGTCATCGCCAATTGCAACAGTATGTTGTTGGTCTTCAAGATTCAAAGCTTTCGTCCTCGCTGAGAGATCGTCTGGTGTGTCTGGAAACAACGCATGGCATGCACCAGCGCGGTCCACGAACTCTTCGATAAAGTTAAAATCTAGCACAAGTGAATCCCGAATCGACTCGTCCTGTTCTTTTTTGACACTCTCCAACAGTGCTCCAATCTTGATAGTCAGAGCCTTCATGGCGCGAACACTCCGGCGAACATTTATTTCGCGATACTCGTAAATTGCCGTGATCACCGTCTCCTCCCAGCCAACCTCCACCACGAGACCCGATCGCAAACCCGCTCCAACGATGGCCATGGTCGGTGCGGGTAATAGTGTGATAGTAGAGTACTTCCATCTCTCGAATAGCAGCGTCAAGGCTGTTGACAACACCGGATGAGGCACTAGTGAAGGCAAGACCAACACCAACCGCGCAGTACCTGCATCCACTAACAGATATTTGTTGTACGCTTCCCGAACCGCCCGTTCCAACTTATCCTCCAGCAGATCCAAATCGACATCTTTCAGATCGTTTCTCCACAATTCATACTCCTTACTCTTGGATGCCACATCTTGCCTACGTCTTCTGAACTCTGGCAGAAACGTGCGATAATCCCCTACTCGTCTCGAACTCTGAGAGGTGAATGGGATGAAACACTGCGGGCCACTTTCGCCCTGAAAGCCGGCACTGAGGCCGCGAGGGTCGAGCTCGATGATAATGGGATCTTCTTCGGCGCGAAAAGAGTACGAGCCCGGCGATGACTGGGCAGAGGAGAGAAAACGACTGGTGGGCGTATGAGGACTGCCGGATTGCTGGCGTGACGATGCTTCGCGCAGACTTGGGCGGATGGCGGAGGCGACGGTGGATGCCATTGCCCGGTCTTTTTGCTTGTCGTCGCCTCCACCTCCCTTGCAAGTGCTGGATTGTTAGTCAGAGCGCGTTGCGAAGAAAATGGTTCACCAAGTTGCCCAAGTTGCTCTGGTGGTTGAAATCTCGATGGACGCGGTTCCATCTGACCAATCAGAAGGTTGGTTTGGCTTAGTCATCACATCATCTGCGAACACTGTGCGTCGAGCATTCAGTACTTCAAGCACATTGTATAGAGTACAAGTATTACTTTCCGCATACGAGTAGTACCTAACAACTCTTTGTGTTCTCCAGGACACGAAGGAGCCGGCCCGAGGCCTGCCGCGTCTTGCAGGGGCTCATCGCCTCGTAATTTCCTTCTTGCTATGTCCGATATTTTGCCGGTGCAGCAACGTCAACAAATAACTCTATTTGGGACAACTCTCAGGACCCTGAAGACCTTTTCACCAGCTTCAATACCGCAACACCTCAGCGAGTAGAGAGGCAATGGTAGATATTGGCTCCATATCCTGATTATGCAGAACAATTCAAATGAAGAAATAGCCGCTGAGGAAGATGGGAATTCCCGGGTAAGTTAACGATGACTTCCCCATATCCCGTGGCCCTTAAGCCATAGAGCCTCTAAACAGAGACCTCGAGAGAAGTCAAGAGAACAAGAGACAAAGAAACCATCATCTCGAGCCAAATACTATACAAATCCTAACCACTCTTGTCTACGTCAGCCTTCTGAAGGAAATCGGTAAAGGCGAACGCATTGCTCTCTCCCGCCTCTCCATTGAGCATCTGCAGAAACACTCCCGCCCGCTCCGAATCGCCATTGACGCAGCAATCTGGAACTTCCAGACTCAGCACGGCGGACAAGGTGGGAAAAACCCGGCCCTTCGAACACTCTTTTATCGTCTCATCAGGTTGCTCGCGCTACCCATCCAGCCCGTTTTTGTCTATGATGGGAAGAACAAACCCCTCACGAAAAGGGGGCGGACCGTGTCGAGATGGCACGGTGGATGCACTGAAAGCGAGATGTCGAAGGTTTTAATTTCTCTGTTTCGGTTCCCAACGCATGTGGCGCCCGGGGAAGCTGAGGCGGAGTGTGCGATGCTTCAGCGGAAAGGCGTTGTGGATGCAGTTATGACGCAGGATGTTGACGCAATCATGTTTGGCTCTGGCCTCACCTTGAGAGATTGGTCGAAAGAAGCCAATGGGAGGAAAGGGAACAACACTCCCACGCACGTCAACGTTTTGGATTTGGCGCGGGTAAATGAAATGAGCGGGTTAGATCCCGAGGGAATGATCTTGGTAGCGCTATTGAGCGGTGGTGATTATGATGAAGCTGGCGTCGCCGGCATTGGATGTACGTTGGCATGCGAGATCGCAAGGGCAGGGTTTGGGAACGACCTTTTGGAACTAATCAGAAACGGGGATGAAGATGGGATTAGGGACTGGAGGGAGCGACTGCAGTTCGAGCTGGAGGCCAACGAGAGCGGGTATTTCAAGATGAAGAGGAAATCGATTCGGATTCCAGACAACTTTCCGGATAGGAAAATACTGGGATATTATATGAACCCGGCGGTGACGCCGCCAGAGGAATTGAAGAGCTTGGAAAGCAAATGGGTGAACGCTTGGGAGGCCGAGGTCAATATCCGAGCCCTACGCGAATATGTGGCTGAAATGTTCGAATGGCTGTATAAGCCGGGTGCTTGGAAGTTTGTTCGTGTCATGGCGCCAGCCCTACTTGCAAACCAGTTACGACGCGGTACTGCGCCATCAAACATCACATCTGTTGAGCAAATCACCGAACGCAGGCAGCATTTCGTGAGTGATGGAATCCCAGAGCTCAGGATCACGGTAATCCCCGCCGAGGTCGTCGGGCTTGATCTCGATGCCGAAGAGGACAGCCCAGAGTATCTGCAACTGCTTGCTGAGGAAGAGAATGAAGCAGGAGCGGCAGAAACAGAACATGGAGGGATCGAGGAGAATGCTCCTCTCAGCCCATGCAAGAAGCGCAAATCGCCTCCTTGGTTGCCTGACGCGCCAGAGAAGATGTGGATTGCACAAACGATTGTCGAACTCGGAGCTCTAGAGCACGTCGAGCGGTGGAAACAAATCCAGTCCGACCTTGACAACGATCCCAAGAAATTTGCGACACGGAAGTGTCAAAAGCAAAAGGAGACGAAAAAGCTGAAAGCGGCTGGAGGTATGCAGCAAGGAGCTCTTTTGAGCTATGTTGTCGCTGCAAACAAATCCACCGAGCCCAAGGTACACAACGCAAAGTCCATCGCATCGCCTCCTCGCCCAAGGGCAAATATGAGTGCACCTCGGATGGTCAAGTCTCCCACCAAGCTCGAATCCAGCCTGCGAGTTCAACACCCGGACTCTCCGACAATGCTGGACTTCTTCAAGTCCACCAAGAGTAGTCAACTATCCGACCTTGTCAGAACCAGTATCAACAATGGCGACGACCCATTCATCCTCGATGATGAAACCCGAGGCGACAAACATTCAAGGCCCTCGATTTCAAGCTCGTCGGAAGTGGGACGGCGGATTGTGCAGAGCCCAGCCCAGCCCCATGGAAATGGGTCCCGATCGATTTCGCAAAACGCGACACGGTCCAAGCCGAAAGATTTAGCGTCAGTGACACAATCAGACTCCACCTCTTCGCCAATGCAGAGAGACCTCGACTCGACAGTGGACCGTCAGAAAGCAGAAGAAGCCTTGGATCTGGAGAATAAACTCGGCAATGTCACACGGCGCACTCCAAAAAGACGAGCGAAAAAGTACGGAACCCTCGCCGAAAATGAATCACCGAATGAGAGCCCAGCCCGACCTCAACGACGTGTCGCAAGCTTCTTTAAGCCATATGTACGGGCGAAAGCACCACCAGTGGAAGTGGCATCATCCGAAGATATACATCCGGCTGGAGTCCCGCCCAAGCTCCCCCCACGGCCGTCGAAAACTTCCTCTGCCACCACACACATCCATGCAATTCCCCGGTCGAGCCTCCCAGGCACCTGGAAAGAAGTCGACTGTGAATCGGGCCCGAGTTGCCAAACTGATCCGTCCTTGCCATCTCGCCCTCCTCGGGTGAGTATCGTTGACCTGACCACCAACTGAAGAAGAAATCCCCTTGCACTACGGGAGCTTGACCTTCCAGAAGTCCCTGCTTTCGAAGAATGTTTTGCTGCGGGTGATTTCCACTGCGGCGGCTTCAATGGGAGCAATGGCGTTGGGCTTTTCAATACGAACTTTGGCAACGGTGTGTCCGTAGTTTACCGTCACAATCTGGGCCACGGCAGTTGCGAGTGATTCGATCGTGTGGTATGCAGAGCCTGCGACTCGTTCACATACTGTTTGAACCATGTCATGCAGAGCCGCGGTGTAGTGTTCTTCCAGCGCACCAACTCCCAAAGCAGGGTCCGCGATGGGTACACTGATGTCGATCAACAACGTCTGCTTGTAGATGCGCTCTTGGGGATTGACTCCGATGATGCAGGTGCAGGCAATCTGTTTGACTGTCACAGTTAGGGAAGATGTGTCGGTTTCCAGCACCGACTTGTCGACCTGATATTGATAGAGCACGCCACCCCTTGCCTGCAGGAGAGCCTTGGGAAGTGAAATGTCGATAGCGAGCAGACCACAGTTTGGTACCATGTCCGAGAGCAGAGCGATCAGGGCATAGATGGTGGGAAAGGCCTCGGGATCGGCGTCCTTGAAGGCGGCTAGGATCTTTTTGTACAACTTGCCATAGTCCAGGGAGAGATTGACGTCGTCCTTGGACGCAGCCGGCTCGAGGCTCGAAGTCGGTTGGGCCTCTATAGTGATCGAGACGGGTTGGGGTTTGCGGAATCGGCGCCAGGCATCGAGGCCGACAGGGATGTCGAAGCGCATATTCTTGAGAATGACTTTGTCCATGATGGAAGCTGCCACGGTGGAAACGAAAGACGACGACGTCTAGGCTGGTCTGGCGAGCGGGGTTTTATACTTGTACTTGTATGTGCGTGACTGATGTTGGTGGCGAGCTGATGGTGTGCTTTTAGAAGACTTGGACAATTTGATCGCACCGGATAATGTGTGGCATGACTGGGCCGGAAATGGAAGAACAATGATGCTTTTCCCCAGAGATGGATTCTCGTAACGAGGAGAGACTTTGGACAAGCATGGAGCTACCCGGTACAAGGACCTCGTACCCAGTATATCCGGGGCCGATGTGTTTAGTTTGAATGTGGGTGACATGGGTGACATGGGTGACATGGGTGGCATGGGTGGCATTGGGGGGGGGGGGTTCAATTGTGCTGCGTGGGCTGCCAGAGGCGTCAGGGCTGTTGCGACGGGAAAAAAAAAACACAGGCGGTCTTTGTGCCTGGATTGATTGGCCCGTTGGCCGACAACGCACCGGGCACCCACTGTCACCCACCAGCCTCTGCCGCCTCCAGAATTTCCCAGGTTGCGCTCGGTGGCTTTTTTGCTGACCTGGACCTCATTCACAGTCCTGAGCCTAGAGCCCATTCCTTCCTCCTTGCGCTTCACCTCTCCTCCGGCCCTTTGTGAATCTCTGTTTGTCTGGTTACCTCAGTCATTTACTGTCAAAGTTGATCCTGTCACCTTCAATGGGTCGAAGCGCCGTCACTACCTTGGACGCAATCTCTGACTACTCTCCTACCGCTTGCGGTCGTGTTGTACTTTCCCATGTGATTCCAACGTCATCTTCGCTCGCATCCTGCAAGACTGGCCATATTCTGGTTTGGCTACTGGCGCAAGGTCCGTCCTGAACAAGGGCGGACGGTAATACTACAACCGCCTCGGCCTCGAGCATTGCCTTAATCGGCCCCCTTCGTTACCTGCGCCCATCATCAGAAGACCCTCGAATATGAGTATCTCAGCCACCCAAGCCGTCATGGACAAGGCCCAAGACACCTCAAGTGCGATGCGAGCAACCGCTGACTTGGAGGATGCGCTCAACTCCATTGCACTGGGGAACAACAATGCGGAATCAGGCGATCCGGAAATCATCCCTTTTCGAAAGAGTCCTCCCGTTACACCTCCGAAAACTATGCCCATCAGTACTCGCGACGACGGGGCTCTCATGGACCCGGAGAATGAAAGAGGACGGCAAGAGGTCAAGGGCAGTGTCATCCTGTCGACCACTGCCGCCAAGACGAAGAAGAAGAAAAACAAGGCAAAAGCGGCTCAAGCAGCTCAAGCATTGAATACTGTCAGGGGATTCACTCCGGCCGACTCGGGTGCCGAAGAGTCGGATGTGTCACGCAACAGCCCGCGGGTTCTATCTCCTATCCCTCGTTTGCCTGCGTTGGCCGGTGCCAGCCCAGGTCTAAGACCTCAGTCACCGGGTGTCAGCAGTCTAAAAGCTCAGTTGGACGCACTCTACTCTCGCAGTCAAAGTCGCTCCAACTCGTGTGTCCGCAATACCATAGATTCGGAGGCCAACAGCAGCGCCGCCAGCGCAGCGTCCGACACCCAAGGAGAGGAGCTGCACGAAGACATGGTCAGCTACCATGTCCAGATCGATCAAGACTTCGTTAGTCAGTCGCTGGCGGAAACTGGCGTCATTTCGGCAGCTTCCACCACGCCTATGGATGCGGATCAGCGTGCGACTTCGATGATTGTCCGCAAGATGACCGCAGCAGACTTCACTCCCATCCGCTGCCTCGGGGACGGGGCCTTTGGGACAGTGCTTCTCGTCCGACAGAATGCCACGGGCCGTTTGTTCGCTCAGAAACAGCTCACCAAAGCGTTCATCAAGGTTCACAAGAAGCGGATCGAGTCGACCATGTCCGAACGAAGCATCCTCGAACTGGTCAATCGTCACCCGTTCATTGTCAATCTTTACTACGCGTTCCAGGATCACGAGAAGTTGTATTTGATTCTTGAATATGCTTCGGGCGGAGAACTCTTCCGTCACCTGGAGTTGGAAAAATTCTTCTCGGAAGAGGTGGCTGCATTTTACGTTGCCGAGATTGTCTTGGCTCTAGACTATCTTCACAATACGGTCGGCGTCATCTACCGTGATCTCAAACCGGAGAATTGCTTGCTGAACGCCGAGGGCCATTTGCTCTTGACAGATTTCGGTCTGAGCAAGGTTGCGGTTCAGGATCCGAGTACACCGGGAGGGAGTCGTTGCAACAGTCTCGGGGTGGGGACGATCGAATACATGGCCCCTGAGATCATCAGAGGCAGTGATGAATCCAACTGGGGTCCGGGATATGGCAAAGCGTGCGATTGGTGGTCATTGGGTGCGATGGCTTGCGATCTTATGACGGGGAAACCGCCATTCGGAGGCGGCAGTTGGACCAAGATCCAGCAGAACATCATGTATCAAAAGTTGAGCCTGCCATATTTCCTGTCGCCGGATGCCAAAGACCTTCTCACGCGGCTGTTGCGCAAGGAGCCTAAGAAGCGACTTGGCGTGGGCCCAAACGACATCAATATTATCAAGAAGCACCGATTCTTCAGAAAAATTGACTGGACAAAATTGGAGGCCAAGGAGCTTGAACCACCCATCAAACCCCTGGTCACCAATCCTGAATTGGCCGAGAACTTTGCCAAAGAGTTCACCGACAGAGCGATTGACACCATTACGCGAAGACATAGCCGGACCTTGAGCAAGTCTGATCCGTTTGGCGGCTTCAGCTACGTTGCGAGTAGCAGTTTGCTGGAAGAATCCATGCTTTTGGAACTCGACGAGGCCATCATTGACGACGACATATAAACAGTTATGACCCAGAGACAGAGGGACAACAGTTAGAGCCTCTGGCGATAGAAAAGGGCTTGGATAGAGTTGTGAGGGCGCCATAGCATACACAATTGATGACAGCGAGGCGTTCAGGACGTAGATGGCCGCGCATTGAGACTGGGGGAGCATATGGATTTTGGAAGCATTGCCGCATGGATCGATGCACAGGCATGTTTAGAGCGGACATTGATTCAGATTCCACGTAGAAGCTAGATAGACCTGAGACATGTTAAAACTGCCTGAGGACTGATACAGTGTACCCAGTACGAGTACTCGCCACTAGCGAGGCCTGCGAGGCTCATCAAGTCCATAGGAAATTCCAAAGGTCACGTGACTTGGCGCACTGTGTCGCGTCCACCGTGTCAGGCGAGTCAGAGCACGTCCGACAACCCCGCTCCTTATGCCTTGTCTTCACCTCAGCCTCAAAGTTGCCTGCCTCGATCGTTCCCATCTTGATATGACCGCGTTCCGTCCTCTCTGCCAACCTCTTACCTCCTGGACGACCCTTTCACTCTGCTGTTTCCATGAGTTCACTTACCTACTTCTGATCCATGCAGCACATCAGCAATGGTTAACCCAAAGATTCTCTGCCTCGAGGCTGAAGTCCTTACGAATATCCTCGAATACGTTGACGATGAATCCCCTCATACCACCGCTGGCGTCGCCCAAACCTGCAAACATCTCAATCATGTGGTCAAGCTCGTGCGTTACCGTCGCCTCACCGTTCACTGGGATCAAAAGCTTGGCCACTGGGTTGATTGGGCCGGCCGCAAACAAGAAGAATGGGAGACCCCCGAACTCCTCCAGGGCTTGCGACATCTCACTGTCCGCGGAGGCGCTAGACTTGTACTACGCCCCGAACGGTATTCAGAAACTGCCGTAGAAGAAACTTACGCCAACATTAATCGATTGAAGACTGTCGTCCAGAATATCGGCAACTTGAAGACGCTGGTCTGGCAGGTCGGCTGTCTACCCACGGCGGAGTTCATCCAGACCTTGCAGGCCTATCAACCAAACGTCAAAATGGAGCTCCATCGTGCCAAAAGACTGGAAAAAGAGAACCGGCCACTGGAATCGGAGAAAGCCCTGTCGACAGCGACCTTCCTGAGCACGTTTTCGATGATTACCACGTCAGCCACATATATTGAAGACACCATGATTTTCCAGATGATGCTGTGTTCGGCACCAAACCTGAAATTCGCCTCTCTAATCTCTCCCGAAATAAGGCTGGGGGGCTCTGTGGGCTCTGAGATCGCCTCCCTCCAATCCAATTTCGAATCCTGGTTGCCACAGGCTCAGAGGACGCCGAGTTCGTCACTTTGCCACCTGACATTGGATGGTTGGGAAGTGTCTAGTGGATGCCTCGACTACTGGTCGCAGTACGTCAACTTTGCGTCCTTAAAGAGCTTGAAGTGCAGCAGAGGTCTTGTCCATGCGTCATTTTTTGAGCGCGCATCCCAAGTATTGACGAATCTAAAAAGTCTCAGTATCAATTTCGGTTCTGATAGCCCCCTCTTCGGTCGGCTTCGCATCCAACGACTTGCCACTGCAGCGGAGCACTATATTGCCACATGCCCGCCTTTGTTGACTTTGAGTGTCTGGTCATGGAGAGGCAAAGTGCCGCTCTCTACCATCCTCAATCAGCATGGAGCCACCCTCGAGGAGCTCCAACTTCACGAGCGTGAAGATCCCGATGGTCTTTCTCTTCGAGATCCTTTCTCTGTAGAGGAACTTCGGTCCGTTCGAGAGTCATGTCCCCGCCTGAGGGTACTCACGATCGATCTCAATAGAACCTCACGGTACCTCGGGATCGAGGACTATGAGGGGACGTTAGATGAGCTTCACAGATTCAACCTTGACAAGATCCAAATTTATTTGGATAGCGGTATGCGATGGTTGCGGAGACGTGCTCAAAATCAATTCGCTTCGGATTCCAACATCGAACAATCCGGTCATCTGGTGGACGATGACCAAACACCTCCATTGGATGATGTCAGCCTTCCCAGTGGATGCCATGGCGACATTGAATTCGAGGAAGCCAAGCCTTTCAGAATCGAGACAGGAGACCTAGACTTGGGGCCTCACATACAGGACGGATTCGTCTTTCTACAACCTCCGTCTACGCACAAGGACATCTGCCGCTTTCTCATCAAAGCCTGGAAGATCATCTTTGCCTCCAAAACCACGGGCCCAAGACAACTCGACCTCAAAGTCGGGGAGTGGGAGAGCAAGATCCAACCTCTGCTCCTTGCAGCCGGGAGACACAGCATGAGGGAGATCAAAGTTTGGTGCCGTGCAAGGCCCCATGAGAGGGATGATATGGCTGGAGAATGTGCCGTCGAGATCGATTGTTGTGGTGGACGCCATAGAAGGAAGTTCGCCAGCGGTTAAGGGCACATCGAAGGCTGGTCCAAGTACGACTACCGATAGGTGTGCTCAGGCGCGTATTTTCTCATCGACATACAATGACCTTGACAATACGTCAGGGTTGGGCCAGTGGCGGCTTCGCTGGCGGGAAGGCGATAGGGAGGCAATCTGCGGATCTACTTGGTGCCCTCTTGTCTCATTTGGATCTGAATTTGGCTTCCGATGTCCTGCGAGGAATGAGAAGAACGAGGCGAACAAAGTCCTGGTATTGCTCACTTTGTCAACACTGCAGATTTTGGCGAGCGAAGGGTCTTTTAGGTGATCTATTACACTACTGTGGGATCAAGGTTCAATGAAAGCTGCACTTATTGCCGAATATGATGATATGACCGTGGCAAATGGACTTCCTGGGCTGGAATGGGCTGAAAGGGGGTCAATAAATGAACCTGATGAGCTGATGAACGAACACATGAAAACTCGGGCGGGAAACAGTGGGACGACTTGGTATGCGTCTCATAGGATAGATATGTAATACCTACCAAAAGAACACCTACTTGGTGGGTACCTAGGCAGGGTTTCGGACTGAATTGAATTGACATGAATTCAAAAAAAAATTTCCAACAAAAAAAGAGGACATCCGACATCGATTGTTGTGGACTTGGAGTAGTATCTCGGTCTTATCATGCGCACTTCCTACTCATCCTAGATTTCTAATAGCTCGGTACGTAGGGTACATACGTGAGGGTAGGCACTACACCGGTGCCAGATAGGAGGTAGATAAAACGGACGAGTACCAGGCAACTAACTAACCGGGAAGACGACAGATTGAAACCCGGACTTGAGAGACTTGACTTGACTTGGCTTGGTATTCAAAATCCAGTTCAGATCGAGATCGAAGTGAAATAAATCCCAACCCAATAATGCTCCATATGACAGCCAGATTCTCCAGATTCTCAAGCTTTCAAGATTCCAAGACTCAACACTCAATACTCGACACTGTCGAGCCACACACGCGGGCTCAAGACTCACGATTCAAGACTCAAACTAAACCAAACCGAACAGATCGGACAGAGAAGAAGGAAGAAGAAGCAAAACAATGAAAGAGGATAACGAAGGAGACATGCACTACGACCCAAGCCTGACCCTGACCCGGTCCCGCTCTAGAAGACCCCGACGACGCAGCCGACTTCGCCTCGCCGGCGCCCAAGATCGCCATTCCGCCTCCCGCCCCCGCCCCAGCCCCGGAGGGCGGCGTACTTCTCATTGACATAGACATAGACACGGACGGAGATGTGGATGTGGATTTCGACATGGCAGAAAGCGCGACGGGCATGACCGTGACGTTCTTGGCCTCCTGCGCGGTCTTCATATTCGCCAAGGGGACAGAGAAGTTGAATTTGGCGGTGGCGAGGACAAGGCTTTTCGTCACCTTGTTTTCTGGAGCGGTGGTGGTCATGGGGAACGAGATGGGGAAGCTGTACGGCACATAGCCGTGTGAATTGGTGTTTTCTGTTTCTCCTCCCGCTCCTGCTGCTGCTGCTGCTGCTCCGGAGGCTGCCGTGGCTGTGGCTTCTACATATGCGTACGCGGTCGCGGTGGCCTGGGCGAATAATGCAGCGGACGATGACCACGAGGAGAGGGCGGACTCGAGGGCGGAGATGGACTGCGAGCACGGAACCGTGAGGGTCGTCATGATTTCCTCTCCGCCGCCTCCCCCTTGGCCCCCGCCTACTGCAGGAGACAACGGTGAGCATGCTTGAACGACGGTCGTGGTCATCGGCACCGCCGCCGACGGCATCTCAGAACACCCGCACTGCAAGACCGTGATGGTGGTCGTGAGACAGGTTTCTGTCCGTACGGGGCAGGAGATTGGGTGCAAGGGGCAGATGGTGGTGTATGTCGTGGAGATTGCTGTTGGTGAGAGGGTTAGAGTATGCGATGAGGAAGAGGACGAGGTAGTTGACATGGCAATCCCTGAGTGAGAGAGCGAGAAAGATGAACTTGTCGTTGTCGTGGTTGTTAGGGCCGGTGGTGTCGTCTCTGAAACGCTTACGCTAACACTCACACTCGCACTCGTGCTTCCGCCGCTTGATGCTGTCATGGACGATATTGCTATTGTTGTCGTCATCACTGGAGAGGAGGAAAAAGAAACACTCGCATCAACACCCGTGTTGTTATACATCGTCAACAGGATGATCTGCCCAGTCGCATCCGCGAGTTGTCTCCCGCCGATTCGAGGCGGGGGAGGTAGCTGGACAAGGCCACCGCATTTTTGCGCTGGATTGCCGGGGCACGTGGTGTTGCATGCGGAATCCGGGTACTGGATAAAGTCCTTCGAGGACGGGATGTCGAGAGGTAGGGAGTAGGAGGAACAGTAGCATCGGCTGGGAAGCGTGACGGGGATGTTGTTAGTATTCTATGAAACCTCTAGCAAAACTCAAAACTAGGGCAGGAGGCGGTAGGACAACAGCGTGAACAAAACACCTCTCACTCAAGCGGGCAAAGGGAATCAACTCATATAAAATGGAAAACGCTCAAAACTTACGTATCATAGAGGCCGGCATATATGTTCAAAGAGCAGTCATTCACACATTTCTCAATGGACATGAGGGGAGAGTCTTCAACCAGTGTAAAGCTGTTGGCAAACGCAGTGTCCGGCCGCGGTCCGAGACAGCCTGAAAAGGTAAAGGAGGAAACTTGGGCTGGGCCGGGGAGAGTATCTGTCGTAGTGGATGTTGTTGATCCTGTTGTTGAGACCAAGACGGCAGTTGAAGAGCCGAGAGAGCTGAGTGAGGCGGAGGAGCTGCTGCTGACCACAAACTGTGAAGTCGATATTGTGGAGGAGAACACCGTAGAGGGAGAGATAGACGTTGATGAAGGTAGAGGTGTGGGAGACAGCGACGTGGATTCCGAGGCTATAAAGCTGCTTGTTGGCGTTGTCGGGCTACTGGTGGGAGAAGATGTCGAAGGTCCTAAGGAGACTGTTGAAGACGGCGGGGGCGGGATTAATGAAGAGATAGTGAATGAAGGGGGAGGCGATGAAGCCGGAACAGAGGTGGAAGAGACGACTGGGGTGACCGCGCTCGTGCTAAGGTGACTCCCGCTGGGTGATGTTGAACTGGGGGTGGACACCGTCGTAAGACTCGTTGACGGAGACAGAGGACGAGACTGAACCTGAGACGTGACAGAAGATGCGCTAGAAGTCGAAGATGGGGACACAGCAGAGGATGAATGGATTGATGTTGTCGACGAGGGCGACGCTGAGGTGGAGGTTGGATTCGAAGTACTAACGACCGTGGTTTGCCTTGAAGAAAGAGATGACGAGCTTGACAATACTGAGCTCGAAGGGGAAAGCTGTCCACTTGTTGATGTCGCCGCAGTAGTTCTTGTCGATGTTGCTGCCACAGAAGAAGAAGAAGGCGGCAAATTCGTGGATGGCACCATCGGCAGGCTTGAAGTCGATGATTCGGGCAATGAGGCTGGCGTTCTACTGCCTGTAGACCCGGTACGCGACCCTGAGCTTGAAAAGGTGCTTGACAAAGTCTGGCTCGCTATCGACGTCGACGTAGTGAGAGAGCTGCTTCCCGTCGTTGTCACTATTGTTGTCGAAACAATCGACATGGTGGGTGAAGTATCATCGGTCGTGCTCCCACCCAGGGGAACACCGTCCGTAAAGCTCGACGTTGGTGTCTCTGAGATCAGCGAGAATGATGTCGACGTCGCAGCTCCTGGGGCGACGTAATATTGGGGCGTGACCGAAGTCGCAACATATGATGTGCTGCTGCTGCTTGATGTTTGCTGTCGGGGATCGTCAGTCACCTGTGGATAGGCATAGTAGATGAGCCTGGCGCTGTTGAAACTGGGATCAGCCGGAGTGCTTCCAATGTTTCGCTTCCAGTAGCATGCTTTGTTGCTGACTTGGTATGTAACGCCGCCGCAAATGTTGGTACTGTTATAAGTATTCCAATAGCTACATCCAGCCACGCAGTCTTCAAACGAGGTGACTTGATAGCTGGGATATGGTCGACCAATATCGGATCCGCCGATATTGACTCCACATTCAATTTCGTATTTGAAATTGCTGGATTGGACGACGGTGAAGTTGTACGTGGGGCATAGGCTTGTTGTCGGTACCGGAGTCTGGGGCGAAATCGTTGACGTGCTTGATTGAGTGGGTTGATGACTTGCAATGTATGCAGTGCTTGTAGAGCTTGCATTGGCACTGGGATCGACCAGCTGATATACGCGAATCGAATTTATGCTCCAATAACTATTGATGGGTTAGTGTCAGGTTCGTATTCAACGAAGGCTCTGCGACACGTACGATTGCTGGAAAGCCGCAGGCTGAGCCGCCACATATGCGTTGCAAGTGGAATATCCCGTGTACGTGGCGCAAGAGTTTGTCGTCGAGTTCCACACACTGGTCGCTCCTGCATATTCTCCGCAAAATGCATTGTTCAAGATGACCTTGTGGGCCTGAAAATGCTGGTCGATGACACACGAGCCTTGCATATTTGCCATTGGGAGACCCCAAGAGGAAGGATTGGGAGCCTTGTTGGTGATATCGCTTGGGATCGAGCCTTTCGGGAAAAACCATACACTGATGTAGTCGGAGGTCCATTGCATCGCGTAAATACCACCGCCAATTGCGTTGAAGCCTGCACCATAGCTGGTTGATCGAGTGTCGCGTATCCCGCAGCCGACGTTGTAGCCAGGCTATGGCACCGTCAGTAACTTCCACCAGTGGAAGACCAAGCTACTTACATAGTAAGCGCAGTTGTTGTTGTTCAGTTGGCCTGTCATGGTTCTGCTGTCACCAGCAATCGTGCAGTTGGGGTTCCTAATCCATCCATTAACCACGTTCCCCTTCGCTGTCAAAAGGCATCAACACACGTATGCAATGTCGCAGCATTGTAGTTGACCAGGTTTGCCCCTTCCATGATGTCGATTTCCCCGTTGTAAGGCCAGTTTGGTCCCAATGTCCAAACTGTAGTTGATTAGTGCACGATCTATTTCCCACCATATCAGGCACGTACATGCTGGCCAGCTTCCACAAACTCCTCCTGGGGCATGATTGAAATCTCCGATAAACAATCCATGGGTCCATGATCTTTGCGTGGAAATTCGGACGCTAGGTCTGCCTGCTGCTTGGGTCGATCCGATCACGGTGTTGTAGTCGGAGCCAATGTAGATGGGTGAGCTGTCGCTGGCATTGATCATGCCCATGAGTTGGGCAGAGCTCTGGCTATAATATCTGTTCTGTTGTTAGGCTTCGCCCCTTGTCTATTCCTTTCGATTTCACCCACGTTACAAATCCTCCAGTAGGATCGCCACCCTATCTCGCGTCAGTATCTTCGGGGGGGTTCGCCTGCGATCTGGCTGCTCACTGTATAAAAGTCCCAGCCTTGGAAGAAATTCGCGCCCGAATACTCCGAATCCAACTGATAAACTGAGCTCGTAAGCGCAAAAGAATAATGAAAGTACACGAAACACGCAAGGACTGTGTGACAAGCGCCGTTGCGAATGGAAAAGGAATGGACTGCCATGATCGGCAATAGCAAGGAGACCGCTGTGCGTCAACGAGCACGCCAAAAAGGAGAGGCACGGCCATAATGAAGGCGTTTTGTAGGAAGCTTGGAACAAATTCCAGCGCGAGCCTTGCGAGGAATGTGCACGGGCACCTGGCACAACATTGTGGAGGAAATAAAGGGGTAGCCATCTTCTCATTTATAGAACTTTTTGTACCACTCAAATCCCTTCGAGCGAGACTCCTGCTCGCACGGGCGATGTGTCTCGCGCCCGTTTTTTTTTGCAGATTTGCGAGAACAAGACCGCCATCGACCCCGAAGAAAAATCTATACGCAGCTCAAACTCCTGTTGATTTCGACCCCATCATAGGGCTTCAGAGAGCGACCCCATTGTGCTGGCATTGAGGGATTGAGGGAGCTCTCGACGCTGGGGAATTCCGTTGACTTGTCATGATCGGGCAAGTATGAAGTGCTGCATGTCCTCCATCTAGAAAGCGGTGAATGCGATTACCTTCTGGTGGATCGTCGGTTCCCAGAAGGCCGCTCAATGTATACGGCCTGCATAAAGCGGCATTTTTGCGGCTGAGTAGATTACCATAAGCCTCGCTCGGGCACGCTGGCAGTGATCCGGGAGGTGTTGTCCGTCTGTTGAAACTTCGGGCACGGAAACCCAGACGCCGAGGCGCGTTGGCGTCAAAATGCGATCCCACGTGGGCATTTCGTGTCTCAGCTCCTCTGTGATCAGAAGTTGCTTGACGGTACGCGGTCTCGACGTTTCGTCGCACAATGACTTTGATCTTGCCCACTTACTCCTTCTCCCTATACGGCAGGATCTCTTCACTGAGGGTACGTTGCGAAGATCGAGAACTGTGGTCGTTTCCGTGGTTCTCATTGTGAGCGTGCACCTCAACTTCCTTCTCTGCTTGACCAGCTTCTTTTGCATTCTCCTCGCTTGATGGTTTCGGTGGTTCCTGGACCTGGATAGCCTCCGTGTCATTTGCGCTTTTTTCAGGGTTCTTTGGTATTTCTTTACGCATGTTATATCCTCCTCGCCAGCCTATCCATCCATGCTCATGTGGACCGCGCAGGAAGCAAACAAGCAACGCCGCGGAAATAAAGCCGACGCTTGCCGACCCAGAGGAGATCCAACCGCCATCCGCATAAAGCGAATTCCCAACAGCAGTGCCGATCAGTTGTCCCACGAAAACGCTGACCATGTAAGCCGTATTGACCCGGTTTCTCGCCTTAGGCGCGACCCCATAAATCGCAGTCCGGTTAGCGATCTGGCTGGTTTGCAGTCCGATATCGATCCCAATTGCCTGAATGACGGGACCAGCTACTGTAAATTTGCCGGTATATGTACCAACCACCACGCCCATCAAGCAGATCATTTCGCCAATGATGATTGAGAAGAGGGGTTGATGTTTCTCCATGACTGTTCTGGCGAAGATGGGACCCCAGGTCATGCTGCCAATTCCGATCAAAGCGAAGAGACCGATGACTAAGGAACTGTAGTGGTATGGTGGACCGGCAAGGAGGAAGGTAAGGGTTGTCCAGAAACTGGTGAAGGTCGTCGCCGTGAACATTCCAACTAGACATGCTTGGACCAGTACAGGATACTTGACCACGAGTCTCACAATATCCCACAATAGCGCCGGGTACTTCTTCCAGGTATTCTCGCCAGGATTTGTCGGAGGATAATCCGGCATGAACAGGTACAACAATCCCAGGATGAAGTATTGCAATCCAAATGATATCCAGTAGATGTAGCGCCACCCGATAAATTTAGCGACAACACCAGACAACAGCCGGGCGATCAGCATACCCAATAGCATGCCCGAAACGACAATTGAGAGGGATGTTGACCGCCGATGAGGTGGAGCCATATCACCGACGAGTGGCAGCATCAATTGAGGCGTTACAGTCGTCACACTTGTGATGAAGGTGATGACACCAAAAGCAGCAAAGGACTTGGTCACACAGAGGCCAATCCTGTAATGAACGTCAGTCCATTATGCGTCGTTTTTACAAAGTTTCTCTCGACGCACCATAATGTAGCAGTGAACCAAACCAGCCAAAGCACAAAGGGCCTCCTCTTGAGTAGATCCCCCAATGGACACAAGAACAACAATCCGCCAGCATACCCGGCCTGGGCTAGAGTCGGAATATAGGAAGATTGCTCGTCGGTGACGTGGAAGTCGTCTGCGAGGAGATTGAGGATCGGATGGGTGTAGTAGAGGTTTGCCACGGTGAAGCAACCAGCGAATGCTTGGAGGCACAGATTGTCAATTCATGTCGTCTTGTCCCAAGGCCAGAGTTCTTCCCTACCAAAGAGCACATTCAACGCCATTGAGAACTGAAACGGCCTCTCAGGGTCATAACGACACCTCGGTGGCACATATGTGAGGCAGTCGTACACCATCTGGAGGATCGTCCTTTTGGATCTCGGGTCGCCATCTGGGGCGACCGTCTCCGTTGGTGACTCGAGGCTCAGCGCTTCCTTAGTCCCCGAAGGACGCACTTCTGGCGGCGACATGATGGAACAGCCGCAACTTCAAAGCTGCAAACAGCATCGAACAACGAAAGGAGAAGAGCCATGGTTCCTTCATGGTCCCTGATACTGGCTAATAACAGGGAGGAATTGGAGATAGTTCTGGTGCGAAGGCTAATGTCCGATGTACGCAAATGACGCGAAGATCAATCGGATATAGAACAAACGGCAAGGATTAAGGTGGAGAGGCCCGAGGGACATCTCTCTCCAATTGTCCTTGGAAAGAATCCCGTCGGCTAAACGATTCGCGGAATCTGGCCGGACAAGGCGTTCCGCTCGGCACCTACGCCGACGCATAGACGTACTTTACCTTGACTAGGAAGCAACAGCACATCATTGAGATATATACTCCGTAGAGGTAGTTATATGAGTTTTTAATTTGAGCCCAAGGGCCAATGCTGCTGAGGGAATGTACGAACTTTGGGGCTCAGCAAGATCGCAAGCATCGGCGTGTCGACTTTTCGCTTGAAATGAGAAACCACTCAAACCAACGAACAGGCAAGCAGCAAAAAAAAAAACCACAGAATTGTGGGCGTCCCTCGACCAGTTAGTCTCTTTTCCGCCTTGAGCAAAACAAGGTCATCAAGCAGAAATTTTGAAAGCAACAAACTGAGCAGAGAATACATGGCAAGAAGGGTAAGGAGCAGGGGGTATCCAAGGGCACTAAGCCTCCGTTTTGCCGCATGGTCGAAAAGCCCAAATCAGATGTCCGCCCGTTTCATCGTCAGTGTCGTTAGTCATTAAAATCGTTAGGTCATCACGCAGGGAGTCGTACGTTCTTGACCGGCTTCGGTCTGCGAATGTCCTCGCGCAAGTCTTTGAGCGTCTTCACAAAGTCTTCGGCATCTGTGTGAAGCCAGTGAGCCACTAACTAGTGTGGAGCGAAGTTTTGCGAAGACCTACCTGTGAAGACTTCGAAATCAAGAAGATGCTCGCCATTTGCGCGGACATGGGGTGAATACTCGGAAGAAAAGACATGTCGTTGAAGTTCAGCAAGGTATACCGTGGAGCTATTCTTAGACCAACGAAACCAGGTAGGCGAGGTGATTTTGTGTGTGATAAACGCCGTCCAGATGGGCGTGCTGCTGCAGGACTCAGCTATTGAAAATCCGGGTGCGACAGCATTCACTTACTCCTTCATTTCTTTGTCGAGGACAGATGCTTCAAGTCGGACGGCGTCGGTACCCTTGTCACGGTACAATCGAAGCACATGACGGTAACCACCGTCCCGAATTGCCCTGGTTAAATCAGCCTTTGAGCTCATTGGCAGCCGCGCATCTGAGTAGCTCACCCAGCAAAATTGAGGACCTCGCCATCCAGGTCATGGTCGATGTTGCGAAAGCGCGACGTGCTGTCGTGAGAACGCAGCGATAGGAAGGTACAATGGAAGATGACAAGCCCTGAGATGATCAGCGACATTTCTCCCCAGAAGGCCTCGAGAACTGACATTCGTATGAAGTGAAGTTGAGGCTGGTCCAACAGGTGCTAGCACCACGAACTGTAGGACAGCAAAGGTACAGCGATGAGCCCGACCGGCGTATGTGCAATTCGCTGAGCGGGAAGCAAGACAGTCGAGGGTTCTTTCGATTGTCGTACCATTCGCAGACAATTTTGGTGCGGTAGTCGCGAGCACGCCAGAAGTATTTCGTCCTCAGTCCGCCGGGGAATTTTCTGGTCAGAGTCAATCTTCTATCTTCCCCCCTCCCAAAAATAGCAACCCTTACAATTGAAGAATCCTTTCATACTCCGGATCCGGTCGCCTGCGGTACCTAGCATCCACATCGCCGAAACAGCAAGACCTGATTCGGAGAGGTAAGTCAGTGTCTGAATGGGCAACAACGGCGCTCTCCTTACGGATTCGGGTCAACGTCAAGAGGAGTACTCGGTAAATTGTTAAAGATCTTGGTCGCCCAGTGATTGGTTTCTGGGTCAACGCTTGATGTATGACTTAGTGTGGAAAACGTGGTAACGGGTGAGCCAGGGCCAGGAGAGACTGGGGAAAGGGGTGGCGGACTGGGAGCCGCTTGGTGCTGGAATGTTTCGTAACTGTCATGGGAGGTTGCTGGCGACATTGGTCGCTGAGGCTCTGGTCTTAGAGGCTCCGGTCTTACCGGCTCTGGTCTCACCGGCTCTGGTCTTACTCGTTCATGGGACGGGAGTGGTCTGATGACTGCTGCTCGTCAGTACCATGCGAATTAACGGCGACGCGAGAAGCGAGTGACCTTGCTGGACTGGCACCAATGAAAGACTCGTAAAGGTCTCTGAGGCTGGGATTAATCGTCTGTCTTCGCGTTGTAGGGTCTGTAGGTCATAAATCTCGAGGCGCAAATCCTCAAGGCGTCGCCGATTGAAGGACTCCCTGACCAAAAAAATCCCTTAAGCGACAGCCACATCAGGGCTCCATAGATTCTACCATACCTTGAGAGGATTTTGCAGAGTGAATAGGTGAACAGTTTGTACGTCTCTAACCGGGTGTGGAGGGTCTGCTTTCCCATGTTCATGCAATATCGGGCGACTTCTTTCCAGCAATCTTGATAGTCTGTCGCGACCGGAGCGCGCGGTAACTTGCCGAGGATGGTCCATACATCTTGAAGGGTAAAGGCGACACTATGCTGAAGGAGTTTCAAGTCGCCTGCGAAAGCAGGGGTGACTTTCCCGTTGACGGCGTCGATCTGATTGTTGAGCTCCCGCAGTGCCCAGCTCAAGCCGTTCAGCCCCGTGATCGCCAAGGTGATGTCCTGCTCGTGGTCCTGATCATTGCTCCGAATTGTGCTGAGAATTTCCGCAATGTCCTGGGCTCTCCCAGCCTCCTCTCGTAGGAGTAGATCCATGCATGATAGACCGGGAATGCGCGCCTGGGGATCAGACTGAAAGATGAAGTGGAATCCAGATCACCTCGAGATGCAGTGGAGAGGCTCTTTCGAGCTTTTTGTGCTGAAATTGAGATGCGGGTTCAGGAGAGGAGCGGGCTGGTACTGGGGAAATCTCGTAATACGCGCGGAGGCAAACCCTCATGCAAGTCGTTTGACGTGTCAAGCGGACAGCAGGCGAAGCCGATGGATGAAGGGGACCGATGCATACCTAGACACGACGCCGATTTGTCACAATCCAGCTTGCGCATGAACTGTCGCAACACAAGCTCTTAGGCTGTCCACCGTGGCCACTGTTATGGTTTGTACCAGCTTTAAATGACCTTGGCCCCCGGAGAGGTAAATTCATCATATTTCTCAACCTGTGGAGGAGAGAGAGGGAACAATTTGGCGTAGTCTGGCAGTGTCTGTGTCTGAAGAAAGGTGGACAGATCGGATGCATAATGCTGCAGGCATTGTTTTTGCTGCCTAAGCTAGGGCATCCAAACACTGTCGCTGAGCCTTTTTCCTGGAGCAACACTCGCGGCGGCGAAGCGAGGCCTTCTCATGCGGGTCGACGTGGTTCTACTTGGTTGTTGAAAACAGCTGCATCCTACCTGAAGTTTGTGAGTAGCTCGCGTCTTGTGTCAGCACGAGTTCCGATGCCTTGCTGGAAAACACCCGGGTCGACAAATTGCAAGTCTGGCTATGGGGGGCGCATTGAAAGTTGTATGGTGGACGTCGAGAGAGTGATCCTGTCTGAACATTGATTGGAAGATGATTCGCTAGGGGCCCGCATCTAGGCTCCCCGAACACTGTCTAGATTGGGATGTATACAGAGAAGATGATGAGAAATGGAACCGTCATTTTGGCCTTTTATGAGGTCGGAAGGGAGTGACATGCGCCTTGCTGGTGCCTGTGACCAAGCCCAAAGAGACTGGTAGAGGGAAAAAAAAAGGGGGGGGGCCGAAATGCGAGGCGTGTACCGAGTATACAGAGACCACCCCCAGTCTCAGAAGGATCATCAAAGCTCGGTACTCGCTGACATGCCAGAAAATTACGCCCGGATGGAGCCTCGAAGGTGGTCAAGTCTTTTAGAGAAGGCGGGAGAACATCTGTCAAGGCTCGGACGGCTCAACACGGAGCATAATTCAACCTTCACAGACACAATACGGAAAGCAAGTCATCAGTTGGATCTTTTTGCCAGACATTGCATTGCATAAAAAGCTAGTATACAGCAAGAATCAGAGTATGCTTGTGCAAAGTTTGCAGCTCAGCTTTCTGGTTCGTGATCGTTATGATGATGATGGATGAGCTTCACCTCACAACGACAACATGACCTGATCTCTGAAGCTCGATGATTCCAGCTGTAAGCTGCATTTCTGAAGCATACCGACCCTTGTCCATAACTGACTCCCATAACCCCTGCCTCCCAGCCGATCATTGCTAGTGAAAACATGATGACAGAAAAAGAGAACTTCGACTGGACTTTGACGTTGTCGCATCGGAACCGTGGTCAAGCCTGATGGCGCGAGACCGTTTAGTCCTCATCGTCGTCGTCTTCGCCAGCCTGATGGGGTGTTAGAGCATGTTCCTGTCTGATGAACTGGGAAGTAATCACTCACATTGTATTTCGCCTTTTCGTCTTCATATCGCTTCTTGTCGGCAGCGGCCTTCTTCTCATACGGTTCGCGCTGTTTGTCGCTCAAGGCTTTCCACTTGTCACCGAGCACCTTGCCAACCTGGCCTGTGGGACTTGTAAGCACATCTGGTCATGGAGCCAGAGGGGAGGGAACGAGGCGTACCAAAACTAATGCCAGGGTTCTCCTCGCGAACGGTCTCGCGCTGCTCATTGGCGAAGAACATGTAGGCAGAGAGACCGCGCTTGGGAGCATTGGGGTCTTCGCCACAGTCAGCTGGGCTCAAGCTTTCAAGAGGAGTGTAAACGGACCCTTCTTCTTCTTTTCGGCACCACGGCCCTTAGCCTTGGTGGCTTTTCCGCTCGCCTTTGGCATCTTGGTTGTGGAAGACTTGGTGACCTTGGAAAAGGAAGATTTCGGTTTCGAGGTAGTGGTTGCAGTCTTATTGGTTGACTGCGCGATGCGTTGTTTAGCCATGGTACAGCACAGACTGAAGACCAAGGGAGGGAGAGGGAGGTGGGACTGGTGTGATTTATGAGCTGGGGAGGAAAGCAGTAAGAAGCGCAAAGAGACGGTAAGGTAGACAATCAAAAGAACCGCGCCAGTGATGGAGAAACAAAGGTGGATGGCGCAAGTGAAAGAAGGGACGCAGCGCGCAGGCAGACTGGGATTGTTTTGGGTGAGTGCATTGGCGCGCCAAACGCGTGTTTTGGCAGTGACAGTGGGTAATTGGAGGGCAATTGGACTCACCGACGCAGTGAAAACGCGTCAATGGCGTGGGTAGCGGGCTGTGAGGAGTTGGTGGTGGGTGGTTAGCGGCTGTTTGAGTGTAGGGTGCTGGAGAAGGCGACGACGAGGTCGCAAAAGGGAGCAAACAGTGCAGCAAGATGGTGAGAAGAGCATTTTGAATCGCAGTTTTTGGCGCCAGCGATGGGACAAAAGAGGTGGTGGTGTGGAGGGGAGAAGGCGAAAATAGTCAAGAAGTGAAAGTGAGTACTTACAGTGAGAGTGGTGATTTGGTGGTGGCAGTAACAGTAACGCAGTGCAGCGCGCTCACAGTATGTGCACACACAGTATGGGAGGTGAGGAACAGTACTGTGAGGGAGAGTGGTGGTAGTAGGAGGAAAAAATGTATGGGAGCTGAGGTGGGTGGGTGGGTGGGTGGGAGAGGCTGAGCAGGGCAGAGAGGGAGAGAATGATCAGGGACCAGGACTGACTCTGACTCGGGGGAGTCTGGCCCTGCCCTGCCCGCCTCTCGCCATTTCTCCCTGCTCTGCCGTCTGCCGTGCCTGTCTGTTGATCTGATCCTGGCTGGCTTGCCCGCTGCTGCACCACCACCACCACCACCACCACCACCACCAACACCAAACACCACTTACGCACTACGCACGCACCAGCGCGCACACCACTCACCACTTTTGACTCCTCTTGCTGCTGCTGCCACTCACAGCGCTCCAAACTCGTTCGCAGCTGAATCAAATCAACCTGTGATCTCGTCACTCTGCACCTTTTGCTCTCACTTGCCCCCTTCCCCCCTCTTCGGGGCGTCGCTCTTCCCCTCCCGCCAGTTTCCAGCTTCCAGTTTCTCAGCTCCTTCCCTTCTCTCCCTCCACTTACTGCTCTTCTTTCACTCTCTCCTCTTTCCTCTTTCTTCTTTCTCGCTCTCCCTTTTCTTAGGCCCGCAAAAAACTCTGCCCACTCTCATCAATCGGCCCAATTCCTCCACAATCATTACATATGGAGCCCACTTTTCGCCCGCTCGTTGCAACCACTCAACCCATCATCACTGCGCTATCCTTTGCCCGCTCCGTGCCAGCTCCAAGCCTTTCACGCCACTGTTTGTTGTTTCTCATTCCGCCGCTGACACCATGGCAACTCCAAAACGAGGGAGTAAATTGTAACAATTCCACTTGCGGGCAACAACTCTTGCCGCTTCAAAGCAATCAGCTGGTTTTCTCCTCCCCTCAGCTGCCACCAAAATGCTTGGGAGCGTGGGAGCTCCCTTTCTTGCATTCCTCAGCAGACAGCTTCAATTCCGTTCCGTATCCACCACGGCTAAGCTGTGAATGCATTCCCGGGCCCTCTTCTTGCCAATTATTTGCTGTTGTTTATCTGAGAGGTTCCTGATCCTGTCCGTGGTCCAATGCGGCAGCCTAGGTAGAGAGTTGGACACCCCTTCCAAGGCCCCAGTTATCTTGCCAACGACCGGGTACTCCGTAGCTGGTCACATTTCGAAACTAAGGCTACCCTGGGATGATTTTTCAGGCCCCCCAGAACAGACTACAAGTACCTAAACTCTTATGAGTGCATAATGTAGGGAAGTACCTTGGAGAGCTAGCTGGATTACCAAAACAAACATGGACAAAAGCAGACCCGGTACGTACCGAGTAGCAGTCCTCGGATGATTTAGCTTGTTCTAACGGTTAATTCTTGCCGCAAAAAAGGAGACCTGTCTCTGTACCACCCACCCTGTACTGGGGATGTACATGAGATTTCTCCATCCCTAAATCAGATGCGTACTACAAGTCTGATCTCTCGCAGGCGCAGGCGTTAGTACATAACATAGCGAGCGTGCATGCATCACGTGTAGCAACCTGGCCGTTAGATCCTCGGTGTTTAGGTAGGCGCATCCGCGGCGAATGCCTGGATGTGCGGTCACGTGGTGCGACAGATTTGCAAGAAGCACCTCGTACAGTTTGGGGGAAGAATAAATACCCGCCATGCCCGCCCCCTGGTAATGTCACGTGGGGAACATATAGCCTCCCTCCCCAATCCTCAGTTCTTCACTTGGGCTCAGTGAGAGGAAAATATTTGTCGAGAAGCGGCCTTTCAGCCGATGGATGCTTTATCTTGGGAGTCCAGGTCTCGCGTACGTACATACGACATTGGCGCGGCTCGAGATTGATGGTCATGCCACGGGGCCCTTTTTCACTGTTAGCATTGCATGAGAATCGCTTTTGACCTGACAAGGAAGACGTGGGCAACGGTTATGGCGACGGCGTGGTAGCTTTACTTACTTTTTGCTCATCGCTGGGGAGGTCAGCGAACGTGAATGCAACACCCTTCGTGACATCTTCCTTGGGCAAAAGACAGGACTGTTGAAGGAAGAAGGGGACAGGACGAGAAGTTGGAATAGAGAACTGGTCCATGTGAAGGCATGAATTCAAGCCACAAACCCCCCCCCCCAAATCAGTTCGATCATGAACCCTCTCAAGCCCCCTCCATATGGCAACACCATTGGCAATAAGAAAGACTTACTCTAAACCCGGCGGGAGCCCACGACGACCAAGAACAGCCCTGTCAGAAATCCGCCTCATCAATCTCTTCCTTATCAGAATAGTCCGAATCAATGTAGTCGCTTTGCCCTTCGCTTTTGGCCTCCTGCTCACGCCGCCACTTCTGCGGACAATGCAACAACGTGGTCCGCTCCCATGCTTCCAAATTTGAGAAGTACGCCTTACAAACCTCGTCGACACACGTACAGTCCTCGTCTTCGGCGGCAAAGAGAATACCGCAGTCACAATAATAACAGAGCAGGCCACGTTCAAACATGAGACTGATACAGTAGCAAATAACTTCGGCGGAAATGTGACAGAACTTGTGCTTCCAGTCGAATAGGATCCTCGACGATCTTCTAGCGAAGAGAGCCCTAATCTCTGGAACTATTGGAGTTCATCAAGAGTCGGGGAAGTGCAATAGGTAGGTCATTGGCGTCGATATTGCTAAAAAAAAAAAAAAAAATTGCCTTCCAGCCCACGGCGGAGCTTCTTGATGAAGCTGTCCCGCTTCCCGGGCCTTGGCCAGTCCTTTCGTTCATCGAAGTCATCATCAGAGTCCTCAGAGTCGTCATTCGGCACACGCTCGTACCTCATTTCCGGAACATGAAACCCCAATTGCAGAGGATGCTTGGGATTATGCCATCCACAAGCCACTGGCTTGCGCGAACATGATGTTACTCGGCATCTGGGCTTGCCCTAGATTTTCCGTATAGTGGTTCAGGTCCAGAAGGCCCGGACTCCAATCACGCGGGCCCTTTCCCAGTGTCTGCCCGTCTTGTATGCAAAGAGCCAACATTGATACAACCAACAGCACATGGTTCTGAGGACGGTCAGCAAATCATGGCCGAGAATGCAGCTTCAAGCGAGTCACTCACACTTGTTCAGGATCGTCCATTGACACGAAAAGCTCGTTGTGCTTCCCTCCCACGAACATAGACGCCCTCTCCAGGGCCATTTTGTTCCTCAAAGCCTTGGAGAGGCCGGACGGAGAGTCGGCTGCCGGGCGAAAGGGGCTGGGCATCCCGGGTGTTCTCACGACTATGTCACTATTTTCGGCGGGCGATGACGGCCTTCAGCCGGTTCCACTTCTCTGCTACAGGCAGATCAGCCCGATAATCATACGGCGGAGCGAAGACGATCTGGTCCATGACCGTGCAGGAGATCCAAGATTAGTTCAAAGTGAGTTCGTTTAAGCGCAAGGAGGTAGAGAGAAAAGGCGAAAGACAACAGGCTCCTAGCCTGAGGGCGGTTGATCGCCCATCTTTATGTATTCCAGGTGTGTGAGGCTGTAGCCTTGCGAAGATGCCCGCTCCGTGCTCGAGTCCATGGTTGAGGGAAGCCTGGCATAGAAGCCCAATCCAACGCTCACTCGTGCCGAGTAAAGCAGCCTATCGGGCAGCTGACAAGCATAGATTGAATGCATTCGGCCCCATTGTGAGTAAACAAATCCTAAATAGGGGTTCCTGGTACGGCTGCGTTTGCGACGCATTCTCGAACCCCCGGGGACAAAAGAGCGACGACCAAAAGCGATTCCGCGATTGCTTGGGGACGGCCAAGGATTGTCAAAGTCAACAAAGTCCAAATGGCACGCCAGACATCTGATGCGTGGCCATGTAGCGCTCCTCCATCCTCCTAGAATCAGGCAATGCCAAATTGCGAAGACCAATGAGGTATGGACTTTCGTTTCCGAGGAGGGGCGGACAGTTGCGGCCCTGTGAGGTTCTAACCACCTCTGCCAACATTCAGCAGCCCAGACCGGCTGATCAAACCACATGGACTCGCGGTGCATGCAGGACACTTGGGACACTTGTTAGTGTCAAGGCGACTCGCGCTAGATTGACTCAGATAGCGCGCGAGAGGGAATTTGTTGTCCTATCAGCAGCAGGGTCAATCTAACAACTATCGCAACGGTCTCCCAGCCAGTGCCAGAAAGCCAGCACCAGAAGACCTTGTCGACAAGAGATCACAATCCGATGTCGATACAGCGAATTGACTCTCAAACTCTTGATAGAAAGCGTCATGGCTGACTGGGCTGATAACTCCGTGCCACGCTCTCATTTTCCCGAACGTGCCGCCTTGTAGTTCCCGGGTCACTGGTGAACTGCAGGTGCTGTGCCATCTGATTTGGTTTTTCCACGGGTTGTATTGGCCTCCGCACTTTTGATCGTATAGTCGAAGGGGATACGGAGGTGGCGAAACAGCTTGACTCGAGGCTCATGCCAGGAAGGAAGCCGGCGGTTGTCAAAATGAGCCCTCAGCGACAACCAAGTATAAGTACCAATCCCTGTGTAAGTAGGAGGATGATTGTCATAGTTAATCAGTACGTATCGAAACATCATCCTCCCGCTCATTTGGTACCCTGATTATCGAGATCTTGATATCGTGCCCCATCGTGGAGAAAGACAATCCAAGACTGAACATCCATCAATTCACTAGGTGGGTCTGATGAAGTCTTTGCACGGGGTACTTGTTGTTAATGCCTGCCAGACGCGAGTCAGGCGGGCCTTCTCATGCTTCTTCTCGACGATCTACCCACAAGGACGAAGCATGTCAGCAGGCGACGAGCTGTTCCCATGCAGTCCTCTGCCAGAGCGTATCTCAATTTCAACCTCGGGCCGAAAGGAACAAGCATGACAAACCCAGTGCCAAAGAGGGCCTTGGAACAAGTCCGTCCGAGACAACGACGTCTGCGATCGTATACTCTGGTGGAAGCACGACTTGCCCTTCGAGCCTCGAATCAGTTTCGCAAGACCTCCACTCTCTCCGCCTGCCAACATGGCCCAATCCAAGGATGCAGCACTCAGGGGGCATTGTTGACCGGAGCGCTACAATGGAATGCAATGTGGAAGAGGTTCCCATGCGCAAATCTTTGGAGAGCTTCCTAGCAGCTAAGCCTGCAGGAGCGAGAATCGCCGATGTTGAAGACCGAAAGATGCGGACCAGAGATGAACAGGCCACTCAGGTTCCATCCTATCTCAATGCCGTCATGGATCTGGATTCTTCGTCCAAGCCATGATGTTCAGAAAAAGACCATTCGGGTCTGGTGCTTAGGTAAATTGGTCCGGATGAAGCTGAGCATTGCCGACACTTGCTAACTGTCCTAGTCCAGGAGACATGGTTTTCATTGCAACGTCAAGCTTGAAGGAGAGGTGATCAAGTCGGACATAATGAGTTGACAGGGTGAAGCTGAAGGATTGGGCTCTGAGCTTTGTATGTGAGGTCGTCAGTCTGCTGCCCGGGGGCGGGTTGGGCGGGGATGAGTGCGTTACAATTCAATATCTCAGCATCAGCAGAAGGGTTAATGTATGCTAGAACACAATTGCAGATTTGCAAGCAAGCGTAGCACATGAGCAGTCACTTCTTTGTACCTTCAACAGAGGGAAGATACTCGGTACTTGTTGTTGACCGATGCTTCTTCGTGTTTCAGCTGGTGAGCTTAAATGATCCGCCCAAACGTCAGCCGATATTGGGCTTTGAGGCCTGGAGCAGCCTGGTGGCCTGTGGCCCGGACATGTGTAGGGGGCCACCGGGGGGAGTCTTTGGTCTCATTATCCCGTGCCGAGTACTCCGTACTTGCTCCTTACTCCTTACTCCTTACCACACACCACACATTCATACCGTTAACGGAACAGGATCTCGGATAGCAAGGTATACGGCACAAGCAGCACGAATGAGGATTTGCGCGTCAAACACACTCTTGATTTGGAATGTCGATATTCATTTTACAATCTCTCGCGCAAGTAAGTAATTGCGCCAAATGGTCCTGGGACCTGAACCCCATTCTGCCTACTGCAGCCTCACAACTCCCTCGCCCAGGAATCAATCACAAATATATAGCGGCGGACGTATCCTACAACTACGACCTGAACTCCATGCTGAACAATTTGTCCCAAGGTCTCTCCTTCGGCTTCGCCAGCGGTGACGGAGCCGACACAGTTTCAGCCCCCCCTGCAATGGCGGGATTCTTCACTGGGCTTGCCCCGGGCGTCGTGACGGTCTGATTCTTTGGTGTCAATGGTGATTGTGACATGCTTCTCGGGGTTGGCGCTGCATATCCCGGTCTTCGGTTCAGCCGTTGTGCCAATGGAGGCGATTCGTTCGGCGTGGCTCTGAAGGCACCGATTCTTCCTATCGTGGCTGAGCGGGCAGGCTCAGACGTAGCAGGGTCACCACTCTATTTTTCTCATCAGCCGCTGCGCGTTTTCCCCTTGTTTACGGGCCGAGAAGAAGATCTCGCCTCACCACTTCAAAGACCTGCGCATCCTCCCTGTCCGTCTGGCTCGCCTCGGTGGGACGGCGCACGATGCTCGGCACGCTGGCAGTTCCAGCTTGGCCTCGACTTTGACTCGCCGCTTGCGCCGTCATCGAGCCCGCTGAATCTTGGACTTCAGCCTCATCATTTTCATTGTCTGCATCCGCGTGGGCGTCATCGTCCGGGATGGCCGCAGCTCTGCTGCTCGCATCATGTGGCGGTGCATGTCGCCGTGGCTCAACGTCTGTGTCGCTCGAAATAGGTGCCAAAGGTGAAAGTTTCGATGAAGGCATCGCGTCCTTAACGCTGCTGCTCCTGTCGAGAAGCTTGCCCTTGAGATCCACGCTCTTTTTGCTTCCCGAGCTCGACCGCCGACTGTCCAGACTTTTGGTAAGCGTCTTGGTCACCATGTTCGTCGTGGCACTGCTGCCACCACCAGCACCCATACCCATGCTTGACTTATGCTCCTTCCTGCCCAACCCCATGTGCCCCTTGACCTCGACATTGCTTGCTATCACAGTTGACTTTCCGACCGAGGGCGTGCCAGGCGCGCCCAACTTCTCCTCTTGAGCATCAATCATGTACCACCTCAGCCCATCTGATAACTCGAACGGATTCTCGTCGTCAACACTCCTTGTTGACCCACCATCATCCACTACCGTACTTGCTGCAGCCACAGTCGAAGACGAAGTATTGCCACGCATGCTTCTACTAAGATCTACCACTCTCTCTTCTATCTTCGTGATTCGCGCGAGCAACCAATCCCTCGACTGCAACTTATGCGCATCCTGCTCTCTCAAAAAGTAATGTGGTGCACCGACGTTGAAGGCCGCCCAGGGTCTTGTAGCTTGATTCCTCGTCGGCAGAAACAAGGCCAAGTCCCCTTCCTTGAAGCTCCTATATGCGATTTTATCGTGCGCTTCGGCTTGAGAGCGGTGTGTTCGTTCTCTGTAGGCGCGGGAATCTTTTTGGTATTTCTTCGCGAGCGTTTCAACGTCCTTGTAGCGTTTCGTGATCAGGTCTATAGTGCTATCCATATCAAGTCGCGACAGTGCCGAGAGGAAGCCTGAGTATTTTGTCGATTCAGACGTGAGGTCGTTGTCGGACGTCCAATATAGGGTGTCGAGGTCTGACGGGTCAGAGTAGTGTTGTGCTGGCGTTGAACCGGATATGGTCCGCTTCATGGAAGTGCCCGGTCCCGACCCCTCGTTCCCACTGAGCACGGCGCTTGCATTAACTTTACTTGCACGCTGGATTACCAGTGTGTCTTCTTGCCGCGAGACGTAGTAGCCAAACTGCTCGAGCATGCGAATGATTCGATCGTGATGATGGAACAATCTCTCAGAAAGCTGTTTTGCCCTCTCGCCTCTCTTGTCAAAGTGTTTGCGCAATTTCTCCTGTTTCTCTGAGGCGCTGACCGCCTCTCGATTTAGAACCTCAATTTCATGCTTCAAGCGCTGGATGACACCCTCATCTTCAGCTTTGCGGTCCATTAATTCTGCAACTTTAATCTCCTCGGACTTCAGCTGTTGACGGAGCGCATCAGAGCCAGTCTCACCAGCGGCAAACTTCTCACGCAGGGAGTGCATCTCTGCGCGCTCGCCCGCAAGTTCAGTCCTGAGCGCGGAGATCTTGCTGCGTTCCTGTTCAATGTCTTCCCTCAGTCCATTTGCGCATGTCTCCACCAAAGAGAGTTTATCTGTAAGCGTCTCGATCTGACTTTCCGCGTTTGACAATTTCTCCTCAAGCGACTTATTCTCCGCAGTAGCGAGTTGGAGAGAATCATCGAGGCCCCGAGCATGGATGGCGGCACCTTCAGAGAGAATTTCCAATGCGTTGACGAGGCGGCGGAGATCATCTGGTGGAGACCCCGCGGGGGATAAGTTAGAGTGTGCACCTTGCAGGATCGAAATGTATTCTTGCTGTTGATCTTCCATTGAGCGCAGTTGGTTTGCTAGAGTCATATTTTGAGATTGCACGGCTGCCCGTTCTTCCTTGAGCTGGTGCAGCTGACGATCGAGTGTTGCTGCTCGCTCGCGGTGTGCGGCCGCTTCCTTTCGTGCTGACTCGACTTTGCGGTCTGCCAGAGCGAGATCATCGGCCGAGGTCTTCTTCAGTTGTTCCAACTCATTCCGTAAGTTGAGCGTTGTTTGATCTTGTTCAGAGCGAAGATGATCCCTCGAGTCATTGAGACGATCAAGCTCTTCTTCCGCTTCTTCCAATCTGACTTTCAGGCGATGTACTTCGTCGTCCAGCAATTGTCGCTCCTCCTCGAACTCTTGCTTCTGAGCTTCAAAGTTGGCCATCAGGTCTCGTTTGACCAATTCCGCTTCTTGCATTTTGTCCCTGCTCTCAGTACTTGAACGCCGTTCCGCATGAGCCTCCTCTTGCAACTTTTGGATCTGACTTTCTAATGCAACAATTTTCTGCACCAAGGACTTCTCGTCCTGGTTATTGGATAGTCTTCGAAGCGAGACTGACGACCTGCGAGACAAGTCGCTGTGCCTTTGTAGCGTACTTGGGGAAGGTGTTTGTTGTCGTTCGAAGTCTGCAGCGCTACCAGGCTGGAAGATCCCGCTGGCAGGCCGGCTGAGCTGGCTTTGACGGTGCAGGAGATCTTCCAGCTTTCGCACTCGACTGTCCGAGGCGCGAAGTTTCTCCTCGAGTCTTGCTTTCTCGTCCTGTAAACCTCTGACTTCATCCCCGTTACGGAGAGCAGCACTCTGAGTGAGATCGTGGATACTCCCGTTCTTAAAAGGTTTCGCTTTCTGCTTCCGGACTGGGGCATCCAAATCTTTTATTCGCTGCATGACAGACTGTACTGCTTCATTGATGCCGAGAGCTCTCAGGTCGTCAACCCAGGCAAAGATTTCGTCTCTGCTTACAAACGGCCAGGAATTTCGTGGTGCTGTCGCTTTTAGATCGATGAGTGCATCTTTGGCATTCATATCCTCATTCAAGAATTCGCTGTGGGAAGCGGTCCATTTCTTTCGCCGTCGTTGCTCCTCTTCGGTCTGCTGGGAAAGGTCTTCGTGGAGGACGTCGACCTCTGCCCGCATCCGCTCAGTCCACTCAGATCTCCGTGTTGCTTCCACGAGTGTAGCACCATAGACAAGGGGAAGCTGAAAGACTCGGTTGAGAGTCGCATAGTTGTCGTTGTCGTGGAAGTCTAGATTTGTGATGGCCGACTGTAATTCCGCGAGTCGAGACTGGATATTGGAAATAATTTGCAGGGTAGAATACCAGTCATTTGACGCTGTATTCCGTGTTTCAGATGCACTCAAAGAAGCTTGAATAATTTCTTCCACGACACCGTGCATGGCGGGCAACAATTCACGCGTATGCACGGCAGCCTTTCTTGATGCTGCAACAACGGATTTCTGGTTGTCTTGCATCTGGACGACATCTTCATAATCTGAGCTTATCCGCTTCGCCAATGTCTCAGCCTCGTCCAGCAGAGCATTGGTGTCGAAATCTGGGACTCGCGTCGAGCGAGCCTGGGCCTGACTTGTATCCTGCTTTAGCTTCTCCATGCCAGACTGAAGTTCTCGCAGCCTCTTCTCAAAGTCGGCTGAGCTCTGTTCAACACTCTCTGCAGCAGTCTGCAGAATATTTCGGTCAACCAAATCCAAAAGAGTGCCGACAGGTGCTGGTGCATCCTTGCCATCAGGCTCAGCCGGGCGCCGCAGCACCTTGACCACATCCTCACGAACTGGGAGCTCCGCAAGGGTATCGACATTTGCTCGCCAATCCTTGAGGACCCCTCGATGTTCTTGGATATAACCCTGAGCCCACTGATTTGTCTCGTCGAATCGCTGCTGTAGGCTTGTAACATGGTTACGCAGGTTGTCCAGGGCGACCTTCATGGATCTGGCAATGACGGATGCCTCGTCCGCACATATTTCTATGTTCTCCACACCTGTTCTGGCAATGTCAAACGCCTCAAGCGCCCAGGTCCGCCTGGAATTGAACAGCTCGTGCCATGCCTTGAGACTGGTCTCGTCGGTGAGATAGGAAGGGGGGTCGGAGAGAGGTTTGAGTTGAATATCGTCCCGTGAGGGAGGCTTGGAGTCTGGCGACAGGAACTGTTTGTCGTAGACATAGACTTCTTGTTCGTTATTGAGATTCTTGACAATCTTGCCGCGGGCCGTCATCAAGATCTGGCGAGAGGCTGGAATGGCAGCATTGGCTTCGATCCATGACCGCAGGTTGTCGACACGAGCGACTGGATCATTGAAGGTCAGCACGCCGCCGGTGTGAGAAATGTATACTTGTAGCGCCATGGTCTCCCCCTTCACCACCTCCTCTTCAACTTCTCGAATTCTAGGCAGATCTAGCAGAGTGGGAAGGAGTCGGAGAGCGCATTAGGCGGAACCGTAATGCAGACCGCGTCTGAGCGGCAGCATGTCGTGTGAATGGATGGAATTCTTAGTCAGCAGCCTCTTCGGTTATCGGAAGCTTTGTCCTGATTCGGTTACTGTGACCATGGAGAGGAGTACTCCGTATGTTATGTCGTTGGGCGTCGCAGTGGTGGGCTTGGTGGGTATATACTAGAGCTAATCTCTACGACTTTCATGGGCAAAGAGGATGAGGCGCAGATAAGAGACTCGTACGGTATATATATGCCGGACACCGGCAAGTGAGCCTCTCACCTTTGATTCCGGGTCACAAGACATCAGAGGTCATCTGGAAATCACTACTACGGCGTCCTCTCGACAACAACAACCAGCAAGAACAAGAAGGAGGGGCAGACATCCTAGCCCACAATGAGCAGCTTTCAAAATATCGAGAAGCCGTCCTTGGTATGGCACTGGAGGTCCTGGGACGACATCAAAGCAGCCTCAATGTTCACGCTGGGCAATTATGTCAACATTATCCTTCTGGCCATCTTCCTTATCTTGGCCATCAACCAAGTGAGACTCAAGAATGTGAGTTGCATGAACCCTGCCACCGGCTTCACAGCGATCTGCTGTAGCTCAATCAACCCTGGTCGTCGCGGACAGCGTCGTTGACTTCTCGTCAGCAAGCTGCCAAGAAGGTCGGTTTCGAGAGCCGCTATCTCAAAGCCCCTGAGTTCCCTCCTATAGAGGAGCAACCAGACTTTGACTGGGCAGCAACAGAACCTCTCCGCTTCCGGCCCTTCAAGCCCAAATACCATTTGACCATGGGTGAGTTCCGCATTCCATCCTGCCATCAGCGTTCGCTATCTTCTCAAAGTGAAATCTCTTCTCTTGTTCCTACAAGAAGAGGCTGACTCTACACGAGCCGAATCTGACGAGTCAGCACTTGAAAACCTCGATCCTTCGGAGTTACTAGTGATGGACAGGAACTACGCAGACCGCATCGCCTACCGCCGGAAAGTCATGGCCGAGCATGGCGAGCACGTCGTTGCCGTGAATGACGATTATCGCATCCGTCCCGCCGTCGTGGAACTCTACCAGTTCCTTCTCGGCACTTACCTACCGCTACGCTTTCCTAAGATGTTTAAATTACACGAAACCGATTATGAGGAGGGCAAGACGTTTATGCTGGAGAATCTGGTGACCAAGGCCCTATTTCCCGCGAAACCCTCGCCTCGGACGTCGACAAAAATGCTGTTAGAGACACTTGGTCGGACACTTGACGAAGACTTCCTCTTCCTCCTTCCCGAGGAAGAAGGAGACAAAATCACGAAGAAGAAAGAAACCAATAGCGAGAGCTCAGAAGGTGATGCGAAGTACATCCTCGAGGCCTACGTCTGCTGCTGCCCCAGCGGATTCGACCCGCGTGAGAAACTCGGCAACAGGCTCGCCAAAATCCACGGTCCGGTGCCCGGCTACCCTCAAAAACTGGAGGCATCGATGGACCGATTCTTCTCCCGGCTCGAGGTAGGCAAGTATGTGCGCCGCGTAAACTGGGCCGTCACCACGAACACCGAACTCTATGCCGCTGGACCCGGCACCAACCACGCCCACGAAGGGGATGAGGTCGAAGAACTCGAGGACGTCGATGTGGACAAGACGTTCCTGAGGTGCGAAAGGCAGACGCTACACAGACTGCCGAAAAGTAAGGCGCTGGTGTTTGCCTTCAGGACATATTTGTACCCGATTGCCCAGGTAAAGGAGGAGGGGAAGGGAGAAGAACTCGCACAGGCTATTGATGGGTTAAAGGAGGGCAGTGTGCCCGCAATGCACTTTTACAAGAGGGGCGCGGTGTGGGGAGAGGCCGTCAAGAGGTACCTCAGAAGCTGAGAGGACGACTCAAGCGTGAAACGAAGGGTACAGGATCTAGGTAAATACGGTGACTGGTCCTACGGACCGTTCATGTCAATATGTCATTATCTGACTGTCTGATTTTCTGATAGAATGAATGAATAAACGAGCTCAGATCCGAGATCCACGTCTGTGAAAGAACCCGCTGTTCCCCCTCCTCCTCTAATTCTTCTCCTTTTTTCCCCAGAGCTTTGCAACAAGGCAAAGAGAGCAATGATGAAAAAGGGTGTACAAAAGAAAAGAAGAAGACTTCTTTCTGATGTTGCGGTTCCGGAAATTGATGCAAGAGCCCCAGCTCTTGACTTGTCGGATAACAATATTGACAACAATATAGGTTAATAATAGAGATAAGGAGATGCAGAAGGAAAAGAAGCAAGAAAGCATGGGAGGAGGGGGAGGGAGGCTTTATATACCCCTTCAAGTGTGCAATACGTGGGTGGGAGTAATGGGTGTCTCTTTGAGGTAGAGTTGTGCAATGGTCCGGTTACACCTAGGCTCCAGTGTGGAAGGAAAGGTGGATATATAGATTTGGAAGAGGTAAAACTTTTTGGGGATATTCCTCGTGCCACTCCCCTTTTGGGCTGGTCACTCTCGTGTCTATGTTATGCCAATCGCTCAACCACCTTGATCAGATCTGCCGTGACACCCATCGCGGTGACCTCGCCACCTGCTCCGGCCCCTTGGATGACCAACGGATTCGCGCCGTACCGTTTGGTATAGAAGCAAATCAAATTGTCACTGCCCCTCAGGCCTGCAATTGGCGTCCCCTTCTCCACCATTTCCAATCCCACCTTCACTTCTCCCTTGCCCACATCCACCGAGCCGACGTATCGCACAACCTTGTTTTGAGCGGCAGCTTGGGACTTATACGATTCCATCTGCTCGTCAAATTCAGGTAAACGGGTCATGAACTCGTCGCTTGACTCCGCGGACTCTAGTTCCTTCGGGATGAGACTCTGGACGGGGAAAGAGTCCGGTCCTTGGACTTTCAACCCTGCCAAACGCGCGAGGATGGTGAGCTTCCTCGCGACGTCCATCCCGTTCAGATCGTCCCTCGGGTCTGGCTCCGTATACCCTGCCTCTTTGGCCTGTTTTACAATCTCCGACCATTTCCCTTTCCCAGACCCGTCGGCAGGAGCAAAAGAGTTGAACAGGAACGACATGGTTCCTGAAAATACACCTTCAATGCGTGTGACTTGGTCGCCCGTCGCAACCAGATCTTTTAGTGTAGATATCACGGGAAGACCTGCACCCACGCTGGATTCATGGTAGACCATTGCTTGTCCATTCGCCTGGTCGACTGCCGAGAAGATATCGTTCCAGAGCTGTAAGCTGCTGGAGAAGGCCTTCTTGTTCGGTGTCACTACACTTATTTCTGTGCGCAGGAAGGAGGGGTAAGCGTTCGCGACATCCTGAGACGAAGTGTTGTCGACGAGGATGACTTTTCCAGGGGCGGACGAGAGATATTTGACAAGTTCATCGGGAATGGAGAGAATTTGCGAGGACGATGATTGTAAGTCGGACGGAGAGACAGGGGAGTAAGATGTATTGTAGAGTTGTTTCGAGGAGCGGGAGAGAAAGATTAGTGTGGGGCGCAGCCGAGAGGGAAGCGAGGAGAGTTGAGACAGAAAACAGGTGCCGACACCGCCGACACCGATGACTGCGAGGTGTATGCTAGGTGAGGACATTCTTGAAGGTGAGAGGATTGAAAGCGAGTTAGGTTGTGAGAGGAAAGCTGGCATTGAAACTTTTCTCTGTCGCACTCAATCGAATGCGGGGTAAAATGCGAGGACCGGGCGCAAACGGCAAGGCTGCACCACAGCCTCGTCAGATGCCACGGGCACGTGCTCCAACAGATCGTTGTAGCAGCATTGTCGGAGGAAACAAGGCATCAGTAGGACATTCCCCTGTCAGTCATCGTCGTAGATAGTTATTGATTTCGTACGTCAAACCCAGGAAGACCAGCCTGTCCATCTATGTCCTCCCAGAATTTGGCGTAATCCACTCCTTTCTTCTCCAAGCGAGTCCTCAGTTCGCGAATTGCTTCAGCCTGTCGTCCTTCCGTAAACCCTCCAGGTTGCGAGGTTTCAAACTGCACAATCTCGATCCAACGGAAGAAAACTGCTTCAGCGCCGAGTTCCGTAAGAATGCGTCGGAACCTTTCCACAGTGCTGTCCTGCTGTTGTTCATGGGCGGTGATTTCTGGCGCTTCATGGACCTTCCAGACCAACCATTGCTTCTCATAGTACACCAGAGCGAGATTCTCCAGGTCTTTGAGTTGGATCGCGCCTTTCTCCACCAGCCTATGTGCATCCAGCATCGCCTTGAAATCGAGATCCCAGTCCTTGTCCAGGAGTAGATAACCAGTCTTTGCAAGAGATGTGGTCTGCATGGCGGGATCGACTTTGACTTTGATGGTCAATTCTTCATCCAAATTCCAGGTCTTTGCCACATCTGGATTGTCCCCAACCAGTAACGGTGTATCCCATTTTCTGCCTCTCCGAACAATAATTTCCGTGTCCCTGAAACCTATTGTCCTCCTCCATTCCCACGGGCCCACAGACCTCAATAGCCTGCTGCCAAAGACAAATTCCTTGGGCCAGCTCCCAATCAAGCCGAAGATGGCATAGTCAATCATCAGCAGGAATGTGCGTGAAGTGACAGCATTTATGAGTTCTCCCACTCCCGCAGTCGCCGTGTCAATTTTATACGCAGTGTCATATCCGAATATTGTAATGATTTGTTCAAGGTAGATTGGCACGGCATAGTAGAGGCGGACACAGAGTCCAATTGTAATGAGCAGGTTGAGGAGGACGGGGACTGCAAATACTCGTTTTTTGAGGCTAGGGGGAGTATGATCTAGGTGAACTAGGTAGATGTGGTCCGTGGGAAGGGTGGAAAGGAAGGGTCTGAGTGAAGCTGGGGCGTATTGGAAGGGTGTGGGAGGCGCGGAGGCTGGGCTCGCAGGTGGCTTTGTGTGGGTTGTAGAGGGATCTGCGGATTTTTTGGCTCGCTTTCCAGCGGCACGAGCCATCTTGACGGAGTCCAGCAGAGGAACGGGGGTGAACACCTTGCTGGTGCGCACGATCTTGTACAAGCAGATCTTGGAATCCCTGCAACTTCCATGCGCGAGTCAGTATCTTCACGTGATGGCGACTGGCTGATTCAACCCACATGTCGCCATCTGAAGTACTGGGTATAGCCGGATTGAGCCTTCAATCTCGGACGCCGTATCCTTCAGCTTCATCTCCTTCCTTCCAATCAGCAGTCAGGTCTTCAAAACCCTCCTGCATGTGCTCCGATTGCACCATGATTCCCCATTCGGGGTAGAGCACCTCGTTTACCAGGCAGGGTCAAGCCCCAGCCAAGCATTGAGGCTTGTGCAAAGCTTGGTGATCTGGCTCGCTCTGGCCGCTGGGGCGGTTCGAGCTGAATGGCAAAGCTGACATCGACTAGGGGCTGAGATTCCGAAACTGCCCAATCCAGAGCCTGCGCAATCTGCATCTGCTACTATATCAGGCACTTTCTGCTTACAAGACCCTGTCGCCCAATGAAGCCGTGTCTGAGGTTCCGAAGCCTTTGATGCAAGTGCTTATGCTCACCTCCTCTTGCCTCCTCCAGTACTGGCCTCCTCCTTCGCGTGCCTGGCTATGCCCTTCGCATGTGGACGTGGGTCGTCGCCCTGAAATACTGGCCCTTCGCTGCTCTCGCGACGATCTTTTGGAATTCCCTTTTGCGAAGCGTTGGCGCCCTGGGTTTCGCTGTCAAGTCAAGTCCTCTTTCCTTTGCACCTTTCTACTTTCGAACCGAGTCACTCTTTCTTCCATTTACCTGGCTTTAGTTGACCTTGAGCGCCCCAAACTCGGTGTTCCTCTTTCAAAGTAATACTCAGTATGGACTTCATTCCAGATCGCCTGCTCCTAGGCATCCGAGACGCAAAAAGCGCAGTACCCAACCTTGCGAACGGGCACAACCCGACAACCACCTCGGGCGGCGTGAATAACCCAAAGATGACTCACGCTCTGGGCAAGTTGGCTCAGGCAGGAGTCGCCGACGATGTCGTCAGCTCAGTCCTCGGCATACCCTCCACCACGACCACCATTCACGCGGAAAAGATCACGCATGCAGCTGAAAAACTTAGCAACGCCGGATTGGGTTCTTCCGTCATCAGTCCTTCCCCATCACCATCATCATCATCATCGCACAGCAGCGGCCTTGCCACAAAATACATCGTTGTAATTGCTGTTGTTGCCGCCGTCGTCCTGCTTGTCCTTTTGACTGGTGGATGCCTGTGCTGGAGAAGGTACAAGAGAAGAAGAGCATATAATGTGGTGAGCAAGGGTGTCGACACGAAGGGCAAAGGTGTTATGCGGGAGAAGGAAGATATGTTTAATGCCGACATGGGAGAGTCAGAGAGTTTCAACGTCGATGGTCAAAAGCTTACAGAACGCAACTTCGAGAGCGGATATGACAAGGTCGATACTGGTTACGAGGGCACGGGTTATGGAGCAGTTGAAGAACATGGCGGCGACAAGAGGGCGAGACTCGAGGCTTGAGGCTTGAGGCAGGAGTGCGATGCTGGAGATGTCGCGATTTATCGATCTCAATGTGGTGGTGATCTTCCCAAGAGAATGACGGGCACATGGCGTTGGTGAAGGATGTCACATTGGAGGCAAAAGAAGAATGGTCCTAGTTGGAGTTGAGGTTAAGTTGCTGCCGTTTTCTTGTTGTCTTCTCGAGCCAAATTTTCCATTTTCGTTCTCCTTATGATCTTCCCTTCAGGCCGCATGGACGGACTTGATTTACTTCTTGATCGTGGTGCAGTGCACAACATTTCACCTGCCCTTTTGGCTCATACACTCGACCCGGTCTCTCCTTGTGTCAGCCTGCCTGTGTTATCCCCAACTCACAGCGACACGTCCGGGCCTCATAATATTACGCGGATCGGAATGGTAGTGCCGACAAAATAGGAGCCGAGGCGCAGCAGAAGTGAGGTCCAAGATTAGTCGCGATTGTGGCTAACGGCGATGTTCTGTTCCGAGTTCGTAGGCGCGCAATTCCAGTCGACTTCAACCTTTCCGGTGTGGTGATCAGTCGAGCCCCAAGATCTTTTGCCACGTTAGTGTCGCCGTCCCTGTCGAGGGCACCAAGAAAGTGGTCACAGTCAAGGATACCATGTTTACCATATGATTGAGTTGTCTCGTGTTGTTCACCCTAAAACCGCGAGATTCGACAAGCCGAGAGGGAAACTGGTACTCGAGCTCCTCGAGCTTACCATTACGAAGAGACTCAGAAAAGCCATACCATGTTCTTGACGTCTTTATTTCTCGACTCATTTTTGAATAGCGACAGTGGAGAAGATTTGCTTCCAGATATATTGAGCACGAGCAAAGGGTCCCCGGTACCTGTCTGGAATGCTTGAGGCAGGACCTCCCAGTGACTTCCACAGCGCCGTAAGGTGCGACGGATAACTTGGATGAAAGGATGACGATCTTGGAATAGACTGAATTATAAAGACGGTAGTTGAGGGAAACACGGGCAGTCGTTGCAAAAGCATTGCATGATCAGTGTCTCGTCCACACCATGCCACAAGTAAGTTTTCCAACCACAGAAAGTGCATTCAGCGACGTGAGAGGATGAGTAACTCTTCCATTCTCCTCTTCGCTATCCGTGAGTTGCTAACAAACACTCAGGTTTGTCTCTGCCGATCTCGCTACTCGTCTTTCCTCTCTCTCGGCATCACTTTAGCTGTCCTTCGTCTTACGACTCCCTCCAAGAATATCTCCTGGAATTCCCCATCACTGCATTTCATCCCTAGTCATGTCTGGCAATACTATGGCTACTGACACCCCAGCACCGGCCACGCGCGGCGAGCGCAATAAGGGGAAAGCAAACGAGATGGGCTCGTTAGGGTCTGCAAGACTCACCGCCCTGAGAAATCCTCAAGTCATCGAGATCCTACCGGAAGCTGACGTCACGCCAGAGGTTGGACATCGAGACGATGCGCTCGACATTATAAGGTCTTGGGGCCTGTACTTGGCCTGACCTCGAAGGTGTTCAAGGCAATGCTCAATTCCTAGTTCATCGAGGGCGCAACCGAGGTTCATCGAGCTGAAAGACAAGGAGCCTAAAGTCTTTGTTGGGATTCTGTTACACTATCCACCATCAATCCAATTCACTTGCGTTGGTGGAGACACAATGTTGAAAGGGCTCCTAGTCATTGCGGGCAAGCGGGACTGCAGAGAAGCACTCAGGCCATGGATGTTGTCTGAGCTCCTCAATACCTGGCTTGGTTCGACGATAATAGGTTGTTTCACGGCAGACACCCCCTTTTTCCACGCTGCCCGTCTCTGAACTTGGAGGTTGAGGATTTCATGACTTTCGAGGCTATATCTGGCTTGGGTGACTTGTTTGAGTGGGGCGACAGCCACATATATTGCATAGGGGGGTCGTCCAATTAACCCATCTGACGGGGCTAGGCTTTCTGCCACCATTGCTCCTACCGTCAGCAACAGCATTTCCATCAACGGTAACTTGCCCCTTGGTTATCTTAAGGAATACGACAGACTGATTTTTAGCTTTTCTCAACGAATTCCGTGTCAAGCGGATCCAAGACCTTTTATGGAGCGCAATTGCCATCACGAACTCTAGATTCGGCAGAAAAACCAGATCTAGAACGGAATTTAGGCCTGTGGGCCTGAGGGCCTCTGCGAGACGGCCAAAGCAAATACGGCGCGTTCATGGCTACGTTCTTTCTCGAATTTGATCTGATAAACATTTCTTCGTCCTCAAGATCATGGCGCAATACCCGGCAGCCCATTCACAAAATTGCAACGGCGCATCTTGGCAACCCTCACCCAGATGGCGGTCCTAACGGCGAGAGATGGCAGGGTCGTTGCAAGGGAGTGAACTGTAAGTATTACAATCTACAAATCAAGGCCGGCCTAAGAGATCTCTTAGGCAGTGAGCGGAAATTTCGAAGGATTTGTCTCAACTGCTTCTTGGAGAATGGAACAAACTGTCTATATCCATCGGTCTATTTCAAAAATGGCCACCTGGACCATAAAGAATGCTCCCACATCTGAGCCCAGTACCGAGAGCACGGTTTGGTTGCGAGGACTCCAGTTCTGACGACGGATGTAAACCTGGGGCATCTATTTGGCGACTTTGGAATCCATGGGCAGTCTTCTATTGCCAGTTGAAAGACGGTCACTCTACCAGATCGGCGATGCAAAGCAACAGCGGAGGTGGTTGAGGATTTGAGACTACGTTAGCTGTTATGTTGCAGGCACGCTTCCATACGTCGGATGAGCAGCTGCATCGTCAGAGCAGTGAATTCTCTCTGTGGACATAATGCTCTGTCCGCCCCCTGTGCCCTAGTGAAGCGCTTCCTGGAATCGTGTATGGTACGCAGTTCAGATGAGACTCAGCCTTCCATCACTCCAGCTGGCACACCTATTTTCATTTTATCTCGGACTCCTGATGGATGGCTCACTTGAACCGTAGACTCTGCTCATTGAACTCTATCTAGAGCCTCAGAGCTTGCCACTTGTTTCACATGCCATTGGTTCCCGTCCGCAAACGGCCCAGCGACATCTCTCATCTTCCATGAAGCCAGACTTTATCGTCACGCTGACAGCTACCGACATCCTTCAAACTTGGTGTTTCACCAAAGAGATCTTGCTTCAGTGCCACGACATAACAGCCCCTTCGGACTCTCGATTTCAAAGGCACCATGAGCTCCAGGATCAAACGTACCAAGACTCTGCAACCCGCCGCTGAGTCATCGAAACAAGCCAGGAAACTTATCGAAGTCGTTCCAGATGGAGATGTCCTACTGAAGGTCGGTCAAGAGGCGGAAGCTCTTGACATACGAGTCTCGGGGCTAGTCATCAGTCTAGCATCAGACATGTTTTCTCGAATGCTCTCGTCGTCGTTCACTGAGGCGAGCACCAAAGTAATCGAACTAAAAGACGATGATCCAGAGGTTGTCCTGGACTTCTGCAACATTGCCCACCACAAGATTGAGAACCTCGACCACTGCAACGGCCTGAGGCTCCTGAAGCTTGCTGAGTTGGCGGATGCACGATTTTGCGAGAGGGTGCTGCGACCTTGGGTCGCTACAACGCTGTACAGTGCTTTGAGTGCATTGGAGAAATGGGAGAGGGATAAGACGGACGTCACAGTGTACGGTGATTGGATCAGCCCTAGCTCCTTACGTGGGCTCAACATCGTACAGTGCCTCGGAGTTGCCATGGTTTTCCAACTCGATGAGTTATTCTGGTTGACAACAAAATATTCCATATTATGCACCCCGAGATTCCCTAGCGAACATCACCAAATACCCTCATTTGCCGAGTCAGCTCTTCGTTCGGGCCAACTCAGTCTTCAAGGTACGTATGACAGTCCTCTGGCCGTCGATATGTGTTCCTAAAAGGCCTGTCTTTCAGAGGTGCTTAAGCAATCCCACAAGCGGCTACTGCACGATTTCCTCAACGATGTCTTCAAGTGCGTTGGTGAAGATTTCGAAACAGGAGCGGTTTGTGGGTCGATAAAGAGGAAGCGAGCCTGCTCTTTCAGCAAGTACGGCGCTTTCATGCTTTACTTGGCCCGCGAGAATATCAAGCCAGGACAATCCGACGATTACCGGGGAACACTCTCTGAGGCGATGAATGTGATTCTGCTTCTCTCACAGCGAACTAACCGCGCTCCCTGGGGTAGCATATTAGCCTACGAGGACTGCACAAAGGGCCTTGCCAAACCTTGTCGATACTGCCTGAGAGATATCATGGCAGACTTATTGCGGCTTGTTCAACGGTACATATACAAGGTGCAAGGTGTTTGCCTTTCCTGCTACAGAGATGGCAAAGAGGAATTCTTCCATCGCACATGCCCGATTCAGGAGATCCAACCCTAAGGTTGAGACCGGGGTTTAGACTACTGATTTAGACTACTGATTTTGACGGGGGTTGGTCCGGATCGCATCGACGATATGCACAGAGTGGAGACACGATACCAACCGTGTAACATATGGAGCAAGAGCAGCGGGCAGAGTACTGATGAGAGAGACGAAGAGGCCATGGGCTACAGTGTCATGGGGCATGTTGGCAATCAAAACGAGTTGGCTAGAGCAAAAGTTTCAACAGAATTGAGATGTGATTAATCCGTTTCTCCTATAGGCAAATTCATTTCCACCTCATTCTTCTCATCGATGGCTCTGGGACATATCTCTCTTGGATATACGAGGTACTGCTTCAGTATTCCTCCCTGTGTGATTTGACATTCCAGACATATCCCTCAGCAAGAAGGTCCTAGTCTTGCTCAACTAATGCCAGATGCCCCTTTCTGACAGCAATAAGTCCGCGCGACAATGGTCACAAACAACACAGCACGATGCTTCCTCCGCACCCAAGCGGGGGAAAAAAAAAAAAGAAGCGTCATCGATCACCCATATCCGCCGAAGCACGGCATACAATCAGTCGGGAAACTCATATCCTCAGCGAGGGTGAATTATTTTTCAAAGAGATGATGACGAGGAAGTGCGGTCTACAAGAGATAGTATCAAAAGGACGAAAATACGAAGTGTGTGTTTTGTATTCTCCCAGAATGTGCCGTGTGGTTGGCCAGGACGTGTCTGCTGCATTAGGTTAGCGCAGGACTACCACTCAGTTATCGATGCCCCTTTTTAAAGCCTCGCCAGCCTTATTTACAGCCAACGAGCCTAGCACATGGACTTCATGTATTTCTCAACAACTCCAAAAGGTCAAAATACCAACGTGGATGTCGAAGCCGTTGTCCCTCCTCAATTGACCTTCGGGCGCTTTTCATATACTCAGCAATAGGTTGTACGGGTACGTTGCCCTTTGTTCGTCCAGGACATCACGAATCCGGTCTCCCGATGTAGTGCCTCCCAGTCACTTCTCGAAGGCCTTCAGCCAATGATTCTGCCATGTTGTCGGGGACTGCCACAAAGCCACCACCTCCTTTGAAATAGGTCAGTGGTAAGGTTGACGATCGTCTCCTGCCGCCAGCCGAGACTTCAGACAGAAAAATTGAGTTTACAGGAAACACGTTCGACTCGGGAGCTGCGCCCTATTTCCCAGTATTTTGACGGGCATGGCCGCTCAGGCACGGGGCCGAAACCCGTATATCGGACTACAGGGGAGATTAGTGTCTTACCGAATACAGGCTGTCAAACAAGGCTGTGAGGCTGGAAACAGCCTGGATAAGACGCCACCATTTCCATTTCGGCCGTCTGGCTGCACAACATTTCGAAAATTCAGACGGCTGACCCTCGTGTTGTATGTCAGCCATCAGCAGTTGCAGTCTCGTTGAAGTGCCTATGCGAGGTTCAGGAGCGCGTAGGTTTACTTTTATCGTCTTTCCCTCTAATTGCAAGTCCCTGCCCTAAGTCTCTGTGGCTTCCCTGGGCTTAGCAGCCTCAATTTCTATTTGCCAGTCATCATGTTTCTCCTGAAGAGTGTGCCCAGCAGCTTCTTGTCCAGCGGCTGCCTGGACCAGGTGCCTTTTCAATAAAAGGCGAGTCCTCACAACTCTCAACCGCTTGGTGACGGTCGGTGCCTTTTCTGTCCTTTCGTCCAAGTCGCTCGTTTACTCCAACTACAGCCATTCGTTACGGACTCCAGAGAATACCATCAGGTTTCTTTCTTTGCCCCCTTTCTTCAGTCATGCGCTTCTCTGTCATTGCAGCGGGTTTTGCGGCCATAGGCTCTGTCATTGCTGAAGATCTTCTCTTCTTGGACGAGCTAGTTGGGAATGAAGAAGAGCATGCCGTTGCCCTTGGATTCACGACTAAGGTGGTCACAGAAACAGAATGGCGCGCCATGAAGACCTCTGACTTTGCAGCCTTCAAAGCGATCATCATCGGCGACCCCTTCGGTTCTAGTGACGTGAATCTGATCCAGGTTCTAGAAGACACGAACACTATTTGGGGCCCTGCTATCACCGGAAACGTCATCATACACGGTAGGTACTACGGTCCCGAACCAGCATATTCCGCTGACATGGTGTAGGTGCCGATCAATCCAACCACGATTCATTTGGCGTCGCCGGTGCAGCTGTACTCATCGACAACAGTATCAAGTTTGCAGCCGCCGGAGTCTCTCCAACCGGTTCCTCTCAGACTGGATTCTATTTGTCCCTTTCACAATATTACAACACGGCGGCACTTGATACCCCCGTACCAGCGCTTTCCTACTTTGGAGACTTCAAAGTCTTTGGCCAGGACAACAACGGTCAAGGGGGCTACAATGCAATTCACATCGTTGCCTCGTCGCCCGCAATCGACACGCTCACCGACGAGGACCTTTCGAACTGGTCCTTCAGCACCCATGAGGCTTTCTCATCCTACCCCTCTGTCGGGCAGAATGGTTTCCAGGCACTGGCAATCGCAGACGGGGTCATCACCACTGGCACTCAGAATTATGGTGATGGCCATTCTGGTCTACCATACATTCTAAGTCGCGGTGCAACGCCAGCCGGCTGCGGCGACGGAAAGTTCGATCCCTCTCTCGGCGAAGAGTGCGATGACGGCAATACAGTGGATGGCGACGGTTGTTCCAAGAGTTGTAAATGTGAGAGCGGCATTGCTAATGGAGATGGCACTTGTGGTTCCGTCTCAACCACTAGCAGTTCGACTACTTCCACCACGGTATGGAAAAGTGTAATGATCCCTGACCAATGTTCGTTGTTTGACTTGTGTACAGACCTCGACCTCTTCGACCCTGTCCTCTAGCACGACCACGACCTTCACAACATCTACCCTGTCTACCCTGTCTACCACCTCCAAGACCTATTCAAACACAACTACCTGGTCGACTCGAGTGAGGCCGACCACTTCAATTATCACCTTGGAAACGACGACCACGGGCAGTCAAGTTGCCGCCATCACCTCGAGAAAAGCCTGGACTGCCCCCCCTTACGTTACGGCTTCCGTCCCCAGGTCGAGGTGCATTGGCATTGAGGTCATCGTCTCAGTGACCGAAATCGAACAATGTAGCACCATTGACGCTACTAGCACAGGTACGTAACTCTTCTGACGGCTTTTATCGAGTCAAACATTGATTATCTCATAGTCACGTACACCACCACAAGCGTGCTCTCGACATACCAGAAGCCCATCTACAATACACCTATCTCATCCATGCCCTGCTATGTGTGTGCCTTTGAGTCACAAGGCATCACTGTGACGGATTTTATCACGGCTACAACAGTCAGTATTATCACGATGATTGCCATTGTGCAGACAACTGACATGCTTTCCAGACTCATTGTCCATCCAAGCCAACCGCAGAACCAGCAGTCATCTACCCTTGCTCGACATGCCAGGGCACGAGCTTGACGGCATCATGCCCCTGGAAAGTCACGCCGACCTGGTCCCTCCAGCCATACACCACGTACGGACCTGTTGGGAACGAACACGATGAAGGACATCCCCACCACGGTGGCTATTCTGCCACGGTCGCTGCAACGGCGCTGACTTACGGAAACGCACCTGGCTCCTCTCCGCCATACATTCCGGGTGCTTCACCTGCGGCATACACTCCCGGAGGTGCTCCTCCAGCATACACTCCTGGTGCTTCCCCTGTTGTGTATACGCCCGGTGGCTATCCTGCCGCATACACTCCTGTCGCGGCGGCGTCAATCAGCTATGCAGCAAGCGCAGCCTCAGGTCCCACATCAGCGAGCTCCCCCAGCTGGGCCCCGGATGCGACGTCGCTGGTGGCCGCCTATACCGGTGCAGCCAATAAGCCTACAGGGTTGGTGGGAGCGTTGTTGCTCGGAGCAGGGGCTGTTGCAGTTATCGCCATCTAGATACCTAGGGGTCGAAGCAGAAGCGCCTTGGGTTTGCTTACGTTACTCCCCAGAATAGATAGACTGGGGATTTCGCACGCAGCAACGCCTTCGAGGATGTTTTGATGGAGGAGGGAGGGAGCCCCGTTCATGCCTTGTCTGTCAGAGTCTCGTCACTATTTCGCTTCGTTCCTTTTATAGCTAGCTACCACAATTTACAAGGCAGATTTATCTTCCCGATTCCTATGGATAGGCAGAGAAGCGCCCTTCGTCAATAGTGGCTCGAGCCTCCCTCAACCCAAGCGGCGATATGAGCCTAATTCGGGTCCCAGTAACTATTGACTCGGCCAGGATAAGTTTCGAACCCGGAGGGAAGGGCACTGCTGACACGTAGAAGTGAAGGAAGAGGGGTCCTCTGAAAGTGCCACGCAGGTCTTGCTACGGCGCTTTGTCGAGGTTGAATGGATGTTGTAGATGGCAAGAGATGCATCGACGAGAGACAGGCCTGCGTTGTCGGCTGGGGAGGCAGCGTAGCTTGGTAGCTTGCAAATCGTCATCGATGCGTTTGTCTTGGCTGTTCTTGATATACTGGAAGGTGTTCGCTTTCTCGATGTTTGTTGGCCATCAAATGGGTAGGTCTAGAGTAACTTGTTTCCGACAATCACAGTCAAGTGTGGAGGAGGCGGAGCTACTCAGTTAGAGGCAGAGTCAATGCTGCACGTGTGAACTCACTTCTCCGTCATTGCTTCCTCGATCTTCTTTCACGGCGCTCTCAATACTGACTCTAATCATCTCACCACTCCAGATAGTCAACTTCACAACACTAACCCACCACATCATCTCTTCTTCGCAGGCTTAGCGAATGTCTTCGCCTAGCCATGGCTGACTTTGGCTGCAATAACGCCAACCTCTTTCTTCCCACCGCGGGAGCCAAGCGAAAAGTCGACGCGCTGGAATCCGGGGGAAATACGCGAGCGCACCACACTGCCAAGCCAATCGAAGGTATCACCGACGGCGATGTTCTCGCCAAGTTCGACAGGGGTAAGGATGCCTTTGACATCAGGGTTTCTGGAACGGTGATAAGCCTCGCCTTAAAGGCGTTTTGGCGGATGTTATCATCATCATTTATCGAAGGGACAACAGAGGTCGTTTGATTGTTGGAGGACGACCCAGAGATCCATCTTGACGCTCTGCAAGATGTTCCATCACGAGATCGAAATTCCCGGTCATCTTGATGCACAGGGTCTGATCAGGTTAACCACAGTTGCAGATATGCGACTATGCACTCCAATACTGAAGCCATGGGGTTTTATGAGGGTCCCGAGCGTGATAGAGCTGCTTCATGGAAAGGTTCTCTCGTTCCGGAAGGAGAGACGCAGCGGTGGTGGCACCCATAATCGACAATTCAGATCTGGAGCTTGGCATTGGTGAGCTGATGCTATTACATATTGCAGTCATATTTGGTATGGGGCTGGTATTTTGGAAAAAGACAAGGACCCTACTCTTTCTTTCACGGCACCAATCCCTACTCACGGAATTGAACGAAATCAGGTATCTGAACTTGCGTCCCGCTCCCTACTCGAACGGCTCCTCGAAGGGTATACCAGAGGATTTCCCTGACAGCTGCAAGTCCCATCCAGCAGCGGTATATATTGAAGTTCTTAGCGGCAATATTTCAGTGTGTCGGAAGAGAGTTTAGGAGAGTTCCACTCGGAAGGACCTGCCAATACAGCCGATACGGATGTTTGATGTGGCAGTTGAAGAGTGAGGGGCTTGAGCCGTGTATGCAACCTCCATTTGGGCGGTTGTTGCGGTCAATGGCTTGCATTGTGCTAAACGTGGAGTACGATATTCTGGAGGGACAGTCAAGAGTCGGGAGCAATTGAGAGCGCTTTAGAAGCTACCATAGCAAGAACACTGGAGGAGACACTATTGGGCTATTGCATAGCCAGTGGGCTCTGCAAGGCTCGACGTGACCTGCGAGCATGAGGGAAGGGAAGGATGCTGTTTGTGGATATGATGAGCTCGAACACACATCAGTAGAGGTCGAGAGGTGAAGTGGTGCTCGGCACATCTTCGGGGGATTTTGTTTGTCTGCGAGGGACTCAACCGCCAAAAGCAGAGAATGTAAACAACCGAACCACTCAATCTTCGAAGCCTCTTGACTGCTAGGCCATATCTTCCTGTAACTACCCCGTACATTATGAGCTCACCGGCGTCAAAGCGCATGCGCTTGTCGACCTCGAGGACCTCCCTCTCAGGTCGCAAAAGCATCTCGGGCAGCCAGTCAGCGCTGCCTCGACCAACTTCAGCCGCCGGACAGAATCGACTTACAAGCACGCAACCCTCGTACGACTTCATTACCGGAGGAGCAGTCGAAAATCCCTCACAGCCGCCCAGACAGTCCAGACTCCGCCAGCCTTCTGTCTCCCGGGCAGATCCTACCAAAGATGAAAGTCTGCGAGCGAAGATTAACTCCCTCGAGTACGAGCTGAAGAATTTACAGCAAGAGCGGGGTCTTTTGGCATTGCAACATGAGAAAGAGCTGCGGGAACAACAACTCAGGGCCGATGCAGACTTCAAAAAATACCAAACTGCTGAAAGCGCAGCTCAAAAGGCGACCCAGCGACAAGAGGCACTTGCGAAGGAACTACGCGAAGTGCAAGATCAAAGGATCAACGAGAGAGCCGCGCTAGAACGGCAACTAAGGGATCTCCAAGATCAAACCGCCTCTCTGAAGGAAGATGCCGCGGACGCGCAGGCACGTCTCGCTGATCAAGAAAGGCACTACAAACACCAAATCAACGACGTCGAGGCAAAACGCGCAGCCCTCCAAGAGACAGTGGACAGTGTCAAACAACAGCTGGAAGAACTAGGTCAGCACTTTGAATCATCACAGGCGCGTCTGTCAGAGCGAGATGCGAAAATCGAGAGTCTCGAAACCGAGGTGGCTGCATTGAAGTCGCACTCCGGAGACAGCGAAGCGATGCAGGTTCTGCAGAACCAGCTTTCTGAACAAATGGGCCACATCCGAAAGCTCGAAGCGACCAACAGAGAACAGCTGGCCGAGTTGCGGCGACTGCGCGAAGCGCATCGCAGTGTAGAGGTCGTCGAAGAACAGAAGCATGGGCTGGAAATCGAGCTTCAAGTGCTCAAGGACGTGCAGAGACAATTGGGCGAGGCTCAGATACAACGAGAGATCCTCGAGGATGAAAAGAGAACCTGGACAAGCCTCTTGCAGCGCGACGGGCAAGATATCGAGTTCGACTCTCCCGAGGCTGTCGTCAAGGCTCTGATCCAGCAGCGGATAGAGTATGCTTCAGTCATGGACAGACTGGGCACAGTCGAAAGTGAACTCGCAGAAAAGGATGAGATCATCAAAGCCCTGGAAAGAGACAAGGCGGCCTTGAACACCGACGTCGAGAATTTGAAGACCATGAAGACCGCACAGCCAGATGCTGGCCAAGACAACAAAGCTTACAAGAGACTAGAGCGACAACGGGTCCTTGCTGTCAAAGAGGTGGAATATCTTCGCGCTCAACTGAAAACCTTTGACACCGAGGAGACTGTTTTGATGGATAACCAGAACTTTGATTCACAGCGGTCTGAACAGATCAAGAACCTGGAAAATCTGGTAGATCAATACAAGGCGGAGGTGCAGACACTCCACTCCGATTTATCGAAACTCGAAGCTGCACCTGCAGCCGCTGCTCCCGTACAGGAAGAGCCCCGCGGAACAAAGCGACCGGCAGATTCGCAGGAGCCTGAGGGCGACGGAGGCAATTCACAGCTAGGTGCATTGTTGCGGAAGAACAAGAACCTCCAAATCGCATTGCAGAAGACAGCTCAGCAGTCCCAGATGCTGGCTACGGATCTTCAAGCAACAAAGGCACAGCTCAAAGCCCTACGAGAGAGTTCCAAAACACGAGTGCTGGAGCTTCGAGACAACCCAACCGCCAAAGCCGAGGTGATAAAATTGGCAACCTTACGAACACTGAAGGAAGAAAACAAGGCGCTTCTTGCACAGCTGAGGGGCGAAGACCTTGAAGGCGTCAAAATGGTCCCTGCCAGCTCGGTTGATGCACTCAAGCTGGATCTGAAGGATATGGAAATGGTAGTGGCTGAAAAAGAGAAGCGGATGAGACGCCAACGGGAGATCTGGACGCAAAAGGCCGCGGAATTTCGGGACGTTATTGCAAGTGTCCTGGGTTACAAAGTCAACTTTCTCCCCAATGGAAAGGCAAAAGTTTCGAGTATGTATTATGGTCGACCCCATGATCTGGGAGACGAGAGCGGGGACGAAGAGGACAACCACTACATCATTTTTGATGGGGACAATGGTACCATGAAGATAAGCGGCGGGCCCGAGAGTCCTTTCGCCGCCGAAATCAGGGATCTGATCAACTTCTGGGTGAAAGAGAAGAAGCAGATCCCATGCTTCCTTGCGGCGATGACCCTGGAGTTCTATGAAAAGTTCACCGGCAAGGAAAACGAGGCTTGATCTGGACTGTTGGATGTGTTCTAAGTAAGGATTAGTAGCGAGATCTGCCGGTATGATCTCTCCACTTAGTACGGACGAACCGATCTATAAATGAAACTGTTGATTCACAGCTATGGGAGAATTCCTACAGGCTCCCAGGATACGAGGTATATCACCACCAGATGATCTGCCTTGTGTCTATCAAGGACCGGGTAGTTCCGACCACCACCTGGACAGTACTGGGTACTGGTGGCACATGCCATGGATGTCCGTTGTACGACACTTGAGCAGAAGAAGATTAGTGCCAACCGGTTCGGGAATGGCGCCACTCAACTATGATGCGGTCCGTGGTTTAGGCCCGAGGCTAAAAGCCACATCATCCGCTGCCGTTTCTTGAAATCCCCTCTCCTGACACTCTTTTCGCCTACCCCGGATTATTCACCGATTGTGCCCAGTGCCCACCAGCCTCGCTTCGTCTTTCCGTTTAGCCCGTCATTGCACCACCGCGAGTTGCAAACGCAGCTTGCCAAACTGCAAGACTATTCGAGCCCGTATCGGCGAAGGGCCAGAATCGGAAAGACTTTAATATCGACGATGGATTGCTTCTGTCTTGCTGACCTCAGGACCCGATGATGGGAGCCGCTGTTGACCATGACGATCCACAAAGTCTCCATCCGTGACCTCAGAAGATGCCGCCTCAGTTCTTATTCGTCAATAAGGACGCTGCCAGCGCCTCGCTGACCCGCAGCAGTGCCGCTGAACAGACCTCCATCAACTCTCATGTCCAGCGTGGTCGTCGACACAGGCGCTCTGCCACCAGCGCCAGCCGCGCTGGGGCCAGGGCAAGGAAAAACGCTGGTCGAGAAAATGCCGCTCCTTCAGCGGACCCTGTCTTCTCTGACTCGTCGCCGTCTCTTCCATCGGTAAAGAGCGAGCCCGTTCAAGATGACAGCAGCAATCAGATATGGCTGCCTGCCCGGCTGTCTCCGCCCACCAAGTTCGCTGATCAAACGACACGGGAAAATCCTGTACCAAAGGTGCGAGCTCGGAAAAAAGCTTCCAAGTCGCAGACCCAGGACCCTCCAGCAAAAAAGACGACGGTCGAGGAGAAAGCAGTCATGTTACTGAATTCTCCGCAAGCTCTAGCATCTCCTCGGGACATCACTCAGATAACTTCAACCTCTCTCGACCCCTTCGGCCAATCAGTCGTGAAACTCGACCCACACGTGGCAAGGCTTTGTCGGTACTTCTGCGAAAGCTTCCATCCGAGTGTCTGGCATGCTGAGAGTTGGGCATCCCGGGAAGGTTCGTATACATATCAGACTACCGCTGTGGAAGTAGTTCGACGAGCCATGCAAAGTGAGGTTGAAATGAATGCAATGCTAGCCTGCATGGCTGCCAGAATTGAGAACGTGGACCTAGTCCCCGGCCAGGGGACAGACAAATACATGCACAACGCTCTGATGGCCGTACGGCGCCGCTTCAGCTCGGCGCCAAAACAACAATTGCTCTTGATCGTCTTCCACTTATATGCAGCGGATGCCTACCGACAAAACTACCAGGCTGCTAAGATACATATGCAAGCAGCCAAAGCGCTATTTGATGCGTGGGGGGGCCTACACTATGTGCCGGACCCGGCTCTGAAGGAATTGTTCATTATTGGGGATGGGCACATGTCTGCCGTTCTTCTGGAGCCCTGCAGTTTGCCATGCGAATACGATCCTGGACCGTACTGGGACGTCACGCCGCCTGAGCTTCAGCTTGCTCCCCGACAAAACTTGAGCCGCTCCGCGCCAGCGCTGCAGCGACTGTGTCTGCATGGATATTTCCCGGGGGAACTGGTGCAGACCATACAAGAGACGGCGGAATGCTCGTGGGTCTTGCATCATGCACCACTTGGCGCAGCAGAGGCGTCAAAACACGCCGCGAGATGGCTACAGTGGCGTCACGCAGCTGTTCGATACCGGCTCCTGGCTATGGAATATCCAGGATCTAGCCTTGACGTTGTCCGAGTCGGGCTGATGATGTGGATATTGACCTCTATGGTGATACTCGGGTTGAAGCGATTAGGAGGTCTGATTGCGCCAAAACTACGCACAATTTTCTGGTCAGTTGACGAACCATATGGCCAGTGGGAAGGGTTGGTGCAGCTCAAGACATGGGTGCTTACTATCGGCGCTATGTGCTCCATGGTAGGCAGTGACGAAGAAAGGTGGTTCATCGAGCAGCTTTTTGAGATCGGGTTTGTTGAGCATATTCGACGCTTTCAGGAGACGCATCCAGATTTCGACACTCTGGATGTGCTGAGGAACTTTCAGGAGAAGTTCTTCTACTATGATGCCATCCAACGACTCAGGCTGGAAAGATTGGCTCGTCTTCTCAGTGGTGGACTGAGTGAGACACCCAGTTCAGCTTCACAGAGCAGTCCCAGCGATCTATCGCGGAAATCAAGATCTCCCGCTTGACCAGTCCCGGAAATCACCACTACAATGGACCCCCTCATTGATCGCCTTTTTTTTTTGAGCAATCTCATCGAACTTCGGGGAACAATTTCTTCTCTTAGTGCCGGGATGCACGACGAATGTCGTGTCGGTTGCAGCCTGTCTTCGCTATCCGCAGGCCGAGGCGGAATTGAGATATTTGATGATAATCAGACACACTTCCGAACCACCCAAGCCTTGGTTTCGGAGCTATCTTGTAGCCTTGTCCTCATTAGTGGATGATGGAATGGAAATTTATACAGCGGCTTCAGGTAATCGAACAGAACAGATGGATCAGGATTGATGGAAGATGGAAGGACTGGTTTGCACCGCTCCTATTCGCAATGAAGCCTGCAAGTTACCAGAAGCCCCTCTAACTTGGCGATCATTACTTATGTTTCCCAATACCCACTCACACGTCCTAGGTTCTCACTCAATCTACGCGAATGGGTGATACGGTTCATGTCCTACTTGTGACCGCCATTTCCTAGCACCACGCGATCTACCACTCATACATAACACGGGGAGAACGACTGGGGTTCGGTAAAAGGCAAGACACCATGATTTCGACCGAGCCACTGCGGAGTACTCTCCTGAGGAAAGGCATCAGCGAAGGTTACACAGGCTAGGCGTCGGGACGGTTCAGAGCATGATGGGGGGAATAACAATTTCGATAATTATTTAGACAAAGATAACCTCGACGGAGGATGTTCGTCGTCTAACTTGGTGCTAGTATGTAGGCCAATGATGGATCATGTGGGCAGGTTATCAGATGGTAGAAAGGTTGAGCGAAATTACTCATGATCAAGCTCGCCTTGGGCAATCGTTCTCTAGGCCAACCAAGGCCAATTTCGCGAACAACCGCCAGACTTTGCAAGCTACGTAACGGACAAAAAGGGGGGAAGCGAAGCTGAAACTCGGCAGTTGGAGATTTTGACGCCAAACACGGAATGGAGAAACTTTGTTGCACGAACCTGCGATGGCGCCTTGGTGCCGAGCCTCTACCGAGTATTTCAAGTTACTCCGCACCGTACCAGGTACCCAGTAGTCTGTACATCTCACTAACACCACTAAATTTCAGCGCGTAGAAACGCCAATAGCCCTGGTCGCCGCCAAATGCGTCGAAAATGGGATTTCAAACCCGCCCGTTCTTGCGCTGCATGAAGTGTTATTGCTCTGTCAACGGACTGTGCCCTTTGCTCTGATGAAAATGACCCTCGTTGTACATGGACAACCTGCTGGGTAAAGAAATCTCTAACAGCACCCGCTCAAGAAGCGGTGATGATACAAGTGACAGCAGACCCTTCCACAGACTGATGCGGGCTCCATTCGCACCATCAGGAGAGAGCAGACACACACCACCAGTCATCTTCCTCTTGACACATAGGGCCGCTCTGGCCAAATCATTTCAAACAGCAGACCTTCTTCTTCATGTCCCCTCTCACGATCTCTACGCAAAACGACGCAAAGTTTTTGGTGTCAATCCCTCCGGAGTAAGAGAAGAAAGAGGAAAAACCGTCAGAAATCCCCTCAGCGTACAATGGAGACCAGCGAGCTGGTCAGGCATTCATGCGCATTGGCATAAATATCCCTCACGGATTCAGTGCTGATTCGCTGCAATGACCGTCAGGGTGCAGCAGGTTGATATTCAGTCCAGCTAAGTGCATTCTGCAGCCGCTGGGCGAGTTGGTTCGTACTAAGACTACATCATGTGCGCGCACAATCAATAAACAACTTGAAACAACCTACATACCTACCTATCGGAAGCAGACATAGGCCTGGCAGTGTAGTGGTGGAGATGGAAACTGCATGATTCTTGTCAACTTGGCCGCCAGCTGCGTGGCCTGGGCAAGCCAAGAATACGAGCCCAAAAAAAATCAAGAAGAACCCCAGAAGAGAAGAAAAGGCAAACCTAGAGACACTCTTGGAAAATGCTTCCGGCAAAGGGTAATTCTTCCTGACACCTAACCTCCCAGTTGTCGATTTTTCGACTGTATCCTCCTGCCTCCTTTCCGCAGGCAAAGATTTTTCAAAGCTGCCAACAGCATGGTGAAAAAGATGCATCACCACGTATCCACTCCATAACACGCACCCAGTAAAATGCTCCCTGTATCTGACAGCATTGGGCTTGCCCGGGACCAAGAAAACTCAAAATCCATACAGCCATGTCTGTTCCTGCATTGGCCGAACGATGTTCCGCTTCCCCTGCTTTTGTAGCGGTCGGGCCTGCATTGACAAGTTCCCAGCGATATTTGAGAAGACTGGCCGCTCATCGCTCAACTTGGCACCAATCCATTCAGCAGCCTTGCTTCCCTACATGAGGCTTGACCTTTCTGAGGTAATTGCATCGCAAAGGCCATCGTGCTTGGCAAAGAAAATCAAACGGTCTTTGCCTTTCTCTCGGTATGAAACCAAACTAACCATGATTAGCTCTGGGAGCAGTGATTCCACTGGACCTGCGTGAGGCGTGTCAACGCCGGAGAGGTTGGCGATGGGCACAAGACTGCCACGACAGTGCGATGATGGCATTCCCAGCCGCAACGGCATTCCTTGGCTTGATCTGCTCACTTGAGCCTTCCAATAAGAGCAATTCCGGACTCCTATGTGGTAGAGCAATCCCTGGGCAGTACTGTCCGGCCTAGCGAAGTCCTGATACCTATGCGACCCAAGGTTTCCGGGCACGGACTGCGCTCGAAAAACAGGCTTCTTTTTCACGGTGGTTGGTAAACAGGTTCATGCTCTTGCTAGTCCATTGGCCGAATTTTGGCCAGGGAGTGCCAGACTGTTCGAATATCCGCTGCACATGGCATGGCTTGACCAACTCCGCAAGCCCCTCACCGTCTGGTCCTGGTTCGCATTGGCATTCTTTAGTCGGCACTTTTGTTTCTGGGCAGGGAGAAGGGGCTGGTGGCCTGCCTTGCCCACGGCACCAGGAATCTGGGTCGACCAGCCTCACGCCTGGAACGGCCTCACACACTGTTTGGTTGTCATCGCGCTCCGCACATTCCAGGAGTCTTTGTGGTGTTTTGTTGCGGGACAGCCTCGCGGTTGAACTCAGATTTGGAGATCCAGGGTCGTTTCTGGCGCCGAACCCCTTGTGCTGTCGAGTGGTCAAGTGCTCGAAATGAAAGCCCAGGTTGGAGTTCGATCGTCGGCGCCGGCTGACGTAGACGACAGGATAAGCTCGGCATTGGCGCCAGGTACGCGAGAGAAACAACGGCCACCATTCGTTAGGCACCTGGAAATTGGCAGAGTCAATGTGAAGCTAGGGCGTTTCACGAGGGCGGACTCAAAGCCTAAAAGGCTAGAGGAATGGGACCCACTGGGCAACTGACAGGGGCGATCTGGGGCCTGGTGCGCCACTATCTCCTGGGGGTCACCCATGCCAATTGGTGCTGCTGTTGCGAATGCTGTTCCTGTGCTGGGTCCCCCATCTCCCTGGCCCCCGGCGGTGGCTCCTCTGTTGTTGCAAGCAGAATGTCTCTTCCTTGTCAGCTCTCCTCTTGTGCTCTCCTTCCTATTTTTCCGCCAGAGTTCGTGTTGGCTTGATTGATTATATTGCCCACAGACGTCTCTTCCAGACGTCGTCCGCTCGTTCTCCCCAGCCCTGCCAGCATACAGCTCGCGTTCACTCTTTCACGCGAAAGCTCGTTCGCTTCGTCGCTCTCTTCCCCTTTTACCACACTCATTAAGCAGAGACTCGATCTGAGATCGTCCGAATCCCAGCGATTACCACTCCTTTTCCCACACAAACCGCGAAATCTCTTCTTGACCGGACCTCAAGAAACCCAAGCAGAAAAGCCGTCCCAGGACCAGATAACAAGAACACAATGCGCTGCACATTGAACTCTTTGGTGCTGGCCACCCTTGCAATTGGCCAAGCATATGCTGCCACCGTTTCTGGGGTTCACTCTCACCTGCACAATCATCTCAAACGCAGGCACGACCATGTCGAGTAAGGTGGCCATTGGTGACACAGATCCGCATATGGACTGACACTTGTCAATTGTAGGAAACGTGAGGCTGCTCTGACCGACGCCGATGCCGCAAAACTCACCGCCATGGGTGTGACATCGCTTGGTGCCAACTCGTACACCGCCAACGGACAAGCCTGGTTTGGACAAGATGGCCCGTATCAGAACGAATTCGTCAACGACTCGGGTGAAGATCTGATTCTTGTCATCTGGGGTGTTGCGGGTTCCTGGATCAACGCCGTTCAACCGACCATCACCGCCTCGCTCCCGGCCAACTCATCCACCTGGGTTTCATTTGCAGATGGGGCTTCCGGCGCTTGGGCCGCTATCTACGAGGATACCCAGATGGTAAATGGACAGGCCAGCAACACCTGGGGCGAGTTCACTTTTGGCCAGTGGGGCGTTGTCGATGTCTCACGAGAGGTCAACATGAACGGACACCCAATGAGCATTGTAGGACCGTCCTGCACAACCGACATGGACACCTGCGTCTTCGTCTGCGCTTCTGGAGACGTATGCATGTACGGCTACCAGCTCGTCAACTGCGAAAATGGATCTCAACCTGGCGCCAACTATGGTACTTTTGAAGGCTCGCCTAGTGGTGGCTGCGGTGGCATGGGATCCAGTGCTACGCTGAAGACAACTTTCTCCTAAAAGAGAAGGTCCGATGGTCAGGGTGCGTTGGATGTAAGGGAGGGGGGGCGTCGGGGTATTCCTTTTATAGAAGAGTTGGGTTCATATCTGGATGGTGCGTGCATGGTGCCCGTTTGTTGGGGGGTTACGTTGAGGTTCCGCAGATCAAGAGAAGAGGGAATGTGAAGACAATTTGGGTCACGATATCGAAACATGTCAACAACTGGATCTACTGGACTGATATTACCGACCACTCTTCCGATGCCATTTGGCGACATTCGATCCCTTCCATGTGTGTCTCGACTCGGGGATGCGTTGGGCGGATGCTTTGTCCTTAGACTTCTTGTTGGGAGAGGAGAATGTTCATGTTGGACATCCGGGCCCGAAGGTGTCTAGCATTTAACCTCAAGATGCGGTGGAGGCGTACGCCTCTGCTCCCCTCTAGAAGGCGAAGACGGGGATTTGTCCAGGTGTTTCATAAAGAAAATATACCGTTGAGTATATCTTCCTGCTGTGCCATTGACTGTGATTCGACTCTGCAGAGGTATCATCCTTTAGTGCTGGCCACTGCGCACCTTGCTTTGACGCTGTGTCGGATCTTTCTTGTGACGTCTTATCTACCTCATCTTTTCCTTGTGCAACACGGAGCTTTGGTCGGTCGTTGGTCGAGTCCTGTGCTCTGATCATGTACCTTCCCGCTGCCATGTCCTTCCCAATCAATCCCTTCCCCCACCTCCACTCCCGCTCCCGCTGCCACTGCCACGTTCCACGGGTGGGAGACGGATCTTATTTTAGCTGACACGCAGCCTGCGCGTCCCCGAGAACATGAGTGCGGGAGAGGTGGTCCGGTCGGGTAGGAACATGAACTGCTCCCCCAGTGTTTGGTCGGAGCGGAAGTCTGCGTGGCGTGTCGTGTGCGAGATAAATGGAGAGATGCCATGGGAAGCAGCCTAGGAGACTCACCGACGAGGAGAGGAAGCTGGATTCCGTATTCATCTTGTTACCGTGCCAGCAGTGCTTGCCACCGACGTGACCTCTGGCCGTTGCAACTGCAACGAGGACATGCGCATCACGAAGCAACGAGAAAATCCTCCCCTCCCACCTTTCTGCGGTGCAGTTCTCAGAAGATGTGTGTCAGCGGGGTCAATGCAAGGGGCTCCTCCTCTGTAAGGCGCTCATGTATCTTTCGAACCGTTCGCTTCATTTCCAATGGGGGTATATTCGATGACGACGACCACGACTGCGCACCTCCTCAAATGGTAAGTAGAACCCCGTTGAGCTACCCTTAGTCAACATCAGCGGCTTCAGGGAGACCAATGGGGAGGTGCAACGCCAAAAGGGAAAAAGGTCGATAGGCGATGATCGTAGAAGGTCGTTCACATTTCTTTCTCGCCAGCATCGATGAGGCGTCGATGACAAAGAATCCCTCGTGTCGGAGCATAACTAAGGCTCTCTGCGGCGCTGCACAAATCTGTCGAAGGCCTTGGGGGCCACAACTCCAGCAATACTCGTAGGTGAGGGCGACCTGCCAAAGCCAATCAATGAAGCCGGATGTGTGGTTAGTCAGTCCCTCTTGTCCCATCACTTCAGCCATGGGGTGCCATGTGCGGCTTAGGAGCTCCCTCCCCCGGACGAAAGAGCCAGGGTCTGTTGTTTAGTCAGTAGTAGTCACGCACCACACGAAGACATGACAGGACATGATTCGACTCCGTTGGCTCGACCGTGACTGATACGAGGACACGCGGGGGCCAAGCAAGAGAGCAATGAAACCCTCCAAACCAGACGGATGCGCTCGACTCGCGGGCCTAGCAGGAATGCAGCCAGTGCATCCGCTTGACAAAGCTGCGCAAGCGAATGGGCACAAGACCGCTTGCATGTCAGATTACCCAGCTCGAGACGACAATTCTCTACTGAGCGGGCAGAGGTCACCCTGCCGTCGCCTTTGATTCAAATTGCGGTGACCAGAAGGTCGAATTGTCGCTGCGGATGACGAACCTCGAGCAAGCCAGAGCTTCTGCTCAGCAGGTGACATGAGGCAAAGGTACCGACGCCGGCAATATGACGCTATTGATACAAATCTTGGTCTAACTTGCGAGGCAGTAAGGAGAGAACGTTGGCCCAGCGCAGGCTCCAGCACCGATGGCGAGCGATGCCTCCGCCGAGGAAGAGGTCGAAGCCCACGATGAACGGCACTGTGGATGGACAGAACAACAGCAGCGACGAAGAAACGAGTCCTCAACCAAACCCATCCACGATCCTGGGCGCCGCGAGAACGGATCCCTTTGCGAATTATACCATCCCCCACTACGCGCATGAGGCGATGGATCATGGTAAGGATCAAGTCGGAGGCACCCGTGGCCTTCAATTCCTCAAGCAGCTCGTTACTCACGACCACGCGCTTCGATAGCACTGAGTTTCACTTGGCCGCAATGCCTTCCCACAGACCTGGAAAAGACTGTCATACCCTTCAGGGCGGCGTGGATGCAGTTGGTCATGGCATCTCCTCTCGTCCTGCATACCTTCATCTTCGCTACCACCAAGCAGATGCTATGCCTGAGGGGCCAGAAAGAGGATGACATGTCCCAGCTCGCGGTCCGGGCGCCGTCCATCCATCAGACCGAAGCGCTGAACTGCGCCAGAAATGAAATCGAATCAATGAATGGACCTCCTTCGGACGGGCTGATTCTGGCCGTGATTATCCTCGCTGTCAACGGGACACGGCCGCAACAGATCCCACCACAACCTCACCCTCTTTCTCCTCTCGCGAAGACCCAGAGCCTCCATCTGTTCAGTATGCTGAATGTCGTCGAACCGCACGTCAGAGCCGTTGCCCAACTGGTGGCGTTGAAAGGGGGCCTTGAGGCAGTGGACACTTATGGTGTCCGAGATACAGTCCTGCTGTATGTTCATCAAGCCTCGTTGGGATCTGCTCCAAGTTAACACTAGCTCCCAGATCCGACATCTACTTCTCATCTATCCTGGGCAAAAGACCGGCGCAAGTCTGGCCAGTCCCGGTGACGAGCCTTGTCGACGCGGGCCTTCACACTCTGGACGCTAGTGCCGAACGCCTCTCTTCCCAGTTAGGCTCGGGCTTCAACTCATTCAAGGTCGACAAAGATCTCCGCAGAGTTCTTCAACTGATGTGCGATCTGACTGTCGCTCTCGACCACCATGTGCGCGGAGGAATCTATGCGCCCGAACTGTCGGACATTGTGTTGCAACGGAATGCGGTACAGAACAAACTGCTCTGGTTTCAGCCTCCCATGAACGATGATCTCGGCAAGGTGGATACGTTCAACAACATCACACACATAGCGGCGAACATTTACAGCGACATGGTCCTTTTCCCCCTGAATCCAGCTACTGGAATTAAGCCACGGTTGGCTGGGGAGCTCCGAAGGTGTTTGAAGGCTCCGATCCTTGATATCGAAGAATACGGACCACCGTCAGATATGTTCTTGTGGGTGCTCACCGTTGGTGGGATCGCAGCTTCTTTCACGAGACACCGGGGCTGGTATATCGAAAAGATAGCAGAGTATTACGGCGAGTTACTATGCGACATAGATGCTATGCTCGAGCGCATGGCCCCGTTCCTATGGTGGGCGAATGTGTGCAACCAGCCCGCAAGGCTCCTATGGGAGCAGTCCCGTGAAGTCTACCATGAGGAGAAATCCTTATCGGCCCAATACTGACCAGTTAGTATGCGTGAGGACCAAGGAACACATGTTGGTTGTTGGGACAGCAGGCCAACAACTTTTGCTACGAACCCGGCGATGAACGTCCTCAAAATGATACACCAGTAACACAACTTTGTCTTCCACGCAACCACTGCCTCCTTCTATTCCAATGGGTACATCATTATGCACTCGAGTATGCACCAGGTTGGTTGAACTACTTTCTCGTTACCGTTAAAACAACAATCCAGCCCTTTGCTTCATTGGCGGGTGCTAACGTAGGGGTGATAGCATCACCGACGATCAAAAAATCCATGACTACAGGTCGGAACCATATTGCATCCTACAGGCTCAGAGACTCAACCCCATTACGAGATGGTTGACGACAGTGGTCCATGCATCGGAACGTGAAACAAAGTCTATCCATTGACTTGGACTGGCATCCAGCGCATCGTCATTGCCCCAAGACGAGGGAATGTTTGATGCAAGCCAACAGGATGCGCGAGCTTCGATGACGTATGCCAAGTGCCAGAATTGCTTCAGGGTCCAAAGCAAGATCAGAGAACATTTCCCGCATCAGCGGTTGGGATGGAGGGCGTGGAGGCTGCAAGAGCAGACCATGCCTGCCACCATTCGGCCAGGTTGCAACGGCAACCCTGCAAGCAACCAGCCATCCACTGTGACGAGGCGCGTCTCACTCCCTATCGCACGAGTCGTGTTCTTTTCTCACAATGCGAGGTCGCGCTGCTCACCTGGGCCAATCACGAAGAGGTCGTACATTCACATATTGGGCATAGAAGTCCCATTCCATCATCGGGTCACCGACCTCGACCCTTCTAGACAGGTGCCAGGCTGCCGTCAAAACGACAGCCTCATGGGACCTGTCCGGATGTTAGCCTGACATGTGATTGATTTCGACGGTTGGAATTTGGAATTGTTTTGACCCGAGCATGTCTTCTCTTCGCCGCTTGTTTGCGCCCTCGATGTCGTCGCATCCCGCCATTCCGGTGGGGAAGGTGTCTGTCACTCGATCCTCAGGGCAGCAACGTAAAGCGATGTCTTCCCATTCTTCGCTAATCGTACCGTAGGGTCGGTCCCGAGATGATATTGTATGGGAGGCGGAATTCCAATTTCCGCGCTATAATCGCAAGCCCTTTTTTTCACCGAACCGAGATCAGCAGCCGAGACAATTCCGACGACCCTTCTCGCTCCCATTCTTGGACATACTACAGCAGAGTTTGGTTGGATAACTCATTGTGGCTCAGCACCATCGGAGGCATTACATTGTGCATTGCCCACGGCGGAATCGTTGCGTCTTTCCTCGCGCAAGGCTGCCATAAAACGACATATGCCGATGCTCCAGTGGATTCACTGCCGTATGGTTCTACCGGTATGCATTTTGTACCAGCTGTAATTTTCGAAATGCTAAAGCAGCATCAACGGTGGACGATTACGCAAGGCTATGTACCCGCCGCCGTGTGATCCGATGAGATCTGACGCCAGATACATCTCAATCCCCCATGCAGAAAGTGTTTGGCTCTGGACCCACGGACAAGGGACCGTCGGTAACTGCTTCTTGCGCAGGCCCCCCGAGACCGAGAGTTCCCGTACCCCTTGCCAGCCAATGCCAGCAGGCATCCGTTGATGATCTTCATCCTACTGTAGTTAGTGTACGACAATTGCCTCGTAGATGAAAGGCGAGGTTCGGTCTAGATCTCTGCTCCGTGTCTTATTGCATATGCGGCCGACTGGGGGGGTGGTCGCAGCGAAGGGTCTCCTAAGCAAATACGACATCGCTCACTCGATCGCTACGAAGATAACTGCAAGCCGGCCTTTGGTCCGAAAGATCCGGCCAGCAACGCCAGCCTCAGGACAAAATTTTATGCTGAGCTAAGCTCTTCGCAAGTCGGTCGAGAACACAGCTCTTCGGACAGGCTCGCTCCGATTGTGATCCGTGCTCGCGAGGACGGCGCCGTTACGGAGAAGACACTGTCGCTTTCGGCGCTAACAAGGTGATACAGTTCTGCAATAAGGCATTTACCTCACGAGGTCGTGGGATCAAGCGACGTCGCAGAAGGAGCCGGGCCAAGGCTACGATCCCCCGTTGAGCCATAGTGCTGAGAGGCCTAGCCGAAGATTCCCGGCATCGCCAATGCTTGTTTGATAGACTGGGCTAGTTCTCGAATTCGAGTCTCTTTCCTTTCCGACACAATGCAGCAAATTCTCGTCCTTTGCAAACCCATGCCGAGCTACGGTGATGTGGCCGCACAACTGTCGTCCCTTCCTGCATGCACGTACTGAGCAGAGAGATAGCCGCCCTATCGAACATCCAGGAATTTGTTGAGTTGGCCATGTGAGCTGCAGGCCGTGAGCTTCCGACCGGTAATCTCATCGAAGTCCGAATCATGGGCAGGATGATAGTATGCTAGTCCACGACAGCCTGGGTAGGACAAGTTAGCAGGACACGACAGCTCAGCGCGACCATCGCAACACGGTTCAGCCGTCTCGAAAGGGAACCTGTTGTGTGACGATGCATTTTTTTTTTTACTTCCGCGTTGGACTGAGCTGGTCGAGGATATTTCCAAGAACGACACGTGGAGGCTATGATTCCATTGACCTACGGCGCATGACATCTGTGAGACTTTGAACATTTCCAATTATCAAGGTCATTATCGCCAAATAGGTATTCGGACGCAGCCAAAAGTATCCACATAATTCTCATTTAGGTCTCTGCTGATGCCTGTCCGCCGTGTCCGAATGACGACGAGTGTGATTTCATTTTGAGGCTCTCTGAGCTCGACCTCGGGATACACGTTGTCACCCGAACTCTGTCATGCGTGCCCTCGTGCACACGCAACGGGGCCCCGATGACCAGTAGTGTTCCCACTTTGTGAGCACATCCCTTTTCCATCGATTTGCCGTTGATGTGATATCAGGATTCCGAAGTTCGCAAGCTGCTGCAGCGGTAGAGATCCGCGCGGGAGGTACACGCGAGAAGTGAAAGCACAAGTCGAATTGAGAGTTAAACAGTCAGGTGGGTGATTGTTTTTGCATTGCTGCATGATAATCCTCGTATTGAGACTGCCAGGTGCCTGAAAGTATTCCCGAAGCAGCCTCTCCCGCTCGAATCCAACAAGGCCGGACCAATCCCGCGCAGAACAGCCCTGGACCACCCACATTGGTAGATTCAATGGAGCGACGCGAGGGCTCAAGGGGGTTTTGTTTGGAGGTGGACGTCCCTGCGCGATGGTAAACGGTACAATCCCCCAGGAAGAGCGTGCTCATATGGGACCAGCAAGTCTGCAGTTGACAGATGGGTTGTCGTGGGATGATGCGTTCTTGCAGCAACTGCTGAACATATTTGCGAAGCTTGCAGAGTGCATCGAGTCATTGAAGCGCGTGCAACGACTTTCAATGGTGACGAAAGGGCGAGATTCTCGATTGCGTGCAGACGTCCGACTTGGTTCTCCCATCTTTTGTCGCTTGTCGAGTCCTCGCCCGTGTTAGACCTTTGTCGCAACTCCTGGACGCTGGTCCCTTCGTAATATTCAAAGAGCATACCATACTTATCTTGTCATCACTTGCTTGTACGGTCGTCTGGGCCCCAAGTGCGCCTAGTTGATGCCGAACTCTGCATGCGGGCACGGTGTTGGTTGGGACTCGCCCTTCTGAGGATGAAGGGTCCATTGCGGAAGAGTCAAAAAGATGAGTTCTGGAATCTGGAGGTTGTCAACTCAATGCAGCTCAAAAGCAGTGAGTGGGCAGCGGGTTCAGTCAGGGACTGCTGGTGCTAAACTAATCTTGATGCTAGCAACCCGGACTTGATCTTCAATGGCCTGAATGCTGCTGCGAGAGTGTGGTCTTCAGAGAGGGAGGAGAAATATAATAAGCATTATATCGAGAGTAGATCTCCTTGGTGTTTTTTTTTTTTTTTTTTTTTCATTGGATACTATATATACATACTTTCTAATAGAGTAGACTAAAGGGAAGAGGTACCAGTACCCAACAAGTCCCTCGCAGTCATTCCTTAGTAACTAGCACCGCTCCACTTAAGCAAGGTACAACCCCGCCGAGGCCACCCTCTGCACCCACGACATCATGGGCACCTACTTGTAGTACCATGGAAGTACTTCACATGTGCTACTGCCGGCGAGTGGTTGCCTAGGTGGTCTCAACGAGTAAGAGCAGGCGGCAAGCACACTAGTTACCTACAAGTAGGCATCCCCTGGGCATCCCCAGGCCAAACCCGGGGGGATCGCCAGATCGTGGAAACTGCGGGGCCCTTTTTGGATCATTAAGCTTGAATCTTCTCCACCGTCCTTGACATCCACTTCATCCTCGACTCACTGAGGGCAACACAGACAGCATTTTAAACAAACATCAAACGTCCATTCATCGCCTCATTCTCTCAGCGTTTGTCATTCTATCAACAGCCCCCAGCTTTGGCCCTCTCCTATCGCGCAATCTCTGAACATGGCGGATTGTCACAAATCCTGACAGCTACCCCCTTCCACCACACCGCATCATCGATGTTCACAGGCCAGCATGAGGAGAACAAGAGAATGTCAGCCATAACCGAGGCCTCCCAAGATTTTCAGGATGAATGGACAGCAGAGGCCATCATCGTCGTCACCTGCATGACAATATCGCTCTATAACTGCGTCGAACTCCTTCTGACCATCCTCACCACTTTCCGAGAATGGCACGGTCTGTATTTCGTCTCCCTCATCGTCGCCTCGGTCGGCATTATCCCCTACTGCCTCGGCTTCATCCTCGAATACTTTGAAGTTCTGGTATTTTGGGCAGCTCTCATGTTCAGCACAATCGGCTGGGTCATGATGATCACGGGCCAATCCTTCGTCCTTTATTCGCGGCTCGGCCTCATACTGCAAAACGACCGGATTCTGAAAGGGATTAAGTGGATGATCATCACCGATGCCCTAATCTTCCATACCCTCACCACGGTCTTCCAATACGGACAAGCATACGGTGGCGAGAAGTCGGCCTTCAACCGCGCCCTCTTTTACATGGAAAAAATACAGATGACGGCTTTTTGCATCCAAGAATTCATCATCTCGGGCATTTACCTATGGAAGACAGTGCAGCTTCTGAACCTGGTGTCGAAGGAGGGCACGAGGAGGGTCATGTGGGAACTCTTGACGATCAACGCCATCATCATCCTCATGGACATCGCCCTGTTGTCACTCGAATACAAAGGTCTCCGGACCATGGAAAGGGCCTTTAAGAGTTTTATTTACTCGGTGAAATTGAAAATGGAGTTTGCCGTGCTCGGAAAGCTGGTCAACCTCGTGCAATCGAGCACCAGGGCGCTGTCAAATGCCCTGGCTGATGTCGATTCTTTCAGGACACCCTCGACAGCAACCCACAGCCAGCAAAATGACCAAATGCCCGACTGGATGGCCAAGCTAGAATCACGTCCCATCCATATCGAACAAGTGCAGCCGGGGCAAACGATCATATTGGACTGATTGCCCAGCGTCCTAAGACAAGTTCTCAGTGTCGTTATCTCGGTCAAATTTTGGGGTCGACTCAATGATTGCCAAGTTCTCGGGCGGATTTCCAATTTTGTTCAAGAGGTGTACTAGTAGTACCCAGTAGTCCCATGTAGTACTACCAACAAGATGCGACACGAGTCCGATACGAGTACAGCCCAGAGGACACCAAGTTTCCACAGAAGTGACTACTACTACTACTATCCATTGCAAATTGAGAAGGATAGTTAGTCTACGAAGCGGCATACACAACCAATCTAGGTGGGTGCTCGCGGTGTTTCTCTTGATCTTCAGCAACTATTAAGCCGGCCTTGGGTAGTACCCAGTCCTGGTGTCGGTTCGCATTGAGCCCAGCACCAGCTCAGCAGTATTGATCGACAAAATATTACTGTAATATCAGACCCATATTCCCTTCGAGTTCGTCACCCGCCTCTTCATCTCCTACTAACCGTTGCGCACATCGGCATGGGCGTTGGTGTTATGAGAAGGACAATAGGCTTCTGTAAGTGTATAAACCGTTGTCGAATCGATTTAATCATCCATTGGGTGTTCTCGGACGGAGCCTTTCTCTTCACCTTCGGGATGTTAGGCGAGTAGTAGGATATGCGGAGAAGCCTGATCGTGGTAACGCCATTGTAAGAGTGTCACAGATATAGTTCAGAGCGTTCTATTGATAATACGTGATCCGCCATCATCTCGCGAGTGAGGTTGATGGAAACCAGATTTCTCACGAGATCCCGACTCTACGCCATCGTCGAGTTAATTACGCTTTTACCATGTCTGATGTGGATGTACATCTATGTCGCCCTCCCCTATATGTGCCAGATCGGTTCGAACTGGTTCGAATCGAGTCAGCCTAATCAGCGATTTCAACACCAGACTCGGATATAGGGCAGCATTTATTCTCGAAATTTGAATTTTTATCTCTTTAACTTGAGTCTTATTGTAGGACCATTGATCCTCTTCGCCACGCTGTTCGACACCGCTGTGTTGACCTTCTTCAACACCCGTAGATCCTGTTTAACACCGCTAACTCTCTTCGATACTACCTAGTACGTAGTAGGATCTAGTAATTTTTGAAAAAGTATCGAGGAGGGTCAACGTTAGTGCTAACGACTATATGAATACGAGGTGGTATATCACCTACGTAGATCAGAATGCTAAGTAGTACTACTTTCGTGGCATTGCGCAATGTGACTTACAATTTATTGTATTCGTAATTTACGTAGAGAAGTGCTAGTACTACGTCCAGTAGCATCACATTATTGTGGCTCTAGTACCCCGTACCTTCGAGCAGGTGAAGTTCAATAAGTTGGGCTAAACAAGTCACGAAATTCGCCCGAAAGGGATAAGCACGGATCGATCGACCTCAACCCCGAACTCGACTCCGAGTGGCTGAGGTGCACGAGCCCGCTAGCACTAGCAGGGAGCGATCACCGTTCGCTCTTTCCTTCCCCCTGACGTATGCTCTAAATGGAAAATACAACCCATACCGACCGCTATTATGGACGGACCGTGTCTATAACATCATGGTTTGTGTGGAGGTCTCGGCTCTCAGAGAATCTCAAGATACTGCCCAGGAGTACTAGTATTCTTAAACTGGTTTGAAACCCCTCTCGTTCTGGTACTGTTACTACTTTTGGACTTGTGTCTGTTTTCCTGATCCAACACCAGTACTTATTACAGGAAATACTTATGCACTGTGTTACCACCACACTGCCCTGGTCGAGCCGAAAGCGAGCTGTAGTGGGCTGTGGCGGGTCCACCACTATGGCTGAAATCGGGCTGGGATCGAGTCAAGATTGAGCTGGTATTGAGCTGGAATTAGACTGGTAGTACTAGTATCGAGCCGGGTCAATAGTGCCAGCCTTGGCCAGCGGTTGTCCCAAGGGGGATGTGCGAATAGAGGGAGGCAATGCCACTATATGGTACTACATACTACATAGTAATAGCAGGGTCACTGGGGACGTTGCAAATTGTACTGAAAACTGTGCAGATACCAAGTCTGGAGATAGGTGCAGGCGCAGGTGCGGATGCGGGCCTGGAGCGGTCCCGCAGCCTGGCAGCCTGCGGGCTGAATAATAACGACCAACAAAACTTGATGACTGTGCCATGTAACCTGAATCACTCGCGGCCATCTAAACTCCTGGCATACGGTCGAGTGGATTACACTCAACCTGAAGCCGAGATACCTCGGTGAAGCCCCGTTGACAAGAAATAGGAGGCAAGGAGCTGCCTGCAACTTCGCCACCGAGGCGCGACCGCTTCCGGTTTACTGTTGCCGGGTCAGGAAGCCCCTAAACTCACATGGGGCTTTGTCCATGGCAGACTCTGTCAGTCGCATCCTTGAGGCGACCTCACATCCGAGGCATCTTAGTAACACTAGAGAGCCAGATCCGACAACTAAACTCTACGAGGACACTAGTACTTGTGGTTTCGCTGCCGCTCTCTGTCCCTGTAAATTCCCGGTGATTCGGCCCGTGGTATGGGATGGTCGTTGTGGCCGCTAGCCGCGTTGACCGTGTTGACCGTGGTAAACCGGGTCTTCACTCTGTTGCGAGATCGGCTCCATTAGCCCGACGGCGAGGCACCCCTAGGGTAACTAGTACTAGCAGTCTATGTTGGCTGGCTGTCGTCGGAGACGCATTGCGACTGTTTGAAAATTCATAGAGCCAACGGACGCATCGATCGGGTAAGGAACCTTGCCGCGGAAGCCAACTGCATGGTAATTCTACACTGTAGTACTACAGTAGTATTTGGTAACCAAAGAAGTACTACTTCTAGGTTGAGTGATTGCGGGGAATACTCGTATCCATAAGTGGCGTACACTGGCAACACCGGTTACCATGTGTTGATGATACTACTATCCCCGTGAGCCCAAGCAGGACCAGCTCACTTGAGTGCTAGTAGTAGCAAGCGACTGACAAAGTGTCTTCTGACTTCATGTTGACGACTCGAGTCGACGTCGAGTTCCGAGATGCGTCTCGCACCCGTTCGTCGTCTCTCGAATCTCCCTCGGCCTCTGTCGTGCTGGTCTAGCCGTTGCACACCATAGATCTAGACCACTCAGTTTGGCGGGTCTAGGGAGGGCTCGAATCCGAGTCGCGGGTGCCTCCCCGATTCCACTAGGGCCACAGTCCTCGCTTGTTACTTGGCGACTGGCGACTGGCGGCTGGCGACTGAGAGTACAAGTACTCCGTACTCGGAGTTGGACCTAGGTAGTCATCTCTTCATCGTCACATGGTTCGCTTGGCGCGCTCATGGTACACTTGTACTTGGTATGCAATGCATCACGTCTGAATGGCATGACATACAGTGTACAATACCTCGTATTGCTTGTGCCTACACGAGAATTACTGAATTTTGAGTTCTTTCCTCGCAGATCGCATCCGCCCGGCGTGCTCACGAGTATGGATGGATGGGCCGCTGCTATAAGTGTAACGAGTTCTGGACGTTTCACCAACATTACCGTATATTTTTACATTTCACGGCCTGGAAATCTGCAGTATGCATGATTATCAGCTGTCTCAGATGTCCCGGTGTGCATGGTGGAAGGGGTTGGGTCGCTATCTTAGGCCTCTTTGCAAGGCTAAGGAAGGCTATCGATAATCCCGTGTTGTCAGGCCACGACATCAGACAACTGCACACATACCACCTCCCAAGTAACAAGTACATCTGATGCTAGTGGCCCGTTCACACCATGTTTCATCGTCGCGACATTGTACTTGTCTGCAGGACGCTGGTGATTGAACAACTTGGGTGGAATCGAATCGCACCGGCCGTGGTCATGGGATCGATCTCGAGCCGTCTCAAAGGTTCCAGTCCAGCATCAATCTTATCAGGTTGTGTTCTGTCAGGGACGATGAGATACCGGCCAGCACGCCGTCTGTGGCCTGCCAGTTCGAGGGACAGTGATGGCTCACAGGAGCGGCGATCTTTCAGGGCACGGAACCGACGGCGGACCCTCGCGGACCATCACCAGATGCGAAGCCAGGTGGCCTACAGGGGAACTGTTAACCACAAGTAAGCTTTTTGAATACCTGGGGCCCCGTCCATGAGCCCTGTGAAGGAGCCCGGCAGAGCTGTCCAGCTCACGGAACATTCGCTTCTCGGCGATGTGGAAGCGATCCCCGGGAGGAAAGAGAACCACTCCACTACTACTCACCAACCGCTTTCAGGCTCTAACAACTCGCATACCGGCGTGCGAAGGTCATCAGATGTTCCTCTGGTTCCACGAGTCGGCCGATTCTGACTGACCACTGCTGGCTGGTTTTTTATGCCTGGAATCTGGTTGTCTGTTTCTGCGCCTTCGGAAGAAGGAAAAAGAGAGAGAGAGAACCGGGGGCCAGGAGGACAAGTGAACCCCGACGGGGTGAGAATGCGCGCAGAACCAACCATCCGACCAACTTTACGGTGAGACAAAGGTACTACTTGGTAGCTTAGGTAGATTCTCAGTACAGTCTACTCCTTGCGCGTGGACGCCCCGGTGGTGGTACAGATACACGTATTGGCATTCTCATTCCACGGAAAAGACATGAATCGACTTTCTACTTGCCAGTGCGTAGGCAGGTAGGCAGGCAGGAACAAAGGGAAACCACAGCCACGCATACCCATGCATGGGGGAGGGGATGAACTAATAAATCAAGTACACTGCAGTGAACTCTCGAGAAATCCCACCGGCTGTGGTATTGGTAACTAGTACCAAGCTAGCAATAAATATATAAAATTAATTAATAGCAAGTGCTTGGGAACTTGTCCAAACGACGTACCATGCATACATTCCTGGGGACCGGCGGCCAACAAAAGAATGTAATATAACGCGATGCGATGCCAGTCAATTTATTGGACTGATTTATACCTAGATAATTACCCATCGGTACTAATTACCACCCATCCCTTCCCTCCTTACTTGTACTAGCGGACAGATTGCCAACAAACAGCACGGGAAAAAAACAATGAAGAGAAACTTGCAAATCAAGAGCAAGTAAAAGAGATCATTTCGTTTAAATCCACCAGCCTCATGTTCATGTACATATATACAAAACGGGCAACATGCCATGGCATGCATGTCGCATCGCACACCTTCTTCTGTTTCGACCCTGACTCCATACATACAGACATCATCATGGCGATATGAACAAGCTGTTGTACAATCTATCAATAGAGCGAAAGAAAGGTCAATGCAAACGTAGTATGTCGCCTGGTCCAACAGTGAACACGGGTTTTGTCTTCCCCCTTTTGCATGCAGGGGCTGCCAGGCGCCGCCCAAATTTTTTTTTTCCTTCTTGTGGACAAGAGAATAAGAAAAGAATCCACCATCACTCCCAAAAATGAAACAAACAATTTTGCGACATCCCATCTCACATATGCTCAAACGTTGCGTAAACCCATTCCAAATTCATAGCCAGCCTCGCCTCGCGAAGCCTCGTCTTGTCGTCATCGTCATTCCAGCCCAACCGAGCCCCGAGCCCGACGCCATGCTGTATCCGGAAAGACCTGCCAGCTTCCAGTCCCCCGCTAGTGCTAAAACGAACCAGACCCGTTGCTCATACGTCATGCTGATGTAAGCCAAGCCAACACTCCAAGGAAAAAAATTCTCGCCCCGAAAAATCCCTCGCTGTGCTGTCTGTCCACCTCGTACCAGAAGCAAACACGCCAGCTCGCCAACTCCACGGGGCTGTTCTCTTCCGCTAATAGTGACACATTGTAGAAGGGAGTTGTAGTATGAGTCTACCGTCCTGTTGGTGCCAGGCGAAGGTTATACAAACGACTCGGCGCACAGCCGTGCAGTCAACGGCGGCCCTGTTGTTCCGCCCTGTAGTAAACGAGTTGATCAGCCTAATGGCTGACTCAAACCGCTTCACTTTCACTTTTGATTCTTGCGCTTCTGTTTGCCAACCCAGTCGACATCAGGATGAACCACGCGCATGTGCCGTGTCAACGCATCGTTACGTGAGAAAGTCTTCTCTTCTGTACACAGGTGGCAGCGGACCTTCTGCTTCCGGGCATTGTGAATGGTGTCCTCATGCCTCGTGAGGTCGTACGGCCGAGAAAAGATCGAGTTGCAAGGCTTGCCGGTGCTAGGATTGATTCGGTCGCATCGGTGCGGACCAGCTTGCGAGTTGCGCAAGGCCAAGTTCGTGGATCCGGATGACGACGGTGACTGCCTGTGCCCTTCCCTCTTGTGTTTCTGAAGTTTCGCAGGTGTGTCGAATCTCAGGTGACAACCGTGATACGTACACGAGTAAGTGCCTGAGTCAGATGATGTGTCGACCGGTCGCTGCTGTTGACTTTGTGGCTGCTGCTGTTGAGGCGCAGCAGTTTGCGACTGTGGCCTAGGCCTCTGCGCGGGTTGTTGGCTGGAAGGCTCCAACGATTCGTCTGCAGTCGACTCCATCGAGATCAAATGCGCCGGGAACTCCGGACTCATGTCGTGCATTCCTGCCTGAGCTGCTTGCCTCGACGACTGGCCGACAAAAGAATATTGTGGCGGGATCTGTATCGAAGGCTCGCTGGCCGCAGTGTAGAAGCTTGAGAGATTCGATGGGTTTCTACGGCCTGCGAACATCGACTGTGACTGGTCGGCAGCGAACAGTGGCGTCGAGTGGTCGTCGACGTCGTGCTCGTCCAACATCAGTTCCTTGGGTGATATCGAAGTGCGTTGCTTTCGCAGCGTTGGCTGCGGCCGCTGTGCAGGCGCCGGCATGTTGTATGGCGAGTTCTGCCTAAACGGAGACTTCTCGCGAGGGTTCGACGTCGGCGAGTTTGTTCTCAAGTGGTCTTGCTGTGCTGCCTGCAGTCTGTCGGCCATCATGTTCTGCCGGTGAGCGTTGACGGTCATCCTCTGCATGTTCTGTTGCGCTTGTGGAGGGTAGGCACCCATGGGACTGGCAAAATGTTGGTCAGGAAAGACATCTTGTAATGACTGCTGGTAAACGTTGGTGTAACCTGGGTCGAACTGTAAGTAATCGAACATCTCGTCGCCGGCAGTGTTTTCCTCACCATAGACATTTTTCTCGTCGTACTCGGGCTCATAAGTAGTATGCGGCGTCGCGGGAGAGTTGTGACTCATTGTCGAGACCGACTGCGGCGCAGACAAGGCATATGACGCACGCTCGTCGGCGCCTGTTGAGTGTATCCTTCTCATGTCGACGGCAGAGAAATTGGTGGGGTACATAATGGCAGCAGATTCAGACTTGGCAGTGTGTGGAGTTTGTTGGGTGTAGTCGAACTCGTAGGAAGGTGGAAAACTCGAGTCAGAAGTGGCGACAATTTGTGGGTATAAAGTGTTGTGGTTGAGAGGCGAGGGCGGACCCAGTGAGGTTACAGAGGATCCCGACGAGTCTCTTTTATGGTATCGTTGGTCTTGGAAATTCTTTGGCAGCGCGCTCAAATATCCCCCGGGGCTCGTATACCCGTCGTTCCATCCACCCACCAGCGCACTCTGAGCCAGCATGGGCGGTTGTTCTTGTTGTGATGTAGGTGTGGGCGTAGGGCTGGACTTCTGGATGCGGATGGTAGGACTCTTGAGTGATAGCGACGTCGATGGTGGCATCAAGGTCGTCGTCGACGGAGAGTTTGAAAGACGGTCTTTTGGTGATGTGCAGGAGGCGAAGATGGAGAGCGAGGCAATTCGAAGATCGAGGATCTTGAATCAGTTGTATAGTCGCGGGGTGCGACAATTGTTCAGAGATTGGTAATGTACAGTGGGTATCAACTCTGGGTAGAGTTCGGCGCAAAGGTACGTGGACTTTGCGGGAAGGAGGAATAGGAAAAGGTATGGGAGGCCGAGTGGCAAATCTATATGCAGACTGGATATTTGAGTAGCCGGGGGGAAGAGGAGGGCTGACGACAGAGCGATGTCGAAAAGGATGGAAGGGGGATCTGGGAGCGGAGGTATCGGTGATGTGAGCGGAATAGCACTGGACAAAGATGGCTTTTTGGGTTGTTTCGGGAACGGGGAAATAAGAGTTTGTAGGTTGTGCGAATAGGGCAATTGGGAGAAAAGAGAGTAGTGCTGCTGAGGTTACGTCTGAATATGTTGAGGAAAAAAAGCGACGCATGCCGGCCGGAAGAGCCCAAGCCAGGGAAGCGGAAAGTGCAGGGGAAAATGTAAGAGTTGGTCGTGTGGTGATAGTATGGTAGAGAGGGTGAGAGGTGAGTGGGGGGTGACGTCGTCGTGATGACCCAGGCCAGCAGGGATTGCCGGGTTGCGGTCACCGCGATGCTAATGCTTGACGCTTTGACGGGACCCTGCAAGCCAGGCCTGCTGGGAGGGGGGGGAGTGGACAAAAGGTGGACAAGGGTGGGCCCCGAGTGTTTTCGGGGCGGGAGTTGGACAGTCAAGCAGCAAGAGGTCTTTCAGGGCCTGGCTCGGTAAATCGTTGTAGGCGATTGGCGCTGGGTTTCCCAGTAGCGGTAATTTACCGTGGTAGGGGTAACGGCTGGGTAATGGCTGGACACCTAGGTATCACCCAACCCTCACAACTGACATGAGATGCCCTCAGATGCCTCAGTTGGCCCAGGTCCCTTTTGGGTCCCTTTTGGGTCCCTTTTGGGTCCCTTTTGGCTATAAACCGCTCGCTGTTTATTGCCTTTGACCTCGCAAGTGGACTGCTCGCATCTCGCACTCAGAGCCGTTTCCAGCTGAGTCACTTCGTTCTGGCCTCGATGGTTGCTACTGATCGGCCGCATCGCAGCTGTCGCAGCCCAGAAGTGCGTGACTTGGCAAGCTGACACGACCCAATTAGGTTGAGGCATTTGCTGTGGCTGTGTCGGGCTCTGCCAACTCTGGCCAATCCCCGGCGCCCGCTGACGACAGCCCGAGCGATCCCGAGAATCTTCCAGGCTGCTCCTTTTCCCTTTTCTCTTTTCGCTCATTTCGCGGTGTTTGCAAGCTTTTGTCTTGCTGCTGTAAGCCCCGTCACCTCCTCTCGGCCGTTTCTCGTCCCAGCTTTGCACGGGCCTCTCGCTCTTTCACAACCCTCCTCGGATCCTCAGTTCCTGCGATGCCCGCCGGTCGCCGGTGCTCTGAATCTTCTCATACCACTGTCCTTAGTCATCCATCTTCACCTGCTCTTCGCACTACTACATACTTACGTTAGCAGGTACGGTGTCCCCACCACAAACCTCGAAGAACCATATCTTGTTTCCAAATACCGCTTCCTTGCTCATCGTGCTACCAAAATGGAATGCGACTGCCTGTCCCGGTTCAGGAGGGTGTCGAGTGCTGGATGCTATCAGCCTAATTGAAATGACCGATCAGCTCGCATGTGCTCGTCCCAGGCTGCACCCAGTCTTCTGACTGGAGAATTTTCTTCTAGGCCGAGAGTCAGTCTCGCGGTATTTCAGCCAAGATCGGCAATTGCAGCTCGTATCGAACGGCGCAGTCGGCATCTAACACGGTGGTTGCGAGGGCTGTGATAAGACATGCTTTTCTCAGCAGTCTCGCTGTCCTCTGGGCGGGGCCTTCCGGCTGAATGGGTTCCACTTGGCAGTCCTTCTAGAAGTTCGATTTTTCTCGTCTAAATGCAGGAACGTGCCGAGCTGCCGTTGCATTGCTTAGGGTCTAGGCGGTGGTGCTCGTAAGGCTGGAACCCTAGGGATGGAGTCGGACTGGGTCGAACGGGGTCAAAGCCTGCAGCGGTTCAGCGGTCCAGAAGCCGATGCTGCAGCTGCAACGAAAACTTTGTTGGCTGAGCTAAGCATCCATTCGGACAGTTGTCGGCTGGCCTCGGGCTAGGCCAAGAGCTGCATGCAAGATTTCGACGCCTCTAGGCCGTTTCTGGCAGGCATATGCCCCCGATTTTTCCGTTCTGGGCCGGGGCTTCACCCGATAGTGTTGCCCAAGTTGGTTGAATAGCAGCAATCCATTGAAATTTTTCTTGACAGCTTCACTCGTTTTGTGTAATTTGTCCCCAGCCAGGCCACAATATCACTTGCAATTGCCGTCTTTTGCAACAACAACCCCGAACTCTGTGTCACTCGTCGGTGCCTCCGTCAAAACATTTGGTAATGGAATGCCGAGTTGGCGGTATAGGTTACCCGGGATTGATTCGCAATCCTCACGTACTGCTGTGGCTGGTGACCCCCGGATGGTCGAATAGCAACTCTCGAGTGACCTCGGATCAGCTCTCTTTGCCCCGTGGAGATATGATCGACCACAGGGTCCGCACCGCCACAGTGTTGCCACAGCGGAAGCAATGGCAGAGACATGGGGGCACAGGCCATCGTTGTCGGTCCCGCATAACCTTGGTACGTACTTCTGTTTGGCGGAGATTCTTGGCTGCGACCTGGCCAGCGTCTCTTACCGCAGACACAAAAGCTGAATATCCTGCGGGAGTGTGGCTCCGCTGGGCTCAGAGCCATGTGGTGGCGGACTCCCCCGCAATAATTCCCATTGCCGATGGAGATCCGGGTCCGCAAACACCAAAGCCAAAAAAGCCCCCAAATGGTAGTAATTCCGCGGTTTAGATGGTCTAGGTACTGCATACCATCTTGGGAAAGTACATGCGTCCGCCGTACTTGCTTAGACAAAGACATTTTGTCGATATGTAATAATCTGTCCGCATAGCCTTCCCACGTTTGCATTCTGCACAAATTTGTCGTCGAGACATTGCTGGAAGTTTTCTTCGAATGATTCTCAGCTTGTGAGAGCTGAAAAGGACGCATCCCTACGCCTTCTTCAGGGCCAACTCATGCATTTGGCTGTCGCTCAGTTTGCGGCAGCTCGCATGGCTCTGGGCGGTGTCCTGGGTTCATGTTCAAAAAGGCAAGGGGAAGGTTCCTCCTCCCAGCAACCGCAGCATATTCGTGTATACTGCCCAGCTGGCATCTGTCGAAGCCAGGTATGTATATGCGACACATGATGGTGGCGGTAGCTGAAATCGACATCCCTCGTGAACGTGTCCCTGTGTTGGTCCTAGAGCAGCGAGAGTCCATAGCTCGAGGCTTCCATTGTGTTGGCCCTCGCCCCAAGCTTGACCTGCTTTCAGTTTTGTCGCCGCCTCGCATAGAATTGTCAGCTTATGTGTGAGGCTGATAATTTCGGGTTGATGGATTGGCCCCACGCATGCTCGACGGTTCAGACCACATTCTGCGGAACGCGGATTATGCTACAATGGGCCTCCGCATGCTGCGAGGGTCGCGACTGTATGTATCTTGGGTTGCTGTGGCCGTGGTTGAAGTTGAAGTTCTAGATGATCTGTGGACATTCGCCGCCAAGATAAAGTAAAAACTGCCCGTACGCATTTGGTTACCTACCATCCAAGCAGCTTGGTTGTGAGCCTTTTGCTGCGGGTACGGAGACCGACCAGGTCCGCTGCCTACTCAGAAGCGCCTTGTAGCTGAACAGCCCATGCCACGTCATCCCCTGCGATCGAACAAGTCGCTCTTGAGGGCGGCTACAGTCCGACTTCAGATGATCTATGTCACTGATCGAGACCCCTGCCCTGATGTTGTCGCTCTCTGACGCCGCGCCTGGACGGCTCCCCACGGAGATAGTGCATTATGCCAAAAGCCTTGTTAGCAAGATCTGGTGGACAGGGGAGACGGATTGAGAGCACACGTTCTTGTGCAAGAATGGGATGGGAAGGATGATGATGCACGTGGTATAGACAGCGCAGGACTGATACGTCTCGAAACAGCCACCGCAATCATGCTGTCTCCCTGCAAGTCTTGCATGCAAGTAGTTCAATGCATCACTCACGGCCTGGATAGCTAGCTGTGCATGTCATCATTGCGCATCATCATCATCATCAATCGGTTGAGAGCGCTTTAGCCTCGCGACCTGCCGGCTTCCTGCTCGCCATTGACAATAGTCTTGGGGACCTCATGCACGCCGTGGGACTCCTGGAGCTTACAGGTGGGAGATGCAAAGGGTGTATACGTCCCCCAATAGGAGAGGTATACGTGCATGGTGGACGGCGTCGGGAACCAACGAGACAAGATCCAACACTTCTCGGACCATCCTCGAGTGGACACAATTGGTACACATTCCACACCCCTGAGCAGATATACAGCCCTCCTCTGAAAGGAGCTTTGGGATACGTAGCAGGACGAGCCAAGGGCGAAAACAATGGCAAGGCTAGGGCATACACAGTAGGGCCTGTTCTAGTTCTGTACGCCCCCTAACTGGTGGTTGTTCGTGTTCTGGTCGTGTCTAACTCCGGGGTAATCTCTCTATGGCGCGGCCTGGATATCGAGTAAGTAGGTTAATATGCATGATTGATGACTGTTCTCTCAAGAGATAGGTGAGTGGGTGTTTAAAGGGTTGTATGTGTTCGTGGTTGGGGTGTACAGAGGGGATTGTCGAGGTTGATTTTAATTATTATTTTCGCAAATAAAAAAGCCACACTTGCTCAACCAAAAGAAGCAACTAGGTTACGGACCTCTCCCAACCACGCAGCGACAATACATGCACGCAATTTAGCCCCCCGTAAATTGCCATTCTACAGATATCCCACCATAGCACATGGCAAGGACCGCTGGGAGTAAAGGTGAGTCTGGCCTGGAAATGGTGATGTGAGTTTCCTGGCAGCCTCGGCCTGCAGTTACCACAAATATTAACTAAACAGGGCCGACTTCTCCTCAGCACCCCCTTCCTTGCCCTTCCTTGACCCATGTAGCTAGAAGATTAACGTCCGGATGTCGTTGAAACTGGACTTATTTTAGAGGACAACGAGATCTCACCGTGTCGCGTTAGAAAGATTCCCTGTCTCGCACACTCGATGGAATTGGGGTCGCATGTCTGGAGTAGTGAGCATATGGGGCCACAGACAGGACATGCCTGCGGTTGCGTTGTTTACGTGGTCGGTATTCTCTGCGAGGAGATCAGATTGCCCAGCCTATGTGGGCTACACATAGACATGCCTCCGCACATGCCCCCATCAATGACCATGGCAAGAAGAAGCGGAGGTTCAAAGAGAGAGGATGACTCACAGGAGCCCATCCCCAATACTTCCGCCGGACTCATGGGATCCTCGAGCGTCACGGGCTGGGCTCGCGACCTCGAGACGATCAATTCGCCCCCTCCCACAGTCAATGTCGCGTAGAATACGAAGGGCCTGAACGGCTCATTGCGTGGGTTGCGAGGGCAATGACTGATTCAGATGTAGATGTCAAGATGGGCTCTTCGATGGGCCTTTTGAGACCCTTCCGGTGCGTGGCCAGACGAGGGTGGGAACGGATTGAAGGATCGAGGAATTTATGTACAGTGCAGGATTCAACCCTGATGAATCGCCCACACCTTGAAGTCTAAAGGTGCTGTTGTCTTCAAGTGTACCAAGCTATTCAAGTCGCGGCGGTCAGATCCTCATGAGATGGTAGACCTATGGATCACCGAATAACTGAAACATGAAACTACACGCCCCAGAGAAGAAACTTTCATATGGCCCGAAGGCGAGGACATCGGAGCACAATGCTTTGAATTGTTTATTTCATGCCTGGGTGCTGATGCTTATGTCGCGGCTCAGCCCATCTGTCAACGCCAAAGCAGGCTGCTCATATTGTGCCTGTATGATACATCATAGCACCGAAGGCACCACTGATTGATTTGCCATCCCATCGTAACCATGACCCTTACACAACCCCATTGATCAAAACCCATGAATGCCCGACCACTCCGAAACTCAAAGCAAAAAAGGATCGGGTTAGCGCGCCATGTACCAGAAGCAGGCACGCAAAGACCCAAGGCAAAGTCGTAACAGGTAGAGGATTGACTGGTGAAGTGTTTAACCACCGAAGCCTGGAGACTGTTAGCATTGAACTAGGATCGAAGGACAGAAGTGAGTCGAACCGTAGAGAGTGCGGCCTTGTCTCTTGAGGGCATAGACAACATCCAGTGATGTGACCGTCTTTCGCTTGGCGCTGGCGAGATGTTAGTATCTGATGCGCGAAGTTTGAATGCCCCGAGATGAGCGAGACTCACTGTTCAGTGTATGTGACAGCATCACGGATGACGCCTTCCAGGAAGGTCTTGAGGACACCACGGGTCTCTTCGTAGATCATGGCAGAAATACGCTTGACACCACCACGACGGGCGAGACGTCGAATAGCGGGCTTGGTGATACCCTGGATGTTGTCACGAAGAATCTTTCGGTGGCGTTTGGCACCGCCCTTGCCGAGGCCCTTGCCGCCTTTTCCGCGTCCAGTCATGTTGAAGAGATGAAGTAGTTGAGAGTGCTGAAGAGTGGGTGGCGGTTGAAGTGTTGTTGTGGTGTTGTATGATCGTTGAATGAATGGATTGATGGATGGATAGAGAGAAGTCGATAGTTGGGAGAGCGGAAGGTGGGGGGGGGACTTATGCACTGCGGCAGAGCCTGTTGAACGCCCGCGAGATCAACCCGGCGCAGCTCGGATCACAGCCAATCAGAATTCAGATCCGAGAACTGGGCTCACCTGCACACTCCCTGCACACTCCCTTGCCGCCACGCTGAGTGACTGATCTCTCGGCCACACCAGCATGAATTGCTTGATCTTTCGGAATGGCGATAGAATGAGACTGAATGATCAAGTTTACCATGAATTTACAAATTATTACGGGGTGTTGGGCGTGATGGCGGGAGTGGGCAGAAGTGCAGGGCAGCGTGCCAGATCTTGAGGTGGTACGCCAAGCAGCGGGATCAAAGCCAATTTCTGATTTTGGCTGAGTTGGCAGAGCTCTGAATCACCAGCAAAAAATGGGGCAGAATGGCCGCTGAATCATGGGGGTTTTTTGGCAACCCTGATCTGATCACTTTTGTTATGCCATTCTTTGCCGCTGCAGCCTGGGCCACCAACTCTGTTGTCACTGCTCAAATCATCCCGCAACCGCACATCAGATCACGCCAAGCACCCGCCTTTCAGCACTTTCTTCCTACAAATACCTCGCTCCCACCCACTTTGTCCACTTAGCTTTTCTTCCCCATCCAGCCTCACTCATCATCTCCATCTCCATCTCCATCTCCAGTCTTCCACCCAGCCTTCCATTCATCAACCACTTGCACAACTTTCAATCTTTCATCAGATAATCCATCGCCATGGCTCGTACCAAGCAAACTGCTCGCAAGTCCACTGGTAAGACCTTGCTTCGTCTCACTGCTGTCTCAGAACCTCATCGCTGACTCGTCTCCTAGGTGGCAAGGCCCCAAGAAAGCAGCTCGCCTCCAAGGCCGCCCGCAAGTCTGCTCCAAGCACTGGTGGTGTCAAGAAGCCCCACAGATATAAGCCTGGTACTGTCGCTCTCCGTGAGATTCGTCGCTACCAGAAGTCCACCGAATTGCTCATCCGGTATGTCACAGTCACGTCGGCGCAGCTGTCTCAAACATGAGCTAACAATCCGAACAGCAAACTTCCCTTCCAACGTCTTGTTCGTGAAATCGCTCAAGACTTCAAGTCCGACCTTCGATTCCAGTCATCTGCCATCGGCGCTCTCCAAGAGTCCGTTGAGGCATACCTCGTCTCTCTCTTTGAGGACACCAACCTGTGTGCAATCCACGCCAAGCGTGTCACCATCCAGTCCAAGGACATCCAGCTTGCCCGTCGTCTCCGCGGTGAACGATCTTAGATGGCAAGTTGAAATTTGCAACTTCTCAATCAACAGTCAATTGGCAGGTTGGGAAAGTTTCACGGTCATGATTTGAGTATGGGGGGTTTTCATGAGTTGACACAAGGCGAACCGGAATGAATTCATAGGGGCTTGTATTGCTTTTTCACCACATTGATCACGGGTGGTAACGGGGGGGGGCTTCTGGCGTCTTCTGCTTCTGCTCGTGCTTGTACATCACGCAGCATCGTACCAGTCATCATGACTGACGCGGACACAGCAGAATGCGCTGCATCAACCAGATAGAATCTGAATGTGATTCAGGTTAAACGTTCAAACACATCTTCAGACTCAATCCTGTAATTCGAACAAAATTCTCCAGACGTGACACTTGCTTGTGCTTCAACGTGACGAGCGCAGGTGCTCTTGGAGCAATAGGTTCAGAGGCTCTCTGGGGAGTCTGCAGCTAATAATTCAGGGGCACGGCGCCTAAGATGATTCGCATCGGGGGGCTGCAAGCGGCGTCATCGGGGCACGCAACCCAGTGGACCCGAATGCAACTGGCTACGGCAAATTCTGTCCTCCGATATAGGAATTAGTTGCTGATGTTTTACTGTATGATGAGATGACAATTCTATCACCATGGCATTCAGTCAATAATGCACTCTTTGCATCGGGCGGCGCTCAAGTTCAGTGCCAGATCGCCGTGGTTTCGGGCACGAGTGCCGAGCCTGCGAGCCCGACTGAACCCTCATGGCCAGAGGAACTCCTCCAACTCGCCCAATTCAAGTCGCATTAAGGACTCATCGATTTCGCCGTCGCCGTCGCCAACCAAGCCCCCTCCACACTCGCTCAATCAGGTGCCCATCGGCGAGACTGCGAAGCCCGTCGAAGCCGTCGACATACCCATCCAGCTGTGGTATCATCGTCTGGGGCCCGTGTCTTCATTCTTTCAATGGTTTCACCGCACGCAGTTGAAGAGGCCATATACCGTGCAACTATGCACAACCTTGACGACCTACCTATGCGGTGATCTACTGGCACAGGATATTGGGGGAGAACAGTACAATCCATGGCGAACATTGAGGATGTTGACAATTGGAGCCATTGCGGCGATACCGGGTTACAAATGGTATGAAATCCAAATCTGACGGGCAAACATATAGTCACCCGATCTGTCAGAGGAACGTCGGGAGAGCATGGAAAGAGACGGAGCACAGAAGACGCGAGCTAACGTCAAAGACATGCAGGTTCCTCTTCCTGGGTCAGAGCTTCAATTATCCCTCGAAATTCGCCTCCATCGCAACAAAGGTTGCCGTCAACCAAGTTGTCTTCACTCCTGTCTTCAACACATACTTTTTTGGCATGCAGGCCCTGCTGACCGGCGAGCACGCGTCGGGCATCATCATGCGCATCCAAGCTGCGGTGCCGGTCAGCATGCTCAATTCTCTGAAATTATGGCCCGCGGTGACTGCCTTCTCTTTTGCCTTTGTCCCGCCCCAATACCGGTTCATGTTTTCGGGCATCTTTGCCGTCGCGTGGCAGTGCTATTTGAGTTTCCTCAACCGCAAGGAAGAGAAGATCGAGGCGCAGATCGATACTTTGAGTCACCCTGTGCTGCCGGAGAGCATTGTGGTGAAGTAAAGCTGCTTCAAGGACGGTCTCACGGGTCACCGCTTAGAGTGACTCAGACCGACTTGGGAGAGAAATCCGTCGGGGAGAGGAGATTGGTTTACGACTCTCATTCTGTCGCTCTAATGTCTATGGCATGGACGCATCCAATGGTGGAAGGACGGGCGACAAGGCCTTTGGTAAACAGGTCCTATCATAGACAGCATCTAGGCAGCAATGTCGGGCTAAATTATAGAACATAGAGCAAAATCAGAGCAATATCCCACCGATTGGACCTCATACATCCTCTGGGCGAGTTGTCCAGACCCCACGACGCGTCAGGAGCAAGCGCGAAAGCGCGCCTCAGAGCAGGCAGAAGTTCCTCCAATGCGAGTCTGCCCTGAGGGAGTTTAAATAAACAAGCAGCATGTCGAAGCATATATATATATAATCCACGAGCTGTCATCCTTTCCCACTCTTTAGCTGACTAATCACCCGCCGCTTTGCTCTCCCGCTAACGACTATTTGGTCGACTCGCTCCCTCGCCCGCTTCCTTCTCCTCCCTTCCTCTCTTTCTGGCCCCCCTTCCGCTCTCTTCTACTTCTCTTCGCCTTCGGCCTACTCTTACCGCGCTCTCTTATACGTCGGTGAGGCTTCCGTTTTAGCTCTAGTCTTACTCGCGTCTACGTTATACATATCTAGCCTTATAATAACTTTACTTAATAGTATTGTAATAGAGCACTTCAGGGTTCGGCGTGCACGTGCAACAACGCACAGAGGCCTGTCCAGCAGATCGGGAATCGAGAACGCGTTTCTAGTTAATACTGATAAAACAACACCACTAACATCACTTAGAGGAACAGCGGCTAGAGCTATAAACACCTAGCACAGTGACAGTATCGAGGAATAGGACAGGACTGATAAAACACTCAGGAATTAGGTAGACGGCGCCAAAAGGCCATGGAATTTATAATACTCTCCTTAAACTAATGAATGGCACCCTACCAGCACTGTAAACTGTTCTGCACCTCCCTCTCTGCCAGCCCATTTAGGTTTGATATGTGACTAGATAACTTTTCCTCCCTGCTACCGCTCTACCAGCTCAGCACAGCACAGCCACCTTGCCTTGTTACAATGTTACTATATATTAGACACAGCCTTTCTACGGCAGGAACGAGGACAAGGGAGGCAGGTGTGCCGGCCCGCGTGGGCCTCACAGACATGGAATAGGTAAGGCTGAAGTACGTGACGTGCTCAGTAACGCTCAGCGCGGCTTAGTGCGCTCAGACCGAGCACGGCCAAGCACGACTAAGCGCGACTAAGTAAGATGGTGTAGGGCATGACTATATAGCTACGCCCACCCCCCCTCCGTGGCTTACACTCTCTCCGTAGCCAACTCATATTAACTATTGAACTATATAGTTCTTAGTAACATAGACTATTTATACCTTGTGTTCTTCCTAATTAGTTCATACTATCTAAGGATTATTACTAGGAACTCTATATTAGATATAGCCTTTTATACGGCCCTAGAATAAGGCGGCGAACGGAAGGTCTACTAAGAAGAATAGCCTAATAGAGCGAGAATCAAGGAGAAGACTAGGTTACGTAACGACTAAGAAAGGGAAATAATTAATATATTAATATATTAACATACCATTCCCGGCTATCTATTTAGAAAACTCTCACAAGTATATAGCTACGCCTATTACTCTTAGATAGCTTATACTCTCTTCGTAACTAACTTATATTAACTATTAAACTATACTATTCTTAGTAATATAGACTATTTATATCTTATGTTCTTTCTAACTAGTTTATTCGGAGGACTTAGAGAACTATCTAATATATAGATAGTAAGACTTATATAGATCGTAAACTTTATAGATAGATAATTAACTATTAAAGAACTTAAAGATAACTATTTATCTAGGGAGAGTAAAGGTCTTTATATAGACAATAAGTGTTCACAGTTAAGACCCTTAAAATGTTGATTTTAAATTAACATTAGTAAGTACGACTAATCATTTAATAGAGTGCGGAATTAATATCGCACTAGTCACGTAATTTCATAGATCTTAGGTCTAAATACGAAGTTAAATCGTATTTAGTTACGTGACTTAAGGTTTAATATAAACCTTTAGAGAGCGATATTCCACACACCCTCTTAAGCTAAATATAGCTTATTTTAGCTATATTTTAGCTTATATTCGAAATATCGTTATTCCGATTAATTCTTATAGACTTATTAAATAGTCTATAGATATCTAGGGCTCTTTACTAGCCTAGGTTTCGTAAGTCTATTTCTTCAATAAAGGCGATTCATTTTTCAGTTATTATAGACTTAGTTAAATCATCGGCCAGTTAACTCTTCGTAGGTGTCCATATAAGCTTAGTTAGCTTATTTTAAATACTTTCGCGTACATAGTGATATTGTATATTAATATACTTAGTTCTAGCGTAATATACGAAGTTTTTCGCTAGTTCCATAGCTGAGTTTAAGTCAGTATATATATTTAGACATTCTATAGCGAGATTAGATTTTAATAGTTCTTTTATCTCGCTTAGTAGTGCCTTAACATACTATTATTCTTTTATAGCCTCTTTTAGAGCCATATATTCGGCTTCGTAAGAACTTAGCGCCACTATACGCTATAATTTTAAATTCTAGGATAGAGAAGTATCTATTAGACACAGCCTTAAAGGCCCGCGAGCAGGACGTAGGATGAACTAGGAAGGAAGCTCAACCGAACAAGGCAGCCTCGGGAAGCAAGGCTGAAAGAAGTTACGTAATGTCCAGAACAGGAAAGAAGTGGCCTGTTAACATGTTGGACTGGAACATACCAACATACCAACATACCGACCCACATTGCTCTATACGGAAAGCCTATATAAGTATATAGCTACGCTTATTTCCCCTAGATAGCTTACACTCTCTTCGTAGCTAACTTATGTTAACTATTAGACTTATAGTTCTTAGTGATAAGTGGCTTCTCATATCTTACGTTCTTCCCAACCAGTTCATACTATCAGGATTATTACTAGGAACCCTAATCTAGTTAGGCCCCGGTAGAAACCTTAACACTTTAGCTATCACTCTTATTATGAAGAACGACCCCTATAAGTAGCTAAGGAAGACCCGACCGACTTATCTCGCTCATTAACGAACTAGCACGACGCATAGTACGACTATCTCTTAACGACACTATATCTACTACTACTAGTACTCCGAGATTAACACCGAGCACCTCAAGGACGGCAACAACTACCGCCGCGCTAGCACTAGTGACTAAGGGAAAGATTAGTAACCCATCTAAGTCTTTTAACGGCGTGGAATCTAAACTTATACTCTTTATTCACCATACGGATTTATATATCCTAATGAACCTCACTAACTTTTAGAATAACTTATAGAAAATACTCTTTATAGAAAGTTACTTCGAAGATAATATCGAGGCTTAGCTTAGACCCTTCGTTAAGAACTATATTAAGAACGAAGCGAATAATAAAGAGAACGAGACTATTAGTCTCTTCGCTACGTTTACGGAATTTAAGAAAATAATGAAACTAATATTCGGGGCGAAAGATAAAGAAAGGAAAGCTTAAAAGAAAATAGTAAGTCTTCGATAAACTAGGTTTATTTAAGAATATATAACTAAGTTTAGAACGCTAAATACGAAGCTTAGCTAGTAAGATAATATTATTATCTTTATCTTTCGAGAAGAATTAAAGCCGAAAATTAAGTAAGAACTTCGACATTTAGAGAAGAAACTACTAGAGAAATAAATAGCTACGGCTATTAAGAAAGATAACGATATTAAAGAATATTATTAGTACGAGCGCCTTAATATTACTCGAAAAATCTATATAATAAGAACTTAACGAGCTAATACCTAGAAAAGGCGCGAACTCTATTACGAATTATAATCTATAGATCTAAACTAAGCGTAAAAAAGACGTAATAATAATAGAGAAAATAGAAAAGAGAAAACCGATCCTAGAAAAGGAAAAGAAACGACTTATTATAGTTACGGTAAGCTAAGCTATTACGCGAAAGACTATAAAGATAAGAAAAAGTAGATTATAGCTGCCGAAAAGAAATCTAAAACTAAGGAAATAGCGACGATTACTTCTAAAGCTAATATAGTAAAAGAAGAAATAGTAGTAGTCGAAGAAAGCATCGATAGTGAAAAAGCGATATTAACAGCGATCACATTTACGCGTATATATATCCGAACTAAATATTAAGTAAGAAGAATGTATTTAGACCCCTACTATACTTTAACACTACTAGAATATAGCCATACTATATACGAACTAGAGAATCCCCCTTCTAAAATCGAAATAATCTTTAGTATAAGAGTCTATTAGAACGATAAATATCTATAGAAAAGAAGTTATTCGAACTTTATTTATACTTATTAAGAAGGTGACCCGAATATCTTAAACGTTTATATATCGAAAGTAGATTCGAAAGTACTAAGAAAATATAATATAATTAATTCGTAATATAACTTCGATCTAAATCTTAGTGAAGAATCGAAGATCTAATATAAGAAAGAACTAAAATCTCTTATATAAGAAGAATTAAAATAAATTCTCTAAGAAATAGTAGAAAGAATTAAGATAAGAACTCACTAAACTTAGGAATTAATAAGAGAAGTAGAGATAACCTTAGTAGAAGAAACCCGATTACGGGCCCTTATAGAAGACGATCTAAGAGAAATCGTAGCGATTACCTAAATACCTAAGGAAGAGATATAAGCCCGATTAACGATAGATCGAATATTAGCTAAAGTAGAGATAGAGATATAAGCGGTCTTAAGAATCTACTGAGAACGAGAAGTTAGAGTTTCTCGACTCGTAAAAACTTTATCTAATATTAGTATTTAAGAATTATTCCCTTATAGAATAATTTACGTTTATTCTCTACGACTAATTTCTTATTTATATATATAGCACCTCGACTATCTATAGCTAGAGAAACTAAATATAACTATCGTAGAAGTATAGTAGACCTATGAAGAATTAGT